GCTGCGTGGGCGGAGGCTAGCCCGGCTGCTAGAGACTCGATGTTACGGTTGCGTGGGAGATTGGAGGGAACTATGAGCTGGCTGCTGTCTGTGCTATCTTCGCTGGGGGTGCTGTTGGCGTTGTAGACACCGGTTCTTGCAAGGTGTCGGTGCATGTCTACAATCTTGTTGGCATGGGAAGCCCCGGCGCACGAGAACGTATTGAACTCAACTTGTCTTAGTGACCCGTGTGGTATGCTGGACGGTTCGCCATCGGGGTCTGTGCTTTCATCCTGAAGCATATAATCAGAGCGAAATATGCCGGCACTGATCGGCTGGACGTATCCTCCCAGTCGCTTCACATCCTGGTGAATTCTCCAGAGAGCCGCAGCGAGCGGGTCGATGGGTAGGAGATCTCCAATAGCGCTCAAAATCCACTGTTCATCTTCGGCCACGGCGCAGTAGAGCTCATTGTAGATAGACTGCAATTCCAGGGCCTGTTGGAATCGTTGTCGAGGAAATAGTGTCGGAAATAGAGTGACGCCGATCGGGTGCGACTGGACACTGTGGACGGTCTGAGTGCTAATGTCCTTGATCAAGGAGCCATGGTTGAGCAGCCAGTCTTGAATTTGGATAGATAGCGATAGGAGGTGATCTTCTGATAGTGGCGGGGGATACTGTGCGATGGAATGCATCTCTAAGGTCTCGGAGGCTCTATGTGCGCATGTTCTTGAATCATGATCTTCATCTTTCTGTGGTATCATCTTCGTCTTGGTCGCGAATAAAGATCATCGGTGTGGGGTGTGGCTGTGGTGGACTGTTCTGCTGCGCTGATGATGTTCTTTCCCCGCACCTTACTGGATTTGGCATGTAGCTTGCCCTTCATCAATTCGCCCACTTGAAGAGGCTAGCCTGATATGTCTTCGTAATTGCTATTTCTTTCGGTTTTCCATTGTCATTAGGATGGTCGCACTGGTTCTGCGTCTTGATCACCCAACTGATATTTCTTTAGATATGTCGAAGTAGGGTGTTGAATGGATGTCTCGCCTTTAGATCGGGAGTTTCGCGGTGGGTTTATGACCCAAAGATTCCTGGTTTATTCTGGAATCATGGTGTAAAGAGGCCACGGATGATTGCCATGATCCACAGAGCTAGATCCAACGAGGATAGAAATCGAGCATGCTTCTTCATTGGGCCCTTCCCCGAAAACTCGGGATGCCGTCGCTGATGCCGCGGGTTCTCCGTCAACTGATGAATTCTCTACCTCGGATGCTCATTAACCGCCATTGTTCCTTGCTAGCTGAGAATCGTGGGAGATGATCCATATGGGTTATGGTAGGCATGTTGATTGGGATCTCCAAGGCACTTGAAGCGGTAGACATGAAGCTACTTTGGTATCCCGGAGATGAGTCGGGCCAGCAATCGGGATGCGACATGGCTAGGGAATTCCTCAGGCATCAAACAAAAGGAACAGCCGAATCCGACTACCCGCGGGATGGACATTATCAGGGAACGAGGGGAGCCGCAATAGACCTTAGAAGTAGAACTGAAACCCAAGGCAATCCACCGATGGACCGCTGCATGCACGATCATTGGCCGTCGGGTATTGACAGCCACCAGGGCAGTCGAGACGGTTCCTGAAGACTATGATGTCGTTGGTTCGGATGTCTTACCGGGATCGCTGGAGTTTAGGGCTGGGGGAAGGAGGCATGCTGATGGAGCATTGTATGTTGTGTTGATATCAATAGCCTCCACATACTGTTGGTTTATTCCTACTGCTAGTATACGCTGATCAGGTACCTGGTCGTGGACATCTTCATCTCGAAGCGAGTGCTCATCTAGTACACACCCATTAGTTGGTATTATATACTATAAGACCATGGACGTAGATTGTAGATGGCATCAATACACTCCATACATACTGTAATCCGTAAAGAACCCTGAATGGAAAGGGTGACTGTGCATTCTGATCTGAATGTACTAATTGGTATAAAGGTGGAAAAAGACCCGGCGATGATGCCGACCGGGGACCCGATCACGTGGGGCCACTCCACACTACCGAATCTTTAGCCGCTTTCAAGCCCAGTCAGTCCAGCACCGCTCGGAAAGGACCCCGGCATTCATTCGTCTTGTCTTCCCCCCACATCGTGCTTTGGTCGGTAACTTGGTATTACCAGAGCCACTACCTAAGGTACTCCTGACGAACCTATACCATTACACTCTCTCTAAACCCCCCGCATGATCCAGCCGACTATGAGTGCCGTGGTGGTCCCTCTGGTCAGCTCGCGATCTTACACCTCCAATCATGCTCACCATATATGAAGCTCCTTTCGTCCCCATGGATTCTCTCTTTTTCTTTTTCCATTTCAGTATCTACTACTTTCTTTTTCCATTCATCTGGTTGATACATCCCACGAGCGTGCCTTGACTAGGATTTGAATCCTTTCTTTAAGAAAGCACATCCCCAACCGCCTTTGTGTCGATCATCCTCCCCCACCTATACGAGACTACCGAAGCGGTGACATCAGCGTCGACCAACGAGAAGCGTCCGTGTGTGATCGCAGTCCTGCCACCGCAATGGTCCATTCGCAACAAAATTACGACATTGTTGTCGTGGGCGCCGGCCCTGTCGGAAATCTACTCTCCCTCTGCATGTCACGATGGGGATACAAGGTGAAGCATATCGATAACCGTCCGCTGCCTACGGCCACGGGTCGCGCCGATGGCATCCAGCCGCGGTCGACAGAAATTCTGCGCAACCTGGGCCTGAAGCGTCAGATCATGGCCCACCACCCCGCCAAGGTGTATGATGTCGCCTTTTGGGATCCCCTGCCCGGGGAGCAGGGCATCCATCGCACGGGAAGCTGGCCGAGCTGCCCGCGCTTTATCGATACGAGGTACCCTTTCACGACCCTGGTACACCAGGGCAAGATCGAGCGCGTCTTCCTGGACGAGATCGAGAAGGCCGGCACCACCGTCGAGCGACCCTGGACCATCGTCGACTTCCAGAATGATGGCGCTGATGCGACCTACCCGGTCGAGGTGCAGCTGAAATGCATCGACACCAACGTCGCCGAGACGGTCCGCACCAAGTACCTCTTCAGTGGTGAGGGAGCCCGCAGTTTCGTCCGGGAAAAGTTGGGTATCAAGATCCACCACAAGGACCCCATCTCCTACGTCTGGGGTGTCATGGACGGTGTTGTGAGGACCAACTTCCCTGATATCGAGGTAAGCCTTCCTTCCTTTCTTTCTTTTCGTCTATTTGGGATGAACTTCCAGCTGACCCGCGTCTGTTGTTTTAATAGACCAAGTGCACCATCCACTCCGATGCTGGCTCGATCATGGTCATTCCCCGTGAGGACAACATGGTCCGTCTTTACGTCCAGATTGCCTCCTCCACCGACGCCGACTTCCACCCGAGAAAGACGGCGACCGTCGAGCAGGTCCAGGAGACCGCGAAGAAGATCCTGAAGCCCTACTGGCTCGAGTGGGACCGCGTGGAATGGTACTCGGTCTACCCCATTGGGCAGGGTATCTCGGAGAAGTACACGCTGGATGAGCGGGTCTTCATGGGTGGTGACGCGTGCCACACCCACAGCCCCAAGGCCGGTCAGGGGATGAACACGGCCTTCCACGACGCGCTGAACATGGCCTGGAAGCTCCATCTCGTCGAGTCCGGAATGGCCGACCGCTCCATTCTGAGCACCTACGAGACCGAGCGCAAGGACATTGCCGAGACCCTGCTGGACTTCGACTCCAAGTATGCGGCCCTGTTCTCCAAGCGCCGCCCGAATGCCGGCGAGGTCGGATCGGCCAGCCACACCGTGGTCAAGGACGGTGGTGTGGAGGATGAGTTCGTCAAGACCTTCAAGTCGTCCTGCGAGTTCACAAGTGGCTACGGCGTGGCCTACAAGCCCAGCGTTTTCACCTGGTCCCCCAGCCATCCCGCCCAGTCTCCCCTGTTCGACATCCCCGGGGCGCGTCTGACCCCCGGGCGTGCGTTCACGCCCAGCAAGGTCACGCGCCTGGCGGACTCCAACTTCGTGGCCCTGGAGCAGGAGATCCCGGCCAACGGTGCATTCCGCATCTTCATCTTTGCCGGCAACCAGAACCGGACCCAGAAGGCCATCACCGACCTGGCGGCCAACCTGGAGAAGGAGCGCTCATTCCTCTCGACGTTCCGGAGACCGGACCTCGCCGACGTGTCCTTCTTCGAGCGCCACCAGCCCCACTCGAAGCTGTTCACCCTGTGCGTGATCTACGCGGCCAACAAGAACCAGGTGGACGTGGACTCCGTGCCCAAGATCCTTCGCGACTACCACCACCATCTCTACTCCGACGACATCCCGGATGTCCGCGTCCCCCAGGCCCAGTTTGCCGCCCACGAGAAGCTCGGCCTGAACCCCGAGCTGGGTGGCGTGGTGGTGGTCCGCCCCGACAGCCACGTTGCCTGTACCGTGCAACTGACCGAGGGAAGCGGGACCGTGGATGCGCTCAACGCGTACTTCAACGCCTTCGCCGCGAAGCCGGTGGGCCAGGATTCCCAGCAGAGCCGTCTGTAAGCGTCGGTCTTGCGTGTATCTATATTGCCTAGAATTCCTTGACGATGCGATGCTTTGTACACATTTTTTCTATTTCTTTGGTTGGATCCGTTCCATGGAGTGGACTGACCTAGCATGATTAGGCGTTGTATATATCCCTACAATATGAGTTTTGACTAGTATTGGACCTCCCAAAAGGAATAAAAGTAAATAATTAAAATATCGTAGTAAACCAGATTATACCTACCATTAGTATCTCGCGACCAAATATCGAGGAAAATCGTAGCAGGACTATGTCTATCCTGGTAGAGGCCAGGGTGCGTAGCCCCCAGCGAGCACAACGCGGGCCGAAGACCAACCAAGGCAACGACCCCACATGGCCCGATAAAGCGACTTGGATTTCTTCATCCAAGCTCCGACAAGGTACAGTACACTCTGAAGATCTATTGCAGATCCAAAGCGCAACACCAGACAACCACCATGCTCTCCCTCGTTCTCTCCGCCGAGCTCTCCGGGTAAGACTGGCCCATCTTCCGCCTACTCTTTGACATTCGCTCCATCATCCCACTATCCGTCATGGATCTTCCCCGCACCGCAGTACTACCTACTGCTACTGTCTTTTACTTGGAAGCATGGCAACTATAAATACATTCTGGAGATAAGTGCTCACAAAGAAATAGAGTAACCGATCTTCGTCCCAAGGACACCGAGGAGGAGCCGTACTACTATACCTTCAAGGTGCAATGTACATCCTGTCGCGAGACGCACCCGAACTGGGTCAGCTTCAACCGGTTTGTACGTTTGAAACCGAGAAGAAAAATACCAACCCTTAAAAATAGAATTCATCGCTGACAATCCCCCAGGAGACGAATGAAATCCCAGGAAGTCGAGGCGAGGCGAACTTCGTTTGGAAGTGCAAGATGTGCCAGGTTCGTTTTGCACCGACAGCATCACCTCCAACAGTGCAGAGAAAATGCACAATACAATACAACACCGCATGTAGCGCCCGACTAACTGACTAAAAATGTAGAAAACCCACTCCGCCTCCATCGTGGCCGGTCCGCACAGCTACGAGGCGAACGACCAGCGCAAAGGCACTAAGGTGATTGACCTTGATTGCCGTGGGTTGGAGTTTACCGAGTTTAAGGCAGATGTTCGTCATGTCCAACTAACATGTTCTTTGGGGGAGACGTATGCTAACGTGCGTTCCTATCTTAGGGCGACTGGGAAGCGAAGGGCATCGAGTCTGGCTCCCCGTTCAGTGGGATTGATCTGTCCGAGGAGGAGTGGTATGACTACGATGAGAAGGCTGGGGATGAGGTCTCCATTAAGGAGATTAGCTGGACGGTGGGAAGATCTTAAGATGTATTATGATTGATACTTTGTGTGAAATATGATGTTTACAGTGCCGCTTAAGGGAATTGTTGATCTGTTTACATGATTGTCGGTTTATTAGGCGTCTGTTCTAGCTTGCGCGTGTGTAGCATCGGGGACTGATATCCGTCTGTATGTTTGTATCTTGCATGAAAGAGGAAGAAGTGTAATAAAAGAAAAAGTGATGACAGCCAAACTGACCAGTTGCCGATGTTGAGCTGACCGGAAGGCGGTGACGCAGAATCCAGCCTGATTGGCCCGAGTGCTCGCCGCATCACATTTTCGCGGTCCTTCAGTCAAGCTGGGCGCTGCGATCAACCTCACCTCCCTCGACCCTACGACTCAAATCAACGACCAGTCCAACTTATTCGATCGGAGGAGATAACTGGACTGAATTGCTGGACAATATCTCTGTGTGGATTGATTGAAGCCATTTGAAAGGCTGTAAAGAGTGTCGTTCCGCAGTTCGTGACTTCCGACCACAGACACATCTCCAAGGATGAGTGTACGTGTTTTCCCCGTCTTTGGCCCTGCTTTTTGTCCTGCTTTACACTGGACTACTCTTTGATCTGGTCTTATGTGTGGTGATACTGACAAATATGGTTGTAGTTCCAACCCCTCAACCCCCGGCCTTTCCTGCAGGCTAGGTACGATCCCGATCCCTTCACGCACCCTTCGATCGCGTTCCTCGTACCTTTTGATCACTCCATCTCCTTTATCACGGTGAATTTTGCGGAAATATAACCTCTAACGCGGCGTTTAGGGTCGGTACCGAGCTTATCATCCGTCTCAAATGGGGCCAAACCGAGTACAAGGGCACGCTCGAGAGCATTGACTCCTACATGAACGTACTGCTGAGAGATACGGAGGAATTCATTGATGGCAAGCCTACTGGCACGCTGGGATTGGTGCTGATCAGGTACGTTTTTGTAGTTCAGGGGGATGGTTGACCGTTTCGGAATAGAGATACGGTGGCTTCTATCACCGATCGCCATTGTTCGATCTTGAGAAAACACATTCACTAACTTGCTACTCTACCAGGTGCAACAACATCCTCTGGATGGGCTCGGCAGAAAACGTGGAGATGACGGACCTGGGGTTACGATAAAGGAGGAACGATCGGACGTTCGATTACGGAACCGCGTGAGGGTGCAGATACCATATACCCGCTGACTTCTCTCGACGAACAAAAAGATATATGTGTGGATTAAGCAACAACGCAGACAGCGCTGGAGTTATCGCAAGGGCGTCACCAACCGGCTATCGCAAACCATTTCTTTTCTTGTATCTGTTTCAAAACATGGCTTCTGTGTGTCGGTCTGGGGACAAGGGGCGCTCAGACCTTGCAGGGCAAATTGCGAATGTTCTGGCTTGACGTGTGACTTGGAGAAGGGAGCGAATGTTTTACCATGCTTGGTCTTCTTGAACGGTTCTGGCTGGGTTCCTAGCCATGATTGCTGCCTCTTCCTGCAGGCGACATCTCATATGTCTCAATTTCTTATCTCCGAAGGGACTTAGTCACCTAATCCGATTAGAATTCGTGCCATATTGTTTCTTATAGCGGGCTATCTTTAGTACATTGTAAGGAAGATTAGGGGTTGTATGTTGGAATTGATAGTAGTAGATTGCATTGTCGTGACCTTCCGCTTTACCCCACTTGGGCATAATCGTTCCACCATCAACATCCCATATCTGCGATGGTTCACTAGCTGGTCCGGCCAATCTCCTAATCACCACCTGCCTGCAAACTCAATAATAGGATAGGAAGCGCTCTTTTCTTAACTGTTCATACATTCAACATCCAGTGGCTGGTTGAAACGCCATGGATGCAGCCTCTGGCGATGCCTCGTCTGCGGACGCCTACTTCGACCTTGGATCCTTCCACCGCCCAGTAACAACAAATAACAAATGGGCCCAGGTCTGGTTTGACCGTGGAATCATCTGGACATACGCTTTTAACCATGGCGAGGCAGCTCAGTGTTTCCAGAAAGCCATCACCCAAGACCCAAGCTGCGCAATGGCATACTGGGGACTGGCATACACGCTGGGGCCCAACTACAACAAGCCATGGCAATTCTTCGACGAAAAAGAGCTGGAGACAACCGTGCAACGCACCAACCGCGCCATCCACAACGCCCGACAATACGCAGCGACGGCGCAACCCGCGGAAGCGGCTCTCATTGATGCCCTCCAGCTCAGGTACCCGCAGGCCCAGCCGACGGACGACTGCTCCTCCTGGAATCAGGGGTATGCCGATGCCATGCAATCTGTCTACCAGCGATTTCCCGATGACCTAGACGTGGCAACCTTGTACGCGGACGCACTGATGAATCTGACCCCTTGGGAGCTATGGGATATACGCACCAACGAGCCCGCCCCAGGCGCGCGCACATACGAAGTCAAAGCCGTTCTCGACCGCGCGCTGACACAGAAGGGAGGCCTCCGCCATCCCGGTCTACTCCACTTATACATCCACCTGATGGAGATGTCCGGCACGCCAGAAAAGGCCCTGGTGGTGGCGGACCACCTGCGCGGGCTGGTCCCCGACGCGGGACATCTGCAACACATGCCCACGCACCTGGACATTCTGTGTGGCGACTACCGGCGGGCGATAGCATCCAACTCGGACGCTATCCGCGCGGACGAAAAGTTCCTTGCTCGCGCGGGCCCGGTCAACTTCTACACCCTCTACCGGTCCCACGATTACCACTTCCGGATCTACGCGGCTATGTTCTCCGGGCTGTCTGCGATAGCCCTGGAAACGGCAGCTGAGCTCGAGCAGTCGATCCCGGAGGAGCTTCTCCGTGTTGAGTCGCCCCCGATGGCGGACTGGCTGGAGGGGTTCCTCACGATGCGAGTCCACGTGTTGATCCGGTTCGGACGCTGGCAGGAGCTGCTGGACCTTGAACTGCCGCGAGATGCAGAGCTATACTGCGTGACGACGACCATGATACATTACGGCAAGGGAGTTGCGCTGGCCGCAACGGGGGAGGTAGATCGCGCGAACGAAGAACGGGGCCAATTCGACCAAGCTTTGAAACGTGTCCCCGCTAGCCGAATGCTATTCAACAACAAATGCGTCGATATCCTAGGTATCGCAGAAGCCATGCTAAACGGGGAGCTCGAATACCGCCGCGGGAATTTCGAAATCGCTTTCGAGCACCTGCGCCGCGCAATTTCACGCGACGATGGGCTTCCTTACGACGAACCCTGGGGCTGGATGCAACCGACGCGACATGCATACGGAGCCCTCCTGCTAGAACAAGGGCACGTGGAGGAGGCCGCTGCGGCTTACGGCGCCGATCTGGGAATGGACGATACGCTGCCTCGCTCGCTGCAACATCCGAATAACGTGTGGGCGCTCCATGGCTATCACGAGTGTTTGGTGATGTTGGGACGCGTCGCAGAGGCGCATATTGTCAAGCAGCAGCTGAAGTTCGCGGCGGCTACGGCGGATGTCCCTATTCGAGCGTCTTGTTATTGTCGGAGGAATGACTAGTCCATAGTACTCCGTAGATAATATATAGTATCTGATGGGTCCGCATGTTTTTTGATAGATCACATTCTTTAGCTTTTGGATAATACCGTGCTATTGTTTTAATACATACATTCCATGTACGAATGGAATTGTTGTTTAGACTGTTAATAAAACCGGCATTAATTGTCTCATGCACGTGTCCAGCATACATCCATCTCGTACAACTTCAACCCCGTCTCTTTCCCTCACTTCACTACCTTATCTGTCTAATACTCATAAAGTAACATGGCTGCAAAACTCCTCAGCTGGCTCACTATCCTCGCAGCTTGCCTTTCTAGCATGATAATAACCACACATGCAACAGATGCATTCCAACAAAAATGTATATCCTTCCCCGCACAAGAACACATCTCAAACTCTCACATTCAAGCCCTAGAATACATCCCCCAAGGGACCAACTTGACTCTAGCGGACAACGATAGCACATGCTCCCGCCAGTCCCAGCAAGTCTCAGTCGACATCTGTCGACTCGCCCTCTCCGTCGCGACGTCCAACCGGTCGTCCGTGGTTGTGGAGATTTGGCTACCACGCGAGTGGAGCGGACGATTTCTCGGGACGGGGAACGGGGGCATAGATGGATGTGAGTAGTACGCGACACAACGGCACTCTTGGAAATGATACTAGATGGGACTGACTCACAGGTGCCCAGGTATCAAGTACGAGGATGTAGAGTATGGAGCGTCGAATGGATTTGCGACGATTGGGACTAATAACGGGCATAATGGCACCACTGCTGTACCGCTATATCGCAATCCGGACGCTGTTGTGGATTTTTCTTGGAGGGCGTATGTTTGAGAATTCGCATTACCTGGCTGTTGGCTGATATCCCTGCTAGACTTCACACCGGCGTGACGATAGGCAAGGAGCTGACGGCCCGTTTCTACGGTCGAGCACACAGCAAGTCATACTATATTGGCTGCTCCCTCGGCGGACGCCAGGGGATCTACGCCGCGGATGTATTTCCCGAAGACTTCGACGGCATAGTTGCCGGTGCGCCGGCGGTGGACTTCAATAACCTCGTCTCGTGGAGGGCTAGTTTCTTCCCGATCACTGGGTCGGTCAATTCATCGCGATACGTTACCGAAAGTCAATGGAAGGGTTTAATACATTCGGATATCCTGCGGCAGTGCGATGGCATTGATGGTGTTCTTGATGGTGTCATTGAGGATCCCACGATGTGCGATTTCCAGCCGGACGTTCTGCTGTGTGAGAGAGATCAGATGCATGACTGTTTGAGTCCTGCCCAGGTGGAGACTGTTCGAGAGATATTCTCCCCGCTTCGCGACGAGAACAGTCGCTTGATATACCCTGCCATGCAGCCAGGGAGTGAGCTTAAATCTGCTGAGGGACTCTATGCCGGAAAACCCTTTATGTACTCCGAGGTTAGTACTCGCTACCCGAACACGATTCTCACCCGACATGCTGATATACCCATCCAGTCATGGTTTCAATACGTCATCTACGACCCCTCATGGGACCCATCAAGCTTCAATCTCCACGACGCGCAGATAGCAGACACCCTAAACCCAGGTAACATCCGCACGTGGCCCAGCGATCTTTCACAATTCCAAAACCGAGGCGGCAAGATCATCGTCCACCACGGCCAGCAAGACGACAAAATCACCAGCTTCAACACGCCGCGATTCTACGATCATCTCGCTGCTAGCATGCAGTATTCGTCCGCGCAGATGGAAAATTTCTTTCGCTTCTTTCGCGTTCCGGGAATGTTCCACTGTAATTCTGGACCCGGGGCATGGGTCATTGGTCAGGGAGGCGGGCCGTCAGCTGCGGTAATACCATTTACTAAAGAGCGGAATGTGCTTGCGGCTTTGGTGGCGTGGGTGGAAGATGATGAGGCTCCTGAGACTATTGGAGGGACGAGATTTGTGGAGGATAATCCTGAGTTGGGCGAGGAGAGGCGACGCGAGCACTGTCGGTACGTACTATTCGGAATGTGAGGTGATGTGTGCTTTGCTGACGGGTTTAGTTACCCACTGCGAAGTATATATGTGGGGGGAGATGCTTCGTTAGCGGAGAGTTGGAGATGTCGACCGTGAGGACGGATACGACAAAGGTGATCAACGTGGTCGTATAGAAGCATGCACGCTGTCGACCTCGACATCACATTATCCTCGTGGCGCGAATCCCGCGATGCTGGAAACCTTTTCCCTAAACTGTCGATCACGAAAAGCATTGTGATGCCAAGTCAGTGAGCCGTCTTCTACCCGAACTCGGTGATATTGTGGACGTCTTTCACTGCCTATCAGAGACAGGTGCATGTCGCTCGGCTGCCAAAAAACTAGAGAGCGACAGTGGGTATAGCGGAGTTCACCGGTGATACTTTTTAGATCATCGACTGAAAGGCGCTTTGGTCACTCTAACAAGAGATATACTATTCCTCCAGCGAAACCTAATGCCTTCGTCACTCCCGTTCCGACGCTAGATCACAGCATTGCGTTCGTGTCGATTGACTTCCCTCGGTGTCAGATTAACTGCTCGTGAACAGCCGCGGTTGAACAAAATACCACGATGCTGCACAACTCGTCACCGCATGATCCATGTCGTGGTGGGAGATTGCGGGGAGCAACGCCGGTCAACTGAAGATCCACACCGGACGATGGCGAAACGACAGGCTGGAGGGCCCGCTTCCTGGCCCAAAGAAGCAGGCCAGCCGAATCAGGGTCCACTGGTCGTGGCGCCAGGAAGAACGCCGCCGGCCAGGAATCTTCCAAATAAGGTACGGAGTTATCGAAATTCGAATGGGAACATTCGAATGGGCGTTTTTTTAAGTCAGTTTAACATCATGTAGCATACCGCCGCTGATGTCAGGGCGGACTTGCTGATGTTCTGTTTGGTCAGATTTCTCCACGCCAGCGCAAGCCAATAATGTCTTGGCTCAACGCGAAAACAAATAGGATCAATTGCGCCAGCCAGGCCAATGGAACCAAAATGCTTCTCAGAGCATACCTGGATTAAACAAACGGAGTATTCAATGTATTTTCCTCACGCTTCGCCTTCCTAAGCTCGATGAAAAACAAAGTTTGCTGTTAACCGCAAATCTTCCGAGGCTGCCGCGGCTATTGAAGAAGCTCGCCTCCATCTCGCCTCCATCGCTCGATGTTCGGAACAATCAATCGGGTGGCCCTCAACGTGGGACCCGGTGGAGAGCAAGAGGGGCAGTCGGCCGATGGATGGAGACTTACACCCAATGGTTCCAGAACAACCACAATCTGCCCAATTGAAGATGGCACTCTGCCTATCACTGCCTCTAGCATTGTCACAGCATTGTCACTCTGGCATCGTGATGGGCTCGGGTAAATTGGCGGAATTGTTATGTTTCGACCATTGACGCCGATGATCCCCTTTTTGGTCACTACTGCAAGTATGTCTTGCAAAAGAATGGTCATGGATGCGGCCCGGCACTCCTTCTGCAGAAATGTACTATTCAATCCGTGGGTTTGGGGTCGTCAGTGAAGGAAAGTCAGAGGATTCTCCTCTCGCGTGCAATTGAGCACGGAGACAGAGAAATCAACATGGATGAGATTGAAGATACATGGGGATTTTGGCATGGACCAAAGTGCACCGATCCAACCACTGACTGGAGCAGGTCAAGCGATCTCCAATGAAAATGCTAAAAGGTCGTTGCTATTTTCCGCCTACATGGTAGAGTTCAATTGGCCCGCTTTTTTTTCTGGTTGATCTGCTACTCAACTAAGGTTGCGCCGGGCTGCCGATTGCGAGAAAAGGCCTTAAAAATCCTGAAGGCAAATAAAATTAAGTTACTATGACCGATGAAGGTGGATTCGCAGCTGGGTGCGCTGGTATTAAAATCCCCCGGAAGGCACGGAAATCCGGTGGATTCGATTCTCATTTTACTTCGATTCAATCAGCTTCTTTCTAGCATCCACTCGCATTGCGGAGTATATTGTTGCATTGCATTTGCATTTTGCTTTATTTCAACGGATCCCATGCCTGAACATTAGACGCCCCGCGTTACATCCACAATGCCGTTGTCTCTCCCCGATGACGTCTTCCTTCTCGTGGGAGACTATCTCGAAAACCACCAGGATAGATACAACCTTGTCTTTGTCTGCCATCGTTTTCAAGAGTTGTTCTTGCGTCTTGTTTACCGGTCGGCGGTACTGAAGAGTCGTTCGCAAACGCAATCATTCCTCACTGCCATTCTCCGCCGTCCTGAGCTGGCTCGGGCGGTTCGCGAACTGGAGTTTCGCGATTGGCGGTGCCAGTCTCCCTCTTCTCCCAATGACGACCTCTCATTGTTCAATGATTGGGCTCGGACGCTTAGTCCATGGGAGAGAGAATACCAGCAATGGGTGCAAGATCTCCAGAGCGGTCTAGAGGAAGCTTGGATTGCACTGTCATTACCGTTCGTACCTAATCTGCGGAAACTTCAGCTGGTTTATCCCAGGGACAACAAATACTTGGACCGTTCGCTGGAGCGGGCGACGAAGGGAGAGATGCCTTTCCACACCCAGCCGGCATTCCGGAAGCTGCGGGAAGTTGCGTTGAGCCACCAGGAGGGCGATGCGGACCAGAAGGGTACCTTCTTGCCGGCGCAGATCCTCCCCTTCTTCCAGTTGCCCTCTATGCGGGTGTTTTCAGCGGATGCTGTGTTAGAAACGAGCTCCGCGGAGGAGCCTCAGCAGGACCAGGCCCCCAAGGCGCTGTTGCCAGGAACCTCGTCCATCTCGGAGATCACGCTCAACACGAGCAACGGGCACCAGGGCATGCATCAATTGGTGGAGTCATGCAGGGAATTGAAGGTGTTCAAGTATCAGCACTCGGACTCGCGGTTCCTCGCAGAGGGATACCAGCCTAGCGCATTCTATCAGTCGCTGGCAGGCAGCAAAAAGAGCCTGGAAACCCTCTGGCTAGACAACTGCGGCGAGCACCTCCCTTTTACGGTGTCAGGTGCGAACGAGTCACACGACGAGTGGTTCGGATCGCTAGCGGACTTCACAGCATTGAAAGACATCCGCATTCGCCTGCCAAACCTGCTCGACATCCGCTACCAGCCGGAGCCGACGATCGCGTTGACGGGCTGTCTCCCGGCGTCGGTGGAATCGCTTTACGTGGAAGGCTGCAAGGAGAGCTCGCTGGCGATGCTGGTGGCGCAGCTGACGAAGGTTCTTAACAAGCGAATGACGCAGTTCCGGGCGCTGCAGCGGCTCGACATCGAGGGCTGCTTCCATGATGAGGAAGAGGAAGATGAGGCGTCGTCCGGTTATCAGGGGGGTACGGCCGGTGGCGAGAAGGTGATCAAGCCTCGTGTTTACGAGACTGCTGATCCGTTGCGCGTTGCTTGTGCTGAAGCGGGTGTTGAGTTGCATTTGCGTGATCGTGGGTGTGTTGATACGATGCGATAGTTTTTCTTCTCCTTCTCTTCTTCTTGTCCCTCTTCTCTTTTTCTTCTCCTTTTTCTTCATTTTTGTTTTGGCTTCTGGCATTGTCATTTGCATTTGATTGGACTCCCCTTTCCTTCTGTCGACGGACATACGTTCTAACGTATCTCGCCCAGCCCCCACTTGAACATGTGCATAATACCCATCTAGATTTGATAGATTCAGACCCCGCGAAAACCGAGGTTCTCAATTGAGAGAAATATACTAGACGATTTATTCTCCGACCTTTAATGTCGTTTTCTAGCTCTATAATTATCTCCAGCTCACACTTCTCCTTCTCCAGAGAACTCGTCCAAACAGACCCAAGCTCAATCAATGGATAATCCTCCCGACGACGCCACCAAACTAAGGTTGCATTGGCCATGTAAGCGGGAAGCGGAGACAGATGCGCGTCGATGGCTTCATTGGCGGGATGGGCCGCAGGGAACCGGATGATGATGAGCTCTCCCCGCATCGACATCTCCCCATGTTTCCTGTATCTTACGCCCTTGGCATTGATGTCTCACTAACTTCATAGTAGACTTCATCGTGATGACAGTAAATTACCGTGTTGATACTACTCAGGGAAGTACATAGTTCAACGCCGAGAGATTTAGGCCCTGTTGGGGGCCTCGTCTTATATCAGGCTTGGATCTCACTTTCTTCCTCTCACTTTCTCTTTCTTTTCTCTTTTAACTGTCGATCGCTTCTCTTTCTGTCTTGCCTTTACTATTGTCAGATCAATCAATTTGGATCTTTGACCCAAAATCCATCAACTGACAGTCAATTTGATCCACCATGTACACCACCCCCATCGATCCAATCGAGGATCCTCCCATCGGTCGCGACGAGAAGTATGACTATGCGGATACAGCTCCCGAATACGAAGACCCCTTTGGCAACGAGGAGTTTGCAGAGGTCAAATACCGCACAATGGCATGGTGGTAGGTTGGAAGAAACCCACGGACCGTAAGAACGAACTAAGGAACTCGACCCCTAGGCAATGCGGAATGAGTTCGTCTTACTAGTCCATATATAATCGCAACATCCAAACAGTCATTAATCCAAACAGTCATGATCGCCGAGACAATTTCGCTAGGGATCCTGTCCCTCCCGTCGGCTGTGGCGGCGCTTGGGATGGCACCGTGAGTCTCGATTGGCGTACTACCCCTCTCAAGCCTTGGTGGCTGACCTTGGCGATCGCCCTCATCTCTAGTGCCGTCGTCCTCATCGTGGGCCTTGGCATCCTGGCGACCTATACAGGCTATGTCATCGGGCAGTTCAAGCTACGGTATCCACACGTGCACAGCATGGCGGACGCTGGGGAGGTCATGATAGGGGCTTTTGGTCGCGAGTTGCTGGGCACGGCCCAGGTGGTCTTTCTGGTGTTTATCATGGGGAGTCACATCTTGACTTTTATGGTCATGATGAATACTGTGACGGAGCATGGGACTTGTTCGATCGTGTTTGGGATTGTAGGGCTGGTGCTGTCTTTTGTGCTGACGCTACCACGGACGCTGAAGAAGGTGTCGTGGATGTCTATTTCGTGTAAGTTATGTAGTCCGGGGAGGGACCCCATGCTCGGGCGTTCATACTGATCGGTTCATGCAGCATTCATTAGCATCGTGGCGGCCGTCCTAATCACCATGATCGCGATCGCCATCCAACGACCGGGGAATGGGAAGGTGGACGCGACCGTGGACACCAGCCTGTACAAGGGTTTTCTAGCGGTGACCAACATCGTCTTTGCCTACGGTATGCTTCCTGTATACTCGATCTCCTGCTGTAGCTGACCCTACTATAGCCGGACACGTCGCCTTCTTCGGCTTCATCTCCGAGATGAAAACCCCCACCGACTACCCCAAGACCCTATATCTGCTGCAATTCACCGACACGAGCATGTACGTGGTGGCAGCGGTAGTCATATACTACTACGGCGGACGAGACGTCAAGTCGCCGGCCCTAGGATCCACCAGTCCCTTGATCTCGAAGATCGCGTACGGGATCGCCATCCCAACCGTGTGTCTCCCTCCTCAAGCCCCATTCGACACGATATTGAACTGACAATGTAGATCATTATCGCTGGCGTGATAAATGGCCACGTAGCGAGCAAGTACATCTACGTGCGAATCTTCCGAGGCACCGACCACATGCACAAGCGCAACTGGCGATCGATCGGGTCGTGGGTGCTGATCGGGCTGGTCTTGTGGACGATTGCTTGGATAATCGCCGAAGCTATCCCTGTCTTCAACAATCTTTTGAGTTTGATTGTAGGATGCACTCTCCCTTGGTTGTATGGTTCGAACTAACTTGCTATAGACGGCGCTGTTTGCCAGCTGGTTTACCTGTACGTGCATCTTTACCATTGATTTACTTCAAGTAAGAAAGAAGGGAAACTAACCAACACAGACGGCATGAGCGGGATATTCTGGCTTTTCATGAACTGGGGCCGGTATTCCGCATCCCTTCGCAAGATCATGCTGACCGTACTTAATTTAATCATTGTCGGCATCGGTGGCTGTCTGGTACGTTTCTTTCTTTCCTCGCACGCTGTTGCGAGATAAGCGGCAATTCAACTAACTGAGACTGTATGATAGTGCGGACTGGGCCTCTACGTCTCCGGCAAGGCAATCCACGACAATCCTAGCAGCGCCAGCTTCACGTGCGCCAACGTGGCGTAATGACCTGGGAGTCGTTCGTATAATGGTTCTGAATAGGTCGATTGGGTATATATTGCCATACTACTGTATATACATCTGAGAAATTCTCGAATTGAGTACATTGGTAGGGTCGCAAAACAAAGTCATGGATGGCATTAATTTGCTGTTGAAATCAAATATAATTTTCGATGTATAAAGTCCGAGGGAAGCGAGAAACAAAGCGGAACGGAATCAAGGGTATATTAAGACTGTCAACAGCCCAACAGCGTAGTTAAAGAAAGAAAGACAAGTATATCATGGAAATGACTTCCATGGCCCAAATACCACCCAGCTCCCATATATCACAACAGCCCGACGGCAGAAAGCATGCGAGCGTAGTGGTAGTTTGAGCGGTCAAATACAGGGCAGAAAGCATGCAGATGACTGAACTTCGTTATTGGAGACGCATTGTCCATACGGGTTTGTCTTTCGTGCGGGTTTTGAATAGGTTGGTTCTTCGTACTATCTATAGTACCGGATGAGGCGTATGGTAAGGCGCAATGGTGTGTCCTTTGACCCGGCGGGGTAATTGGTCGCTTGTATAAAGTGACAATTTGACCGATCTAGAGCTTCGCAGCCGCTTCCTCGATGTCAAACTCGGTCGTACACAAGAGAAAAGTATCCTTCAAAGCCTAAAGCACGAATTAGCACCGCGTTACTCGCCCCAAAACGAGAAAAAAGAGCCAAGAAAAAGAAGAAATACCTGTAATCGATGGCGGGCATTAACAGCCTGATAATCCTCCCCAGCAAGCATATCACAAAAATGGCGAATAGACGGATAATGCACGATAGAGATCTCATTCCACCACTCCTCACTCGGTCTATCCAGTCGGCCACGCGAATCCACGGACGATTGATCTCGCGGGGGAACGACATTCCCCACCAGCTTTGCAGCGCCGCCTCTCTTGCGCGCGACGGGCACGAACGCCTTCCCATACTCCGCGTAGCTCTTTTTGCCGTCGGGGTGGTTGAAATGGAGGAGGTTGAGCATTGTGACTGGGCCCGGGTGGGTCTTAGGTAAGGTCTCCATGAAACGGAGGAGGTCCGGGGAGAGTTCCAGGTTCTGGGAGGAAGATGGCTGTGCGTCTTTGCTGGAGAGGAGAGCGTCGAGGGCGCCGGTGAGGGGCGGGGGAGCGGTGCGCTTTAGGGCTGCGTCGTTGGCGTCGTAGGTGGAGAGCAGACGCGATGGGATGCCGACATTGACGCGGTATTCGGCTTGGATGGCTGATTTGAGGGCGTTCGGGATGGGGGGCTCGCTTGAGTTTGGGGGAGACTGGATGAGGAGGAGGAGGTCCCAGTTGGAGGTGAGAGTGTTATTGTCGAGGATAGTTGGGGGGACAATGGTTTGGCGCGGGCGTGAAGCGACGATGATTTGGCGGTCGTGGTCGTTGCGGAGGGAGGAGATTAGTGAGGAGGGGGTCCAGGAGGGAGAGAGGGTGAGGAGGTGGAGGGTGCAGGGTGGCATGTTGATTGATTATTTGCAGATTATCTAGAAGTTATGCGAGGGGGGAAGAAGGAAGAAGAGGAAGTATAGAAAAGTAATATAGAAGAAGTAGAAGTAGGATATACTGAGGTGTGAATAGTTGTGCGGGGAAGCCGAATGGGGAAATACCGAGGTCCAGCACGGCTTCGGCTGATCTGGATCTTCAAGATCAAAACCATTACTGACACCAGCGCTGAATATTCTTCACAAACTCATCTACAATGTTACCAAAGCACTCTCCCAGCTGTTTTCGCATTGTCAGCGCCAGGTACAATTCTATAGCTGGGTAGACGCTTATAGATGAAGTCCCCAAGGTGAGACCCCGCATCATTATATTCATCAACAAACCAGGCCACTAATTCAAGGACAGCAATAGGGAATTATCTTCTGCAGGAGAATTAATAGCTTCGGAAAGAACATGTTTCCATCCGATACTAGTATCAACTATACATCTATTCAGACTCAGACCCATGTCGATGATCCTGGGTATATTACGGCACTCGGCCCGATATATGGATAAATGTGAAACAGCAGGAATTCTTCCGATCCAATTCAACATGAAACCATTTCCGTGACGATTTCGGTATAGGATACTGAACTTGAAACGTTGTATATTTATCCGGATTTACTTTGATATTTTGTCCACGGCATACATAACTATGGCATATAAAACCATGTCGCCAATCCACTCCGCCCAAGGCAGCGATAGCCAAGAAAACATACAAAAGCCGAGCAAGAAAGACAAGTCTAATAACGGATAGTTACGGAAGAAACAACAAAATGAAACCCATCTTCTTCCTCATCCCCGCCGTCCAAGCAGGCACCGTCATCTGGAACGGCATCTTCAACGAATCGTCCACCGTGGACCAACTCGACGAATGTACCAACTACCCCCTCCCTCTCTGTTAAGATAACCCTAGTCAAAATTGAACTAAAGAAAAAAGGGTCCTGGTCCAACCAAGTCGGCGCCTACCAATGGTACATCCACGGCAGCGAGAAAACAAACCACTACCTTGAGGTATCCCCGGATCTCAAGAACCCGGCGTCCAAGGATGGGAAGGGTATTCGCATGACAATTGTACTTCCATTCTCCTCCTCATGTCTCTTCTCCATGGGACGCAAACAGTACTAACATATCAATCCAGGATGAGACGGCCTCCTGGAATGGCCAAACAATGATGCGAACCGAGCTCATCCCCCAGACCACATCCGACCTGGGCTCCGGCACGCTCTTCTACCACTTCTCGCTGCAGACGCGCGAGAAGAACCCCCCGAACGCGAAGATCGAGCACCAGATTGCTTTCTTCGAGGTACCCTCCCCTCTCTTCTCTCATAGCCACCTACCAGTATCAAGAATATAGCACCTCTATACCATAGACACAGAGGACTCACAACTAACAAAATAAAAGAGCCACTTCACCGAACTCCAATTCGGCGGCAGCGAGCCCACCCTCCGCTGGATGGCCGGCGGCAAGTCCCACTGGGACACCGAGCTCAAGGCCGGGGTGTGGTACAACTTCGCGTACGAGATCGACTTCTCCGGGCAGACGGTCGCGCTGTGGGCGTCAGAGGGAGCGAAGCCGTTGGCGCGCGTGGGCGACGACGCGGTGGCCGCGTCGACAGAGACGAATTCGCAAGATTGGCACGTTGGGGAACTGAGGTTGGATAATGGGGCTGCTGGGGGTGGGGTGGAGGATTGGTTCTGGTCGGGGGTTTATGTTGAGAGTGGGGAGATTACCAAGGAGGTGTAGTCTTCCTTCTACTTCTTCTACGATTACTACTGGACTACTGTGTAGTTCCAATGGATTCCTTGAACCGTTGTATTTGTTTGTTCCGTCATAAGATAAATTATAGTCGTGATACATTATAAACATTTACCGCACGCAGTACCCGCCGTCAATGCAGATATCGGCGCCCGTCGTGTAGGTGCTAGCATCGCTAACCAGATACACATACGCACCCTTCAGCTCCTTCGCATCACCACTGCGACCCATAGGGATCATACTGTTCCACAGATCCTGAGTCTTCTGATCCACAAAGTCACTCAGCCCCGTATCGATATAACCCGGCGAGATAGAGTTGACACGAGCAAAGTCACGCCACTCGTTCGCCAACGAGCGCGCCATGTGGATACACCCGGCCTTAGCAACATTATAGCTCGTCTGCTCCTGCGGGAAGTTCACAATGTGCCCGGACATCGAAGCCGTAATAACCAGCGACCCAGTCCCACGCTTCTTAAAGTGCGGGCCGACCGCCTTAGCGCAGTGGAAGGTACCCGTCAGATCGGTCTGGATGACCTCCATCCAGTCCTCGACGGAGCCGTCGAGGATGCCCGAGTTGGCGGTCTTGCCGGCGTTGGCGATGAAGGCGTCGATCTGGCCGAACTCCTTGATGACGTCATCGACGAGTTTCTGCACGCTGTCGAAGTCGCCCACGTCGCACTTGTAGGCCTTGGCCTTGACGCCGTAGTCTTTGCTGATGTCTGCTGCGTTCTTCTCGCCGCCTTGCGGGCGCGAGGCGTAGGTGAGGGCGACGTTGGCGCCGACTTCGGCGCAGCCCCGGGCGGCTTCGATGCCCATGCCGCGGGGCCCGGAGGCGCCTGTGATGACGACTGTCTTGCCTTTTAGGCTGAAGAGGTCGAGGAGGTTGTTCTGGGGGGGATTCCTTGAGGCATGTTGGTGGATTGGTTGATTGGTGATTTGAGGAGAGGTAGATTCAGGAGAGGGTGGTGCTTCGGAGAATTGTAATTGAGGAAGTTGGTAAAGGAGGACTTCGATGAGAGTAGAAGTTTATGAGATTATTGAGTTACTGAGTGCAAAAAGACCGGACGAGTCGTGCATTCATATAGGACAGCTTCCGGTGACACCGGTCGTGATGATCTCATGGTGAGTCAGCCTATGATATCATCTACGGACGATTCTTGTTGGTGGTGATGAATTCCTCCCTGTTTGGCGGGGTTCCTTGTCAGGTCCCGCATCATGTCTTGTTGGCCGCGACCCATAGGGAATTCTGGGCACGGTCGATATCGATGACGACATGACCTACCTCCCATGGGTGCGGACCCAGGCACCATACTGTGGTTTCCTGAGATGTAGAGTAGATAGAATCCAGCCGGTGCAGCTGTCGCATCACCCGGCATACCCCTATACTTCGAATCGAAATTCAATTGAAATGGCCACGAGGGTAGTGAGCAGCGAGCTTCAGCCTAGCGGCTCCCGTGGCTTGACCAGAGTGCACACCAACGAATTCAATGATTCATTCCTAGGACGGTATGTTGTAGCGCCGATCACCTTGCCGATCACTACCCCGCCGATCAGGGAACTAACGCCGTAAAGTGTCAAAGCCTTCTTCCACCGCGATACCCACGTCGGCCAAGTCAGCTACAATGAGCTGCGCGATCGTCAGGATCTAGAAGTACACACCTGGCGCGGACCAGACGACCCCGATAATCCGTTCAACTGGGGCAACGGGTACAAGTGGACGTTGACGATCACGATATGTATAATGTATGTGCGATGGGTGGGCTCATTCATGACGAAATGCTAAATCTCATGCCACTTGCAGCTCCATTCTCACCGGTATCCCCGCCGGTTCGTACGGCGCGGGAAATGAATACATGGCGCAGCGCTTCCACGTCCAGAATGTGCCATTTCCCAATCTGGCGTGGGCCACGGCGTCATGGAACATGGGCGCCGCATTCTGGCCGCTAATCTTCGTGCCGTTGACCGAGTCGTCGGGTCGCATGCCGGGATACTTTGTGGCGTACTTTATCCTCGTGGTGTCCCTTTTCCCGTCCGCCTTTGCGCAGAACTTCGCCACGCTGGTGGTAACACGATTCTTCGGTGGTGGTGCGTCGTCCGTGGCGATCAACATTGTCGGAGGTAGTATCAGCGATGTCTGGCGCGGGGAGAAGGCACGTAGTATTCCCATGTCGCTGTTCGGACTGACCAGTGTCATCGGCATCGCGCTGGGTCCGTTCGTCGGGTCCGCCATCCAGGCAATCCACAAGAAAAGCCCCTGGCGCTGGATCTTCTACATCCAGATCATCTACAACGCAGCGCTAATCCCGGTGTTCTGGCTTCTGCTAAAGGAGACGCGAGAGGACGTCATCCTGTCGAAACGGGCCAAGAAGATCCGTAAGGAAACAGGACAGCCGGTATACGCGCGAGCTGAAATCAACCACCAGAGCGTATTGAAGCTCCTCCAAGTATCATTTGAGCGGCCCACCCGCATGCTCCTAACAGAGCCCGTGGTCGCCTTCTTCACGCTGTGGATCAGCTTCGCCTGGGGTATTCTCTTCCTGTTCTTTTCGAGCGTGGTGCAGACCTTCAGCCACAATTACGGGATGAACACTCTGCAAACTGGGATGATCCAGCTAGCGATCTCGGTAGGTGCTCTGATCGGCACGTTGATCAACCCACTGCAAGACTGGATCTACCTCCGAACAGCGCGTCACAATCCCGAAAAGCCCGGTCGGCCGATTCCCGAAGCCCGATTGTACACCTCTATCCCAGGGAGTTTGCTGTTCACGGGAGGACTGTTCTGGTATGGCTGGGCGAGTTTCCCGCATGTTCCCTGGATTGTGCCGACGATTGGGATCGCCGCCACGGGTCTGGGAATCTATTCCATCTACATGGCAGTCGTCAACTACTTGACGGATTCGTATGAGAAGTACGCCGCGTCGGCGTTGTCGGCCGCCTCGCTGGGCCGTAATACGTTCGGCGCCTTCCTGCCGCTGGCATCGTACCAGCTGTTCGATAATCTCGGGTATGGCTGGGCCGGGTCGCTGCTGGGATTCATCGGCGCGGCACTGTCGGTGGTGCCTATCGTGCTGGTGATCAAGGGGCCGGCCATCCGGGCACGAAGTCCGTTCATGCGTGAAGCTACCTTTGCAGACCCGGACAGCGATAAAGAGGATCTGCGGGAGAAGGAGGGCAACATTGACGGTGCGAATCGAATTTCGGGACCTGATGGGACGAACAGATTTAGCAATGCGTCTACTGCGAACGAGGGAGCCAACAGAGTGAGCAGTGAGGCTGCTAATGGTCCACATACCGCGCAAGAAGTTGTGTGAGAGAAGACAGAAGTATGGAGATTGACAGAAGAGACGACTAGAGGTTGGAATGAGCGATGAAGACAGAGAAAGAAGGTTAAATTGAAGATTAGTTGGAGGGGAAGCCTATACATGTGGATGATTACTCACTACCCCTGATGCTATGCTATTCTATGCCACGACAAGGGCCAGATGATACGATTTGATTGTCTTATGTACATACATGTTTCAAAGCCCTAAAGTGCTGTCAAATAAGGAAAGAACAACAAGAATTAAAGACAAGAATAGCAAGAATGAAAGCGAAGATCAACAAGCCCAAAGCAGAAGAGAAACAACCGGAATGAAAGAGAAGAAATGTATAACAAGGCAAGTAGTGCTTAAGATGCCTCTCAGAAAGTGAGGAAGATAGTTATCATCATCGAGGCGTGCACAAAGGAAGACACCCATACCAACACCCCACCTAGGGTACCTTCCCCCTCAGAGTCAGCTCAGTCTAACCGACCAGATATGCTGCTCATCATCAGGAAAAATGAGACCAAATATTGACCGTTAGCCAACTTCAGGGCCTGACAAGAAGTGGGCAGTAGCGCTCCTGCATCTTGTCGGACACTACACAACCCCACACCAACCATGGTCGCTCAGCGTACAAAAGAAGACTGGAGGCAATGCAGTATCCGGCCCTGCGGCCAGCCCTTCTCCTCTGAAAGTCTCTGGGGATTTGAATCACCATTGGGGAAGACACGGTCAATGAACTGAGAAAAGAACACAGAAAACAGCAATATAGTCACGGTACATGCGTTTATGTAAAGTGTCATGGGACGTACCTGGAGGGTCCAAACGAAAGTCGATATGGAGGCCAAGCCATCTCAGTCATCGTTGAATTGTCCCCCAGGATTTCGCAACCGCCTCAGAAATATCGAAGGTTTGACAGCGTAGCCCAGAACGGGCCGTGGATCGCTGTCGGTTATCGATGACTACCTCTCCATGTCCTGGAAGAGGAGGCTTCATCATGGGGAGTATTCAAGTGGAAGGAAAGGAGATTGTAAACAGGGGAATGTTTGCAAAGGGGTTTGAAATGGGATAACCAGTAGGCTTTGGAGAGAAAAGAAGAGAAGAAGAAGAGGAGGAGGGAGGGGGGAGGAGGGGATATTTATACCTGAGGAGGGGGGCGTGATCTGGAGGGTGAACGACCCAGATAGGAAGCCTATTGCAGTGAATTACAGAAGGGTGATCTAGTCGATTCTGCGATCTGATCCCAGTGATCTTGTTGATCCTGATCCAACATGGTAAAAGGTCTGTGATCTTGGGGATGACACGAGAGATCAGTGAATGACTCTGCAGTCCAGACTCTGTCATGTCCACCTAATTTGATGTCACTGCTAGTCCCAGTGACTACCACTATCCCGTCAGAAAGACATCAACATGCAGCCCACTATAATTGATACTGGAGACATGAAGTGGCGTATCAATCTGACAGTGATGGAGATGTTGCCAGCCCTAATCACGTGGTATCACATTGTACGCAGCGATGAGGCCTTTCCACACATTCAGACAGCCTAATAGAAGGTATATTTCTTATATCAATAGGAGATTACCTTGAAACTATTAGACTGGAAAGGCTATCATCACGCATTTTTCATTAGACGTCGTATATGGGGTTCTACAAGTCCTGATATTCGGTGCTCACCCTTCCATGGCCCACCTACAGGCAAGCTGGTTAAGAGAAGTTATCTCCATATTTGTTGACCAATATCCTTCAATTCTATGGGTATTTCTTTTCCAATATAGCAGCTCAAATAATCAGACAACGTCTATAATAATCATTCCACTTATTCCTATTCCTCCACTTCAGGCCCAGCAAGACAGGCCGCAAGTCCCCACCATCAAGTAACTTCCCGTTGCCAACTAACGGGATGTTTTATTTCCCTTTGAAGTACAGATAAACACACAAAGCGTATGTTGATCGCCGGTCGTTCGTTCGCCAGTAATCGAACAGAACAAGGGAGGTATGGATGCAGGAGTCGGAGAGAGACGTCACGTCGAAACCGGCGTATCCGACATCCATTTCCAAAGCGATGGGGGTCTGGTCGTCATGGAGAAGACTTGTAGTTGAAGGAGTAAAGAAGTATAGAGGACAATTTCAAGCCAGATGACTTCAACTATCGACGACACGCCCTTTTCCCCCTTCAATAAAACTCCTAACAGCCGAGGTATCGATTGATCAATTCCATCACCAATGCTCGGTGAATCGGCTACGTGTACATACCGCTGTAAGAACAGAATCGGGCATACGGCTGGACGGATGGTCTGCGAATGACGGGGCCAGGCTACTAGCAGTTTAGGGAGTAATGTTGTTGTGCAAGGAACAGCACAACAGGGCTTCTTTTCCCAGCGACCTCTCGATTAGTGGTGTGTATCCTATGCAGTCGAGTTCAGTCTGGCTTCGATGATGCAGTTGCGACCCCATGATCGGCGTGAGATGAGTTATTCCCTATGGACCACGTGAAGAATGTACTATACTAAGACGAATCATCCTAGAGTCGGCTGAGAACATGTCCCGTTAGGACGGCACCACTAGCGGCCATGATAAGGAGTCTAACTGGCAAGAGGGAATGCATTCTACTTATATTCCCCGGTGGAGGGTCTAGGGCAGAAAGTCCAGGAATTATGTGATCATGCTAAAAGTTTCTATCTCATGGGTCTCGTAGGTCGCGGTCAGACGTTCATTCCACCGACGACCAGTACACAAGGAAATATCGTTGATATATACATGTATATGAATCTATATGAAGGGCACTAAGAGCGCGCCAGCAAGCCCTCCGCTTCTTCGGTGGCGTCTCCATTTTCGGAGGCTTTCCCGGCCTGCGATCCTTTCAATCGCTCGGCCATCTCGAGAGCCTCCCGCCGTCCCTTGTCGGCGTTGCCCATCCAAATCAAAGGAATGGGCATGACGATCAGGATGGCGATGACGAAAAACCCCGATCGCACTTGACCCGTCGCATCGACGAGCATCCCGACGATCGCGGGGCCAAGGAAGGAACTCCCTTTGTCTGTGGCGGCGTACAGGGCATAAAACGCCGCCTCGCTGCCCGGTGGAATCAACAAGCCAAAGTACGACCGGCAGTACGACGACAGCCCGCCGCCTACGATCCCATGCACGATCGCGAGGGGATAAATTTCCCACGGCTGCTGCAGCCCGATCACGCCCCACCGCTTGAAAAGAGGAATATAAGCCAGCATTCCGTATAGCGGTATGACCTCGAACAACGCGATGCAGAGCATGATAGTCTGGTTGGATTTGAGACCGAAGCGACGGGACACCACGGGCCACAAGAACGCCCCCGCCATGCCGGATAGCGTGGCGGTAATGGATAAAAGCCCCACCAGGGTCGTGCTCAATTTTAGCTCCGTCCGCGCGAACAGGATCGCCGTGCCGGAAACGGTTGCTAAGGCGTCCGAGAGCATGAACCACGCCACCAGAAACATTAGCACCTCGCGCAGCTGCACGGCTACCTTGACGGTTTTCCACAGCGACCGCCAGGCAAATCCCATCAGTCGCAACCAGACGCGCCACCGGCTTCCTCCACGCGACGTGTCCAGGGGCGGGCCCGGTCGCGTGCGCAGCCAGCGACGGCTCACCATCGTGAACGAGAACCACCAAATTCCCACCAAGAGCAAAACGAGTCGCATCGGAAGGGTGCCCGAATATTTCGAGACGGACGTCTTTGACAGTGTCACAAGCAATGCGATGCCTAGGATTTGAACCAACACGGCGGCGCAATAGCCTAGTCCCACTCCTTTGGACGAGATCTTGGTCGATAGCTGCATCTCCGGCGTCATTCGCCCAGGGGGTGGGGAGCCCAGCCCTAATCCGGCTGCTGGAAGTGGGGCGGACTCGGCAGCGCCATCATCGAAGGAAGTCCGATCGCCCCCATCGGGGTCGAGGTCGTGTAGTTCCTCCGAGTCCTGCTCCTTCGACACGCTCTGAACGGACGAATCATGCGCGACTAGTACAGGAAGGTACGAGTTGAGCACCACGAAAGATGACCCCAAGCAAGTCACACCCACAACAACTAGAATCGCGGCGAGCGCAAACACCGGGGGTGCCATGAAGACGAACAGCATACTCGAGATGGACCCGACCACCCCGAAGGTGACCAGGAGCATTTTCCGGTTACTTTCTGTGGAGGAAAATTCCGTCAATGTCGACGGCCAACCAGCATTCCAGGCGGTGATATAGCATACCGTAGTCCGCTAGTGCGCTGAACGAGATCAAGGTCAGGGCCTGGACCAGGACCGCGAGGGAGAACGTGTACATGGCGAAGCTGGCCGTATTGATCCGCAGGCCCAGAAACCCTACCACACACTGCTCATCGCTCGTGCCATCCCGTCGCAGCATGGCCGGGGCGCTTCCCTTTCCGTCCGAGGGCGAGCCCGGGCCGACACAGGGCAGAAGGCTCGACTGCAAAGTGCCGCTCTCCCGGGCCAATTGCTCCAAGGTGATGGGGAGGAACGATCCTAGTGGACCACGAATGTCAAAACCAAATCCCAATCTAGTATAGCACGTCGCGTGGACTTACCAACGCCACAGACCGCAAATACTTCGGCCGCAATCCCATAAGCGTACCATCCGAGAATCTCGCGCCGGCTGGTCGGCGCGGTATCTTCGCCGGGATAGCGAGGAGGCCGCTGACGGTCGTCCTCGGGTTGCGAGGACGGCGAAGGGGGTGTATAAGCCATTGGGGGGGTAGAGAGAGTAAAGGAGAAAGGAGGGAAAGGAAGAGAAGAAGAAGAGAGTGGAGAGGAGGAAGATCGAAAAACCAACAGCGTACCGCTCACTATGGGATTGGGGGAACCAAGGCAGGAAGGCACAATCGGCATCGCACGGATGTACCTTGAGTGGGGCAAGAGATGTGGAGGCCTCAGGCTGTCCAATCATCTTTGGTGTTCGTTGGAGAAATTATGCAGGGACCGACGTCATTGGCTAACAGTTCTATGCTGCTTACGTGAGCTGTGCTGTTCATTAATGGGGATTCGTCAGCTGTTCTACATCACCTGACCGGCTGACGCGGGCAGTGGGATGCTTGGCGTTATTGACACCTGAGGAAGCAGCGGTCATCTACAGCATACTACAAAATCAAGAATATCTTCGACTTCTGGTTGATCAGGCATGCTTTCGCTGGGTGTTCTCAGGATGTAACGGATATTACAGATGTAGCTGCTTTTTTATTACTTATTATCTTTTTACTGTTACTTATTCTTTTTCTTCACAGGATGGGTCTCTAATAATCTAGACAAACGACCAAACTCTACTATATATAGCAATGATTGTATGTATAGACCATTGTACTGTGCAGCGCACACTGCAATATAGTAGAAGATTCTTTATTAACATCTTAGATTCATTGTATATGATAGTCAGAAGTCTATGTTATCTTATAATTATTCATAGATAGAGAGATAATATTCTTATTCTATATCAAAAAGAACGGTTTTGTAGTAGCATCAATTGCTACATTTGATGCCCGTATCTATAGAGTAACCCTGCGCCATACTACTACACAAATTTGCTCTACCACACAGCAATAGTCTTAGACCGTAATTCAATGACTCTGAGACAGAACAGTTTTTTTCTGATAGAAGGGAAGTACAAAAGGAAGGGAAATCAATCAAAGCAATTGGTTTGCTGTGCAACTGAGGTGTGTGAGGACAAAGTCTTGGTATACAACTACAAGATGCCCGGTTTCGGGCCGGTTCAGGCCTCGCTTGTCCATTGATTGTTGTTCTGATTTCCCCCACTCTCTCTTTCACTTCTCCTCTCTTTTTCTTCTCCCTGGGTTCTATCTCTTCACATACGCGTCTTTCTAGACCAAATACACATCGGGACACACACTGTGACAATTGTGCTTTGGTGAATTGTCTCCCCGCTCATCATCCTCATCACCCTGCCCCGGTTGGGGTTGACCATCATGTTCATCGTTCTTGTCTATCTGCAGTACTTCCTCGGAAGACTGCTGTACCGCATTCGTGGCCATGACAACAGACTGATCGACAAAAGCCTGGCGTTCCTTTATCTCCCGCAGCCAAACATGATACTGGAGGCGCCCGAGTGCGGCATAACCGGGTCTGCCATGTTGGCCCTGCATACATGCCTCGCGGAAGATGGAATAGGCAGATTCCCAAAACTATGCTGGTCTTCTCCCCTGGTCGATATTCCCGTCAAGGAGTACATCCTCCTCTGCGAAGATCCCGACCCTCCAATCCCCTCCATGGTCATCAACCATGGTCTCTTCTACGGCATTCCGCCTTCCACCAATATGGCTCTCCACAGTGATGTTCAACCGGACGGAGACACCAAGAACAGAATGACCATGTCGGGATGGAGATACGTTCCAAACATCATGAAAAAACCATACCTTGGCCCGGCACCTCCTCTCGGCCATGGCACCCATCGATACGTCTTCACCATTATCGCCCTGAACGAGCCACTCGAGTTCGACCACCCCGACCAAGTCAAACAGAAGCAGATCCGGGATGGTATCATGGGAAGGGTAATTGGATGGGGTCAGTGGACCGGTACCTTCGCCCGTCCGTGGCCATAGGATCCGCGACGATCGAACAGGTAATCTCACACTCCGGCTACTGCGATTACAGCGCGGGATACCGGCCTCGGACCAAGGCAACAAACATTTGCGTGGAGGTATCCTCCCAATCATGTAACACTAGAGACTTCACTTCCTTCTATTGTATTCTTTACACCCTTGCGTGATGACAACGGATCTCTATTCAATTTGAAACCACCGTCCTTCTTATAACCCCTATCTAGACCAGAGTATACTAGGCGATCGAAATCTCGGTACGTGCTCAAGTTACTTGCTTCGTTAGCCTCTCTCAACGCCTGGATGGCTAATGGACTTACTCGTCTCAACGTCAATCTGCTCCATAAAGATGGCGAACCGGTGGATGGTAGACTCGACGGAAGCCTCGCACGCACGAAGACCCGCCGCTCCCGCCCGTTGAGGCTGCCCGGAATCTTTCGAGAGTGATCGGAGAATATCTTGCAGTGCTTGCAGGATTTCCAGAAGCTTCACCGAATTGCGGCCCAGTAACGTGCGGATCAACATTCCGGCCTCGCCTTCGTCTAGCTCCATCTGACCCAGCTGCACCTTGCTCCGCAGGCAGATAAATTGCGGCAATGGCTGGTCAAAGGTCAGAACGTTCGGGTCGAATAGCGCGTTTTTGCGAGTGATACCGTACGCGAGACAGACCGCTTCAAAAAGGGAGAGACACTGTTCGGCCAGTGCTGGAAGAGTGGGGAATGCGGTTTGGGGGCTTTGTCGACAATTCTTGCACTTGAGCATCACATCACCCTGGTTATAGACCCTTTGAACCAGATCGAGGATCGTCCCCATCTCCACGACCCTGTGAACGCTGCGAATCTCCGTCATAGTCTGCAATGTGTCCATGGAGCAACGACAACCGCCCTCTCCCTCCATCGCGGCCGGAAGAAAATTCAGCAAGATATGATCGAGTAGTCTATTTGGCAAGGGAGTGTTTGCCTCTCGTTGAAAAAACTCCTGATACATGGTAGTCGCAGCCATCTCAAGACCAAACCACATCTCCAAGTGCACTCCTGACTGTAACTGCCCAACGACCACCACCACCATTTCGGGAAATGACCAAGTGCCTCTCCAACCAGGAAGTCCTCATCGCCAGCCCGAGTCACAGGGATGAAAGCCCACGGGTGTTGCGACAGTTCCCTCCAATCAGCGTACGATGACCTGTGATGCGACCGAAAGGGCAAACTTCAAAACAGCCTCACATTTTCTTATTTTCAGGGCATCCTTTTGTTCGCTGTTATCTCCCTATCAGGTCCTGCCATCGTGGAACACGTATGTCTGCAGACCCGCTCTAGGGTCGCACAGCCATCGACGCCGGGAACGTCAGTGCGTGGATGCGACCCCGCGATGGAATGGAATCCAATACCTATACGGATACATCAAGGGGAGCTGAGGTCTACAAAATTGCCTCTCTTTCCGAAGGGGTGCCAAAAACACGCAGCAAGAGGGAAAAGAGGGAAACGAAGTGACATTGAAAAGAGAGACGAAAAGAACAAGGAATAAAAAGGAAAAATAAACGATTTTTGAACAGAAGCGACGAGGTGCGACATTCCAGAGTAGCGAAGAGCTGTTCTAAATATACTTTGCTTTTGTTTTTCTTTTTTCGTTGTTTTACTTCATCGGCTGGTTATACAGATACAAAATCAGCAGTCAACGCTCTTTCATGAACTGAAAATATCATCACATGAACTCATTCAGACAAAAAAATGTGGCAAACCCCAACCAAAATTTGACAAAGTCTCTACGCATGGACCCACTACCGCCTGGTCAGCATTTTCATCTTCATCATAATAAGCTGCAGCCGTCGGTCCGTCTCCATCATCATGATCAATCTCCCCCGTGACGCAGAAATAGCCAAAAGCTCCTGGGTACAGGAGCGGATTCTCCGGACGATAGCAAGAAGCCCAGACAGTCTGGTGTGCAAGACCTGTTTGACAAAGAAGAATTTCTCATCGGACGGCACGCAGAAGCCCCCAACTACCAGCGGACAGGAGTCAATGTGCGCTTTGAAGTGAAAGGCCCCGGCTTTGAACCGTCGGCTATCCGTACTGGTAGATATGTCTTGCCGGTAGCTGGTCAAGAGCTGCTCCGAATATTCCGGGAACAGCCCCTCCAGCCGACCGCTCTCGACTGAGATAATCGCCTCCAGGGTCGTTATGAGGCTGTCGATACTGACAACCACCACCATAAGAAGGTTGACCCTCGTCTTGGAGCAAACGGCGCATTGGAGAATTGTATCGGACAATTGTTGTAGGCGTCGCTGGCAGTTCAGGACCGAATCGATTGTTATAGATGGCCCGGTGCGCGAGGCACACATGTTGACGCGCATGAGTTCTCCAATGGTCTGTTCGTGACACTGACACTGATTCTGCCGTGGGATGGCGTCAAACGGCCCGGCACTATTCTTCATCTCCTCGGAAGTGAAACTAGTATACTCTCCCTGTCGCGCGGGGATCTTGCCGTGGCCCAGAACACCCGTGTAATCCGTCGCCATGGCGTGTCGCGATGAGAGGTTTTCCATGGAAGAAGACAGTGACTGCGACCACTCAAACAGATCCCTTTCCACGTTCTCAGGATATACGGATAGGGGGCCATTGGCGCCTTGCGATGGTCCTTCACTGGGACTCAAAAAGCCCGCCTGCGGTGCGTAATAGCCTACTGGCGGCTGGCCTTGGGCGTCGGAGGGAGTATCTTGGTAGTTGCGGACTGGAGTGGCTAGGTCTTTCAACCCGGCTGAAAATGTAGCAAACGTGATGTCTAGCTTTGGACTGCTGACGCCAAAGGTGTCAAGGAGGCTGGGTTCTTGGGTCGAGTCGGGTATCGGATGGGGAGCAAAGTCTTGCAGCCACGTATCGGAAGAGAAATCAATGGGCTCGGGAACTGGATGTTTGTCAACACGCCAACTTAACAGGGGTTCTGTAATATGCAATAGAGTTGAAGAAAAAAAAGATCAAAGAAAGGAAAAAGAAGGAAAAGACGAACCTACAAACGAGGGCTCTCTATCACCTTCCATCAAGGACCGTTGCAAGCCAGCATCATCCCCGGACAAGGTCCCAAAAGCCCCATCATCGAAGGGAATCTTATCAAAGGTGATGCTGGCACCATCGTCCAAGAAAGAATCTTCGCTCAGCTTCTCTTGAGACTGCTCCTCTTTGACCTTCTTTTTCTTGGGGTACCGGATTCTCTTGATGGGCTGATGTCTGCCACGTTCACCAGGTTGCTGATCCATAAGACTCTGTAGGCCGTCTCTTTTCTTCGCTGGTCTGCCTAGTCGACGAGACATGCTGTAAACACACTCGAAATTGTTCTTCTGGCACCTGCGGCACGAGGGCTTATCATGGCTACAACGGATCTTAGCCTGCTGGCAAGCATTACACGTCGAGCGCCTTTTAACACTTTTCGTCTGGGGGTCGGGGGACAACTTGGCGACTCTGTCTCGGTTCATTGTGGATTCAGTCACCAGATAACAGCAGTGAAGAGGGTCCTGTCGGAGGGGTGCATGCTGTCTCCCCAGCGGCGATAGATTTGTATTTGAGCATTCTACAAGGAACCCCCAATAGCCCATATACCACGGGAGAAAGTATCCCATGAGGGATTGTGACAAAAATTCTATTCCACTACGACCTTGATGCACCCTCAACCACAATCAACACGAACATGCTTTTTTGGGGGGGGGCGGCAGCCGAGGTTATACATGGTTGTCCGGTCGTCGGGTTACATGGGGTTTGTTTTTCGTTCCACAGGCAGTTGTTGGCCAGTTCGCTGCAAAAGGCGTTATGTCTAGATCTGGTCGTGATGAACCGGTAACTGTCACAGCCTGGATGCATCGAGCCCCCTCATACCGGCCATAGTTGGGAGCTGTACGACGCGCGCAAGGAGCGGGGAGCTAGGTACTAGCTGGTGGGATTTTCCCTCGCTGGATACGGATGGCGACAGCAGAGTTCACGGAGATGAACGGACGAAAATAGTAACAGAGATGATCCTGGTATGTTTTTACGTTAGCCGTTATATGATCTACATCTACGGCCATCCAATCCGAGGACAAAGACAGGGAACTAATAATTCACTATTACGTCTAAGTAAAAGAAAAGAACCGAGTCTCGACCAATGCAGCAGGCTGCCTCCCTACGGGGATGAGTTCCAGGTCCTAGTCCCTGCAGGGACCTAGAACCCCATCACATCGCCCGTGCAACATGACACCCAACCACGGGCCCCAACCGTTCCTCTGTCATCCTCTCCAATGAACGGGCGGAGGTAGCAGTCTCACATGGGGCGGGTCTCAGCCACGTTGTCGTTGGACTCGTCAGAGGAGGAGACCGGGTTCCCGTCGTCGTTGCCGTCACCGTCACCGTGGGCGTCCCGGACACGGGCTCGTCCCTCTCGACGAAGAAATAGCTCGCCGCCACGGGTGCGTCCAGGCCCGCCACGTCGACAAACTGGCGCACATCGAACCCCACCCTTGCCTCGAGGGTAGGCGGGAAGATATGCGCGAAACACCCAGGTAAAGTGTACGCCGTGGGCTGCCGGAAGAGCAGATACACGTATCGATGATGGTTCTGGCCCTGTGGCGGCTGGGGGGCAATATATTCAGCACCCGACGTCCTGTTCACGAGCACACCACGATGCGGTGGTGGTGGTTGGAGCACAGTTCCCGGAGCACGATATCGATCCGGGCCGGGCTCCGCGATCGGGGATGCTTCCATTCCGGGCTGGTACCAGTGCAGTACAACGGTGGAGAGCGAGCCATAGATGACGTCAAGGTCTACGAAGAGCAGCAGGTATTTGGACTCGGGGTCCAGGCCGTGCGTGCTAATTATAGGTAGGGGGTGGGTTTCTGGGCTGGGTCAGCGGTACGACCAGGAGAGCATGGATCATAGATTAGGGTGATTGATACATACTTGACATCAAGAGCGTATCGCCGGGGGTCACCCATTGCGTGGAGGGGTATCGAAGCTGGAGGGTGATAGCTTCTGAGGGGAGAGGCAGGAGGGCAGGGGTCTTGTTTGCTGCGACGAGGGTGAAAGACAGCAGGGTATACAGGAGATAGCTCATTATGTTTTTTGCCAGCATGGCGGAAAGTACTTTTCTAATTTTGTTTCCGTTTAGTGTTCTGATCTCTTTGTTGATATCCAAGTCAACGGGTGAACTTCGGCGAAGTCAAAGACAGACCACGGCCCAGTCTTTATAGCATATCTTTATAGTTTTTGTTCAGCCAGTCGGCAACCCCTGTAAAGGAGGAGACAGAAAGAAATACTACAGTTCTCCAGAGGAAGGCTGCTGATCTGTGTAACGATCGGTCAATCCGACTGTAACGAGATGGAATCGAATGATCCCATAGGGCGATTCTCACAGAAAAGAAAATATAAAAAATGCTTTTTGCGTATACTACCTCGGAATGTCGAAGAGAAGAATCTAAGCGCACAGGGAGACTCCGACACGTCTCATCAAGTAAATTACAGTAGTAATGTAGTAATAGTCTAACAAGAGTAGTCTACAACCCACCCCATCTCCTCCTCCACCTCAATCCCCATGTATAAACAGCCCCCAAAAGTGGAAGAACAACAGCAAAAATCAGACCCGCGACAGCAGCGTACGTGACGCGGTGCCCCCAGCGGACGACAAGCGGGTGCACGAGGGCCGTGGCGGCGGCGCCGAGGAAGCAGCGCACGAGATTGTTGGCTGCCATGGCGGTGGCTGGGGTGGAGTAGTAGAGGTCTACGAGGAGGATGTTCATGATGTTGTAGGCGGCTGTTATGAAGAAGGAGATGATAAAAAGAAGGAGGAGGATGATGGGAAGGGGAGGGTGGAGGGAGAGGAGGAATGCGTAGGTGAGGATTGCGGTTGCTGCCAGAACCTAGATTTCGCTATAGTTAACGATTCATGTACGAGTTGATGTCAGGATTGTATTCAGGATAGATATAAAAAGATGAGGAAGATACAGTCATAAGCGTGCCGATTGATAATCGGACTTTCTCGATGTCGAATTCTCCTTGGAGATTCGAGAAGCTCTTTGTCTTTGGGTTATTGCTGGTGCTGCTGCGGTGATGGTTCCTGCCAGTCTTTGGAGTGGTGCTAGAACGGGCCATATCAGCTCTCGCCTTCGCACGGCAATACTTCCAATCGACGATGAATCCGTTGAGCGTAGCGCTGGCGAGAGAGCCCACCCCAGCAGGAATGAAGCTAAGTCCGATAGCCATGTCATCAAGTCCGTAGAGGTCTTTCAGCTGGGCAGGCAGACCAGCTGTGACGGCGTAGTAGCTGGCGAATACGAGGCCGTTGGCGAGAAGCAAAGGGCTCGTCGGAAGATGAGTCAAGAGACGGAGACTCGCGAGTGGGTTGGGGAGGGAGAGTCGTCTTCTTGTCGTTGTAGGAGGAGAGACTCCATCCGTTGTCACCTCTTCTTCTCCCCCTTCTCCACCAGAAGAAGGACGCTGCCGAGAAGCACGCCACGCCACCAAAACAGACCTGTTCCACCATCTGTCAGGGATGATACTCCCGTCGCCAACAATCGCCCTGCACGTCTCAGGGAAGAACAATGTAAACGGGATGATGAACGCCGTGGCTGCGATGGCGAGAAACCAGAAGATCGACTGCCACCCTAGATACTGGCTGAGGAGGCCGCCGAGGATGGGACCGAGCGACGGCGCTAGGATGTTGCCCAGCGAGGCGATGCCCATGTATGTGCCGCGGTCGGCGGAGGTGATTACATCCGCGGCGACGGCGGATGCTAGGGCGACGGTTCCGCTGCTGCCGCAGCTTTGGACGGCACGCAGGATGAGTAGTGCGATATAGCTGTGCTGCAGGGCGAGGGCGATATTGCCGGCAATGTAGATGATAAAGCAGAGGAGGTATGCTGGGCGCCGGCCGGTTTGGTCGGCTAGGGAGCCGGTTAGCGTTGGAGCTAGGGCTTGACATATCTGTTGGTTTTCAAAAATCAGGGAATGTTTCCAAAAAGTATTCTTCTAGGTGGAAATTTTATAATCTGTGATTGGGCATGGGAAATGGGTCAAGATAATGATATACCATGTACGTCGTAATGGTCAGGTTGACCTGCGAGATAGTGACATGGAGATCGGCGGCGATGGAGTTGAGGGCGGGATAGTAGATGTTGGCGGAGAAGGGCGAGAAGGTGGATGCCAGAGCAGCTGTGAGGATAATGAGGCGCTTTTGGGCAGTCGTGAAGGTGGAATAGGGTGATTTGGACGGGGGAAGAAGAGGGGTGGTTTCTGTGGTTGGGGATGGAGCCATGGTGGATGTCTATACGATGTTGAGGCTATACAGAAACAACACGGGGATGGACGACCACTACTATTCAGAATGCACGCTTATGAAGGGTTGGCCATTGCTACAGGTCTAATTTAGCACTCCCATCCTATGCGATACATCATATGGCAACATCCGGTCCCTCATGTCCCATGCCCAAGCCATTCACAACCGAGGAAGGGCCTTCTCCCCCGTATCCCCCGTGTAGAGATGCAACGGTCGAAACAACTTGCCGCGTGTCACTACTATTGTCAGAAAGCGCCGATATCTCACCGAAGGCTTGATAGAAACTCACGCATATACTCCCGCCAATGGGCCATGATGCCCATGATCCGCTGTGCCAACATGGCAGCCGGGATGATTTCAGGCTCAAAGCCCCTGTCGTCCATCAGCAGAAGAGCGTAACAACGAGAAGAACAACCCACATCCCGGTAAACACAAAGTTCCCGTAGAAGTCCGCATTAGGGTACAATCCCCGGGTTAGGAAGTACCCATCCTGGGAGGCTACCCGCTCGATTCGCTCGGCAATTTCTAGCAGCGGGTTCGACGACGGGTCTAGGTCCTGCAAGATGGACTGAATGGGCCGCACACGCGGATCGATACCCTTGTAAGACCGATGCCCGTACCCGAAGAGCTTTCTTTTGCCCTCCTTCACCTCGTCGATAAACGTCGGGACCTGGTCTGGGGACTTGATCTCACGGAGAGCGCGCTGGGCAGACTCAGTGGCCCCGAAATGGAGGGGGCCGTAGGCGGATGCTACAGCCGTCATTAAACACGATAGAGGGTCTGTCAGGGAGGATGCGGTAACCAGGGCAGAAAAAACCGAGAGTGCCATGCCGTGGTCGGCGTTGAGCATCGCAAAGCGTCGGAAGCAGGAGACGTGGATAGGGCTTGGACGGCACGTGGATGGATCGACCATCCCGGCCATAGTGAATATATTCTCGCAGTAGCTCCTGTCCGCAGACGGTGGCGTAAATGGAACTCCCTTGCGATGACTGCTGACTAGGCCAAAGATCACGGCGTATTGTGCCACCGTCCGAATGATGGCCCGGTCCACGTTCTCCGGATTTCCCTGGTATAGGTTTGCGTCGGTGGATGCGGGGATCGTTTCTGGAATGGCAGCGAGACAGGCAGCGAGGCCTGCCAGTAATAGAGCCAATGGAGGGGCAGTTTTCCTGTCTCCCTTAGTAAACGAAGGAACAGACTCAAATCAATTCACCGTACGGAAAGCTTTCCACAGTCCTCTGCACCGTAGACGGCACAGATCGCATATGTTGCGCCAATTCGCGACGGAGGCCTTCGCGGGCTGTCCGGGTGGGATATGTCCCCCACACAAGGAGATGGAGCATGTCTTCGAAGTCGCTGTGCCAGAGCTGCTCCAGACTGTATCCTCGAAAGAGCAGTAGCCCTCGATCATGGTCCCTGTGGTGGTTAGCCAGCCCCGGAGACCGTGGAGCGCGCCATACGAGAAACTGATCGCTGTCTCAACAACGGCCGTATTCTGCAGTCCTGGATCGTGAACACGGAGTCCACCAGAGACATGGTTGGCCCTGTCCCCTCCGTCTTTGGGTCCTCGGATCCTCTTGAGATCTAGCGCCGAGACGGCATTTCTTTTGATGGGAATTTGGTATTTTGCACTGGTACGCGAGTCCACGATATGGAGGGTGCCGGACGACATTGTGATTAGGACATTCAGCCAACCCTCTTCAACAATTAAAGATTAGATGATCATAGTAATGCTTTAGAACTTAGTCTAGCGTCTTTATATCTCTCCTGACCAATTAATCACCCGGACGGTGACATTGCACAGCACTGCTCAAATGTACTCGACCCGAGTAACCAGGTGTTGTAGGAAAGTGAATGTACGACTATTGGGCATACCTACATCTGTTTTGCCGTCGAAAAGTTCCCAAGAATTGTCTTTCGAAATTTCCTAGCATAATAAATGATATCGCATGCTGGTCGTACATGCTGGTCGTACATGCTGAAAAGCACTAGACACCAAAAATAATACCTAGGCCACGATAAACAAAGAACTACTCGTAGAATGTATCCAAGGTCAAACCAATTTATTATTAATATCATCAGAAACATCTAATCCAGTTTCTGGTCGTATCATAGCAGTCAATCATGATAGTTCTCCCATACATCAACCATTTATTCAGGCATATGGTCGAAAGGCTTGGCGAGGTGCTCCTGGCAGAAGGGGAGCTTGCTGACGGTCCAGATTTCGGTGTCCTAATGACCGGACATCATTAGCAAAAACAAAGCGGTGCGCTATGACCGTAGTATTGGACATACCGGCTTCAGCTGCTTCTTGATCTCGGAATCCAAAGTACCGGCTTTGATGGCGATGATCTCCGGGGCAGCCTCCGGATCGTGGGCGATAGGTGACCCACATTCGGAGCAGAAGACACGGTGGACCTTCTTTCCTGAAGATCCTACACCAGCCCAGCTCTTGATGGGGCCCTTGATGCTCAGCTTATCTTTCGGGACCACAGCGACGAGAGCTGTAGGGCAGGGCATTGTGTCAGTCGGCTGTCGGCGGTAGAATTTCGTCCAATAAGCAGCGATCGAGCGATTGGATGGGACATACAGTAAGTAGAGCCACTCTGGCGTTGGCAGTCATCGCAGTGATCGTACGCTGTCAGCGCCGGCTGATCGACGTCAACCGTATAGGTGACAGCTTTACAGAGACAGTGTCCGGACAAAGGCATGTTTGATCCAGTGAGATGAAGACTAGCGTCAACTTAAGGACAATGAAGTAGTGTGATTGGTAGGAATGGCAAAAAGAATGCGACCAAGGTGCTCACGAATTGAGGACCTTTGGAAGAACAATCGCCGTGGGCCGCCCATTTATAACTCCCAGGCCACCTCCGAGCCCCTCCATCCAAATTCCTGCGGTGTCAGGCATCCTGTCTTTGGTCGACCATATGGCTGGTAAAACGCCCGGACGAATCCACCGTATTCGACCCTAATTGGAGAATTTGTCATGGTGTCGCGAAGCGGGGCAGGAAGGAATGAGGGGCAACCCCTCCGATGCGCCGTTGCGTCACGACGACATCCATCGGGGCCCACATGCGACCATTTGCGATGGGCTCTTTTGTCTTCCCACAGCAGTCAGTTCCTCTCATGGTGTAGTGAGGCGCACACACTCGGCTCAGGTCGGAATACGCAAGCTGGTGAAGGGGTCAGTGGCTCTCGTACCACTTCTTCCCCCGCTGGACTTCCGAGTCAGTGATTGGATTTTTTTTCCCACCCTTTTCCTACTCGCTTTCTTTGGATTATTGTTATTTGGTTCGACTATTCCGATCTGATCAAACTCACCATCACAATTTTGGAAAGGGACCCCGAGGGGCATTTGGTGTGGTTTCTGGGATTAACACACTCCACTGCCCTGCCTAGCCAAGCGAAAAGCCAATTTGTCACGGTGAGCGGTCGGAAACCTTGTCCTGCAGATGAATTTCCAAATACCCCAAGGATTTGTCATGGCCTAGATTCACTGGGCATGAGTGGCAGTAATGGGGCTTGTAGGCTTGGTGAGGCATGGGATACTCGCATAATGATAGGCAGAGACCCTCAAATACGGCCGATCTGCAGATCTTCTATCACCTTATTCTCTACTAGACCAATGGTCCGAGCTGAGAAGCGATCATTTAGTGAGATGTAGTGCACCATCCATTGCAAATTCCACGCTCTATGTGGACACCGGTGGATTCCGTGGGCCTTGGCAATTGGACACATAATCCCTACAGAGTATAGAGAATTCTGGTGCCAATCGGAATCCCATTGACCAGGCGATCGATGATGACCACTTTGGAAGTGCTGGGAACAGAGATAATCCCACCATAATCCGCTTTCGCTCTTAGGTGCCCTGATATCTGTAGAGCACTTGTCTTTATCAGCTTGCGGCAGTGTGCCTTTCCTCGGGTTTGACCAATGGAGCGAATTGGGAGACCTAGCAGAAATGCTTTCTGTGCTGATCGCTCGCATCTGGTTTGGTCCTATCTTTTTCTGATCAATTCTCCTTCTCGATACCTTCGCCAAAAGAATGTGCAAAGTCGTGTTGGACTGGCGCCACGCCGCCTGGACACTTCATAGAACTTTTCTTTTCTCTCCAATAACCATATAGAAGCCATTAGATGCGGAATTTTGTATGGTCTATCGGCAGGTTAGAATGCGCCAGATGGAACTAAAATTCAAAAAATCATACGGCTAGTAGGGCTCTGATCAACCATCACTTAGACCTATAAACACACATCCTGTTTAACCTCATCTCCTCTCCCATTATATCAGGATTTCTCGCAATCTAATGTCGTTTATGTAGCTGTGGCTGCACATGAGAAAGACACTGGCTTTCCTATACGGGTCACGTCTTAACCACCGAGGGTCTATCATTTCACGAGGGTGTTGAAGAACGGGAAGGTATGTCTACCAGTTAGACTTCATCTTTGCGCAGAATGTCCGCGGCCACTTGACGGTCTATACTTCAGGTTGTATAATTTGTGGGCAATTATTCCAGTAGAATCTTGGAACTTCGATTGCCAAAAAGGATCATTTCACATCAGTGTGTTTTGTTGGTGTGGTGTGATCTATGGAGAACTGAACATGGGAGATGGAAATGTCAACACTAGAGAAAGCAATCAGATCAAGTGACTGTTGCTTCATCACTATCCTCAGGCTCCAAAGCATGCTGTTCCATCCTGAAATTTCGGGCGACTATGTCTTCCTCCTGAAATGGAACTTCCATCATGATCCATACTTTGTCGATTCCACACCATCGTCATTGCAACTAGTCACAGGACTTTGCGACTTCCTTCCTTGCCATGTTACCCCATTCCATCATATGAATTTAGACACTAGAGGCCTCGCTTAAATCCTCGCAAAATGTGTCCCTCCTGCGACACGCCACAATCACGATAGATCGTCTTGATAAGGTAATCGGTGCAGTCAATAAGGCTAACAAGGTCTAGACTAGATGTCCACTACTTCCGCAGTTACCCAACAGAGAAAAAAGTAGCGACAAGCGGAGAGAAACCGTCAGGCCCGGCGGATCCAGGCATCCGTGAAGCAGCTTCAGTTTTAGTAAAGCAGTCAAGCAATAAGACATCTTGTACATGGGTGACTTGGCCCGGCCGAACATCCCAAAGCGGCAGCACCCGATACTGCTCGGATCGTGTGACTGGGCATATAGAAGACCATCTTGTGATGCTGCGCTTACAACTATTATCTAGTACAACCTCACCTGTAGGAACAAAGAAAGTTTCGCCAGCAATCAGATGACACGGTAGCATTATCCAATTTGCGGGTGAATTCATGTCCAGTGGCTAGTCTGTTCACCCGATATATGACAACTAAGACAAGCATATTCAAAATGATCTGCGAGAAACATGATGTCGAAAGGCGCACCGGAAATAGCATATCACGATCTTGCTGTTCAAGTGTAACATTCCGCGAATACTTTGGATCACTTCTCGCGCCACCCATAGAAAAGACATCGTGTCTATATTCAGCGAATTGGCTGGGTTTCTCATTCAAGCCTATTCTACATGTCCAAGTTTCTGGGCCGAGTGTCTGTTATTGAGGGTCTTCGCGCTCATAAAGTTCTCTTTGATCGTGTTGTTAGTATCATGGGCACATCTGTCAAACCTCCGAACTCAGAAGAAAGTTTTGTGGGTTGTGTAAGTTTGGATTCCTACTGTCAAGTTAACGATGCCAGTGGCAGTGAGAATACTCTGTTTGACTGTCTTCCCCCTCAAACTGAAAACCTGGCGTTGGCACCATCGCGACACTGGTCTGTTCGGAGGAAGTTTCCACCACGTATTTTGCCTCGGCCTGTGGCAAACCTACAACACTTATTTTAGCTAACCACAGTACATTATACGCCTCTGGGGTAATCCCTGTCTCTTGCATCACTTTTGGTCTAGACTTGACTCTTAGAGATGCGTGTTACTGTTGTTCGATAGCCTTGGTGTTTTAGAGGTCTCGACTCAACTGGTTTCTCTAGACACTTGTCGTTGGTCAAGTTGACATTATGGGTCATATAAGGGGTCTGACACTCTACAACAGTAGAGTGACCTTCGCATATGCATCCAGTATGTGATATTACTATACAGAAAACCCAGAATGCACTACCATGGTGCTTTCTTGTCTAACTTACTATAGGTATGTTGCGCTATAAGTTCAAGTACCTTGCCCTTGCATTCACAACGTTATATTCGGAAACATAAGTACTACCTGTGACTTGGGGGTTCTTGAAAATAACGTTACCAAGAATATCATTCATGTTTGAGAGCGAAGAAGCGTCGATATGCTAACCAGAAGCAACAATAAGATAGCTCATCCATCTACTTACTCGGCCAAGGCAATCACATGGTCGTTGGGTGAACAAGAATCAATCTGATGCCTAGGCTTCTCAGGACAGATGGTAATTATGTGATGGGGGAAGGCGTTCTGGGTGGCTTTAGACAGTGACATCCAGTTCAAGAATGATGCCAAGCAGCGAAGCTAGTGTACTCCTAACCATTGGTGGTTTCGGTTATTCTTACCCTACCTTCTCGGATGGCCAGAGCTAAGGCCTAATCCTACCATGCAATGTTGATTGAAGACATTGTTGTCGACGGTAAAGCCAATCTTCGGAGTTTACCCATTACCGATATAGTGGAGACATCAAGATGAATGTCTCACTACCCCGCGATTACTCTGAGCTGATACAACAACACTCACGCTCAGACCTGCAATGTTCTATTAATTCTGTTGGTCATAAAATGCTAGCTCTGATATCTAGACCTTTCGCATCAATCTAGCTCCCTACGCTTCGTGGACGGTTAGGCCGACCCAATGGTCGTATGAACCCGATCACCACAGCTATGACAATTGATCTAAAACAGAAGCATGTCTCACCTTGCGCCATGGAACCTGCATTAGTACCTCATGACTTATCCCAAAATGATAGCTTAATTGTTACCATTGCAAAGTTGACTTTCTATCTCGACACCACATTCAAGATGCGCGAGCCACAACAATCATACATCCAGCCATCTACCATATACAGGCTGGAAAACTGAGACATGGCAGCCACGCCGACGCAGATACATACAAATTTTTGTCTTAATCTTCGTCAATACTTGGTGATAACCTGTCAAACCGCACGCTGGCTTTGTCCCGGTAATTGCCAAGGACGCCCGGCCCAAGGAAGATTACGAGGTAAGTATGAGAGGGAGTTCGGCCGAGGAAGGATGGGAGAGGGCGCGGGGCCGTGATCGCGCAGTCCATGAGATGAGAAATCCTCTTGGTGTGGTGGATTAAATACAGGCCTTTGGACCTCAATCCAACGATGATATTGGACAGCCACGGTGACTATTCAGCATTTGCACTCGTTGCCATCCACGCTCGTTCTTAACCATCCTTCCATATTGCTCTTATTGCTGTCGAGCTTTGATTTATTTCTATATTGATCTAGTATTTGAATTATACTCAGCCATTATTGTCTCTTTAGACCGCTATGAGGTTTCATCTGGCGTCGCTGTTGGTCGCCTTGAGCACCATCACAAGCACCCTTGCGACGCCTACCAAGGCCACCCGGTCTCCATCGTTGGTTGACCGTGACCTCGCCACCGTCAAAGGTGTAGTTGCACAAATAAGCACGAAGGTTGATTCTCTCGATGCGGACATCACTGCCTACAGCGGCGGTGACATCTCTGCTATCAACGCGGCTTCCGATGCCCTGGTTTCAACTATCAGCGCCGGAGCCACCACCATTGCCGCTTCCAGTGACCTCACCGGAAGCGAGAGTCTGCGTCTTGTTTCCACCATCCAGGATTTGACCGCCAAGGTAGATGCTACCGTGCAGAACCTCGTTGCCAAGAAGCCGCTGGTGGTCGCTGCTGGGTCTGGAGCGGCTGTCCTCACGCAGTTAAAGTCGCAGTTGGCTGCGGCGCAGAATCTTGCAGATACCATCACCTCGAAGGTTCCGGAAGCCCTCTCTGACATTGCACGAGAACTGTCTTCTGGTATCAACAAGGCAATCCAGAAGGGGATTGATGCGTATAAAGATACTGCGACCACAACCACCACAACCACCACTACTACCACTACTACCACTACCACTACCACTACCACTACCACAACTTCCACCACCGCTACTACTACTACCACTACTCCTTGCAAGACGTGCTCCTCGACAACCTCCACCAGCTCTACCAGAACCACTACTCCATGCAAGACGTGCTCTTCAACCACGACCTCCACCAGCTCTACCACAACCACTACTCCTTGCAAGACATGCTCCTCGACCACGACATCTACCAGCTCTACCACAACCACTGCGCCTTGCAAGACGTGCTCCTCCACCACGACCTCCTCCAGCTCTACGAGTATCACTATCCCTTGCAAGACATGCACGTCCACCACAACCCCAACTACCGCTACACCATGCGAGACATGCACGTCAACCACGACTACAACCTCCAGTACTCCTGAGGGGCCGACTGATTCTTCAAACCCCCCTGTGCCACCAGTTCCCACCACTCTTCATCCCGGCCCCCAGCCTACAGGAGGCTCACCCGGCTCACCCAACCCTCCCATTGAAGGGTCAACGGACAATAACGGCCCTGTCTCGGGTGGATCAGGGACTGAGTCAGGCTCGGGGTCCAGCGACAGTACCTCGACCGCTCCGGATACTCCCCTGTTTACTGGAGCGGCGACTAAGCAGCTAGTTGATTCCTCTTTCGCCGGTGCAATGGTTCTTGGTGCAATTATAGTTGCTTTCTAAGCTGTGCAGTGATTCAACACCTCTGGTCAATTATCTTTATGATCTTCTAGTGCTCATTACTGCTCGATTCTTCATTTGGACAACCTATGGTTTGCTTGAGTATGTTACTATTCAGCTACTCATATTTTGACTTCCATCACGTCGGATATATCTTACAAACGAAATGCAACACCAAAAAAAGAAACAGAGAAAAAAAAAAGGGCAAGGGGACATCCGTTAATGTGAACTAGGAGCGAGACCCGGTGACACTCGAGGGGCGTTTCCGCTCATTCAGATATTTGTCACGTCCCAGCGCAAAACTGTTGCTTCCTACTTTCCCTAACATCTCCATTACATATATCCGTGGAGATATAATTATACGTGTTCTTTTGAGAGACGAATCTTTGAAGTAGTATAAAGCTAGTAAAGTATATAATATGCTGGAACCAGCCCGGAACCGGGAATAAAGTCAATCATATTTTCTTCCCGGTACCGGGATGACCGGCAAGATCAGACATACACTGAGTAGGTATATCATCAATTCATCCTGCTACATCTGTTCGGGACATTTTCGTCCTTAGACCTGTTCTGTCCCCCCGGCAAAATACTTCTACTATAACGACAGGTCTTTGTCGGGGGATTGGATGACCGCCGGAGATTATGGCCTATCTCCGAATACGCTTCCAGCCGTTGTTGACTTCCTCTCACCTGCGACAACATCATGACCATCATCAACATAATGACCGTGTCCCTTTGCACCGTCAGCCCCCATTTCCACACCCCATGATGGATCAAAAAGACAACTTGTATGTTCCTCTTAACTTCTAGAAGTTCAACGTTCCATCCTACTAATAACACACCCAATCAGCCCCGTGTCGAAACGAGCCAAGAAGGCCTGCACAGAGTGTAGGCAACAAAAGGTGACTAGTTCAATCGACTACAATCGATGGCAGTCCGCTATTCCAGCATAGCTAACTCTATAACTCAATTAGGCAAAATGCGATGCTTACCTGACGCCCGGACAACCATGTTCCCGATGCCATAAAATGCAGACAGATTGCGTCATCTCAGACCCATTTCGAAGAGAGCATAAGCGTCGGTATGAAATTATCTTCTACTATGCTCCAGAACAAGGATGTGTTTTTGATTAAAAGGAATGAGTAGGCGGCTGTCTGAACTACAGCACGAGACCAACGAGCTGCGGCGGATACTGAGGTCCTCGAGCGCCTCAGACGTTCAACAGTCGCCCATTGCAATGTTGACTGTGGCAGCGGAGATGGGCGTCGATGGTCCGAACAGCGGCACCGACCTGCCACTGACCCCCCAGTCCCATATAGTACCGCCTGTGTCTTACGATCAACGACAAAGAACGCCTAGCAATCGCGACATTGAGTCGACCATGACACGGATGGTGGGACAGATCATACCAGCGGACTACACTCCTGACCCGACCGAATCGCGCATTCTCCATAACATTGACGTGTCAGGTAGCGAGATCAATGAGCTCTTTGAATTGTTTGTGAAGTCCAGCATTTGTCGTCTGAGCACAACTAACCGGGTATCGAAGATTCTTCCAGCAATATTCCCATTTTCTGCCCATACTGGATCCGCAAACGACGCCGAACTCCTATTATGCGCAGTCACCATTCTTATTTTGGGCTATCATTGGTGTTGGGTGCAGAACTTATGCCAAGAATCCGACACTGCTCACGGCTCTTGCGGCTGGTATCATTGACAAGGCATTGCTCTCGGTGGGGTCAACATTGATTCCGTGGCAAACCATTCAAGGTCTCTTGCTGTTGTTAACTTGGCCTTTTCCCAAAGATCCTGCCAGGCCGGATCTGACGTTCATATTGAGCGGGTTGCTTCTCCATATTGCTATGCAGCATGGATTGCATATTCCAATGTCCAGCCACGAATTTTCCAAGATCAAGCTTCCTACCCCTTCCGAAACCGATATGGTTCGAAGATCGGAGCTTTGGGCACATTGTGTGATTACGTATCAGCGGTAAGTTAAGTTCCTGTGGGAGACTGGTTGTTCACAAGCTTAACAGAATCAGGTCCTGCATGATCAAAGGACAAGCACCTCGGTCGTTGGTAGACTTCGAGCATGATCTTGGCCAACGCCAATCTCTCTTTCGCAGAATCGAGCCGTCTTTGATTCTGCAAATGAAGTGCCAGGATGTGATTGCTCGATGCAGTGGAGCCGTACAGGAAATCGGCGTACGAGCTATGACGATCCACCAGGAGAGAGCCTTGGATATCCTTTTGCGTGAATTTGAAAACCAGGTAATCGACTTGGGTGTCCATACAGACTCAGGTAATCCTTCTGTCAAAGGAATTGAGGACAGGGCTAATTGCTCATTGCTGCAGCGAACGACCGCCTTCATATCAGCGTGTGTCGGCTCAGTGTGCAAGCATTCCATTTTTTCAAAGACCACACAATCGTCACCACGAATTGCCTTCCTCGACTGGTGAATACGTCTTGTGTCGTCATAAATGCTACTGAGCATTTGTCCCAGAGTCTCGGTGGCCTCGCCAATGCGCCCCAGCCGGTCTTCTTCGGTCTTCTCCTCTCCGCCATCACTCTTCTCCGCATCATCAAGGTCTTTTCTTCACAGAACCTAGATCTAGAGCGCGCCAGGTCCGGCTATTTCACTGCGATCAACCTGCTCAAACTCATGTCAGTGGACAACAACGACACCTCGGCGAAGACTGTGCATATCTTGAACCAACTTTGGAACAGTCAGAAGGCCTTTCGCAGACCAGATGGAACAGTATACACCGTGCTTCGGATTCGTAGCCGTCTTGCTTTAAGCCCCGTGGTCGACGCAGTGTGGTGGTGGCGAGACGAGTATGACATCCAGAGCCGAGCCGTTCACCCATCGCAAAGCGCCGGACAAGATGGTACTATGCTTTCTCAATCACCGTCCATATGTACGCTTTGACAGTGCTAACATGCTTATTTAGGAAACCCCACAAGTCACGAGGCCACGGGTGTAAGCGGTGGTGCGGTACCTAATCTATCCGAGCGACAGGAGCCAATCCTGTTTGACGAACAGTTTCTTGCGGATTTCGAATGGGCGTTATGCGATAATGGCATTCTAGCTCCTACCGAGCCTTATGGGCTGACACTGCCGTCGACCGGGACGGTTTTATGAACTTCGTGAACAACTCTTAGCAATTTATTATGCAATTGGCCCGGTAATCAGACAGCGCCGCGCCTTTTGAGTCTCTGGCTATCTACAAGAACTGAGACACAAACTTTAGGAAATCTCAAGCCATTATGTAGGGGGATTTGACAGGGTGACATTCCATCGTACTGCGCTGGTGAACCCTTGTTTGTCTTCCCCTCATCTGCTCTGCCTGTCAATGCTATTTAAAACTTTCCAAACACAGTCATTTTCCACGACTGCAACAAAAGGCTATGCTGTCCCCGTGTTCTTGGGCAACTGTGCAAGGACGACAAACCAATAACAGCCGATTACTAGCCCAAACCAGCAAATGGTCTCCTCACAACACATGCTGCTGCAATACTAGTTATCGACCTTGCGGGGTCATGCAATCGAATGTCCTTCCATGATCCATGTGATTCATACTCCAACGGCTCGGATACACGCAGGGCAGGAGAGTACACCTTATTGCTACGGCTGATAATTTCCGTTGGTCAATACCATTGGTCATCGCCGATCGATAAAAACAAAAATGACCAGTCGATAAAAAGAAGTAGAAAAGAAAGAAAACAACAGGGGTCAAGCGGAATCGAGATCCTCCCCGACCCCGCAATGTTCCTCCTAGAAACCCACTAGCGAGAAGACTTGTTTTTTTTTTCCTCCGAAAGGATTCGCAGTAGCACAGGTTGACGGCAGAAATACTACTTTTGATTGACTCGGGGCAGTACCGGTCTATTATCAATTGTGGCAGGGGGGGAATCCTGAATTTGACCACCCCCTATCGCTTTGAACCACCAGATGCGACACATGCCCGAACGGTTTTAGGCGATGTGCAGCCTCTCACGCGGAGTGGAGAACATCGTATCACCCTTGATATGCGTCGCTTGGTCCTATCAAGTTCAGCTGTCTGTTGGTCTGCCACATGGATTAGGGGCGGGTTTCAGTAAGACATTTGAACTCCCCCCCCCCGAGATAAGCACCGGCTGGCTTTCAGACCACATACTGTTTGGCGTTTGGTTTAGCGCCCCGACATGTCTTGGCCAATGATCTCTCAACGGGTCCAGACTTAATGGAGATGGTGGGTTGCGCTTGTCCCACCGCCCCAGAACATTCAGGCCACTTTGAGTCTCGACTGTCCAGTGGATTCTTCCCAGCCCAGCCGCTATCTTTGCTTCGCTAGCTTATCAGAAACAAGCTTGACCGGTGGAACTGGCGAATGGTGCCATGCAACGCGTATCAACCTTAGTTCTTCCGAACCCTCCTTGACAGATGAAGTATCGTCTCCTGCTAGGTGTTTCGGTTCATTGATGGTCGGAGCGATCTGATCCCCAATCCCAGATAGCCCTGAAGCAGACATGGTTCTCGAGACAGGAAACGAGGGAGCGGCTACGCCACCAAGGCTCGTTCAGACGGTGCTAATTTGTCACCTGGCGAATTTTAGGATTCAACCCCGGACAAGTCTAATGAAGCAACGCCATACACGGCAAAGCCCCATCCATGCACCTGCCTCTCGTCTCCCGACTGGTCCAGCCGGTCAAACTAGGGTTATCAGTGGCAGACCCAAACACCCCTTTACAACTCTTCCCCCTGCATCATACATGTAGGGATACCCACTGTGTCGAAGGCAGGTGTGGATGAGCGGTGCCCACCATTAATTGTTCTCAATGCTGTCCAACCACCACTGCAGTGCGAATATCAGCCGACTCAGTTGTTCTGTGCCTTTCCGACCAGTCAATATGCGTAGAAACCGAGGGACTGGATGTTACCAGGGGGAGGGGTATGTCTCCTCGCCTGCGGCGAATGCTTTGAGTTGTTCCCTGATGTTACCCAAGACACCCAAAATCTCCGCCTGATTCGCTTGATCTCAAGCCATCGATGCTTCTCATCCTTGAGGGACCATGTGCCACAGTCTCCGGGGTTACATTATATATCCTAACCAGATGGTCACGGAATGAAAGATGGGGCCGATAGTGAGTGGCGCTGGTAGGTGTCGACTAGCTTAATCTATTCATCGTTCACTAAACTTTGCGATGATAAGGGCGCCGGGTTACCGTCGGCCCTCCTTCACTCGGTCAGAGTAACTGCACCCTGCCTTACAGAGGACAGGGCCTGCGCTCACCTTCCTTTTTTGTACATATATTGTCTTTTCTTCCCTGTGTCGTCGTGTTTCGTCTCTTTCCTTTTTTCCTTGGTTTTGTCTGGGTCTATCCTTTCTTCCACGCCTCGTTCGCCTAGATTGTTAGCCTGTGTGCTGATCTGGCTTCTGGTCCAACAGCACCGCAGGATCACTTCTCACTTTTTACTTCTAAACAATTTCCCTCTGTGGCATTCATGCAACAATGAAGGAGAAGGCCCTTGGCACCACCGTCGACGAGGCGGCCCCCGAGGACGCCGTGGCCCACCTCAGAAATCTGAAGGAGCAACATCAGTGGGATCCTAACCTACCAGATGAGGTCGCCGAAGAGATTGACGAGGTTCTGGAGACTGACGGCAAGGCAGGCGGGGTGGATGTCGCACGCGAACTCCTTGAAAACTCCCCGTATCCGGAAGTTCGCGCTGCGGTGCCAAATTACGATGAGGGCGGCCACAGCAACACCATTCGTGCCTGGGTGATCGGTCTGTTGTTTGCGACTATTGGGTCGGCACTGAACATGCTCTTCTCCATGCGACAGCCCTACATAGTCATCCCGTCGTATGTCGCCCAGGTTGTCTCCTACCCTGTGGGGGTGGGGTGGGCCAAAGTGATGCCGAACAAGGTGTTCAAAGTGTTTGGTCTCGAGTTCAACCTGAACCCGGGCCCGTTCAGCAAGAAGGAACATGCCATGGTTGTCATTATGGCTAACGCTACGTTCGCTGGTGGCGCTGCCTATGCAACGGATGTCCTCCTCGCCCAGCGAGCCTTCTACGGCCAACACTTCGGCTGGGCCTTCGAGATCTTCATGTGCATATCGACCCAAATGCTGGGCTTTGGCTTCGCCGGGTTTTTCCATCGCTTCCTGGTGACTCCCGCGGCGATGATCTGGCCCAGTACTCTGATTAACACGTCGCTCTTTGCGGCCCTCCATGATCGTTCCAAGCCGGATCCGCGCAAGGTCTCGGGGTGGACGATTGGAAAGTACCGCATGTTCTTGTACTGCATGCTGGGATCTTTCTTCTGGTATTTCTTCCCGGGTTACATCGCGCCGTTCTTGAGTGTTTTCGCCTTCGTGACGTGGATCAAGCCGCAGAACGCGGTGATTAACCAAGTCTTCGGTGGATGGACGGGGCTGTCGGTGCTACCTATCACCTTCGACTGGACCCAGATCTCGGGGTTCAACTTCAGTCCGCTCATTGCGCCGTGGCACGCCATCGCCAACACGCTGATCGGTCTGGTCGTCTTCTTTTGGATCACCACGGCGGGCCTCCACTACAGTGGCGCCTATTGGTCGAAGCATCTCCCCATCAGCGATTCCAGCAGCTATGATAATACGGGGAACGTTTACAATGTGTCGCGGATTCTGACCCCAGACTTCAAGTTCGATGAGGCCAAGTACAAGGAGTATTCGCCGCTCTTCCTGTCGACGACTTTCATGCTCTCCTACGGTCTGTCATTCGCCAGTATCATTGCCGTGCTCCTCAACGCCGGACTGTTCCACGGGAAGGAGATCTGGGCGCGATTCCGAAAATTCGGCCATGAGGAGGAGGACGTGCACGGTCGGCTGATGGCTCGCTTCAAGCCCGTCCCCATGTGGTGGTACCTGGCCATTGCGCTCATCATGATGGGTATGGGATTGGGAGTCGTGATCGGCTACCCGACCGGGCTGTCATGGTGGGCATTTTTCATTTCGTTGATCATGGCGGCCGTGTGGTTCGTGCCGATCGGGATCGTCCAAGCGTCGACCAACGTGGCCATCGGACTAAACGTGCTCACCGAGTTTATCATCGGGTACATGCAACCAGGACGCCCCATGGCGATGATGCTCTTCAAGACGTATGGGTACATGACCATGTACCAAGGGTTGTACTTTTCCCAGGACATGAAAATCGGTTCGTCCATCATTTCCCCCTCCCCATCGGTACATTCCTATATACTAACATGAGTCCACTCCCACAGGTCACTACATGAAAGTGCCCCCACGCGTCACCTTCGCCGCGCAAATGGTCGCTTGTCTGTGGTCATCGATAGTCCAGATCGGGGTCATGAACTGGGCGCTGGGCGCAATCAAGGACGTCTGCACGGCACATCAATCCAACCACTTCAACTGCCCCAACGGTCGGGTCTTCTTCAACGCCTCTGTCATCTGGGGTGTCATCGGCCCCGCGCGCATGTTCTCCCCGGGTCAGATCTACTCCTTCCTGATGTGGTTCTGGCTCGTGGGCGCCATCCTCCCCGTCGCCATCTACTTTGGCGCGCGCATGTTCCCCCGCACACGCATCAGGTACCTCAGCGCGCCGCTCATCTTCGGCGGTACGGGGCTTATTCCCCCCGCTACGCCGCTGAACTATCTGTCTTGGGGCGTCGTGGGTCTCGTCTTCAACAAGTACATCCGCAACAAGTGGCGCGGGTGGTGGATGCAGTACAACTACACCGTGTCCGCCGGACTCGACGTCGGACTGGCGCTGTGCACGATCCTGATCTTCCTCGCCCTGCAACTCACGCAGACGGACTTTCCATCATGGTGGGGCACGCGGATGGCAGCCGAAACGATGGACGCGGCCGGCACCGCCGTGCGAGAACCGATTCCCAGTGGGCAGACATTTGGCCCTGCGACGTGGTGATCTATCCATCTATCTATCTATCTTAGTGTGTTTGATACTTCTCTCGCCTGTTGGCGCTGGTGTTTATTTTTTATCTTTTATTTTTCGAAATATGGTATCAAGGTGGATTATTGTCCAGGATGGATTGATGGATGGATGGATAGGTGGATGGAGGAAGGAAGAAAGCCAGCACACGTGGCGGTTGTTATGTATTGCATCCGCTTCATATCACGAATACTTAATACCTGTTGCACGGAACGTTTTCTTTGTGTGGTAGATATATGGGTGTTACTAGGGTAGGGGTAGTAGAGCTGGAGCCAGTAGTAGAGCAGCAATTAGAAAAGAGTAGATATCGTTAGATCAACTAACTAATGTGGACCCCAAACCGGTCCTGTTTTCTCACATCAATACTTACTCGGGCTCTTCATATTTTATTTATCTATTTTTTTTTCTTTTTCTATTTTTTCGCGAAACTATTCGAGCGTTTTCATAGTCATAAGAATCATCTGGTTTATTAGTATCTTGATCACTCCGTTGACCCTTCTTCCACAGAGAGATATATATATCTAGACAAGGCAGATGGTGTATGTAAGGCAAGAAATTCCTCCTGGATTTTGATTGATTGAGATTATCTTCCTTCAAGCTTTCATTTTCATTTTCAATACATTTTGTACTCAAGTAAATAAATTAAAGTTAACAAAAGTACGAAGGAAGAGAAACAAATACAAAGAAAAGAAAGAAAAGAAAAAGACATCCATCATTCCTCGTTTGCATCTTGGGAGACCATTCTATTGTGCTATACTACACTATACTACTTGTGGAATTGTCAGTCAACGAATAGTTTATGATTCATGATTCAATTCCATTCATATATATATCCTCGCGTTTGTGTTTGTGTTTGTGTGTATGCAGGTGTTCCTCCCAAGTTGTCCCCATCTATATCTGTCTATGCTTAAGTACGAGCAAATCAAGACGGAAACGATCCATCATTCAATCAATCAATAGAAAAAGAAAAAAGTAAAGTCATCCAAGATAAACGAGAAAGAAGGCAGTCAAGTAGACAGTGTCCACTACAGAGTAGAAGGACGACGCTTCATGCCGACCATCAAGCCCAGAGGCTTACGGAGGAAGCCCTCGCGGGTCTCCATGGGCCCATCCTGCTGCATTTCGAATTCGAAGAGACGGAAGACGGTAGCGGCCATGACGAGAAGCTCCATCTCGGCGACGTTGCGGCCGACGCAGGCGCGGGGTCCCGTGCTGAAGGGGATGAAGGCGGCCTTTTGGCGGGGCGTCAGACGGGCGGGATCCCAGCGGTCGGGGACGAACTGCTCGGCGTCGGGGCCCCAGATCTCCGTGGAGCGGTGGATGGTGTAGCTGGGAACAGAGACGACGTCGCCGGCTTGGAAGACGTGGCCGGAGATGGTGATGGGGGGGCTGCCGGGGGGATCTCTCGGGGGAGACCCATGGCGGAGGTGCTGTGGATGCGCATGGTTTCCCAGATGACCCATTGGAGGCTGGGGATGAGTTAGTGACATGGACTTTTGTGGCCTAAGGGAATGGTGTTACGGGAGAGACATACTAAGGAATATCCTTGACCATGGCGTGGGTGGGCACGTCGATATCGCCGGGCAGCTCCTCATCCAGGACCTTTTGCAGTGTGGGGATGACGCCGGGGGTGCGCATGCACCAGTAGAGGATAGCGCAGGCAGTGTTGGAGGTGGTGTCGGAGCCGGCGATCAGCTGGGTCAGGGCCTCGGCGGTGAGTTCCTCGCGGCCCAGCTTGTTGCCGGTGCTGTCCTTGCCTTCCATCAGACGGGCGAGCAGATCGACACGGGTGTTGTTGGCCATGACCTCGGGGCGCAGACGCTCATTGACACGGGCGACGGCGATGCCGGCCAGATTCTCGACAGCTTCCATACCGTCCTTGAAGAAGCGGTCGGGGATGTACTTGGCGAAGGGCTTCAGGGCGGGGAGGGTACCGATGGTGGCGGAGACCTCACCGCGGCGGTTGAGCACCTCGACGGCCTGGACGTACTTGGGGGGGGAGTCCGGAGTCTTGCGCATCTCAGCGATGTCCTCGCCCTTCTTGAGCATGCCGAAGGGGGCGCCGAACGCCAGATCCCCGATGATGTCGAAGGCCAGGAAGTTGAACCAGTTGAGGGCGTCGATAGTGACGTAGCCGGACTTGGGATTACCCTGGGACTTGGCAAGGTTGGTCCACTGGGTGGCGAAGAGCTCGATGTTGTGGTGGATGTACTGCTCGAACTGGCCGATGGACTTCATACTGAAGGTGTGCGAGACAGTCTTGCGCTTGCGCGTGTGCTCCGCACGGTCACGGGTGTTGAACAGACCGCGACGGATGGAGACGAAAGCATCGTAGAAGTCACTGTGGAGGTTAGTCTGGAACTTTCATTTCTGACGACATATATGGTTATGTGGATAGACAGATAGGGGACAGGTAAATGAGGTCAACATACGCCTTGAGGAAGCCATTGCCGTGACCGTAGATGGCGTTGATGGCGCCATCGTCGGCGATGGAGACATGACGGGGCGCGATACGGACGAGTTTGCCGTGCTTCTGGTGGGCTTGGTGAACAGCCTCAAACCGGCGACCCTGGCGAGCTTGCAGAAGCAACCAGAGGTTGGTAAAGGCGGCGAACGAAGGGGTCGGGATATCACGCAGACGCCAGGTCTGGAGATAGGGCAGGATGTAGTAAAATGCCAAGAGACCGACCAGGGCCGAGGCGGCGCCCTGCGGGGTCAAGAGGTGCTCGATGAGCTGTTGTGCGAGCATGATGCACGACGAGGGACTGAACAGTCGCCTGGAGAGGGGTCAGTCGGGGCCATGATTGCATGTAAGACAAGAACGCGGGGAGAGGAGAGAAGTGAGGGGATACAGAAAAGGAAGAGGAGGAGAGGAAGTGTGGGGAGGCACATGACCAGCGTACTTACCTAATCGGATCCAATCACAACGAGCGCCAAGACGAACGGTCGTCGTCAGGGTCTCAGGGAAATGTAGATAGAGAGGGAGATCTTAGGATGGGAGACAGGGATTCTGATCCCGATGAGAAAAGGGGGTGAAGATGATCAAGACGGTCTCCTCGAGTTCCAGTGGATAAATAGAAGAAAGAGGAAGATCGAGAATAATCTGGACAGACGATCGATCGAGAGGGGATATTTATGACGAGGGAGAGAGAGCAACCCCGAGGCAAAGAGAAAGCGAACGGATGGCGAAGTCGGGAACTCTGGGGTTCCTGGCAGGCCTGGGTGCCTGGGCGCCTGGCAATCGTGGGGTTGACCGGGTGTCGCTGCCTCAGGCTGTGCGATCCGGCAGCCGGTGTTGCCTGCCGACCGTCGGGCCGCCTCGGATGTGGACCCGCCGGGTCATCACGTGGCCTCCCATTGGTGCATATCTCTGATATTAATCATCACATTATTCACTTGCACTAATGAGGCACAAATCCCCGCAGTAGTGAATAGTCTAAACATAAATTATCCATCCCAATTCATAAAATGGTCGAAGGATTAACCGTCAGACTACCCGAATGATCACCTGACAGAGACAACTGGCGAATGTCCCATGGCATAGCAGCCATAGGTTCATCCACCGATCTGCAAGGCTCCTCCTTGGCTCTCCACCGAGACGAAGCAATAAATTGAAATCATCACCATACATAGGCATACGATGCCCATTTGTCGGTCAGTCAGCCCTTATTGTCCAAAACTGTCATGATTGGCAGACCGAACCCCAGTCCCACCATGGAACAGCACCGGCCTGGTGGCTCTACAGTATAAACAGTACTTGAATTCCACCGGAAGACCGGCACGGTTTTTGTGGCATCGACCGTGGCCCTTGGTGGTCATTGGTCATGCCGCTCTCCCTACCCTGTTACCGACAGCCAGATCAGCTGTCCGGCCCTCTGCCGGACCTTTTTACCCGTCATCTCCCTCTGTCCTCAAGGGTCACCGGCCCAGCTTTACCCATGGAGATATATCGAGAGAACATTCTGGTGAAAAGAGTAGAAACCTCCGTCTCGAGCGCTGAAGAAAATCAAATTGCTGCTATTGGCGATTGGGGACCAGCCGGATGGTATCTATCATACAGAAAACATGCTTATATATTTCCCCGGTTCTAATGGCTCGACAATTGGCCTGCCATTGTGGAGAATAACATTGACCCTTGGCCCTTGGAGGCTGCCCTTCTACAATTTGTCCCCGAGGATTCGGAGTTTTGATGCGAGACAAAGCACTTGTCTCCTCCATCAGTAGTCACGGTTCATATCAAATAACAGAAAACGATGCGATATGACCCTTTTTGCCTCCGTACTGTAGCAGCGGTTGTTGATGATCACCTGACTTGTCCACTATTGACATCCTTGGCCTGATTTTGAGCAATCACATCATCTTCAAGGCCCCTATTTAACACTATATTCATCTTCCAATCTCCCTTTCTATCTTTCCTCACACAGCACAAATTTTCGTTCTTCCCTGGGCATGTTCTCATCCATTCTGCGGTCTTTGCCGCGGCTTGGACGGAGATGGACGCCCCTTGATTTCTCAAACCCGAACTTCGTTCGTATACCCGAGTACCACAAGATTGAAGAAGAGACTCTCCCGGATTATACTGCTTCTTGGTACTATCCTACCCAGATTGGAGAAGTCATCCAAGAGCGATATCAAGTAGTAGGCAAACTAGGGTTTGGATCCACCTCCACAGCGTGGCTAGCACGGGACATGAAGTGAGATCCACTGGATGGTTCCCATCCCATTCCAGTACACTTACGCACCAGACTTCCAGCCACTGTCAGTATGTGATGCTTAAAATCTTCGTCCGGGCTTCGTCCATGGGCAACCAAGTGGACGACGAGATCGAGATGTACAGACACATTGAACAATGCCCAAAAGGTCATCCAGGCCGTGATGCGGTCCGGACATTACTGGATACATTCTACATCAATGGGCCGGAAGACAGGCACCGGTGTCTTGTCCATCGCCCACTGTGGGAAAGTGTTTTGACTTTCTTACGCCGCAACCCGGTAGAGCGACTACCCGCAGTAATCGTAGCAGTCGTTCTTCGGCGGTTGTTTCTGGCGTTGGATTACCTTCACACGGAGTGCCAAGTCATCCATACTGGTTTGCGCACACCTTCCTCTACGTTATCATCTATTGACTACCTTTACCTAGATATCAAAGCCGACAACATCATGCTAGGCATCGACGACGATTCAGTCTTCGGCGACTTCGAACAGAGTGAACTCCAACACCCCGTTCCAAGGAAAGAAGTAGACCCCAACGGGAGAATCCTCTACATGTCCCAGGAGCTCAAGATGCCCAAACCATTGGGTGCCCCTGTCCTCTGCGACTTTGGCTCCGCAGTTTTCGGCAATCAGTCCCACACAGAATTCGTTCAACCCGACATCTACCGCGCCCCGGAGGTGATTCTCGGGGCTCCGTGGACGTATAGTGTCGACATATGGAACGTTGGTTGCATGGTATGGTGGACATTCTGTTTCCTTGATTTTTATAAATCACTAAAATAAGGCCATAGATCTGGGATATCTACCAAGGCGGCTCCCTGTTCTCCGGCTATGACCCCGAATATCAAAAATACAGAAGTAGAGCCCACCTCGCTGAAATAATTACCCTTCTCGGTCCTCCGCCGTCGAGTCTCCTCACCCAGGGCGGTTTAAGCGACAAATTCTTCTCCGATGACGGTAAGTCCTCACTAAGCTCGTGAACTCAGTACCTCAATTCGCTCACTATCTGGTCTCCAGGCAACTTCCGCACCAACTCTCTACTCAAAGATCCTGTCTCGCTCGAACAGCGAGAAAATACCCTCGTAGGAGAACCAGAGAGAGAAGCGTTCCTCCGCCTCATGAGAAAAATGCTGCAATGGGAGCCCGGAAAGCGTAGTTCCGCGAAGGAACTCGCGGAGGACGAATGGATCCAGCAGTATCTGTAGACAGTCTAGAATCCAGCATTATGGAAGATTACCGGGCGACAGTGGTGTGTGGCAGAAGCTGTCGGTATTACGGCGGTAGGAGATCACCCTTGATCTAACAGTTGGAAACTCCCCACCCTTGTATTTATTATTACTGTTTTATATATAGAGCATCTCAGCATGATATACCCGAGGCCCATTATCAGTTCAAAGCCACCGTTACTTGTACATTACCAATCGCTTCCCGGATATAAACACTTTCCCAGAGTGTCAGACATCCTAATGACCATAACCGACGACCATCTTCTATATTCTCCAAATATCAAGACATCGATCTCATACCTGTACAGCGTCCTCCTCCCACCGATAAAGCCCACTCTTCCTCCTCTCCACCTCCCACCTCTCAATCCACCCCCTCATCACCTCCCGACTCTTCTTACTCCCCACATTAACAGTAGGAACGACCCTCCCAATATCCAACGCACAACAAAACATCGTCAACTCCCTGAACGAGCTATGCTCACTATACGGGACCCCGTAGCAAGCACTCTCCCGCGTACTCCCCCGCTGGGGCACCAAATCCGCGACCGAAAACGGCGACTGCCACTGCGGGGCGTGCAGCACAGCTGACACAGGCGGCGGGGCATTAATGTCGATGGTACGGCCCGCTGGTGGGCGGTAGGACCAGCCTGTGGGGCGGAAGCCGACGACGCGGGCGAAGTGCGGCTTGAGCGAGTCGAGGTAGTCGGCTAGGGTGTCGGCGCGGAGTTCGAAGAGCGTTTGCATGTGCACTTGGGCGGCTGTCGGGTCGTCTGTGAGCAGAGAGGTGAGCTCGGGGTCTTCGAGGCAGGCGCAGACGCGCTGTTTGGCGGGGGTTGCGTATATTTTTGTGCCTAGGGCGCGCGCGATGCCTAGGCAGATGCGCTCTTTGCCGATGCTGTAGGTGCCGATTACGATTAGGAGGCGGTTGTTGTTGGAGGACGGTTGGGGTGGGGGATCTGAGGTGGTGGGGTGTGATCCGGTTACGGTTGAGATGAATCGGTTCATTATTGTTGAACCGATGGACTTTCCGGGTGGGACAACGCCGTTTGTTGTTCCGTCGTTGAGACTGACGCAGAGGTCGGCGCATGCGCGGATGACGTCGCTTTGGCTGGGGAAGGCGTATTTAGGGCTGAGATATGTGGTGTCTAGGTAGCAGGTGTCGATGCGTTGGCGGCGGCGCTGGCCCGTCTTGGGGTCGACGGGGTTGGGACAGAGAAGCGGATGGTGGACGTGCGACGGCGAGGCGCGGAAGTCACCGCAGTGGAGGATGCGTTGCGTCCGCTGGGCTCCGACGGGCTTTTCGAATAGGAACAGGGCGCTGCCGGGGCAGTGGTTCGCCTCGATCAGGGTGGTCTGCACCCCGCCGGTGTCTGGCACCTCGATCCGCTTCTCGAAGTCGAGGGCCACGATCCATTTCGGGTCGACCTTCAACTGCTGGCGAACGAGGTTGGCCGTAGGCTTGCTACAGTAGATCGGACCGTGTCGCCACGACCCCGTCAACCCGATGTAGTGGTCGCTGTGGAAGTGGCTCAGGAAGTAGGCGCTGCACCCTTCCACCGCCCCGTAGCGAAAGGCATCCACGCAGATGGAAAAACCAGGCATGATCTTGTAAAACGGACAAGTTCGTTGGTAGGCTTGTTTGCCTCGCGACGCCACCTCGTTGGCGGCTGCTGAGGACCACGCGGTGTCTTCTGCATTCCCGGCCATTAACTTGGAGAAGGCCGTTCCAGCGGCGGATTCACCCGAGTTGTAGGGGTCGGGTTGTGGTGGTTTCGCAATGGCGGCACGCTCCACCGGCGAGGATCTTTTTGCCGGGGGTGGAGTGTGTTCCGGGATGTTGCTTGACTTCCCGTCCAGACAAGCGTTGACATGTATCGATATATCCTGTCAGACCGTTAGCTATATAAAGATGTAACCTAAACATCGAGTGGACATACACTTTCATTTAGCGTTATCAGCCGGGTCTGGCAAACCGGACACACCGTTTCGTTGTCCCCTGGACTACCCTCTCCAACCAGACACCCGTCCTCCAGCCCATCGGATTCCATCACGGCCTCCTTAATGTCGTCATCTAGGGGTTCTAAAAATTCTTCTCCTTGGAACTGCAACGGATCCACTCCTAGTTCATCCTCTTCTAATTCGTCAAAATTCGTATCTTCATCATCTGCGGCATGGCTCGTGGCGTCTCTTACCAGTGGTGGCACGGGGGGTCGTTCCGAGTCCGTTGCGTCGATAGTAGTCACAGGCTCGTCAGCGCAAGACGGAGTATCCTTCAGGTCCATAGCGGGTAAAGAGTCGTCACCGAGATCTTTGAAGGCGTCTAGGTCGTCCTCGCTATCCGACTCGTCGATGAACGGCCCGCTAGTCGGCCGACTCTTAGCCGACACAGGACGAGGCGAATCGCCTTCTTTCTTCTCATTGACGCCCTCGGACTCCTCCGTCGCGTCTACCCTGCGTCGTTTTACCGACGACGGCGCTTCCTCATTCTGCTGATCATCCTCCTTCACGTCGAGGCCCTCGCCCCAGATATCATCAGGTGTCCGCGACCGCGACCGCGCCCGTTCTACCGGCGCCGCAGGCTTCCCATTCCGATCTTCGAGAAACAGTCCACCAGCGCCAGTGCCAGCGCCCGACCCCGAGGTCACAGACCTGCGCAGACCAGGCGAGCTACTTGCGCTCTTCCCGCGACTGCCATTAGACCCCTCGCTCGGTGTCGCGAACTGTGTGATTCGGGACTGTCGGGAGGTAGCTTGGGGCGGGCCGTCCGCTTTCTGGAAGAAATTGAGAAGACTGGCGTTACGTTTGGTGGCGCTTTGCGGTTTCGACTTGGAAAACGATCGGGCGGGTGTCGAGGCTTTTTTCTGGTTGAAGCCGGCCATTTGGTTGGTAGGTCGGCGCGAATTGGAGGCGTGCGGGGATGGCGAGGGAGGCGTCACGGCGTCACCTCCAGGAGAGACGTCAATGGAGAGGATTGGCAGGTGTTATGTATGTAGTGTAAAAGTGTCTAATATGTTGTATTATGTACTGTCATTATATTTCATTCCGGGCGTGTCTCGTTGATCTGGTCGCAAAATCAGAGTATGGCGTCAAGAAGAAAAGTCGCCAGCCACGCGACCGCCCGGTTTTCCGTCACGACGTCACGTGTCGATATTGCTGTTTTGGGTTGTCGATCCGTCACGTACAGGCTCATCTTCATGGATAAACTCAACACTTCTAATGACCATCATCCTATGTCTATATTCGGAGAAATATTTGCATCCTTGATGGAATTTTGATCGGACACAATTGAGCAGTCACTTGTTACAACAATGCAGTACATCGCCCTCGAATACGGGCCTTTACGCAGCTGCATTCCACAAGCATAGTCCACGGTGACAACAGGCTTAATAGAAACAGGCATCAAGCATCATTCAACAAATTCTATGTACACTGACAGATGCCAAAGGGAACATAATATATAACAAGAAGTTCAACAAACAAGAGGTATGAAGTATGTACAAACGTAAACGACATGAAATAAACAGACAACCTCAAGCAACCACTTGAGTCTTGGGCAACGCGACATGCGAGTCCACCCCGTTGACCCTACCATTGATGCGGGAGTCCGACAACGGGGCAAGCACAGCAGCTGCAGCATTGTCTGCCGGTCCACCTAGCGCCAACAGGATCTGTTCCATGGACAACTCCTCGAAGCCCGCCGCCCGCAAGCTCCTCCCATGCGTCAGGTAATCAAACCCACTGACGACAGAGGCCAGCTCGATCAGCGAGTGGATAGTCGGCGACGACAGACCAGCCTTCAAGCCGAGCTCGTACCACGGTACCATGGCGAACAGGATATCCTCGAGCAGGTAGCGGTGGTTCATGGAGGTGGGCGCGCTCTTAGTCTTGTTGTGGATGACGGACCCGCGCGCAAAGTCATGGTAGTCGCTGAACTCCTGATCGTGGCGGTAGTTCTGGTTCATGTAGTCGGTGATGGAGACGAGGTCGAGACCGTAAGCGCGTGCGATGGCCAAACGCTCGCCGTCGATCTTCTCCGTCACGCGCGACACGGCGGGCGACATACCCTGCGCGTAGAAGAAGAAGTCGCCTCGGGTAGCTTCGATCCAGCCTGCGTTCATGAGCGCCGCCGGGCAGTGCACGACCGGGTTGATGTTGTTCAGGCCTACTTCCAGCAGGTTCTTGCACCACACGAGGCGCTGCGAGAAGATGGACTCGACTTCCTGGTGGAGGAAGTCCACGTCGGCTTGGTTGTAGTAAGAGGCCTCGGTCTCGGAGGTGGGCGGCTCGGCCCAGATGGCGAGGCTTTTCTTCACCCCCTTGACGAAGACCGTGTCTCCCGTGATGCGGGTGGCATATGGGGAGATGTCGGTTTCGAGGACATTCTTGGGATTGATCTTCTGGCGGGAGGCGAGGTAGAAGAAGTTGCCGACGTTAACGATAAGGGTGTGATGTTGAAGGTCGCACGGGCTTAGGGCCTGTAGGATGGTCTCCTGTCCGTATGAGGGCACAGTGCTCACCAGGAACGCGGAGTGTCGGGCCGCGACATCGAAATCGCTGGTCGTCTGGACCTGAAACGTCCCACTGATTTCCCCGCTGGCCTTGAGCCAGCCACCATTCTTCTCAATCATGGGAATGGCCCCGCGATGGTCGGGGTGGCCGTACAGCATCACCGACTTGCCACGGCTCGCGAGGTCGGCTGCAAATGCACACCCACAAGGCCCTGCACCAATGATGGTCACCTCTGGGGAGAGATCAAAGTTATCGACTGCCATGGTGTTACTATTCTCGGACTGGATGATGGTGTGAGGAAAAGAACGAGGATTCTTATGGATTAAAATGCTTTGATGTGCTCCTTATACTCGCGAGGACGCGCTGCTTATATAGTCACCTCATCTGCAGATCAATAACCCCTAGTCAGACACCCATATCCTGGAAATACCGATATACCCCTCCGGTTAACCGACCTCTACCTCGAATGTCCTCTCACACCACCCGGTTGAACCTTGTTGGACTCGCGGATGCAAATCGTCTGCACCGTCCCCACGTGTCCCTGACGCATCTCATGGACCCAGGGTCAATCATCCTGTTTATTATCGTGGTACCTAAGTTTTCGAGACTCAAAATCGCCCGATAAGATCGTTCTGCGCGGATCTTTCCACGCGCGGCGGAGAATCAGCCCTGCAGGCGTTGCGAATTGGATAGCAATTGGCTGTATGAGAACTCCATTACGCAACACCGTCAGATGAAGATCATCCTGAGAAATTTGTGAATCGCGTCATCAACAGTTCCCACTGATGATCAACGTAGCATACTTAGACTCCTTTTCTTAGATCATCTTATCATTGTCCGGGTGCCATCAACCCTATGCCGCTGTCAACAGCATCGGCCTTGGAGTATGTATAAGAATCCCGCCTGGAACTCATCCATTGCCCAAATTATGTGAAGCCGGCGGTTTCAATGTTGTTCCATGCCTAGCCAGTTATAAACTAGCTTTACTTCCCATCTTCCGTACTTCCCCTTTTCCTGGTCAACCGTCACAGCTAGATCCAGTACCCTTGCTAATTGGACGATCAGGGTGCAGATCCACCGTGTTTTCCATTCAGGGCATCTCCACCGGTCCTCCCAGCGGAGCCCACTAACAAAGCAAATTTTTATCGATCAATCTGATAATGAGCGACAATGAGCACATTACCCACTGTCTCCCACGCCGATGTGGATTCCAAGGCATGATGACGCAGGGGAGATCAGGGAGAACCTAGGGCTAACCTCCATTCCATCGACACCTCTGCTTACCGTGATGACCAATTTTCATTCCACAAGGTCCTACATGCTTTGATTGATCGTTGCAACTCATCTTCGACCCAGGTACCATGGCAAGTCTGATGTGAAATTGGCAATCGTACCTTGTGAAAAGAGATTGTCAGGACACATACTCTATACATCATTCATGGGTCTCCTCGGTTGAGCTGTCGTCGATCCTTCACTCCTCCAAGTAACTCCAAGTAGATCATTACAAGCTTTTCAGGGAGATCCACCACCCCACCACCCCTCCGCGGTCCACTCTTACCGGATTATTCCACTTACCCGACATGCCGTGTCGCGAGATTCGCTACTCTTGAGGTAGAGGCGTTTCTTTCTCGCTGATTCTCTCAGGAACCATCGGTACCTGGGACCTGGCTAGCCGAGTCGAACAGCAAAGAGAACGAGATTACCGGGCACATTGTCTGGTTGTCAGTATATTCATTCCATCCATGTTGCAATCAACTCGTGCCCTCTTGATTCATAATTCCTCATGTCTGACTCTAAATCCATGAGCGCGGAGTCTCCGTCGGAGGCGGCGCTCAAGCCGTACAGCTCCTTTACCCAGCTGCAGAAAAGATACATCATCTTCACTGCGGCAGGAGCAGGCTTCTTTTCATCTCTATCGGCGCAGATTTATTTTCCCGCCTTGAACATGCTATCCGAGGACCTGGGCGTGTCTGCGTCTTTGATCAACTTGACGGTGACGAGTTACATGGTCAGTACCCGTATATCAACCCATTCCGTGAGGGTTCGTGCCCTAACAGACCATCAGATCTTCCAAGGAATCGCTCCCATGTTTCTCGGCAGCTTCGCCGACCAGACCGGCCGTCGACCGGCCTACATCATCTGCTTCGTCATCTACATTGCGTCCAACATCGGGCTCGCTCTTCAGGACAACTACGCCGCACTGATCGTGCTGCGATGTATGCAGAGCTCGGGAATCAGCAGCAGCGTGGCCCTCTCCGCCGCGACGGTGGCAGATGTCGCCACGAAACAGGAACGAGGGTCATACATGGGCATCGTGATGGCAGGCAACTTCAGCGGTCCGGCCATTGGCCCCATCATCGGTGGCTTGCTGGCTCAGTATCTCGGATGGCGGTCTATCTTCTGGTTCTTAACCATCGCATCGGGCGTCTTCCTCCTTCCCCTCCTCTTTTTCCTCCCGGAAACAGCGCGTAACGTCGTTGGTGACGGCTCGAGCCCGGCCCAATCCTGGAATCGTCCGCTGATGGAGTACCTGGTCCATCAAAATCGACCATCGTCATCTCAAGCTTCAAGCTTAGAGAGCTCCCAATCCCTGGATAGCGACTCACCCCAGAAACCCAACAGCCATAAACTCCGCTTCCCGAACCCACTGAAGCCCCTCGCCGTCGTCTGCCACGCCAACTCCATCATCGTCCTCATCGTCACAGGCGTCATCATGGGCGGCAACATGACCGTTCTCTCCTCCATCACCCAAATCTACACCGCCCAATACCACCTCACAACCCTCCAAATCGGCCTCTGCTACATCACCCTCGGCACAGGATCGATCCTCGCCTCCGTAGTCACAGGCCGCCTCCTCGACTGGAACTACCGGCGTCTCGCGTCAAAACACACCTCCCCCTCTCAAGCAACATCCCCCACCCAAGACGAAAACAAAGTTCCCGTCGAAAAAGCCCGCAGCGCAATCACCATTCCGCTCGTCATAACCGGCAGCGTCACAGTGCTCGCATTTGGCTGGGTCCTACAGTACGGCGAGCCGCTGCCCGCACCCGAAGTGCTGCTTTTCTTCATCGGCATGGGCCAGACAGGGGGGTTCATCTCGACGTCGACGCTTCTGGTCGATCTACACACGTCGCAGCCGGCGGCTGCTACGGCGGCGAACAATATGGTGCGGTCGTTTTTCTCGGCTGGGGCATCGGCTGCTATTGATCCTATGCTTGCTGCTATGGGGAGGGGGTGGGCGTTTACGCTTGTTGCGTTTGTTTTGTTGGGGACGATTCCGTTTTTGTTGTTGCTTTGTGGGATGGGGCGTGGTGATAATGCTTTGAGGGGCTTATTGAGAGTTGGAAAAAGGCAAGAAGATTGCGCTCCGGAGGGCCAAGAATAGTCTTTCATTCTTTCTTCCTTTTGTTCTTCCTCTTCATTTTTCTGCTTCTTCATATGTATAAACATATCAGTGTCGTTGAGACGCCTAATACCCCAGTATTCTTGGCATACCCAAACCTCCCTCCACAAATCTCCAAGATTGAGCGTCTCGTTTCGTCTCGGTATGAGGATTGCTTCCGTGCGTATTACATATGCGATGAAATTCTGGCCCTAGCATATATCTGAGATAGTGGTGTCCGCACCTTGGGGGGGGTAAACATTCCGACCATTTCGCTATTTCCTATCCCCACTGCATACATTAATGGAGTGGCTTCAACTTTATCAGTGATGTCTGTGCTATGCTCAGTATCTAAGTGAAGACCTGAAATATTCAGATTGATACTCACATGGCGCAAGGGTGTCTGGCTTGGCAAGTTCCGATCTTTGTCTAGCATGTCTGATCAAGAGAACAACCGACGAACAATTTTGACCGACTGGGGTAAAAACGCATCGGGCAGTGGCATGGCTCCCACAAGCCCTTGCAGCCTGCTAATCGCTGTCACCAATCTGACATACAATAGACTCACTGTGACTAGTCTTTTGCTAGCGTGGCAAGACAGTTGCCGAAACTTGGGTCGGGTCGATTCTTCTAATAGTCAAAATAACCACATTGGTGATAACGGCAGGGGGCGTCTTTGAAACGAGGGTGAACATGTATTACTAGGGTCAAGTCCGCATTCGAGAATTACATCAAGCACTTCGAACGAGATCCCTCTCCTATCTAAGTTACACGCCGAAGGAGAAAGCTAGTTGAACCACTGTTGGTTCCACTGATATCATAGTGGTATGTTGTTGGGAAAACTTAGGATCCTAATTCTCAAGTGTCATGCCCGAATCACGAACCAATGTCTTCAATATCAACAAACTTTCCATTTTCATTCCTCCAAGGCCCATAGGCAGCATAGATCCTTTGTTATGCCACCCTAGACTTAAAAAGGGACATGGCAACTAGGTTAAGCTTTGGGTTTTTGTGATCGTCAACGTCATTGTCCGAGCGATATATTTTCAAGACCACTAGACCAGAACGTTGACCAACGCTTGGTATAGGGCTTAACCTGACTGATATACCCAACATATATTTCGCAAAGGCGCTTTGGGGCTTGAAAAGCCGAAATAAATAACATTGTATTGACACTTCCATGGTATCCCAAAGACCGCAGGTGTATAGTTACCACCCTCTGTCTTCCTAGTCACTACGCTCCTTTACGTCCCTTGTTCTGGTAAAACAAAAAGAATAGTCACATGGCCTACAACTGCGTATCGAAGTGTCTTGGGGCGAGTGATGTATAAATCGGCACCTTCGGCTGCTTGGAGTGGCCACGCTTCTAGACAAGGGTCTCTTGATAGTGATATCCAACATTGAATTTTAGGGTAACCATTGCTTTATTTCCCCGACCTATCCAAAAGCTAAAAGAAAGCAGTGCGCTTAGCGTACTGCCTCGAATCGAATACCTTGACGAATAGGGGTTTTCCTGAAATAAGAAATCGCCGTCAAGCCCAACCATCTCTTCCGCTTGATTTTCAGTTTCAACAAGTCAACACTGTAACCTTGGTACTTTGAATCGCTTAATGCTGCGAATCAAATCCATCACCCCCGCCGCCTTTCTTTCTCTCACATCCTAGTTGTCTCCACGATGAATATCCCTGGGATTTGATGCAGGAAAAGGTATTCGTAGTCAGTGGATTTGTAATCGGCACATCCAGGAAGGTCAGTGCAAGCCTTATCCAACCAAGTGAAGGTGTGCCTGTACACAAGTTGTTCCCCGCATCTCTTATACTTGATCAGACGACTCTTCGAGACGCATATCTCGTGCACAACAACATCGGTCTTTCCTTGCTTAATCCGGCGCTGAGCTTCATGGAAAGCCCAATTTTCGTTCTTTGTAACTGAAATCAAGGGCGATAGGCTTCTGCTAGACCAGTCGAGATGGTTTAGCACTATATTTCGGCATCTCTCATCCATAGGAACGCGTCTCGTTGTTTTTGCCAAAATAGCACCTGTGCGCCTGTCGAACTGGGCCATAGAGTCTTCATCCTCAACACGCCACGCACGCAGGAAAATCTCGTCCTGTCCAGGCATTTTGGAAAATCGAAGGCAATATAATGGAATGGACCAAGCTAGCAGAAATCAGAATAGGGACAGTTGTAGAGGAAAGTGGAAAGTTTTCCTTTGGCTTTTTCTAATGCAATGGGGGAGTGTCACATTAATACCCTTCACTGCTTCCCTGGGCTTCACTCCCTCGTCAAAAGCCACACACTATCTTCTGCACTTTACTCGGTCGTCTGGCTGAGCATTACTGGATTTAAACTGGAGTGCGCTGCCAGCTCATCTTGCGCCAATATTCCCTGTCTAATAAATGTACTTATTATATGAGAAACAAGGCTGTCTTGATTGACTGGCTGAGGATTACTAGATTTAATTAACCTTAGAGTATGTCGCCAGCTCATCTTACTACACATGCCCCCGCCGCCTAACATATCTACCCATCACATGAGGGCCAAGGCTGTCCCGGTTGGTTTTTTCCCCATGTATTGGCTGTTCAGTGCACAGGTACATAACGGGTCATATCGTACAGCCAACAAGAATAAGTAGAAATGTCTCCATTTCTTCAATCTCCCCAGAGCAACCATATGGCATAGTGGTGTAATCCGGGTTGTTTCTGTATGCGCGAACAGTTGATGTCGACGAGGTCCGATGCAGGGTGTGGGCACCAAGACACATTTGGAGCCCCAAGGCCACACATTCGCAGGTCAATGTGTTGGAGTGACTGCAATCGGTTGGCATGTCAGCTGACCTGCAGCGTTTGCAGAGTCCTTTTCCTACTGTTTTTCACCTTGTAATTTCAACCATCGAGCAACCATCAAGCACCCTTTTCATAGCTCTGAATATCATCAATTTCATCCTTTCGGACGCGTTTCCATTCCCTAAAATCAACACAATGCACCAGGCCAAGGGTACAATAGTCTTGTCTCGTGTGTAGTAGCAGGACCTGAGGGGACACGACGCCAGTCGAGCGAAAGCAGCGCTCGAGGGCTTGGAAAGACCTGTGACCCCGCGGGGGCAAGCCAGGTAGTATTAGATATATATAATTGGCATCTGGGGACATCAAGCAAGGAAGTTCGACACAAGTGGTCCTTTGAAATTCAGCAATATGACGCACCACCCAGGGTGTGGTATAACTGGATTCACCTCAATATCGCCTTATTAGACATATCAGTCTAGATTCATAGACGTGTGGGTAAATGTATGTAATTGAGATGCCAAGTAACTATTATCCAAATTGGTGTTTAATCAATCTTTTAACATTGTTTTGGATTATGATAACATATTTGTAATCCGTCTTACAATAACAATCCGATATGGTGTAACGGCTAGCATCGCTGGTTTTCACTCAGCAGATCGGGGTTCGATTCCCCGTATCGGAGCTTATCTTTTTCTTTTTTCTTCCTTTTTTGTCCTCACCTCTTTTCTTCTAACGTGCAAGTTCAGTCAATTCTACTTCATCTTCTCTTTCTGTACAATAATGCGAATACCTTCGGAGACCCTGCTAATTGCCCTCTTGTTTCAAACAAGTTCTGAGACAGACTCAGCCCACACGCAATATTAATGCCCAACCTTGCTTCCCCTATGCTATCTTTATCAACATTGATGTGCATATCGCCTGTCGCATCTCCCTAGCGTGTTGCTATACAGCCACAGCCTGGGGGCGGAAATTAAAGTCCCGCCATTGTTGACTGTTGTTATCGCCCTTGATGGCCGGGCTAATCGGGTACGACCCTAGACGGCGTCGGCGCGGCTCCTTGCAATTTATCTTGGAATTAAGCTTTCCAACCCCCGATTGGCACCGGTGGAACACGGGAGTCGAAACAAATAGAAGGACGATATACTATGCATCGAAGCGACCTGAGACAAGTCGATGCTCGCCACTCCCACGGGGGCTATTCCAAATGGTCCTTGCGATCCATGGAGAATGTGAGACTGCCGGATTCTCCACGCTTCCCGAGTCGGGCGATGTGGAGATGATACTAAGCCCCTTGGTTTGGACCCGGATTTACTAATTCACTGGTTGTGGATTTTGTGAGCCTGACTATGACCAAGATGCCCGCGGGTTTCGTGCGAATTACAAGTATCTAGCCACCACTTCCGGATTAGGGTACCCTGGTGACCGGACCGGCTGGCTGACCGGAGACGGCGGGGCCGCTGGAAACGGGGATTGGAATATGCATGGCGCATTTTCCAGTTTCTTGGCCCCTCAGCGTCACGAAGTACGTAGGGCCTGTCGATCATTTGTTCTGCAAAACTGGGATACGAGATAGCAGGTGCCCGACAAGATGTCCACATGCGGATCTTGATCCCAGTTTCGAGCTACATTGCCATTCGTTAGCAACGAGGCGTCTCGCGCAAGGGGTGGACTGGGTCTGACGGTGTATCCAGTCCTGCACCTCTAACCTTGTACATGTTGCACTGCATGCCTTCCATCCCGCTTCTAGAATGATTCGAGGCTGCTGTGTGGGTGTGGACGTGTGCGCCGAGCCCGTGCTTTCCCCCGTCGGCTATCCACTGGGTAGTCCACCCATCCAATGGCTTGCTGGATATACACACTCCATGAGCGCTGGCCAAACGTTAACTTTACCGACCCTGCAGGGGACGTCGCAAGAATAAGTACTGATGGGGGCCATTGTAGACAACCAGGCCGATCCCGTGCGCGATTATTGCGATAGGTCTGGTGCCTGCCCCAGTCCGGCGCATTATGCCCGTTCATATTTTTGTGTCCTTCGTGATGCCGCTTCTGGAAGTCGACATCACCTGCCAGTACGAATACAAAACCTCTTGCATTCCCGTGGGGCAGATCGCTCGATATCTTCCCCTCTTCGATTTCACGCTATACTGTACTTCTTGTCTGTTGATTTTGACTCATTCTTTTCGATTGACTGATGTTATTGGTGCCCATCATTTGCAATGCCGTTTCTATTAAATAAACCAGCAGATGCGGTGGGCTCTGCCACCCCAGCTATTGCCATCGGCTTGTTCGCGGCATTTGGGGGTCTACTATTCGGGTGATTACTGAAACTGTCCCCTGTCCCAGACCCAACTAACTTCGATAGCTATGACACGGGCACGATCAGTGGCATCCTGGCCATGAAATACTGGCGAGAGCTCTTCTCCACCGGCTACGTCAACCCGAAAGACAACTTCCCCGATGTGACCTCTTCCCAGTCCTCGATGATTGTATCCTTGTTGTCAGCGGGCACGTTCTTTGGTGCACTGACGGCCGCTCCTGTTGCGGATCATTTCGGTCGACGGTGGGGCATGATCATTGATTCGGTGGTCTTTTCGTTCGGCGTGGTCCTGCAGACCGTGGCTACTTCGATCCCGCTGTTCGTTGCGGGAAGGTTCTTTGCTGGCTACGGGGTTGGTCTTCTATCAGCCACTAGTATGTTCTATCTTACTCTGTTGCTCGCGGCGACGTACTGACCCGACAGTTCCTCTTTACCAGTCTGAAACAGCCCCCAAGTGGATCCGGGGAACCATCGTCGGCGCCTACCAGTTAGCAATCACCATCGGACTGCTGATCGCGGCCATCGTCAACAATGGAACCAAGGATCGCATGGACACCGGGAGCTACCGCATCCCCGTTGCTCTTCAATTTGCCTGGGCTATCATCCTCGTCGCTGGGATGTTGATGCTTCCAGAAACTCCCCGCTTCCTCATCAAGAAAGACAAGCATGAGATGGCCGCCAAATCTCTGGCTCGCCTCCGTAGAATGAACATCAATGACTCTCCTATTGTGGAGGAACTGGCCGAGATCCAGGCCAACCATGAATACGAACTCAGTCTGGGCCAGGCCAGTTACATGGACATCTTCCGTGGAACCTTGGGGAAGCGCCTGGCGACCGGGTGTGGTATCCAAGCTTTGCAGCAGCTAGCCGGCTGTAATTTCATTTGTAAGTCCACCGTGACCGGCTTGGTATAACCAGCGTTGAAACTGACCACACAAAGTCTACTACGGCACCCACTTCTTCCAAGCCTCCGGCATCCAAAACGCCTTCACCGTCCAACTCATCACCAACATCGTCAACGTGTGCTCGACCTTCCCAGGTCTCTACATGGTCGAGCGCTGGGGCCGGCGACCCCTCCTCCTCTACGGTGCAGTCGGCATGTGCGTCTCGCAGCTCATTGTCGCCATAGTCGGCACAGCAACCTCATCAGACGTGGCCAACAAAGTCCTGATCGCTTTTGTCTGCGTGTATATCTTCTTCTTCGCCAGCAGCTGGGGTCCCTGTGGGTGGGTCGTCACGGGCGAGCTGTTCCCGCTCAAGGCGCGCGCCAGGTGTCTATCGATCACGACGGCCACGAACTGGCTGCTCAACTGGGCCATTGCCTATTCTACGCCCTACTTGGTGGACGCGGGTCCCGGCAATGCCAACCTCCAATCCAAGGTGTTTTTCATCTGGGGCGGGTTCTGCTTCCTGGCCGTTATCTTCGTCTACACGTCGATTTACGAAACGAAAGGGCTTAGTCTCGAGGAGGTAGATGAGCTTTATGCGAAAGTCACTTCGGCGTGGCATTCGCCTGGGTTTAAGCCCTCGTCGATTATCACAGGTGCGCTGGATCATAAGGCGAAGCTGGATACGTTGGAGGAGGAGGATTCCCAGGTGAAAAGCGATATGGAGCACACGGAGAAGGCTTGAGACAAAGATTTGGTATGTGGAGTATTACGTGGGATTGCTTGATGTGCTGGGGTTTCTCAATAGCTTTGAGCATCCTCGTATTGACGGACAGAGTGCCGTCCTTGTAATAGTACGCCGTGTACGCTATTTATGTGGCTTGCATCAAATAGTTTGCATTTCCCTGGGCACAACAACAGGGGTAGCTGGCCTGCAATCAGCTGCTAATATCAACCTTGTATCTATGACAAAAATTCTATACCCGTATCAAAGACATTGCTTTCCATGGATTGTAGAGACATTGATGCCTGAGTCCACCACGGCCGGCCTTGATCATTTCTCAGGCATCTATAGAATTACATAATGAATCACATGCACCATGCGAAACACGGGGAAGTCACGGGACTTGGCGGACCCCGGAGATCAGCCTGAACATCATCCCGCATGTCTATTTTCATCTTCTCCACCGTTTCAAATCTCCTATTCCACCCCTTGACTGTCCGCGCTGGTCGCCAATCCCAGGGCTGATAAGATGAGGACCTCTGTTACCTAGATATTCCTCTGCGCGCCTTGACCACTTCTTGTTGGCAGTGCGAATTCAATGCACGATATCTTGATTCGTCCTTCACACCAGGATGACGACTGAACTGAAGCACCAAAAACAGCCCCCGGGCGACCGTTCTTCGGATTTCGAATTGCGAGAAATCAATAACACCACCGACATCGAGGAAAAAGAAACCACCTGCAATGTCACCGACAGCCTCCTGGGCCACCAAACACCGCATACCGCCAGTTCGACCGAAGCGCCGCACCCGCTCTTCCCCCCGCTGCCGTCCTACGGACCGCCGTCGCTTACCGCAAATATTCAATATATGCTAGTACGATGCGTGTCGTTTTTTCTCTCGCTGGCCTTCTTGGGCGCAGTGGTAGCGGGCGCTCTTGTCCAAGGCGTGACCGGAATCCTGGCAAGTCTTCGCTTGCGCGCTAGTGGCCAGGATCCCAGTGTTCGGCGGATATTTCACGTGGAAGAACAAGAGCGACAACGAGAACGGGATAAGGCACATCGGAGATGGAAAAGGCGACAGGGGAAGAACGAAGTCGACGAGGAGGCCCCGGATGAGTGTCCCCCGCTGGAGGGCGGGCAGGATCCAGTTGTCTGTGATGTGGCATATTACGCACGGAGAGTGGGCCTCGACATAGAGACCTTCAAGGTGCAAACGGAGGACAATTTTATCCTCACGTTGTGGCATGTCTACAATCCTCAAGAATATACCCCGCTGTCTGCACAGGCGAGACGGTATCGTGGGCCGGAGGTATTTGCCGATCGGAAAGACCCGGCATCGCATCCGGCTTCAAATCGCAAGTATCCCGTGCTGTTGATCCATGGACTACTACAAAGCGCTGGCGCTTACTGTGTCAATGATGACGATAGCTTGGCTTTCTATCTCGCCAAGTCGGGATACGATGTGTGGCTCGGAAATAACCGGTGCGCGTTGCGACCGGAGCATACGACCCTGTCGCCATCGGACCCGCGGATGTGGTCGTGGAACCTACAGCAGATGGGCACATTGGACGTGTCGGCTCTCATCTCTCGAGTCCTGTACGAGACCGGCTTCGACAAGCTGGGTCTCGTCTGCCACTCGCAAGGCACCGCGCAGACACTAGTAGCGCTCGCCAGAGACCAGCGCCCCGATCTAGGCGAGCGCATCTCAGTATTCTGCGCCCTCGCACCAGCCGCCTACGCAGGCCCACTCGTCGAACGCGCCTACTTCCGCTTCATGCGCGTCATCTCGCCCTCCATCTTCTACGCCATATTCGGCATCCACTCATTCATCCCATTCATGATCACCATGCACGACTGCCTCCCGGGAAGCATCTACGGCACAATGGGCTACTACGTCTTCTCCTTCCTCTTCAACTGGAGCGACACACGCTGGGACCGTGGCCTCCGCGACCGCATGTTCCAGTTCGCGCCCGTCTACGTAAGCACCGAAACCATGCGCTGGTGGCTAGGCCGGGAGTGTTTCGCGACGCAGAAATGCATCTTGTCCACCCACGAAGTTAGCCTCGCTGAAATGGAAGAGGACCACCGGGTAGAGCGGGGCGTCGCAGACGCAGATTCTCGCAGCGATACCGCGTGGTTCGGCCCCCAGGCGCCGCCCATGGCGCTGTGGATCGCGGGATCTGATGACCTTGTCGATGGACGCCGGCTGCTCCGGAGGCTGCGGAATGGGCGGGAGCCGCATGTGAATCTTGTGCATGCGAAGGTCATTGAGGAGTATGAGCATTTGGATGTTCTTTGGGCTATGGATGCTGTGGACCAGGTGGGGCAGGAGATCAGGCAGGTTTTGTGGTCGACTATTCCGGAGACGGCGAGAGATGTGTGTCGTGTTCCTGCTGGTGTGCGGTGATTATTCACCTTTTAGATCGCAGACATCGTAAAGATAACTTGCATGAGCTGATGTAATCTGTCCAGAGAGTCTGGAAGGGGGCGAAGCATAGGATTCACATGAAGCTGGCACAGGGGCTCGGAACTGTATACTATGTACAATATACTTATCGATATATTCATGTATACTGATTATCAAGAGCAAGACAAACCCGAAACTAGACACTCGAAGTACTTCCTCAATTGGAACTGAAACTGCTCCACTAGATTCTAGTGAACCATGCAAGCGGTTCATGAAAGATATCTTTTGTTTCGTCAGGATGGACTAGAGTACTATCAGAAAGCCCATCGAGCCTATTATGCGCATCGCAGACAAAATTTTCATCTACGTATCTCACAGATACTATTCACCTATATCATTATATATACTTTAAATAACCACGAGGGAGCCCTCGAAAAGCTCCCCAAAAAAACTAGATAGGGCTTCCCAGATCACGAGACTCCCAAAGTGGGATACAAGATTATCCACTTTGGAAGTATACAGTCAAGACCCACTTCCCTGACGTGACAGAAAGAAATGCAAGGGTCCTTCTGCATACTTCGGTCCTCGGTACCTAGTTAACTAGCTCCGGGAGGGGCTGTATTGCGGGGTTGTTAATATATTATAGTATGTTAATCGCTTGCTGAAGAGTACGCTAGAGGTCAATCATGTAAGCTTGAAGATGGCATTGAGGTTACGTGTTTGGTTCGTCTGGTTTGTTTGAATATAGGATTTAATCACTGAGTTGGCCACGAGCAGTCAGCTCGCCTGGTGGTGGGATAGATCGGCACGGTCTCGGAGAAGTCCGAACGGCGTTGAATCGAGTGTGGGTAGTGAGTGGCGAGCGGGCTATAATTAGAAACTACGTGATACTTGACAATATTCACAGCTTGAAAATGCCCATTGTATTAAATTTGGAGAGCGTTGAACGAGCTCAGGTTGGAAAACCCATATGTGATTCCAAATTAGATATTGCTTGATGATGAATAATTATGTACAAGTGAAAATAGAAAAAAAAGTGGAGCTGATCAGCAGTATGACTCCAAACAACAAACATCATAAATCGTAAGTTGAACAATCATTTTTTTGTAAACATCACCACTAGTGCTGCACCTTGCGGTCGCCCATGATGAAGCCATCCGGCGCCATCGACGAAGAGTACGGTGGCGGTGCCAAATCCACACTGTCCTCGTCTGAGGGATCTTCTTCAGTGGTACTGCCAGGCTCTTCCTTGATCATGGCCTGGACTTTGGGGTCTGTCGCGAGGGGAATGTCGCTGGGTATATCGAGTTTCTGAAAAAGAAAATTAGCATTTTGCCAGTAGAAAGAAAAGGAAGAAAAGAGGAAACTTACCTCCCCATGCACACCAATAGCAATAACCTCCCCCTCCGCGACCTTCCCAATCAGCCTCCCCTTCTTCCACACGCCATTCCTCAAGCGCATGCCCTTAAACTCCGTTCGAAAGATCTCACAATCCTCAACATCGCACTCCACCAACGTCGTGCGTTTGACCTTACAGCGCAAAAGACGCACTTTATCCAGCGTGCTCCTGCAGACCACACTCTCCGACACAGTCGAGTCCTTCACCCCGCACCTCGCAAGCGAGCTCTTCTCAACGAGACTCTTCTCAGCACTAGTGCGCCGAATAGATGGCACGTCGCGCAGGGTGGAGCTGTCCGCGACGACGGACCGGGCCGCAGGGACGTCGACCAGCTCGCTGTCAGCAAGGGTGCAGCGGCGGGCGGAGGAGCGGGTAAGCGTGGAGTTGGATGCTTTGGTGCGGGAGACGGTCACAGCGGGCGGTTTCTTCGATTTCTTCGCCTTGTCTTTGTCTTTTGGGTCGAGGGGTGGTGGTGGGTTGGTTAGGTCCACGGTGGAGAGGTCGCTGCGGTGGATGCGGTCGGATGAGCTGAGGGACTGGAAGGTGCAGGTTGTTATGGTTGAGCGGGTGATGTTGGGGGAGGAGGTTGTGGTTGGGGTGGAGAGGGTGGTTGATGCTATTTTGCTGGACATGTTGATCCGCAATTTGATGGTTTTGTTGTAGGTTCTTATTTTCCCCAGTGGGTTTCGTTGGCGTGGGTGAGATGAATTGGTGGTGAGGTGAGATGGGTGTGGTGAGATTATATCACGGGAATGTTGCTGCCTTATAGGTATCACCAATTTGACGGTGGCGTTCATGTGGAAAGTCGTGTGGATATCGTGTGGATGCCGTGCGGGGCCTTTTCAGCTCTCCGTGATGGATCCACCGATCTGTTATTCACTGGTTGGACAGATCGCTGGACTCGGTCTTTGACTGTTTTATCGTTCTTTGTTACATCTTAATGATCTTGGCGCACTTATATATAGTGTCCGTCAGACCCAATTGCTATATCGAGGATATGTATCAAAGACTGCTATTCTGCCATTGCGATCTATTCTATATTCACCTTGCTGACGCCCTCCATGATCCATACTGAGATACGGTAAAGCAAAAAAAAAAAAAAAAAAAAAAAAAAAATCAAAATCAAAATCAAACGAAACAAAAAACAAAACAAAGCGGAGCACGATGGTAACCAAAAAGCTAAAGAGGGCTAAATCGGACAGGAAGACTGGTACGGCCGAGATCTGCGAATCAAATATTTTGACCATGCTTTCTCCGTACGTGCTCCTTCAGATTGTCCAATCGATTGCATGTCTTTCTGCATCTTGGACACTTCTGGGAAGAAGGAAATATGTGTTTCGTATTAACATGTCGCTTTAACTCCTCCCTTCGACCAAAGCCCTCGGCATAGCAGCCTCTCCATTCGCATCTCAGTGGTTGAACCGCATCCTCTCTACGAGCAATGTTAAAACCGCAGGAAATGGCCAATCTGGCTGACAGGCAATTTACCTTTCAGGAGAAAAATTTGCCTGACCATCACGTCTTTGGGTATTGTGGATGACACGGTCGACAGGCATCTGCATCGCCTGGATACCGACAGTCGTTGAACGACCGTCTAATACTGCTTTACTCCCACCGTGTATAGATGGAAGGGCCTCCCAATTGTCATTTGGAAGTCTTCCAAAAGACGTCTGGCTGACCGGTCCAGGTACCAAGCCGATATCAGAGGTCACCCAGGCCGGGACGGACCTTGGATGAACCGATGGTGCGAAAGCTCCCATGGAAGGACCGAACCAAGCAGGATCAACATATCCAAATGGTTGCTGTTCCATGAATGCGGACTCGTCCTGAGGTACTATAATCGTCCTGTCATTTCCGACGGGCCAATCGTTGGACAAATACCACGCCGACTGGCCATTAGGGTTCGACATTGTGATCTGAGAACTGAACGAGAAGATCAAGGATGGGAGTGACAGATCTGCGATAGAATCTATAGGTGTGTGTGTACTGATATGAAACTCACCCCATGGCCTGGGAACGTTCGTCTTTTATAGAGGGAAAATGGAAAATCCCCTCCTTGCCCTAATGACAACCCTGAGCAACTCAGGAACGGATCCTTCGATCGTCGAGTCTGCCTGCAAGGCGGTTCATTCTTTTTTTTTTCTTTCTTTCTTTCTTTCATATTTTGCTATCACCCAATCATTGACTGTTCCTATCTTACCTGACCAATAAGCCTGCTTCTATGCCGAGACGTAAACTTGTAGTGGGGACAAAATTTCGTTTTGGCCAAATCACATCGACGGTTCACTACCGTATAGTACGGAGTAAAGTCCATTGCCGAGCCCACCACAACTTCTGTGGAAAGTCCCCACACCGTTATTTTGTCAGTCTCCAATCACAGTCCAAGGGAGATATAAATACTCCAATTAAAATAAGGCAAAATAAGCTATACTATCATCCTGAATCTCCACAGGTGCCCCAAGGTACAGGTCGGAGGTAGATTTCTACCCCAGTATCTCGAATATGGCTTCATTGAGACGGTTTAGCAATCGCGCGCATATTATATGACCTCAAACTCACCCGTATCTTCGATTCTATCTCTACTCCGTTCTCGACTATCATGTCCCAAAAGCAAACCGAATAGAGAGCAACGGTGTGCAGTGAAAACGACCAATGTTAAGTGGTAAATAAGCCTTCTCTCTTTTGCCACGCCAAGTCCACGCGGGGCTGGTTTATGGCCACAGATTCTGGAATACATACACGCACGCAGATTTTGTTGCCGGCCAATCAACGTCAGAATCTTGTTGTCATGATTGCCTGATATGGTGAGGCTCGAGGCGTCTCTGTGACGTGGACGAAAGGGGTGGGAGGACTCGCCAGGGCACTGACCAGGGATCGGCACAGCCCTCATGCCCGAATTCCAATGCAGCTTGAGGTATGGACCATGAAGATCCGTGATTTATCTGAGATACTTAAATAGTTGCCTCAGCCCAGCGTCCCATCACCCCATTTCCATTTTTTTTGTCTTCACCGTTTCTTCATCAAACTCTCTTCCCTTCAGCCCACATCAACATGGACCAGTCAAAATGGGATCTCTACAAGGCCGAGATCCGTCGTATCTATATGATAGAGCGCAGAACGCTAAAAGAATTGCGCAACTTCATGGTCACGACCCATGGGTTTCAAGAAAAGTAAGCCTTCCATGTTTCTTTAATTGGTTTGGTAGGGACATCTGGTACTGACAAGTCAAAGAGAAAGCCAGTACCACAGGAAACTCAAACAATGGCGATTCAGGAAGTACCGCATGGGTGCTAAGAAGTGGATTTACGTCAAGCGACAGATCGAAAAGAGAAAAAAACTGAATAAAACAAGTGAGGTGTTTATTAATGGTGAACGGTGCCCCCCCCATGTTGTCCGGGCCGAAATTCGTCGACAGGGATTTGAACCGGTAGTGGACATCTATAAAACAGGTGCGTTTGACTCACTGGGAGTAACAAGGTGATGCTGATTTGTTCCAGCACCGTCTCCCGGGGCTCGAGATGATGTTAGGGTCTGTACTCCTGGCCCATTGACACTGCAAGTATGGCCTTCGGATCTACCGTGGTTCAACTTCTCGCAAACCGCCTTGCGTGATATTGCACAGAATCATTTCCCGCAGAGGGAGAGTCTCTCCCATTCCTCTCTTTCCGCTCTCCACGAAAAAGACAGTTATCTTGAACTCGTCAGCAAAAAAATCACGACCCGCCTCGGTTCCCTTCTGGCCGGAAAAGCTGCAGACTGCTCATATACTTCCGAGGGTAGCTCTCGCATGGCCGCTGTTTTGAGCACCATCATGCCGGAAGAACATATGGGTCAAAACATGAACATATCGGACTGTCTCTGTCGAATAAGGGATGAGGCGGACTTGACTGGGGTCATACGTATTGCTCTGTTCATGATGTCTAACAACTTCTGGCTACAAGCAACCAATGCGTCGGGAAATGAAATCCGTACCGAAGATGAAACGGTTCTAAGAGTCTTTTATCTATCTGGGCTGTATGCAGACCAGAACATCAGGAGCCTACTGTCTATGCCCGGTGCAACGGCACACGCTATTTCTCTGAGACTCTGGGCCAGTGCCGTGAGGACACATAATTTGGAGGCCGTCCAATCACTATTGAAAGCGGGCATAAATCCAGACACTCCAGTACTATTCAATGATGACCCGGTTCAACCTTTGGAGATAGCAACCCAATCTCAAAATAACGCTGTCGCGCTGGAGATGAGTTGTTCGCTTTTGTCTTACAATGCTTGTTCCAAAGATTCTCAAACGCTAGAGTCAGCATTATATCATGCAACAGAAGCTGGAAATAAGTGTCTTATGGAATTGTTTCTTTCAAAGGGGGCACACGTCTCTGGTAATACGCTCAAGGCTGCCATACATTTGAACACACCCGATCTTTTGGAAACCCTCCTCGCCGCTGACAGTGACGTTAATAAGCGATGCGATCATGAGGTTTGCGACAAACAATACTCAGTGCTTGGAATCGCCGTAAAGCGGAATAATGTACCGCTGACACGAAGACTTCTTTCTTTGGGCGCAAAAATTGACGCATGTCAGCAAGTCTGTTTTCCAAACTACACCGTTGAGAACTGGCAAAGCACAACGTTGGGGCTAGCAGCTATAGAAGCAAACGATTCTATGATCGATCTTCTCCTCACTGCTGGTGCTGACGTCAATCACAAAACGAGTGAATCTTTCTATGCACCACCACTTGTACTTGCCGTTGAAAATGGTCACAAAAGACTCACCGAGCGTCTTCTTGAGGCAGGCGCTGATGTGGCTTTAGCGGATGCAACTGGTGGCAGTACACTTGTCCAACGGGCTCTTGCAGGAGACAACCAAGAATTAAGCATGGTTCTGGAGGCAAATGGTGCTCGAGTCGAATCAAAGTTCATCGAGGACGATTATTCTTCAAGGTTGATGCAAAAGGTTAGAGATAATGATCTTGAAACCGTGAGGTATCTGATTGGCTGTGGAGCAAGAGTCAACGACACCCATGGAGGAGACACCGTCCTCGGAGCAGCCGTGCGCCAGGGAAATTGCGAGATAGTGAAGATTCTGCTGCGAGCCGGTGCCGTGAACATCGGGGAGAAACTGGACCGTATCGGTGATGTGGAGACTGCAATGCATTTAAAGCAGCGAGGAATGCTATCAGGCATCCTTCTGTCGAATGGACAACAAATCTTGGTGAATGCCATAAGGTCCGATGATAGCGGCTTGGTCCAGTTTTTGTTGGACTGTGGAGCGGACCAAGCAAGTGACAATATCGAACGTCGAAAGAATCGGTTTCTGGAATACGATAGTCCAAGCACCCTCGGCATACTCACCACTCCACTAGAACAAGCAACCCTTAAGGGTGAGCTTCAGCTGGCCGAAACCCTGGTGGAGCGAGGTGTCTCTATAACCGATTTCGAACTATGTGAAGCAACAAGACGGTGTGGTCATTATGGGGATTTTGAATTCCTTAATTTATTCTTGCATGGACTTGATGGCCGCGCTTGTGCAGCCCCCAACTCATATGCAAGTGCATTGTCGGCCTCTAATTCTTCATTTATTGTTGCCCGCTTGTTGAACACTGGGTTAGACCCTCGAGGCAAAGTCATAATTTCTACTGACAACATTATTCAACGCAAAAGGCTATCATCTATGTCCGTACTCGATATAGGAGCTATGTTGGGAGAAAAAGAGCTCTTCCGCAGTTTGCTCAATTTTGGGAACTGGGACAGTCAAACAAAGGGACAAGCTCTCGCCATGTGCATCGATGGCGAATGCAAAGATCTTGTCCAAGAATTATTGGACGCAGGGGCCGATGTGAATCATCAGGTACTAATAGACGCGAGTTATGTGACGCCGCTCGTTATCGCAGTGCAAGCGCAGGACGTCTCTATGATTCTCAGTCTACTCACTGCTGGTGCCGATATTGGCTGGACTTCCCCCGAGACCTCATCCGGCAAAGATCTAACCATCCTTCAACACGCAGTCAGCACTGGAGACAAGGAAATTGTCGAGATTTTATTACAAGCAGGTGCGGATGTCAATGCACCAGCCTCCAGACACCTTGGAAAATCTGCCTTACAGTGTGCGGCACACGGCGGTAACATGGAGCTGGTCGATACTCTTTTGATGGCTGGGGCTACCATTAATCAAGAACCGGCGGAAGCAGGGGGGGCTACGGCACTCCAATTTGCTTCCATTCTAGGATACATCAATATTGCGCGCAAGCTGCTCAGCGAAGGCGCCGAAGTCGATGCACCCAGGGCCCTGTACTGGGGTAGAACCGCATTAGAAGGGGCGGCCGAATTTGGTCGCATTGACATGCTACAGTTACTCCTCACTGAGGGGGCGTCAGTGCACGGACTCGCCAGGCGACAGTATATTAGGGCCATAAAGCTTGCCGGGAGTCGCACGCATTATGCCGCGGCAAAGCTTCTGAGGGATTTTGGGGGCTGGGGGGAGGATGACGCTTGCCAGATTGAACAGGAAGTTTTTGATCTTGATGAATATGAACGCATAAATGGTTAGCGATCCTGAGAAAATGAGGCGGCCGGAAATTTTGTTCTTTTATATAGTTCATTTCCTCGCAGTATTATCTTTTCAGCATCCTTTGATCGGATAAATCTATCTATCTTTCTATCAGGAGATGGGCGCGTTGTTCGCATCCATGAACATGTGGCGCAATGTGGCGATCAACAGGGAGACTCGCAGAATCAAAAGGCTGGTTTATTGATCAATGCTGACAGCTCCTCCTAGATTGTGTAGCAACCCCGGCACAACGTTCATTCCCATTCTCAAGCTCGTGGCTCACCTCGACGTTGGTATCTGAACAGGGAACCCCCAGTGTGTGGCGCTGTGGGATACAGTGATTATCACACAATCAACAGCCAGTATAACCAGGACTACGAATGCGAGAATATAGCTAGTGACATGAGCTACATCATGCGTTACCGAATCATGCAAGATCCTCGCCAGTGTATTGGACTGATTGAGGATTTGAGCAACGCCATACACTGAACTTGGCTCTATTCTGTGTCTGGACTGACTCGAGATTAGGAAAAGGACAGCGAATTCCATGCCGACGTGCCCTTAAGATCATGTTTGTGGGTCAATCTTTTAGTAAATCCGAAGCTTTCTTCTTCTGGAAACACGTTTGGCTTCAAGCTGAACCCTGGGCTAGAATTATCGGCCGGCCAATGAAATTTGAAACAGAGGCTTGACTCGATTCTCAGTAATCCATGGCCTGAACTGAACGTGGAACTCCCGATCAATCTCAGTCCTTGGAATCGTATATCTCCGTCTTCAGCCATCTCGCAGCATCAGCATACGCCTGCTGGGTGAGAACATGGCGAAACTCTTCCCTCTCCCGAACCCACCGGCGCACAAAGTTGAAGCCGTGTTGCGCCCCGGTAACTCTCTTCCAGCGGATCCCATTGACCGTCCAGTCATTGACCTCGCCGATGGGTTGCCGTGTCTCTTTCCCCTCTGCATAAACCCTAGCCGCGCACTCCGCCTCCCGACAGAGATTGTCATGCTCCGCCCCGATGAAGAATATCTTCGGTGGAAGCCTCCCCCGATCCGCATACACAGGACTCAAAAATGGATCCCTCAGGTTCTGGCCATCAGGCACATAGGAATAGTAAAACGTATCAGACACGCCCTCTAGCACATCGCGCATCCCATACTGATCCGCCCTATACGCACCCTTATACCGACCCGAAAAATCAGTTACCGGGTACCACGCCAGCACCCCCTTGATGCTCGACCCCTGCATCTCATCCCTCAGCGCCACAGACAAGGATAGGTTTCCTCCCGCAGAGAATCCCCCCATCGCAACCCTGTCCCTATCAACCGGCAAACTCTCATCCGCCAAGACACACCGAACAGTCTGGACCAAATCATCCGTCTGACACGGGAACTGATACCGGGGTGCCTTGGGGTAATTCACGCTAACCACGCAGATGCCATGCTCGTCAGCGAGATACCGGCAGAACTCGCCATCGTGGCTCGGATCCCCCGTGGCGAATCCCCCGCCGTGGATGTCGATGTAGAGCGGGTGGGTCTGCCCCGCTTCGTGGGAGCTAGGGATCCAGACATCGTTCCACATCCGCTGACCGACCGGGTAGTGTTTTCTGTAGGTCGATTGGGGGCGAAATTGGGAGATGCGGAGTCTGCGCGCAAGCGATACGGCGATGCGCACGGCGACTTTTATCACCCAGATTCTGCAAATGAAGGAAAGACGTGTGAGGAGGGACCAGCGTTGTTTGGGGCGCGCTAGCTGCTGTTGTGGCTGTATTGCGGCGTCTCGCAGTAGAGGAGTTCGGTCGTCTGCCATTCTATTTGTTTTTGTGGAGTGTGTTGGAGTTTGCAATTGTGATGGAAGATAGATAGAGATCAGGAGGTCAAACGGAGAGAAGAGAAAGATTCCATGAGTGAGATTTAGAGTGTGTCTAAACTTGAGGAAGAAAATATCACCTCGGTAGGTGTAGTGGAAGTCGACGTCGCGATCGGGGCGATGTTGATGGCTCACGCTATCTCCATTGTTGATCTCTTCCCAATGCGGTAATCCGTACTTCTCCTCTCACACTCGCGTGCAGATAGCGTATCAGGCTGATCTTCACTTTGCCGTCATGGATATCTCAAACCACAGTCCATCAACCGACCAAACTATTGGAGAGATTGTAGCAATCTATTCAAATATTTTCTCTTTGAACGTATTGCGAGCCAAATACTCGGAACATTCGAGGCGAATGCGGACTAAAATTCGAGTATAGGGACCCAAAATTGAATCTTAAAAGCCTACCACGCTCGGCGGCACAATTAAACACCACTCAGGTTTGCGATTTCGACTACACATGAGTAGTAGCCAATGGATCAGAAGGTTCCACCCATGGCTCAGTGTTTACTACCTAAACCTTGTCTCGCATCAAATATTGTGACAGGCCAGTCAATCACATGGTCCATGGGCTAGGTACTAGTGATCGACCAGTCCGACAGTAATTGGGAGAAGGACTGGATTGTTGACTAGATCTGATCTAAAGACACGTGGCCTGATTCGCATGTTGAAGCAAATTTCCCAGGTTATGAGGCTGGAGCCTCTACAGCTACCATATCATCATCTTTTGACCCAATCTAACCAGAGGACGAGTTTTACGATTGATATATATCATTCACCTACATAAAGCAGAGATATTGGCCACATGAAGCGGAGATTACCCTCATACAAGACAGATTTCATGAAGAGAGAATACCTGCATAAGAATGCAGAGATTCCCCGCACGAGGCGGCAAAGCACTGCCCAACGCCCGGAGAGTTGGAGATAGCCTCCTGGGGAGATCGGTGTCTACGGACTGGCAGCTACCAGAGGGCAGGACACCAGAGATTCCATGGAACATCATGATTTTATGCGTTTACTTGATTTGAATAGCTTCATACCTGCCCGGTTGAGTGACTGCAATCGATCAAGACGCCAGCTGACTTGCAGAGTCCTTCACTACACCATTGGTGTTTAAACCATGAAACCTTTTGCGACCTTTGGCAACTTCTTTAATATCTCCAACTTCATCAATGTTATCATCCTTTTGGCTGTTTTCATCGGTTATTTCCACACAGAGCTTTCTGCACTGCTTGTATTTTGAGATATCTTGCAACCTTGCACAATCTCTTTCGATAGCTTCAAGATTATCAGTTTTATCATCCTTTTGACTGTTTTCATAGGTCCTACAAAAGACATCCTGTGCCAGACTGAAATAGTTGACCCAACATCATGTCCTTTACCAACCTTCCACTGGAGCTATTCCAGGAAGTTCTTCTTCACCTCGATTCCAGGGGTATTCAGTCTTTTCGCCTGGCTAATCGGGCTTTCAAGGAAGCCTGCAATGCCCCCCCCCCCCCCCCCCTGGCTGAGGTTTCTCACTCATTTGACGACCGATATATCCGATGACCAACTTGACTCTCTCGAAGAATTGGTATCGCACTATAAGCACACTGACCATTCTTGCTACGTGCAAGTACGAGCTCAATCTGCAAGAGACCCTGGAGTGGGAGCGGAGAAAGCGGTTGCAAAACCCCGCTGTGTCGAGGAAGGCCATCGCAAAACCAGCGCGTGCCGCAGTGCCACGCGACTTAAACTGGTTCCTCACTCAAGGGTGGATCAAAAACCCAGAGGCTCGTAGGTATGACACTGTCATTCGCTTGGCTTCGATCTTGTCTCGTCTCGAGAGTCTCGACACCGTCAAACTAGAGCCAGCTATGGTGTGGGAAAATCAGGTGATCAGCCAACATGCTATCGGGATGGATCTTCGGGATGTGCATTTTATAGCCTTGATGGCCATGGCCCGAAGCAGTACCCCCGTTTCCACATTGGATGTCTTTCGCGATCCCGCGTTCTCAGGTTTTAGTTTCGGGGGTCTGGGAGATGCAGTAAGTTTATATTCGCCTGAGCTGACGATTATTGGGGCAAGATTAATTAAAGACTTTGAAGTTGAGCGTGATCACTGCAAGGGGCCCGGACTCGCGCACAAGTAACGACACCACTAGCCTTGCACGTTTTCTCCAATTCACTCCTTATCTTCGTCAGTTTGATCTGGACTTGCGAGTATCTTCTTTCGATCAGGCCAACAGCGACGAAATATTTGTAGCCGTGGCTAACGATGTGTACCTGCCGCGACTGGAAGATTGCAGGCTGTCTGGGTTCATTCTCCGAAATCAAGAATCGATCTGGAAGCTTTTCACTAAACATTCCAAGACACTCGAGCGGGTGTCTCTGTCTGAGATGGATGCTGATTTGGGGACATGGGAACTTGTCCTCCGTGGCTTTGGTTCGAGAGAAGCCTTCCCTGTGTTTAGATATATGCGTCTCCGAATGCCAAGGGTAAGGGGTATAGACACATACATCCGATCCACGGTAATAACGAGAAGTGAGAGCGGAGTAATGGAGGAGAGAATAGGATGGTGACGAGCATCTTTGAATCACTAAAAGAAGCCAGAAATATGGCATGATCGCTGCTACTGCTGTACATCCAACACTTCAAGCCATAGACAACAGCGCCTACAACGAGTTTTTGCGTCCACCTTTAGCAGAAAGAATAGATTGATAACGAATGATACCGCTCTTTACCAGCATTATAACCCATAATTCCTTCTTTCACATTGTAGTATCAACTTCTCTATCCCAGGAGACGACGCAACATTGCACAGGAAGTGCCTGCCCAGATAGCTGCCTCAGGCCGACACAACCCAACCGCCGAACGTCATCGTCACCCGACCAGCCGTGCCCTAACTAACCAAAGGCAACAACATGATAACATGATTCAATCAATTGAACCTGTCAACCCTGTCCATAAACGAGATTTTAATCTATTTTCGCCCGCCCGCTGCAAGTGTCCACATTCTAGAATATTCAGACGAAGCTGCCCCGCTCAAGTCACCCTGGACTCGGAGATTCACCGGGCCTTCTCAGCCAACGCTTGCGCGCGCCAAGTCCTTCAATTTCCCACACCCCTGCTGGTTTAATATAAGGCAGTGGCTCCACCGCAGGGTATCTAACCAGCATCGGCATTGTTAGCCGTTGAGGAGACGGCGATCTTCCCCAGATTGCACCGTGAGTCGTGCCGATCGTGGGCCGGTCTATGCGCAGGGGTGCTTCTGGCCATGCAGGGTGGGGAGCGGGGGAACAGTACGGACTATGGTATTTGTCCGCCCCCTGTCGGTCGGATGAGCGATTTCCGGCGTCACATACTCGCTTCTGTTTTCTAGAAGAGGGGGAGAAGGGGTGCTCCTGACGATCTATAAAAGGATGGACGTTTCTGCAGTGGCTTAACAGGATCACCAAGCTATCGATCTTTACCTGTTCCTGACTGATACTATCTTTGAAGACTCCTGTCACGGTACTATTACTACTATTACTATTCGTTAGGATATCCATTGCAGGATTCAAGATGAGAGCCGCCACCGCAGCCGCCGTCCTCACTCTGGTGACCTCGGTCGCCGGCCACGGGTACATGTGGTCCCCGGAGAGCCGAACCCGCCAGGGCTTCGAGGTGCATATCTAACTCTCCATTCCCCCTCCCCCAGCACACTCGCAGAAAGTCAAACTAACAAACACGTCTCTCACCAGGCCGGCAAAGACTCATGCCCCGAATGTACCATCCTCGAGCCCGTCGAGTCCTGGCCGAACCTAGACGGCGCCAAGGTCGGCCGCATGGGACCCTGCGGGTTCAACCAGCGCGACGGTCTCGACTACAACAAGCCGACGGCCGACTGGGGCGGAAAGCCCGTGAAGACGTACAAGCCCGGCGAGGAGATCGAAGTGGTGTGGTGCCTGGACAACAACGGCGACCACGGCGGCATGTTCACCTACCGTGTCTGCCAGGACCAGAAGATCGTCGACAAGCTCCTGAAGGCGGACTACACGCCGACCGAGGCGGAGAAGCAGGAGGCCGAGGACTGCTTCCAGAAGGGTGTCCTGAAGTGCAGCGACGTCAGCGGCCAGGACTGCCCCGCCAGCGACGACTGCCAGGAAGACAGCTGCAAGAACACGGACTGGTTTACCTGCAACAGCTTCGAGGACACCGGGTGCATGGGTGTCGACAATGCCCAGCCCGGCTCCTGCAAGACCACCATCTCCGAGGGCTACACCGTTACCAAGAAGATCAAGCTCCCCGAGTTCAAGTCGAAGCATACCTTGCTCTCGTTCAAGTGGAACTCGTTCCAGACGCCTCAGGTCTACCTGAACTGCGCAGATATCGCCATCCAGTAAAGGACTGGGCAGTGCTAAGACGGTGGACTGTTGGTAGTGTCTGCGTTGGGGTGCGCTGGATTCTTGAGTTGAGTCTTTGATAGACGTTTGGGAAGATGCTTTACTGTGATTTATGTGTATAAAGACTTTCGTTTCTCGAAGTTTTCACCTTCGTTGTGTCGCACGTCCTTGTCACGAAACAGTGCGGATATGGATAGGACAGGTTTTTGTCCAGCACTCTCTGTTGTCCGTGCAAGGTTGCACACTGTTAGCTTTTAAGAGAAATCCAATGAAATGTATGATGATGAGATGAGCTGCGAAAAGGTTCACCCGGTAGAAGAAACAATTAGAACAGTCTGTAGACAAGAATTAACCAAGTGGTGGACGCCCCCTATGACAGGCAACCCCATATTGACCACAGCTGTGTATGTTAGGGCGACAATCAAAAACCACCGTCGCGATAAAGCCACCGCCAAGATGGTAGTGGTGCTGTCATGCCTATGAAAATAAAAAAAGATTTTCTCAATTAGGATTATTGCACTCGCAACCGTAGCATGCTGTCGTCGATAATTATGGGACTCGAGTTATTAGTATTTGACAACCTTGCCAACCAAACAAACATCTTTCAAATTTGACTGACACGTGGCAGATGTCATTATATAATTCCATGACGCAGGTCGAATGCAGAGTGCAGATGCAGATGCAAGTCTGACACACATGCAAGCTATCAACGTATGGGGTACAGTGATGTACTATATCTTATACAAACCCCCCAAGAATTCCTAAACCCGCTCACCCTCACAATGCCAAAGCAAGAGAAGAAACTCCACTTTTCCTCACAAGCAACCCAAATCTAAGTATAGCTTAAAAACGCCCCACGACCGCCGGGAATCACTCATAACCTAATAGACATAACTCATTTACACGTAGCCCGTTTCCCCGAGGGGAGACAGTTAGCAAGGGGATAACCTTACCGTTTTAGTAGAAAGTCCCAGTGGCCACAACACGACCAGGCAGTTCTATCGTTGGCCCTATAGGCCAGGTCCTTCGGGTTCGGACGAGCGCAGCACCACGGCGTGTCGGCGATCGCTCGGGGTTGGAGTCAGCACGATCCTGCTGGAGAGATGGCTCGCTGAGGGTGGAGGGCTCCTCAGTCACCAGAAAACCCCGAAGATCGAGCCGCGGTGCAGGTTCCATGAGATATGCGTCGTCGTGGGAAGCTCTGTCGCATATTTTTGCCAGTCGGTCGTGGACGCGAGCCGAAGGACTGCGCTGCCAGGGTTCCACAACGATCATTTCAGACATGATCAGATTTAGCAGGTCATGGAGGGCACCGGTGCACCGGGGGTGTCGGTGAAGGCCCTCCACCCACTTACGCACAGATGGCCTGATCCCATTGTAGTCAGCCGTGTAGAAATAATCCGTGCTGATCTCCGGGATTTCGGTGTCATCTCTTCCGCGGGCAGCGGCGAAATCATCGACGGCCTCGTACCCGCACAAAATCGAGGTGACGAATTCTAGATACATACACCCCAGACCCCACAAATCCCAGGCTCGCGAGACCCGGATTCTGCGGAGCGCGTCTGGAGGTGAATAAGTGCTGGGGGCTCGGACCGTGGAAGGGTCTATGTCGGACCTGGATGCCAGGGTGTGGAACCGGGCAAGCCCTAGGTCCGCAATCTTCAAGATGTCCTCCGCATCGCTGCGCCCATCACCTCCTCGGAACCACAGGATGTTATCGGCCTTAATATCACCATGGCGTCCGAAAAGATGATTGTTCCCCCGAGTAGCGACAGTATGCATCCACTTTAACCCACTGGCAATACCGGTCATCTGTTTTAAGCACCAGAGCATCGACTGGCGCGTGGCGAGAAGCGTAGGGGCCTGCTGCAACCACGTCCGAAGAGTTCCATCCGCCCAGGGGAAGACCAGATGAAACTTCTGCCCTTTCTTATAGGTAAACAGTAGCTTAACCATGTGAGGGTGGCCGCCGATGGACTCGAGAGTATCGAAGATCGCTCGTTCAGCTCCGAACCCATTAGCCTGCTCATTGAACAACCGTTTTACCGCAACCACAGGTCCCTGTTCCTGGGATTACCACAAGTAAACAACCGGAGTCAACGGCGCATTCCGCTGGGGTTAACAGCGGGTCTCATGGTCTTACTTACATGATTTCCCAGTTCCCCTTCCAGGGTGTGGTGATCGGGATGGATACAGGCTTGGAAGACCTCCGAATAAGAGCCCTGCGAGACGCCATGCTGTGGGTCCTGAAACTCTAGGTGAATGAACGGCGGAGGCTGTGACATGGACAGCCGGTAGTGGCTCTTGTATTGGAAGATTGGGGCCAGCATGCGGTACTGTTTGGTCTCAAATCTCTTAACCGAGGCCATGTCCCAACTGGCTATCGTCCGAATGTGCGTGCCACATCTTGTTTCTAAGGTCTGAATTTGACTACCCTGAGAGGTAGAATTACGAGTGAATGGGAGACAGTCATCGTTGATCCCCTCTTCCAGAAACCCCAGTATTTCCCCGGGCATCCCTCGGTCCACGAGAATGGCAAAGAGAAGGAAGCAATCCTTCATGATATGTGTGGTTAACTGGTCGGCGCGGATTGTGTCTCCATGGAGTACGTCTTTGATGATGGCGTGAACGGTCGTGTCGCAGAGCACCTCCCTGAGAGCTGATATCGGGACAAATTCGTTCTGGGCCGAATCCTCGTAGCATTGCGTGCGGGCATATATTAGGGCAAGTTGGGCTGTCCGTAAGATCGAACTTGAACGGTCATTTTCCGCAACGGCGTCAATAGACGGACAGCGCGGAGAGTTATCCACATCGCATATACTGGGGACAAGGCCAGTGCCAGTCGGATTGCCATTCTGCGGCGGAACGGGAACGGCGTCCGAGACGATATGAACCGTAGGAGAGTCAGGCTCGGAGTCACGTAGGGGTAGCCAGCCGGGCTTAAAACACGGAAACAAACATCGCAAGGGATAACAAAGGACCTTCAGCAATGCCATGTGGGGATCTGGAGTTATGTGAGGCTTTTGTTGGGTATGTTGGGGATCATGAGAGAAAGTGACTGCATACAGTCGATCAGCTGGAAATTTAGGAAACAGAGGATTAGATTGGAAGAAGAAGAGGAAGTAGAAGAAGAAGAAGAAGAAGAAGAAGAAGAAGAAGAAGAAGAAGAAGAAGAAGAAGAAGAATTGAGCAATGTCCCAAACGACTGCAGGCTAAAAGACATGCAACATAAGCAAATAATATGAGTAGAGGCAAGGCTGTGCAATGATGAGTGCTACAGAAGAGAAAGCATGCTGATGAACGTATGAAGAGTCGGGGGCAGAACAGACTTACTAGTTGAAGATGTGACCTCACCAGAGAATGATTAGTCTTTGAATTAGAGAGACTTTCACCCAAACTTGAGGGGGAAGAGGCAAGGAGGGACAGAGGCGGGGGAGGAGGGCGAACTGCACTGCCTCCAGAGTTGGCGCAGTCTTGAGGCGTCAAGGCCATACGGTCGACGCAGCGCCCTGCTCAAGCAGACGACCTTTCCCGATTCCTCTTAGGAGCCCCACCCAGCACATATCCTATTGGACACGCATGTTGTCACTCGGGGTCCGGATGAAGGCTAGATGTTTACTGACAAAATGCGACCAACATGCCCTATGTATCGGGTGAAATAGGAGAATTACTGGTTATCCCTGCATGACCTGGTCAGAATCGGGCATTATTTAATCCTCCAGAGTCCATGAATTACAGTTGGGATAGTGAGCTATACCATTTCGAGCGACTCCACCGATCGAGCCCACTTGGTCCAGCTTGGCATTGACATCCACTCTCACGACTGGGGGATGAGTGTAAAGTCAGGTCATGCCTTCAATAGTGTCGTGTTTTGATGATTTGACAAGGTGAGAGAGTCCAATGATTATGTATAAGGGGAAGAAGGAATCCTGTCAATGTCCTGGACGATTTCAGACTCACGTGTGCTGGTTCAATACCGGACACATGACCTTCCAATCGGGCATGGTCTGGTCGCGCGATCGGTGGATCCACGTCAACAACAACCATCCATGGTTTGCCTCATTCTCTGGACTATATATCAGATGATGATAACGAGGTCGCAATGAATCGCCAAGGGCCTATCCTTCCACTCCTTCGGGGAACCACCACATTTGAATCTGCCGTGGAGCAGGAAGAGGACATGCTTCTTGGCCTAGACTATCCCGAGCAGCGGATAGACTTCTTCGTGTCACTCTACCGCAATCGCAAGGAGATTCAGAATATTGCGGCATATCATCTTGGCCTCTATCCATCAGACACCTGCCACATAGGGGGGGGGGGGTGAATGAGTGGGTACATGGCAGCTTCAATGTTTGCATTCCTCTTTAATTCCTCTTTATATCAACAAACGCAATGAGTCCCTGGCAAAGCGGGCCCTCATTAGGTTCCCCTTACCATACAAGGTAGGGGAAACCACGTACCCCGGCAACGCGGATGACAAAATCCGCTGTGAAGCTGCAACTTTCATTTGGTTGCAGGATAATTGTCCGGACATCTCGATACCTCAGTTGTGGGGATTTGGACTTGTTGGTGGGCACAGTGTATGAGAGCCGAACTGATCGTCCTCTCTCGCGGTAATACTAACCTGAGAACTACGTAGTTTACAAGGCCTGAGAATACTCCATTGATAGTTAGGATCCCCTGGTACATCAAGCGCTCTGTCTCATGGCTCTTTGGGTGGACCCTTCCCAGTCCCTATGTCTGTCATCGCCATTCAACTATCCTGGAAAACGGATATTTGGTCATGGACTACGTTGGCAGTCCAGAGGCACAAATGCTATCTGAGACATGGGATGAAAACCGTAACGACCAAGACAAAAGAGCCAATCTTTTCAGGGGTCTATCTCAAATTATGCTCTCTTTGAGTCGGACACCACTACCGTGTATCGGATCTTGGACGCTAGACTTTGATGGAGTACTGCGGCTTTCTAACCGTCCTCTCACTCTCCGGCTCCATCAGTTAGAAAATGGGGGAGTACCAACCAACATCAGTCGAGGGATGACTTATACAACCGCGGATTCATACTATCTTGATCTGCTATCGTGCCATGATAATCGATTACGATATCAACCCAACTCCTTAAATGATGAGGAAGATGGCCGAGCCCAGATGGCAAGTTTGGCTATTATGCGAGCACTACTGCCACAGTTCACTGACAGACAACTTCGCCAAGGACCTTACTTGTATCAATTTACAGATATGCATCCAAGTAACATTTTTGTTGATAGCCAGTGGCATGTCAAATGCGTGGTTGATCTCGAGTGGGCGTGCTCTCTACCAGCAGAAACTTTGCATCTTCCATATTGGTTGACTGGTCGCCCCATAGACGATCTAACTGGCGAGAGCCTCAACACCTTTAGTCAGACATATGATGAGTTCTTGGGCGTTTTCAAAGAGGAGGAGAAATCATTCCCCCTCAATGACAACAGTTGTTAATATAGGACAAACCTTATGAGGAAAGGTTGGCGGACTGGAAGCTTCTGGTATTTTCTGGCTTTGAACAGTCCAAAAGGCCTCTTCAATCTTGTTCATCAACATATCCATCCGATCTTTGATTCGACCCATCCGATTAGCTCAGAACTCCCGCGGGTTGTTTCAAACTATTGGGCTGCGGACATGAAGAAAGTGATCGATGCTAAGATCCGAGATAAGGAGGAGTATGAGAAGACGCTGCGTCAGCGGTTCGCGTGTGCAACTGAACCCACATGAAGACAAATTTCAGATACTAACGGGTCTTTCCTATGTATTTACAGCTACTTATCAGTTAAAAGAACCTTGAGACGCTTCACTATTGATATAAAAACAGATATCTGAACACACGGCTGCTTTCTTTTTCGAATCTAATGAGCAACCAGGTACCTCGCCCCACCTACGCGAGATGCAGGGACACTCTAGCTCGTTTCTCTGCACTTGGACTTATTCTTTAGGCGTTTCTCTACTAAGACTCGACGCTCTCCCGGGTACCTCGGACATTTGGATCTCGTGCTGACTTCCCGTTGTAAGTATCTTCTGATACTTGCCTTTGTGGGGGGGATGATACTGCAGATGAAGCTGCTGCTGTCGCTGAGCACCAAAAGTGTGATGAGCAAACACTAGCAGTCAAAGGCTTTACTGATTTGGCAATAACGAAACAGTTGTCATCATCCTAGCACGAGGAAAAGCTCCGAAGACAGGACTAGGTAGTCAGTGCTCCCCATCGATAGTGATATCGTGAAGTAATCACCCCATAGAACCAAATACAAACAAAGATAAGAATAGATATCACATAAGAGAGTGTGGACAAGTGCTTGTTCAAGACGTCCTTTTTGATATACCATATTTTTGGCGTCGTTTCGGACAGTTCGTTATCTGTAGACTCATACACGAACAATACAGTTTTTCATTTCCCTGGAGTCAATACCCAATGTTTTTACGCTTTCTTCTTCCGCATAATGACTAGCACCCAAGTATAGCGGATAATCTCGTGGATAGGCTCAACAGCGCGAAATCACTTAACATTTGTGGAAGTGACAGCAATCGGTTGGCACTTCAGCTGACCTGCAGATTCCTTTTCCCACACATTTGTCTGTTTGTATGTTGATGTTTCTTGCAACCATCATAATCTAGTTTAAGCTTTAATATCATCTTTTCCATCAGTCCTTTCATATCATTCACATCTATCTGATTAAGTGGGATTGACCACCCCTAATTGGGGTCGAAATATGTCAGATCATATGGAATTCATTAAACGTTATACTTTGTCGTCTACCTTTGCGAGATATGAGGCTCACGTATAAAAATATCTATCTACTCGACCCCATCTGATTGACATTCGCTCGGTCTTCAATTCCACCGGGTTCGACGGGCCCCCGAATATACCAAAGGACGCAACCTTACCCTTCACATGCTGGTACCTGGATTCTCCCTTTTCCTCGTCGTCATCGGGAGCTTTCGCGTGGAGCAGAGATCTCAGCTATTGTGCCTTCCCAGCACGCTCAGTCGCAGCAGCAGCCACCAGAAGAAGATAGTGATCGCAGTCAACGGCACCGCAACCACTGCCATTATCCAAACTTCTCGCGAGACATGCAAGCGGCCCTGGTCGTTGACCTTCACAAATTCAGTCGAAAAAAAATTCTGTCATGATAGTCAGAATAATTCGTAGATACGGGATCGGAGGGTCAGTCGGCGTACCGCAACAATGGTGGATGGCAAGAAGACCAATCCAATGATGGTCAGCATCTTAACAGCCGCCGCATCCTGGACGCTTTTTTTCTATCCCAACCCGCTGTCAGTGGCTTGTTTCCACAGCCACGCTGGGGCTTCAACGCACTTGAAGTTCCATGAGGTAATGACTCTCGTCGTGGGATGCCTGAGCCAGTTGATGGGATGCCTGAGCCAGTTGCTTCAGGTTCCTTGATTCCTCGTAGCCCAGAAGATCCGACAGCTGCATTACGGCGATGTGTGGTCAGCTTCGTACTGCTTGCATTATGGTTTATTAAAGAGTGATCTACTAACCAGTTGAGCGGTCGATTTGACTCGCGCCTTGAGCACCTTCGCTCTATTCAGATAAAGCTGCGCTTCCGTGGCATATTCTTCGAATTCGTCGATGGTATAGCTACAGGAACAAGAACTACTGTCTCCGCAACTCATTTGACAGTGGCGCTGGCAGCTTGTTCTGATGCGCGCTATTGTGTCAGCCATGGTCTGCAGGATGACCATCATGTCTGTGATGTAATCCTCGAGTTGCTTCAGCCGTTGGCGGTCGTTGGCATTGAAGTGAATTTCGTGTGTGCCCATTTTGGAAACAATGACTCGGTTAGACTGGGGGTGAAGAACATCAATAGTTAGGGCTTACTCTTCCAAGATCTGGATTGGGTCATTCTCTTACGTCTTGCTTGACTTCGCTCTCGAGCCAGGCCATATAGTCCATCCATCCCCGCAGACTATCGAGCACAAGGCGCTCGTGCACGGCGAACGCTGGGTTCATGACACCGTCTGCACAGTGGTGCTGGGCGAGGCTTTTGGTAATCTCGTCATCGACGATGCTCGAAGGCGCGACCAGTATGAATGTGGATTTATGTTGGGATCCAACCGCTTCATACGCCAGACGGTGATAGATCCCTGTCTGTCGAATTGACCATGGACACTCCCCGTTTTTAACGGGACGATTATTGCGCTCAACTCTCCGAATCACATATGTGATTTCTACTAGATCAGTCAGCTTTCTAGACGCCTTTTTCTGTGACATTCTTTGGCTTCTCGAGGGCACTGACCGTCAACTTTTCCCCGTCCACTCTGCGACCGCTTGGCCCGGAATGCTGGGAATCCATATTCATTTTCCTCGAATCTCCATCCAAACGTCAGGATCGACCGCCAGAAGTGGTGAAATACACGGTGCTTCTCCAAAAGCTCCTGGAAAAGCTTGTGGGAGATGTTCAAGGTTGTCCAGGATCGTTGGTGGCGGATTGTATATATCTGGGCGCAGGCGTTGCTGCTCGCCTGTTGTTATTCTAGTCAGAAGGTGACATCGACCAGTGCGGATGTATCGTGAGGCGCGCTTACTGATTCCGCTTTTTCCAGTTCTTCGGCACTATTGATATGGACTATAGGGCTTTTTTCCAGTGACCAGACATTATCCGAGGCTGCAGATCTATACAGAAAGGACGCCTCGAGCTGAGGCCGGTCCTTTCGCGCTTGGAAGAGATCGGTCGCTTTTGACTCGACTCTTTCTGCAAGATAGTGATCAAGTTTTGAAGGCATTGACAAATGCTCCATTATGTACGAGACTTGCGAATCTTGAGTAAGCTACCTTGGTGTCATTTACCGGGCGGAATCACCCTTCTTTTGAGACCCGTGTTATAGCGCTGAACCCGGGTTCGGAAGCGATGAGGCTCCTCTATATTGTGGCTCATGAGCTCTCGGTTCCTTTCCAAACATGTTCTGTCATTGAACTCAGCCACTCCCAGAACGAATGATTCCAACCCACATTGCCTCCTTCCTCGTCACGTGGCAGATCACCTCAGCTCACAATACACCAACTTGGATCTTTATAGTGGAATGGCGACGGGGAACTCCCGCGAGCTGTGCGTCCCGCCTGCTTTGTAGATCCTTGCTTTGTGCCGAGGGCACAACTACCCGACACCACTCTCACCAAGGCGCCTGGGGGTCTGATCAGCGGACTGCACAGTCCACCATAGACGGTCAAAGCCTTGCGAGTCAGCCTTGCGCTAGTGTAGCGTGATGTCACCTTACAAGCATCACGGACCATGATTGCAGGGTATAGCATCCTGATGTACCCGAATACGAGAGGTCACGGAGCATCCGCCTATCTTTCACCAGTACGGATTACAGGAGCCAATCAGCGCCATAGGGCAAGACATCCTTTGAAGGAAACACCGCCGAATGTATGCATAAACTAACTACGAGAGACCGGTTGATAGACATCAAACCCAGGCATATTCATTGTACTGACCAAAAGCGTACACGCAGCAAGCATCATACACATGTTACACGTTTCCCCCCACTGAACGCCGTCTCTCCCTCCCACCCCGCCACCCGTCCATCCTCTGTCCCCGGATGCGCCGATGGCTTGCTATCCTTGTCTGTCGATGCATTAATATAGTGATATCATCCGTTACCCGAATGAATGGTCTGCATGTGTATGTGCCCCGCACATTATCAGCCGTTTCAAGTCGTGACTCGAGAAAATCAGGCGTCTTTTCTCGCCAACACCAATTGACTCATCCAAACAGCTGACAATACTTGATTTTTTCCTATGGCTACGTGTTAGCTCTAATTTCATCTCACAATCAGCGTGATGAATGGAAATACCTGTGTCAACCCAGATGACCGCGCCATGGCTTGATCAAACACGTATATCTTGTACTGGTCCAGCCGTAACTATTATATCATACGCCTCGCTAAGCATCCGCAACAATACCACCAATTGGGGAAGGGTTGCTCACCTCAACTCGGAAGTTGGACTGTCCGTATTCACTTCGCAGGACATTCACCAGCTTCGCGGGGTCCATGAACTTCCCGTCGATGACTTGATGGGGCGGACCGCCGTAGACTCGGTTCATGATAGACAAGCTGACACTTCTAGAAACAGTCGAGAAACGGTCGAGAATAAATTTGGATGGTTCTAGAATAGCTGGGAGTCTGATATTGCTAGGTAGGCCAACAGGCCACCTGTTGAAGAAGGGATTCCTCCAAGAGAAAAAAGCGTATATAGTATCGATCGCACACGAGAACACTCGCGGGCGATATTCTCCAGGACAAGCACGTATAAAACGAAACAACCACACTTTAGAAAACAAACTTCACGCACCCGCCAGAGAGGGGAGGAGTGGGACAGGGCGCGCGGGGCAAAGATTCTTTTTATGTCTAGCTAAGCCGCCGAATTTAAATAGGTAACAATCAGCCCCCTTGCTTTAAGCCCGGGTTCACTCGCGACCCTCCACATCCACATTGGTGCGAGCCTCTCTGCGCCTCTCACCATTAGAGGCTCACCTTCCTCCCGTCATCCGTCGGGTCACCAAGTCATCTTCGGACGAGTCACCAGGGTCAATCACACCATTGGTGTAGGGCCTTATGCGCTAACCCGGCGGTGGTGCCACATTGTCATCAATCATCAGGGCAAGAAGTGCAAGAAGCGATGTCCTCCTGTCGCTTGGTCAGCCCCTCTTCCTTTCGCTTGACAGGCAAGCTATGAACCGCCCCGTGGCAGTCTGGTAATGGGGTGACATAAAAACAGGCGGTGTGGCTCATGATATCAGGATTTTCTTGTTTCTTTTCCTTTTCTTGTTTTCTTTGAGAAAACATACATAAATTGAAAAGGAGGGGGGGAAATAAAAAAATACAAAAGATCATCAAAGAATAAGAAACGAAACAAAGAAGAAAGCACTATGAATAGATCAATACTCACCTGGGAAAGAGGCATAGGAAGGTTAAGGAAGCAAACACCCAGTCGGATCTGCAGGATAGGGACGCATAGTCCCAATATGTCAGCACTGCCACACCCCCTTGTCAAATCGCAGCATTCTCCCGCAAACCCCGTCGTATCCAACAAAACCAACCTATGAGGGAACGCGAAGTATGCGCCTTTTCTGGGTATCATGTCCAATTACATTACCCGACCTACCACAGTGCGCGTGGTACCGCAGGCTGCCTTGAGAGAAAATAGAAGTGAAAAAAAAGGCTGACTCACGGTGATCTGATAATTTCTCTGAGGGTATCGTTGGCGGAGTAACTCCGTCAGGCGATCGTGACTGACATATCGCATCAGAAACGTCTGTTCTGCCATTTTGTCACTCTGTTGTCGCTCAGCTTCTTCTGGTGGCAAAGGCGAGGCGCAGGGCAAGGAAAGGCCGAACAAGCTCTTCGCCTGTGGAGCCTGGATGGGGTCGGTTCTCTATCTCCCTTCTCTTTCGTCCAGCGAAAGTGAGGTCGGTCTCAGGCGATGTTTCGGGTAACAGTGCGTTCTGACTTGGGTGGCGATGACATGTTGTTCGACAACTACTACATGCGGCCTGATATATCTACGACGGCCACATCAGAGCCGCATCGCTTTGAAGTGGTATACTTGGGAGAAATCAATGGCCCCGGGGAATACAACACGGTCGACGGACTCTGCTGCCCAACATTAATCAACCAACCAACCGACCGACCGACTGCATACCTCGTTTGGAGGGGGGAGATAATGTGCCGGGGAACTGGAATGCGATTGAAGGCATCGCCAATCGTGAGGGGTTGGCTGGCTGAGAGGCGCCAATCATTGGACGGGTGTGCCCGCCCGACAGGGTTGTTGACGTGACAGTCTCATGTGGACTCCGTGATAAATTGCCCTGGAGATTATGATCCTACAAGCGCGGAACCGGAGACGGACTTGTCCATGGGGATGCGAGATCGACCTGCCAATGGGGAATGATATGGGGGGGCCACTGACAGGGGACCCTGCAGTTCGGACCTACCAGGATTGGTAGATATTCCCTGTTCATGCGCCTTCGCTATTAGGTCATTATTTGCATGGGCACCCTATCCAGGTCCCTCCGTCTTAGTATGGTTGGTAGTAGCCCTACTGCGCGAAGCTGGAGGTTGAAAAATAAGGCTGGCAGAGTTGGGCTGGAGCTGTTATCTATCCTCAAAAGTGTTTGGTTTCCAACGTCAACCCCTGATGGTGTAGTTGGTTTATCACGTCTGACTGTAATGGAAATACCTGTCATCAGAAGGTCGCTGGCTCGATTCCGGCTCGGGGGATAATGTTGACTCTTTTTTTCTTTTTTTGTAGTTTTTTGCAACATGTCACTTGAAATTATCCAGATGAGGGTTCGAATCCCACTATGACTGCATACTCGTTCTTTTTCTTTTTCTTCGCTTTGTTCCTTTGAACTTGATTCATTCGGTTTTATATATGTTATTCTTATTCTTATTTTTATTTTTATTTTTATTTTTTTCGATTATGCAAATGCTATGGAAACAATGACCGCGCTGTTACCTCGCTAATTTACTATGACATCACGCGAAATTATCCAAAATTGAATAAAATATATTATGACTATAGCATCACTGTGATGGGCTCACTACCTACCTAGTCTCGTTGATTGCCTGATTGATTAAATTAATATAAACCAATCCAATCACTGTGATATCTCATTCAACGAAGACCCTCTGATTGGGTTTATCTGTCTGGATATGTCATTGGAGAACTCTTTCCAGCTCCCTCAGATCTTTGATATCACTCTCTGCAAGGCTTTTAGCCAGAGCATCGCCTAGTATATAGCTGTTCTAGTGCCAAAAGGCCAACATCTGTGGCTACCGACAAGGCTGTGGCAAACCGACAAACAACCATACAGGAGCCGTACCCAGTCCAGTCACCTTTGCCCTGGGTTTGCCTAGCAGGTCTGCAGGAACGTGCACGCCTGCAGGAACGTGCACGCCAAATAGAGCCCCGGGGTCCTTGGTCATTAGTGCTATGGCAGAACAAGGTCCCAATCATCAACGACGTGGAAGCTGTCTTCATCGAACCCTGATGCAGGGTACTTACAGGGCGTATGCAATTGAAATCTTGCCGACATCATTCAAGCCTATCAGCAAGTTCTGTCAGTTTACCCCAAGCTTCTGAACGATGTCTGTGGCAGCCTTATTGAGTCTGTTGTCGTTAACTTGAGCAACCATCTCTTGTTTTAATAACACAGGCTGCGCGTTACCTTGTCAGTGGCAGAGCATCTACGCCCATAACTATCAAAGTGTAATACAACTGTGCGATGTCAGCAAGGCAGACTTTGCAACGCTTCACTGGCAAAGCAAGCTCGTAGCGCGCCAACATATCATTGTGTTGGCCGGAAAAATTCTCAGATCCAATCAATGTTGAATACTGGTTATCTCCATATATGACTTTCTCGGCTTTGACTTGAGTCATGGAACCGTTCTCACAATGTGTACTCGTATGTGCAGACGCCCGATTATGACTACCCCGAGGCTCCTCAGACACACCCACCGTATATTACAACCCTTGAATGTTAGATCTACTGCACAGCGTTATCTAACACGAGGCTGGACCTAAGTCAAAAGCAAAGCCATATCACGGATCCCCCCCAGATCTTCCAACCAAGCCCTGCTAGGTTCGGCTTCTAGGCGAGCATCGCTTCTTAAAGATGCGAAAAAGCCTCATACGCTCTCCTCACTGAGCCTCACTCAGCTAACACGGGTCGCATAGCTCAGCTGACACTTTCCAGTAAGCTCTTTTTTAAGCTACGTCGCGCATCTATAGATCAGCCGCAAGCCTTGGCCTCCTGATGAGAGAAGAAAGCCTTGCTGCGGACTGAGGACCGGGTTCCCCAGATCAGCCAGCCTCTCTGAGTGGATTCGCCCCGTACGTAGATCTGATACTGGTCTTTAATTCTTATCTGATGTGAGATATGTTTCTACTGCCCGCGACACACTAGAGGACTTGATTCGTCGTCTCAACGTGTACTCTTTTCACACGGCGAGATTTGGATTGTATGCATCAACTAGATGGAACTATCAAGATATAGGACAGAGGCGCAGTCTTCAAAATATTCTACTATGTGGGCTTTTATTGGCATGGATGTTATTGTTCTAGCGCTTCTAACCGATGGCTTTATTCTGGTATATTTACAGTATACCTCTCTAATATAATAGTAATATAGACGTCACAGGTTTAAAGATTCACTATAATTTTCGACATTTGATACTCACCTGCTTAAATAATTTAGGCTTACTCTAATCGATAATCCGAGTAGATTTAGACCTTAATCATATCTTACCACCTGGCGAGCTCAGCCAGGTCATGGGTGGCTGGCGCAATCCTCCACCATAGGCAGCAGGCTGTCTCCGGGTGCCCAATTGATATTCCCTCGAGATGCATATCGGTGATAAGTGTTCTATTTATATCGAGGCTCGGTTACCACCCCTCTTTTTTCCCTATCGAGGAATTCTGTTCGTTCTACTCTGAACCACGCTTATGGCATCTATTCAAGTGCACATATTTCGTCGTGATACCATTTCAAGATGTCAGGCCTAGAGGTGATCGGCAGCATCTCTGCGGTCATTACTCTCCTTGAGGCCTCGATCAAAATCTATGACAGCGCCCAGAATGACATCAAGTTAACTAAGACATTCAAGGTCGTTGGACGCCGACTGCCCGTCATACTCCATATTCTTCAGAAATGCAAGAAAGACCTTGAACCTGGTAACGACTCAATGCCTCCAGATGTTTGCAATGCTTTAGATGATATCCTTGCTGCGTGCGACGAAAAGGCAAAGAAATTGAGAGAAATATTCGAAAAGGTCATCCCTGGTGAGAAGGATGCGTGGGATAAACGATACGCAAAGGTGTTTCGGAGAGTTGGAAAAGGAAATGAAGTTGAAGAGCTCATGTCTACGCTGACTGAAGACGTTCAGCTCATTGTGAATAACCACGCGGTGAATGCTTATGTCTGGGCATAGTGTAAAAATTCAAGGTATTCTCGCAGAGCCGCAATCTGCTGAATTTCCCATATTCACCTTTTTTTATGATCTCACAATCGACGATAGTAGCTAACATTGTTCATGGTTACCCCAGAGAAGAAAGAAGACTTTAGCTTCCATGGACCACTTGGTGCCTGCCTTGGTCAGGCGCCTTACATCACAGCTGAGCACTTCGTCGGTCGTCGCCACGAGCTTGATGAGATTGCAAAGGTCCTAAGCCCCAAATACAAGCCTCAAAAGCAACAGCGAGTAATCCTCGGTGGTATGGGTGGCGTCGGCAAGACCCAGCTTGCTATCGCGTACGCAGAGTCGCGCCCTGGATCTTATAGCTCGGTGTTTTGGCTGGATGCAGCATCTGAGGCCGCTTTGAAAGACAGTTTTCGATCGCTCGCTAACTTCATCTTCGACATCCGAAATCTCGACGTGCTGGAAGATAAAGAGATCGTGAGACGTATACATAAATGGCTATCTGATCCGAACAATACTGGATGGTTGTTGATCTTTGACAACTATGATGAACCCAGCCTGTTCGAAATTGAGAAGTATTATCCCCCTACTTCTCATGGAGCTATTGTGGTCACTACCCGGCGGCCGGATATTGTTGCTGGGAGTACCCTGCATATAAAGCCTTTTCAAAAGATCGAGGACAGTCTCGCAATCTTACAAACCCGATCGAAGCGGGAGAATGTTCAACTCGGTATGTGACGTATATATATATCGAAAATCCGTTAACTAATTACGGCCGCTAGATCCTCACGCAAAACGCCTTGCAGAGCGCCTTGCAGGCCTTCCATTGGCTTTAGCAACCGTTGGGACTTTTCTTCGGCGAAGCACCTTTACTTTCGAGCGCTATCTGCAAGAGTACGAGAATGACTGGAATGTTGACCCCCACCGGCCCATTAAGCTCCAGGACTACCAAGAGCGAACACTCTACACAACCTGGAATTTATCATACGCTCGCCTGAAAATTGACGACCCAGACGCGGCAAAATTACCAAAACTACTGGCCTATTTTGGTAACCAGAGCTTTTGGTACGAGCTTTTTCATGCAGGAATCACCGCCACTTCTCCTGAGTGGCTTCGTGAACTAGTAACAGACTACACTGATTTCGATGGAGCGATGAGAATCCTGACCGAATACGATTTTCTGGATTTTCACCAAACGTTAGGATCATGGAACATGCATAACTGTGTGCACGACTGGACACTAGCGGCACTTAATGAGGAAATTGATACAGAGAATTACTGGTATGCATTTGACTGCGTTGATGCGGTTATCAACGGGGCATCCAGAGATGCCCTAAGGCATACTTCATACTCTCGATTGGCCAGACATGCAGCACAACTAGTGCAGCAGCGCTTCCTTCAATGCGATATCATTTCTACTTCCGCGCCCGATCAGTTTGAGAAGGTGTCACGTGTCTCGAGACTGCTTCAAGAACAGTTCCAGCTTGTTTCTGCGAAGCAAATGTCCTTACAGCTATTAGCTAGGAAGGAGGAAGAATTAGGACCAGACCATATATCAACCCTCCCACTGTTAACAATTTAGGGAGCCTATATAAGAGACTAGGCGAGCTGAATAAGGCCGAGCAGATGTATACACGAGCGCTCACTGGCAGGAAGAAAGCTTTAGGAACGGACGATCTATTTACTCTCGGTGTCACCAGTGATCTAGGGGCCCTATACCGGTATCAAGGCAAGCTAGACATGGCAGAGCAGATGTATACACACACGCTGGATGGGATGGAGAACATGCTGGAACTCGACAACCAATTATTATTCTCGACTCTCAGCGAACTGGCGGTCTTATATCGTGACCAAGACAGGCTGGATAAGGCAGAACAGACGTATATACGGGCGCTAGCTGGGATGGAGAGCGTGCTGGAGCCAGACAGCCAATTGGTATTCGTGACTCTTAACAATTTTGGGGCGCTATATTACCGTCAGGACAAGCTGGATGAGGCAGAGCAGACGTATGTGCGGGCACTAGCTGGGATGGAGAAAATGTTAGGACCAGATCATATATTCACCCTCACCACTGTCAGCAATCTAGGGATAGTATATCAGCGCCAACACAAGCTAGATAAGGCAGAGGAGATGCATATGCGAGCGCTAGTGGGCAGGGAGAAAACACTGGGACGGGACGACATAACAACTCTCAACACTGTTAATAATCTTGGGGACATATGGCGTGACCAAGGTAAGCTGAACAAGTCAGAGCAAATGTATCTACGGGCGAGACAGGGGAACGAGCATTAGTGGCAACTTTGGCTAGGTGTATCATTGTATGGGATTTCTGCTGTTGGCCGCGTTCAAATGTTTCAATCTACCCCCATACAACAAACTAAATGCTGTTATTCGAACACATCACCGATGACTATAAATGAGTCACATAATAATTGTAGTAATATTTTGTATGAGTAACTACATAGGGCTTACACCTGATATAGACTATGGTAGCTGCTTGATGCTGTTTTGTTGTACGCTGATATGCCAATACTCAGTTCAATCTATGAGATTTATGGCACCTCTATCTCCACAGCAATGCTCCCCACGGCCAGCCCGATTCACCCAGTTAAACCTCACTATTACAGAATCGCATAACTAGGACCCAGCTTGTTCCAAAGCTACCATGTCCGGCGGGGCAGTCGTTGAGGTGTTCTCAGCCACCTCACGGATACGTTTCCCAGGAACTTCGTGACCCTCTTGACCATTGATGGCATATTTCAATCAGGATTGACACCTGCTAAACCAAATGGTATTTATAACTTGTCATCGGCGTAGATGCTTGTGGTGGCTTCGTCACGGTCGTCCATACTTGACCACACTTACGTAATATATAGAGATTTCGATTCCGGGCTATCCGCCTGAAAAGACTTCTATCTTCGCTGGATGCAAAGACAGGCCCGTCATAAAAATCAAGGATCGCATTATTCTCAGTAGTCAAGGAAAACAGCGCAAACATGTCAGGCAAGCACGTCCTTCTTACCGGGGCCAATGGCTTCGTCGCATCCCACATTCTCGCTATCCTCGTCGACGTACGTCACCCCCACCCCCACCACTTCCACATCACGTAGATCAACAGCTGAACCCTTACCCAGGAGGGATATACTATCACCGCGACGGTGCGATCGCAAGAAAAGGCCAAGGAGGTCCTCCGGACCCACCCCGAATGGGAAGGCAAAATCAATTTCGCCATCGTCACGGACTTTACCTCTGAGAAACCCTTCGATATTCTCTTCCAAAATGCGACTCCTCCCTTCGACTATGTGATCCACGCGGCGTCGCCGGTGCACTTCCAGGTAAATGATATCCAGAAGGATGTGATTGAGCCAGCGGAGCTGGGGTCAGTGCCCCCTCTTCTTTTTTCCATTCCGACTCACTCGCCTGAACAATACTAGGACGACGGAGATCTTGAAAGCCGCAGCACGTCATGGAGGCCCCACTCTGAAGCGCTTCATCGTACTTAGCAGTGCAGTCACCGTGCTCGACTCATTCGAGGACATGACAAAGGAGGGGGAGCCCTACACCGAGAAGGACTGGAACCCGGTACGCGCGCGTCCCACACGAAACAGACCCTACAACTCGACTCCAAGAAGAACAAGTGAACTCACACAAAACAGGTCACAGCCGAGCAAGCCATCGAGAAAAACGACGCTGTCCTCGGCTACAACGTGTCCAAGATCCGAGCGGAAGCAGCCGCGTGGGAATTCATGAAAGCGAACTCCCCCCAGTTCGACCTCGTCGTCATCAACCCGGACATCATCACTGGGCCCATGCTCCACCCCATCCGAGGGCCCCAAAACATCAACGAGACGAACCAGTTTGCTATCGCGAACTTTCTCAACGGGACTTATTCCCAGATCGAGGGTGTCGCTTTTCCATTCTACCACTTCGTGAGCACCCCATGTCACGATGTTAGAACTATAGTATCCGTAACACAGCTAACATCACCCTCTCGTAGGTGGACGTACGCGACGTCGCACGCAGCCACGTCGACTCGCTGACCAACCCCGCTGCCGCAAACCAGCGCATCGTGCTCGTCGCCGAGCTGATCACGCCGCAGCTGATCGCGAACACTATCCGGAAGCATTTCCCCTCGCTGCGCGATCGGGTTCCCGAGGGTGCGCCTTCGCAGATCTTGCCGCCTGGGGTGCATCCCACTGGCTGGGATCTTCATGTCAGTACTGATATCCTGGCTAAGGGGACGAAGGGCGGCAAGTGGCAGTATAAGGACTTGGAGTCTAGTGTTGTTGATGCGGTGCAGTCGATGATTGACAACAAGGTCATCTAGACATAGGTGAGGGTGTAGTATATGTATTTTTATGCGTTAAATGTGGTTTGGAACATTTTTCTACGGGTTGGTGGGTCAACATGGTCGGGGAATAAAAGTCAGCGGGAGTTTAGCTGACAAGCTAACTGAATATGCCGCTGTGTACAATACATAAAAGATCAGCTCTATTCAAACTGTCAATTTCCAATCGACTTCAGGTGTATCTTCCACTGTTCATCTCTAGCAATCCCAGCATACCATCCTCTAGATCTAAGCTCGGTCCCTAAATCGAATATAGAACAAAGAATGACTATCAATCCATAAAGTAATCAATTCCAGTAAGCCCTAGCTAGGTACTATACAAACAGCATCCATCCATCCAAACCATAAAAGCAACATAAACCAAGCAAAACATCTCATCCATAAGGTATCCAAAACAACAATTACAATTTATATAATCCTCATATAGAAAGGGGAAAGAAGATAATATCGTTCCCTGGGCCTACCAACACGGGTAGACTTTCCGGTAACCCGCGCGTGTGCTTCCGGGTCCCCGGGCCAGAGTCGTGGATTTTATCGGCTGATTTACTCGGCATCGGAGCAGCCGACGGCGAGGAGACCACCCTGTGGGATATCGTTAGTTGGGGATTCGTCTTGTTTGTGGGGACTCATGGAGAAGTGGATGGGGATGGTTTCATGGTTCGTCGTGAAGAATTGTGGGGGGATGAGTGCGGGGGTGGCAACATACCAGCAGGTTGACCTCGGTGCAGCACTTGGGGGCGGAGTCGCAAGAGTCCTTCTCGTAGGCGTGGCCTGTAACAGTATTAGCATTGGCTAGAACAGACATATACCAACCAGTAACCATTGGAAAGAAAGTTTTGGATGGATGGGCTGCGTACACAAGAGACCGAGAGAGCCGACGATCTCGGCGGCGTTGATGCCGAGACCCTCCAGGATGGGATCAACCAGGGGGTCCAGGGGAGTGGCCAGGGAGCCGCAGCAGAGCAACGGGGGCAGACACTTGGACTTGTCCTCGGCTTTGCTGGAAGTAGTGGCCTGGAGCTTGCCGGAGTTGACGGCGTCCATGAGCTTGTTCTGCAGGGAATGCTCGTCGGCGGAGGGGGTCGCGGAGACCATGGTGCCGGCGGCGGCGAGGAAGGACAGGGCGGTGGAGAACTTCATTGTGTTTGTAAGGTGGTTTGCGAGGGTTTCTCTTTGTGATGGAGTGAGGGAAGAGTAATGGAGTCTGAGCTTTGAGTTGATTGAGGATCTGAGGATGAACAGCAGGGAAGGATGAGGCCCTCTTTATATCTTCGCGGACCGATGGCACAACCGAGTGATTGATTACCCGACATCATCGTGAACCCCTTAGCAAAGCCTCGCGAATAGCCATCAAGGCTCTTGTGGCCCAATGACGGCATCGTATCCATTATCTACAATGCGTTGGACGTGTTCTCCACAGATCGCAGTCAGTTAGGGCTAGCGTGGCTCCATCAGGAAGACTATTGTTTGCGAGGAACTCATAATCAAGTTGCAGATCCATTAAGCAGACAGAGATAAAGAACAATTCCTTATTTCAAATCTTATAGTCTAACCACGGCGGTATCTGTCAGTGAGTGCAGGTACTGGTAGACAAGACACGTCATATCAGACTAGGACAATGATCTGCAATCGTAGATAAGGGCCCATTACGTCCACAGAATAGTTCCCCATAGTGAACAGGATTCTATTGTAAGAGCGAATAGCGGAAGCGGGTTCACAAATCAATAGCCCAGATATTGGCGCTACTTAGTGCGCAGATCTGCTGCAGGAACAATAGCAGTTGAGATGAATGGGTGGGGACGGGCCCCATCCTAGTGTCCCAGTCCCCATTCTATATCCCATATACTACAGTGGTTCATGGTCCACTCTACTGGTGCGTCTACTCTGATTCGACGAAACTGGCCTTAGGGGCGAATTCGAGTAGAAACAGGAAAAAGCAGAGATGATTCGGGGAAAAGGGGCCGTCCCAAGCCCTAACCCAAGTGCCTGTCAAATGCTGGTTCCTTATCAGTCAGAGGTGCCTGTCCCACCACGAGCTCCAGATTGGCGCCGAATCAGATCGACCATGTACAGGCCGATCCTCCTGCAAGGACCAAATTGTTCCCGGGATATAATAGGTGAGCGATAGGAGTATTTCTTCCAGAAAAAGCAATAAACCAACAGGGATGGTTGGACTTGATGTCCGACCCAGGATTATCTCTTCGCTCGCCGAGTGTTCGGTAGATGCGGTACAAGCTGAATCAAGGCCAAGGCTCAACCAGGCACAACAGTGGCATAAGGAAAGACAGGAAAAAGAAAAAGGAAGGTAGATAAGCGCTCATGGCCTCCTGACTGGTCCAGACCTTCTTTTTGCCCCAATTCCTATACGTCATCACCGGCACATGTACTTTGTGTCGGACTGCAAACTTCCCGAGACTCTGGGTGTCATATGCGGATTTTCGTGAGATCCTTACTCGGTACCTCCTATGATAGGCAGGGACACCATGATAGAGATCCAGGTGTAAGGATATGATATGTATCATGTGCGCTTCCGAACATTATTTACGTAACGATGATCGTCTATCAGCGACATGCACAGGTCTCCCTGATTGTCCTCCAGAGTTGGCCGAATGCTGCCCTCGAATGCTAGTCCAGTTGGTTCATTGATAGTCAGGTGAACGGTTCGAATTGTGGCGAGGTCAACAACAGACCTCCAATATCTGAAGGTGCCAAGGTGGTCAAATATCCACCCGTGCCACCTTTCAGGTTGGGGTTGTCCTGTCCCCTCGTTTCAAGATCTGCAATCTGAACAGGCATGACTACGTTAACAAGGACTGAAGAAAACTTCCCCATTAATTTCCGGGTTAACAATCCCCAAGGATCAGTAGGGGTGGCGCGATGACTCTGGAGAGGAACCACTCAAGGAGTTGGTCCATATAGTGGGTTTGGGATGGTTATCATTAGGGATCGATATTAGTGATGGTATCGAGATAACGGGACGATGAGTCATTGTTGACTAATTGGGGGTGCTAACACTGACTCATCATTGACTAAGTAAGGCACTCGTGGCGGTGAGGGTGTGGCGTAGTGCCAAGACTCCAGCCACGACTCGCGACACACAGAACAAAAGAGGAAAAGGAAAAGGAAAAACTTCATCGGTCGATTCTCCACCCGCTTTCAATTCGACCTCCATCTCGAGTCGGTAATCCTATCACCACACCGTCTCATTTTACCGTCTGGGATCTATTTTCTAACCCCCTCCCTTTATCTTCCAGACACCATGCCGCATACCTCTATTGCCGACCTGGTCGGCGCCCTCCCGGCGGACGACACCTGGGGCCCCGCGACCCCGACCGACAACATGCTCGGTGGTGTCCCTTACGCTCCTTTCTCCAAGGGTGACAAGCTCGGCCGCATGGCCGACTGGACCTCGGATTCCAAGGGTGGTGAGAGAGGTGGTCGTCAGCAATACCAGCGCAACTACCGCGACCAGCAGGTGTACGGTGCCGGTGCCTCCAGCCTTTTCAACGTCCAGGTCGCCGAGGACGAGTCGTCTTTCTCCGTCGTCGACAACACCCGTGCCTCCGCGAAGCGTACGTTCGGCCGTGGTGGTGGTACCGTCTTCCGTGGTCGCGGTCAGCGCGGCGGCGCTCAGCGCGGTGGCCGCGCGGGCTTCCAGCGCGTTGGTGGTGGCCGTGGCCAGGGTGACCGCTTTTATGACAACCGCTCCGGCGGCGGTCGTGGCAACCGTGGTGGTCGTCGCTTCGGCTGGAGGGACTACGACAAGCCTCAGCGCACGCGCGAGCCGTCGGTCAACATTCGCCCCGAGTGGAACTTGCTGGAGGAGGTGGATTTCACCCGTCTGCTGAAGCTGAACCTCGAGGCCCCCGAGGGCGAGGACCTCGACTCGTACGGTTTCATGTACTACTACGACCGCTCCTACGACAAGGCTCCCGTCAAGGGTGGTGAGCGCCGCCTGCAGGCTCCCGAGCGGGCCGCCTACAACGTCACCACCTCGCAGGATCCCATTATCCAGGAGCTCGCTGAGAAGGACCAGGCGACCGTGTTCGCCACCTCCGACATCATCTCCATGCTCATGTGTGCTCCTCGCAGTGTCTACTCGTGGGACATTGTCGTCACCCACCAGGGCAACAAGATCTATTTCGACAAGCGCGAGGGCGCCTCCCTCGACCTGGTCACCGTCAACGAGAACGCCATCGACGCCCCCATGGAGATGGCCGAGGCCGCGGGCAAGCAGGAGTCGATCAACACCCCTAACTCCCTGGCCATGGAAGCGACCTTCATCAACCACAATTTCGCCCTGCAGACCGTCAACGAGTCCCAGGACGCCAAGGTCGAATTCAACAACCCCAACCCCTTCTACAACGCCAGCGAGGAGACCGAGCCCCCGGCCTCCAAGGGCTACAAGTACCGCCGCTTCGACATGTCTCTGGAGCGTGACGAGGAGCCCCTGAACATGATCATCCGGACCGAGGTCGACGCCGTGCTGAAGAACCCCGTCAACGGCGAGGAGCAGCAGCTGGTTCTCAAGGCGCTCAACGAGTTCGACAGCAAGGCCCAAGGCTCGGGCAACGCCCTCGACTGGCGCAGCAAGCTGTGGTCGCAGCGCGGTGCCGTCGTCGCCACGGAGATGAAGAACAACAGCTGCAAGCTGGCCCGCTGGACCACGCAGGCCGTCCTCGCCAAGGCCGACGGCATGAAGCTGGGTTTCGTGTCGCGCGCCAACCCCCGCTCCGCCACCTCGCACGTCGTCCTCGGCGTGGTCGGCTACAAGCCGCGCGAGTTCGCCGCCCAGATGAACCTGAACATCGGCAACGGCTGGGGCATCGTCCGCACCATCGTCGACCGCATCCGCGCCCTGGATGCCGATGAGGACCCCGAGAAGCCCAAGAAGTACCTGCTCATCAAGGATCCCAACCGTCCCGTCGTCCGCCTGTACAGCCTGCCGGTCAATGCCTTTGAGGAGGACGAGGACGAGGAGGAGGCCGAGGCCCAGGCCGCCAAGGAGGAGGATGAGGAGTAAACGATGCGATGCTACTGTCTTATGATATAATCTCATGTTTCCTTCCACTGTTATTTTGCGTGCATCCTAAAAGTTAGCTGAATGGATTTCCATAGGCCTATCGTACTTGTTCACCCCCCAAGCCTGCCGCAGTAGCCGTAGATCAATGGCAGCCAGACTGACATGCTATGCACACCTCGAAATGATACAACTCAATCAAGTTAACGATAAAGCCTAGGACAACTGTCTTGTCTCACAAAGCAACACAGCTTGATTTACCTAACACTCGAGCCCAAGGCGGACAATTATTCCAGTTTCGAAAAGGAGCCCATTCCCTGCCTCGGTCCCAAACCCATAAAAATCCACCCCCTAGACCACCCAAAGCCGGTACCGACTACACAAACACCGAGGGGCTCTTCTTGGCCATGTTTGACAGTGGCCGAAACATTGACATCTCCAACCACATGCTTGCTCACTATATTTATATCTGAAACGCTCTCTACCGGAGTCTGAATCCGCACAGCACGAAGCACTGTTTCTCTAACCTAGCCTACCAGAAAGTCCCAGATGATCAACCGCTAGTTACCCAAATGACTACCGCCGAATGACTACCGCCCATGTTCGGGGTCTACTTACTCAATTCTTGGGTTGGTTCTGTGGAGCGCAGATCGCGTTGATCTTCGCGGTTTCAGACTTCGGAGTTTGAACCCATTTTGAAATACCTCGAGAATATTCTATCGGGCCAAGATGTACTATACTCTACTAAACTCTCGGATCCTCGCCGACTAGGCAGTGTTTGACCGTTGCCGGGCATGTCGCGTACCTCGGAGCACGGCATTGCCACTGCCGGCTAATGCGTAGGTCTACCGGTGCTGCAGGACTGGTGTGGTTGGTTGGGTCGCTTGGATGAGAGGGGTAATTTGGAGATGAAACGTCGGAGGGGGACCCTTGGGGGATGGTAGAAAGTATACTACTAGTCTAGTAGGTAGGTATCTAGTTACCTAGATTTGGATGAGGGTGTGAAGGTATATAATGGTGGTGGTTGTCCTGCGAAAATGTATCCTGGACATCGACGACAGACTTCCCTCTCTTTTTCAAAGAACATCCTCTGATCAAACCAAGTGCAAGGTTAGGCCGTACAGCAAAATGAACTCCAAACTTCTCATCCTGGCCCTAGCCTCGCTAGCAGCTACCAGCCCCATTCTCCCTCGCCAGTGTAAGTCATTGTCCTAGACACATACTATATGCATACTACTCACTATGCTGGACCCCAATCTAACGCTAAATAACACAAACAGCCGACGCCGGCGACGACCTCCGTACGGGCGACTGCCAACCCACGACATTTATCTTTGCTCGCGCCTCTACCGAGCAAGGCCTCCTGGGCGGGTCAACCGGCCCCGGCGTCTGCAGTGGGCTCAAGTCCGCGCGCGACGACGCAGTCGCATGTCAGGGCGTCGGGCCCAAATACCGCGCCACGATCGGGGACAATGCGCTGCCAGCAGGGACGTCGAACGAGGCGATCGAGGAGGCAAAGGGACTGTTTGAGCTTGCGGTGAGCAAGTGTCCGGAGACGAGAATTGTGGCTGGGGGTTATAGGTATGATCTTCTCGTTATTCCCTCTCTCTTAACCGATGATTTTTACCGTCTTCGACTTGGCTGACGAGATGTCTGTTTGCTCGTGGAAACAGTCAAGGAACAGCTGTCATGCACGGCGCGATCCCCAAATTGTCAGACGAGGTCAAGAGCCAGATTGATGGCGTTGTGCTGTTCGGCGACACCCGGAATAAGCAGGACGATGGGCGTATCCCTGACTTTCCTACCGAAAAGGTCAAGATCTATTGTGCGGAGGGCGACCTGGTCTGCGACGGGAAGCTCATTGTGGCTCCGCCGCATTTTACTTATATGGCTGATGTGGATGATGCGGTGGAGTTTCTGGGAGAGAAGTTGAAGTAGGGCTTGATATTGTGAGGTGTCACCATGCTGGGTTCTGCTTTTGGCTTTGTTGACCGGGGGATATGATATGTGGGTGCTGGTCGCCTGGATCTAGTTACTTCGGCTGTTCGGATTTCACCTATAGTGTGGATCGAATGGGGAGAAGAAGCTCCTACTGTTGAGAATATATAAAACACTGTTGATGCACCGCTCACCTGACAGGAAAGTCATATACCCCAGGAGTAGAATGTCCGTGTTAGTCATGGAGTGCAATCACGGGTTCCTGTATAACAAGGAGTGGATTCGATAGCCCAAACCTTCCACCAACCTAAACCTCACTTCGGTCATATCCCGGGTGATGACCGAACCCAACATCCATTGTATCCACTTATCAACTATCCTCAATTGGGTATTGATGTACTCTTCCGAGTCTTATAACTACGATAGACTGAATTGACTGGTTCAAAACGCTCGACCAGCTTGCGAGTGCTGTCCACCAGGCACCTCATCTGTAAGCATTGTGATTACTGAACAGTGGATACCTTCAAAAGCTATCGTATTCAATACTCCAAAATTCCTAACCAAATAAGAGATACGCTTAAATATCTACACCAAATCGCAGAAAACCAGTCATAACCAAAACATGCACAAGTCATCTCTAGAAACCATGGAATGTGGAACGGTCGTTACTTCCACCACGGCAATCAACAAAATGTATGAAATTATGTCTCGCCCCTCGGGTATCGCGGCGTCCTGATAAAAAATACAAGGCCGGGATGGCCCAGTCACCGAGCCAGCAAGTGTCAGGCTCTTAGACATCAATGTCGCAAACGGCCTATGCACCAGTCAGCTGATATTTCGAACAAATCGTGTCCCGGCTCGCCAGCCGCTAGCGATGATACGTACCTTTCTTCGCCGGGCAAAATCCTCATAGAATCCCAGCCAGAGGTCCCTGTTACGGCAGTTCTCCGGCTGTTCGGGAACCGTCTGACATGCTGGTTGCTTGTCTTGGATCACATCGGGGCGGGCTTTGATCCAAGGCTATATTATGGAACGTTAGTTAACGAGTTATTTGCCCAAGGAAATCGACAAGTCGATTGAAATAAGAATAAAGAAAGTACCAACCTTGGGAACGGGCCAGTCGGAAAAGTGCAAGTACTTGGCCTCCGACAGCGCCCTGTCGGGGTCCCACTGCTCCAGCGAATTCCCTAAGTAGGCCGTGTGCGACTCGGACCGAAACTCTCCAGTCAACAAGTTGTAAGGGCGGTGCGGGATGATCAAGGCGCTGTCTTTGTACAACTCGTTGAAGATCTCCATGTCGTATTCGGACCCGCCCGCGTGGCTAATGCTCTCCATGATGCGACCGAATTCAAAATCGGACGGCTCGACCACGAAGAGCTGCGAGCTCATGGTGCGGCCATTAGGGTCCAGCCAGTAGGCTCGTGGCATCGCAACAGGGCATGATGGGAGCAGGAAGAGCTCGTCCATGGGCTGTCTTGATGAGTATCTGTCTTCGACTAGTAGGCAGACGATCGCGGTCGGCTTACCTGAAGGATAGTCGAGTCGGAGTCTAAGCCTAAGACTCGATCATACTGAGTTTGGTTGAAAGCGAGGAGCTTGGTGTAGCTCTCAGCCCAGGTCGCTTCTCGCGCGAGTTAGCGTTCATATGTCCCGGAAAGGTCGCAGAGGGAGATACATACCATCACCCGACGGCCGGCTTTGTACCTGAATTGGCTGAAGTTTCACATTATATTCATCGCGTGCTTTGCGGACAAGTTTGCTCTCGAGTGATGTGTCATCCTCCGCGGTGGAGATGCCGTCGGGGTACATCAAGAGGCGATCGGCTTTGCTGTGCATGCTGTGGAGCCTCTCGAAAAGCATGACTGAGTTGCAGAGATAGTTGTCATCGGTGACATACTGCACGTAGGCGAAGCGAGACCAGTCCGTTTCTTCATTTCCCGACGGTGCTTCGGCGTGGTCATGTGGCAGGTCGTCGGGAACAAGAGGCTCCAGGACGCTGATGCGAAGTCGCCAGAGCGTGGTGATCACCAGAAGGGTCGCGAGAATGACCGCGAGAGGGCGCAACAACTTAGGTGAAGCCATGGGGGGAAGTTGCCACATTGCAACGGGATCATCCGAATTAAATTATACTAATTGAGTCGAGATAATGGACGGCCAGGCAGCTGGACCGTCCCCGCGATTGCTGGGCAGGTAAGCAGTGACAATTTAGGGCTGTGTTGACATGGATGGTTATCGCCAACGTGGGATATTTCGATTGACTCCGCCTCACGTCAGTCACTCAATCGCTCTGCAGATGATCAGACCAAAGGATAGCCTGGGCTTCCTCGGTTTATTACGATTCCGACGTAAGGCCCGTTCCTTTCATGGCTAATTTTTTTTTCTTTTTGTCTTAACGTGGGGGCTGGCGCTAAGACCAACGCTAAGCCAACAGGATGCTCCACGCTGCTCCAGCCGAACCAACCATCCACCAACGGCCCAATTGAACTTGGCTGTCAGTGGTCCACAGAGAACACCGGCATTTCCACTCTAGGCTTTCCCAGCGCAACCAACAGGGCACGTCGGAGGACATCATCAGTATCAGTCCGGCGCTTAGCAGGTGTCGGATCGTCTCACGCCACTATTGGGGCAACAAGTGCATTAAAGACGCTAAATTCAGGGGCCATTGATATGGGTCTCTCTATCTGCACCAATGGGCCAGGGTAGGCTTGCAGCTCAGCAATTCCATGTGTTTTCAAGCTAAGGCATACAGGATGAATGAGCCAAGGGAACGAGAACGGGGCGTACGACCCTCGGGTGTTCGACGATGAGAGCTCTATCATGGCAGGGTTCGGTTTAGAAACATTGGATTCTCTGAGCTCGTCCATCAATCAATATCACAAATATTGATCGATCCATTCTAGTTAATAGCTCAATCACCAAACTGAGGTTGCACCTCGAGGAACACTCGTGAATTGTGGCTTGATGGGTGTATTTGGGGGCAGTTTTCCAAACCATCGCCTGCGCTCAAGGCACTCCTGCAGGCAATTGTCGAGTCGGCGCGTTGGTGAATGGTAGCTTCTTAGACCTTGTCAAACGTGATTTGTGCGCATAGGCCCCTATTTTGTACTATCGCGCCAAAAGAAACCACTAGTACATTGGCAGGTCCTGGGCTGGCTCCACTGTTCTAATTACTTAGTCGCTACTCATCACAGAGGGGAGGGTGCTTTCATTTGCTTTTCTTGAAAACCAATCCGCATCCCCAGATTGCGTGAGGCTCAGATGCTTTTGCTCCGTCCTGGGGCTCTCCATTGACTGTCTTCAGGTAGCGATACCCCAGTACCTCAGTACCTCAATATAGCTACTCTGCTATGCAACACGACTTTCTCTTGGTTGGTCACTTCAGTCCCCGTGCCTAAGTTCCGACACTTTCACCAATATGCTGTCACCGTGGCTAGCACCCTTCCGGTCTGGCGTGACCTCGCTCGTTCTTCTCAGTCTCTGTAACTACGCCATGGGTCGCCCTTTTTACATGAGATGGTCTGACAGGACCTACGGACCCGATGGGCCTTGGAATGCCGTTACGATCGGGGTCGGGAAGCCAGGGCAGCAGATCGATCTGTATCCCGGAAGCACGTGGGAGTCCAGGGTTTTATTGTCGTCCATTTGTTCCAATGATACCATCTCGTCCACTTGCTACGCTAGAGACGCGGGGATCTTTTACCCCGATTCTTCCTCCTCGTTTGGAAACGAATCCATCTCCTTGGGTCCCAATGGGGAGTGGGGCCCCGGTCAGTTTGGGGCCGCCGACGCAGTGGGAACCACCGTGGAGGCCGACCGCGCGCTGATCGAGGTAGATCTCGGAGGGACGTTGATACCGGATGTTGATTTCATAACTATTTCGCAGGGGTACCAAACTTACCCGGGAGGGAAGAATTATCCCCTACAAGTGGGTATACTGGCGCTTGGGGCCCCGGACATCAATCAAACATTCAGTCGATACGACTCCGATCCACTCAATGGCACCTTTATCGCCAGTTATCTCTGGAAATACGCGGATGTCGGGATTCCGTCTTACTCCTGGGGCATGCACATCGGTTCAGCGGCGCACCAGATTCAGGGGTCACTGATACTGGGCGGATACGACAAAAACCGGGTCATTGGGGATGTCTCCGCGCAGCCCTATTCGGGCCCACACTTCCCCATCGAGCTTTTAGATATCGGGATAGGAGTAGCAGACGGCGAATCGCCCTGGGATGGGCCTGGGAAAAGCAAGTTGCTGGCACAGGGCAACTCGTCCCTTTCCTCCGGGATCACCGTCAAGGCGAGTCCCGCTGATCCGTACCTGTATCTTCCCGAGAGTACGTGCGACGCTCTCGCCAGCGAGCTGCCCGTCACCTACCAGCCTGATTACGGTCTGTACTTCTGGGACGAATCTGATCCGCGGTACTTACGCATCGTCACCTCCCCCAGCTACCTCGACTTCACCTTCAACAAGGACGGAGTCAACACGGAAAAGATCTCCATCAAGGTCCCGTTCGCGCTGCTCAATCTGACGCTGGAGGCCCCACTCGTGGAGAAGAGCGTCCGGTACTTCCCATGCATGCGCACCACAGGCACCTACGCTCTCGGCCGGGCATTTCTTCAGGCGGCCTTCATGGGCGTGAACTACATCGACCAAGACAACGGCAACTGGTTCCTAGCCCAGGCCCCGGGCCCGGGATACTCGGTTACGGCCCGGACGACCACCATCACAGCTACTGACTCCACAATCGCCGGCTCTAAAAACGGCTGGGTAGAAACCTGGGCCAACCACTGGACCCCGCTCTCCGGTTCTGCCGACAAACCTGAGAACGTCAACAGCGGTAGTGACGACAGAAGCGACGACAGAAGCGATGGCCTGTCGACGGGGGCCAAAACTGGTATCGGGATCGGCTGCGGGATCGCAGGGTTGGTGATTATCGGCCTCATGGTGTGGGCGTTGGCTCGTCGCCAACGCCGAAAAGCGAACATTCCCGCGGAGACCAAGTCCGCCGACCCTCCGCATCCCTACCGGCAAGTTGTACCAGCTCAGCTAAGCGCGCATACGCCCATTTATGAGCTTGCGAGTTCATCAAAGGAGGGACCGTATGAGATGCGATAGGACGATCGAGTTAATCTAGGCCATGAACAGGGCATGAGATTGCTCGACCAGTTGCATACTTTTTGATACTTTTTCCGCCGAGCTTCATATAACCCTAATCTTTTATATCGTGTTTCCCGCGTCGAGTCTTGTTGTGTCCACGTGTGTACGCTATATGCCGTTCCTACGTCGTGTTTCGAGTTAGCACTTTTCTTGTCTTACGCATCCGCAAACGGGGTTTGAATGTTCTCAATGTTTATTTGATAGCGTGTCATTGTTTTTTTTCTTCTCAATTCCCAGCTCACGAAATGTGGCAGAAAACTAGCTCCCCGTCTGGACCAAAGCTGAAGAAACAGTAACCGTGACTCAACCGTCAATCTGTATACGCCTTTTGAAGGAACTTCTCTAGTGAACCGAGCTGAGGGTGCAATCGTCTTTATCACCATGGGCCCGCCAAAAAGCCCACCAGAATCAGCACCACAGTTCTGATTCCCTAATCGCCGACGGTCAATACAAGACTTGGGGTTGTTATTGTTCCTGCTCAAAGGACGTCTAGTGCTGAGGTGGGTGCCTTGATTAAGTGGTGACTATGTTTAACTGCGGTATGTTGTTATATTTAATATGAGACACCAAGTACGGCACATGGAGAAGATCGATCTCAGCTCCGCATAGACCCAGGCGGCATGATGATGTAGTGGGAAACCGAATGACTGCCTCGGACTTACTCTTTCAATCGATGCCGTGATCTTCGAGCTCGTATGTGTGAGATACGAGGAGTTCTACAAACCTAATATCAACAGCCTTGTCTTAGGTGACCATGAGCTCGTGTCCAAAATAGTAACCATCCGCCAAGCCGCCTATTTAAGCATAGCTGATGCCTCCAGCTCCAATAGGCCGGCGTTGCCGAAGTGGCTGCTTCCACCCACCAGGGATGCAAATAAGCATCCACATCGATACTAATTATATATCAATTCTTCTAGGGATTATATTGTTATATATGGCTTTTCAAAATGACGTTGTGATATTTTCCGATGTGTCGGAGAAGTATTGGACCATGACTCGTTCGCCACATGCTCGTTTCCTCACCTCTCAGGAATGATCATCTCTCCACATACCTCGAGTCCCCTTGCTCGGATCTAGCCAGGCAGCAACATCCCATTACGAAACCCAAACCACCCCATCCATTCATTTCAGCAGTCGATCTCGACTAGTGAACAAGCTGCGTTTCTATCTTGGCAACCCCGTATCAAACTCCCCACATCAACCGACCAACTGGCGGTCTGCATGTCCTCGCCCTGGAACGCATATCTCGTATTTGCGTCTACACCAATGCAAGCACGAACCACAACCACGATCTCCAGACTCAGCTCCAGTTTGATCCCCCTTGCTTCGGATCTTGCAGCCCCAAACGGATACGAGATCGTAATGTCCTGCAATGAACTTCCCGGCTGAACAGCACAATTGGATAGCTGCTCCCTTCGCCACGACATCACATCGTATCTTGGGCGAGAGCGAGGGAGAGACATTTGCCACAAACATGACTCGAAAGGCCGTCTAAAAAGCTATATAAACCCTCCTGGGCCCCGTGCAATAGACATCTATCATCAGCATCCAACTCCATCAAACAAACAATCCACAACAAGCCTACAAAGCCTTATTTACAAACCTCGCTCTTCGCACTTCAAATCAATCAACATGCAGTTCTTCAAGACCGCCGTTTTCTTCTCCCTCGTGGCCGTTGGCCTAGCCGCCGCCTCCGAGGGCGACGCTGGAATGATGCAGAAGCGCGGATTCGGCTGCCCCGACGATGGACCTTGCAACACCCACGTGAGTACTTCATCTCCTACCTTTATTAGAAGCTAGACTGACACGATGGACCAATAGTGCAAGGATATCGGCCGTAACGGTGGCTACTGCGCTGGTTTCCTCCAGCAGTAAGTGCCCTTCTGTTCTGAATTATGGCGAGCAAAGAGACTAACCGATGGCGGCAGGGTGTGCACTTGCAATGAGAAGAAGTAAACGGGATACCCTGTTGAGATGAGAGTTGAGAGCGGGTGGTGGTGGATGATTGTCTCGGAGTCTGTCCGTTGAGGAACTTGACTGTTTGACTTGGTGGTATAGGACGTGTCGACACATTGTTCGTTCATTCGTTTATACAATACTTTGCCATTGCTCCTTCCATTCAGTGTAGTATTTGGTTGCCAAATAGCTCACAGGTGGAGGGAGAATACTGTTTGAGATTTGCTATCCAGAATACAGTAGTGTTCGAATTCAGATATACCTTCGTACTCTTGCGACTTCATTCCCGATGATAGATCCAGCATTCGTGAGCCCTGATTGGACAGGTGATAGGGCTCCGGTTTTCAGCCTTGCTCTGTTCCCCTCCTCGTTCCCCTCTTTCTGTCTGCCGCAGCATCATTGCACGCTCTCCACTAGAGTTACATGTACACATGAGATGATACGGCATTCTCACCATTGACCTGTCTAGTGCCCGCTGTCTCCATACTAGTCCACACATATCCTTCATTTCAAAACAATGACCAACGCATCCGAAGCAAGTGCCGAGCACTTCGTAAACAAGTAAGCACCTAAGCTGCCTTTGCAAAATGGTTACCTGACCACTTTACTCTCTAGCATCCTCCCCCTATATCAGGGCCCGTCCGTCAAACTTCGAATCCAGCCTACCAACAAGGAATATACGATATCCAAGAGCCTTCTCTGCGCGGAATCGCCGGTCTTCTCAAGAATGTTCAACGGTGAATTTATAGAGTCACAGCAGCAGACAGCCACTCTAGAAGAGACCGACGACGGTGTCTCGGTGCGTAGCCTTGAAGCACTCTTCCAATGGCTATACCAACACACTGTCAGGTTTGCGATTAAAGACCCGGGAGAGCATATCTCGGCCGCCATGGAGCTCGCAAGGCTTGCAGACATGTACGAGATCAATGGATTGGAAACTACATTGGCCCAGTACATCAGGAACATCATAAAACACAACCCTGATCCAATGACCGGAGGGTATTGTCGACATGTTGATACCAACACTTATTGTCTCACACAAGATCATATCGCCTCAGCAACCTTGTTGCCTCGGGGGCATCCAGTGCGAAGTGTTCTGGCTGCAGCATCTGTTGAAGGCTTCCTCCGACACGCAGATTACAAGTTCTGTGAAGAGGCTCAGGCATACCCTTCTTTCGGAGCTGACCTTCTCCAAGAGATTAGGCTCGTCCTACATAAGTTGGAGCCCCGTGCGGCTGCCAAATTTGAAGACCCTATCAGCGGAGAAAGATCATACATAAGCTAGGATGTATACTAAGAGTAAGCCGGTCGCATGATCGAATGCTTTTCTCATCGAGGCGTTTGTGTACACAAGCCAATGATATTGGCATCTAAGAAACGTAGTTCCTGGCAAAGCCAAGTTGTCAAAAACCCGAAGTTGGCAAGATATGCCGAGGACCTGGGCCATCGCACTGTAGACCAGAGTCCTACTGTATGCAAGTAGTCCATCATATCGTCGAGATATATACACTTTTTGTAGTGGTGATAGAAAGATTGAACCCGGGCCCTTCATCTTCCCGCCAATCGCACCTGCTAAAGACATGTCTCTTGAGCTGCATCTCGTGACCACAGAAGCATATTAGATATTTTGCTAATATGTCAAACATATCTTCTAAACAGGTAGAATCTTTGCAATCAAAGTATGTTCAATAGAAAGGCAGATAGATAGATAGGTAAATACCAAGTACACCCCACAACCAGACCCCACATTAATTAATATCTGCCTCTTTCCAAGGCAGAGTGACCTAGTAGACATGGTATTTCAATCCCAGGGTAGGCATAGCCTACACATACCTTCGCCCTATCAAGTCCAAATATACCTCGTATTTAGTATCTATCTACCTACCTACCTACCTACCCGGTCAGTCCAACCTCGTATATAACCCTGCCGGAGTAGATCCCCCCTCCCCCCCACACGCGGATCTATATATAATACCCCCACAAGATACGGAGTAGGTGGGTGTCTATGCCGTGATAGGCGCGTTTCATGTTAGTTGATGCTAATCGCTTCGTATAGAGTACAGTTACGAAGATGATTGGTTGGTTGGGAAGATCGGTGGATGATCTCTCTCTCTCTACTAACTCCATTTCTTGCCCTCTCTGCCTGATCTAGATGGTTGTGTTTTCTTGGTCTAGTTTTGTCCGATTGGTGGTTTGAGGAAGTTGGTTGGTTGAATATGGCAAGGTAGGTTGGTTAGTATCTAGTATCAGCCTGTGTATATCTATAAATATAAACATCGACTAGTGAATATGAATAGCTGTTTACTAACTTAAAGATGAATGAATGGATGGGAAAAAAACTCATGTCATCATTATCACCGTTCATAACCCCAGCGCTTTTATGTACATTATTATTGTCTCAACCCACGACGTGCACGAAAGAAATAGAAATGAAAATGGAAGTAAAAAAGCGAAATAGAGAAAGACAGAAGAAGGAAAATAAGGATTGAAAGAAAGAAAGAAGTAAAAGAGACAATAGAAGAATCAATAAAACAATCATGAATACATCGTCTCATCACCCCCATAAGCATACCCAATCTCAACCTTCGCCCCCACAACACTACTCAAACAATCCTCCAGCTCGAAATCCTCCATAACAGCACCGAACCCATAGCACCGCACCTTGGTGCTGAGCGTCTCGACCACGATCTTGATATCGTCGCGGGTCAGCCGGTGGTACAGCTCGTGGTTCTTGAGACACTGGAGCGCCATGATCGGCGTGATCTGCCCCTCCGTGACGAGCTGGCGGCTGAGGTTGAGGAGCGTTGCGAGGTTGACGTGGGGGAGGTCGTAGGTCTTGTGCGGGTAGGCCTGTTCGGGCGTCGTGTCGCTGATGTAGCTGGGTGGTGGGCATGTGGCCATTAATGCGTGCCCTGAGAATGGCATGTCTTCGTCGTCGGCTTCTGTTACGGATCGTCGGCAGAGGTAGTCTGTGTGTTCGCGACACGGGGATTCCAGTCTGGGGTGTAGAGGTTAGCAGCATGCGTGAGGAGTTGTCCCGTAGCTTCGGGGGGAGGGAAAGGGAGGATCCATACGTCAAGACGAAATCGACTTGGAGCTGGTTGTCCAGCTCGAAGATCCCGTCGGGATTGGCTGGCGTTCGGTTTTTCGGTGCTATCCGGTCGAGCGTGGCTAGGGCGTCGCAGGGTGCTGCGTTGTACGCATGGACGCCTGGGATCGGGTTCTGCGTCGGTGACACTTCCACATGTTCCGGTCCGATTGCGTTCGTGTGCGGACTGACGCTCGACGACATGGAGACGGTGGTCGGCGGGGTCGTGTAGAGGTTGTCGTTCGATAGAGGCGCGGCGGACGGCTGCGACGTGATGCTCCCGCTGAACGGACTGGAGTTGAAGACGGGGGTCGTATTTCGCGGGCGTTCGGCCTTGCGGCGTTCCAGCTCGACCTCGTAGTGGACGCCCTGGGCGACGAGCATCTCCTTCAAGATGCTGTTCTCATCGGATAAGGACTGCACCATCTCACGGTGCTGGTGAACCGTCAGGTTGGCGGCGGAGATCTCGTGGGTGTAGGCCTCCCGTAAGCGGGATACCTCGGTCTCTAGCGATCGGATGTACTGTTCCTTGCGTTCGCGGTGGGTCCTGCGGTCGCCCCCCGTTGGCGTCTGCCCTCGTGCACGAACCTGTCGCAAGGGACGGGTCACCTACCTCTGCGCCTGCCGATTCAGCTCTTGCCGCCGGGTCAAAGCGGGTCGACTATCGGGTTTGGGACCCCGTCGCTTGGCCGGTTGACCCTCTATCGGGGGTACGTTAGCATGTTGCAAATATGAATGGTGAAAGGCTCAGATCACCCACCTCGATTGTTTTTCTTCACCCCGTTGTTGCCGCTGCCACCCCCACCCCCACCACCGAAAAATTTGAAGAACTCCGCTCCCAAGGAATTCGTTCGCGTGCTCCCTTGGGATATTTGCCCTGCGAATTTGGTCAGCACAGGGACGGATCAGTATGTGCAATATCAACCAAGTGTAAGACGAGTGAGGATGCGATCCACTTGTTCTTTTATCCATCTCCGGGCCGTGTTATTCTCAACATTGCTGGTTGGTTGTATCCATGTCACAAGTAGAACAGCCATTTGACCACTCACGGTCCCTCGAACTGGGCGTTTGCACCAATCCAGATACCAATATCCAGATTCCACATTGTTGAGCGGCCCCCAAGTCTACCATTCTCAACCGTCGAAGACTCGCAAACAGAAGAACAGCGCCATAGACACCCACTGCGATCCCAACTCACCATTCATATCCACTTGTTGGGGAATGCTCTGTCGGTTCGCAACATCGTGTTCCATGGGCATAGCAACCCCATTCATGGTCGCCATGATCGTCTATGCCGGACAAAAGTAGTCAAACCTCGGTAGTTGTAGTATTGCGACCGGCGGATATCGAGAAAGGAGGGATTGAAGAAGCAACGCAACGCAACGGACGAAGGCGATAGACTTATTTACGTCCAGGTCATCGGCGATCAACCACGTAGACCACGGTCGGGGGGAGCGAGTAATTGACTGACTCGGTCGCAGGCGAGTAGAGTGGATTCGATCCGTCGTGCGCACGCGGTTTTGGCCGTTGAAGGGACGGGACCCGTCGAGTTAGGTCGATAGTATATACTACCTTTCTAACTCAGTACCGGCTGGGCGGATCGGTCTCCCCGATGGTTCGTTCCCGATGAGGAATGGAGCTGCAGGTGAACACGGACTCTGGATTAGAGGGGAATGGTGTGGTGTGGTGGGAATTGTGAGGGACTGTAGGTGATGGGAGTGGTAGAATTGGGAAGGGTGAGGTGATGGATAGAAGTAAGTCGGAGAAAGAGGGAGAGAAGGAGAAAGGAATGTTGGAGAATAGCGAGAGAGGGGGAAGATCCAGGTGTGTTGGGACAAGAACAGTCAACTAGTCCAGTCGTCGCCGTTATAATAATCAGTGTAGGAGGAGGAGAGCTAAGTGGATCGATCGATGCAGGTCTAATTCGGGACCATAAAAATATAAATAAATAAATACAATATTATATTCTGATCTAGAATATAATATAAAGACAAAAGAAAACCTGATAGATAAAAACAAGATAGGTAAAACAAGACACCAACAGATCCAGAATACGGAGTCCAATTCACACATCCACTCCCACATGCACACGCACTATCCACCTCCGATGAAGAAGACAACAAACCATCTCTGGTTCCTGTTCCTGTTCCTGAACGGACCAGCTGGGGGTTTGTGCCAAGGCGCTTTAACGGCGAATAAGGCCGAACCCTGACCCGCGTATAATAACCATTGTTTATTGCTGTATAATTCAGTCAGGAATCATGATCACTGATCAAACCAAAGAATCCACGGGAATCCAGAATGGAGAATGAGTATGAAGTATCAGAATCAAATCAGCAGACAGTCACGACACATCGCATGCGCCTTTATTCGCCAGTTGCTCCGACAGGATGGAATGATTGGCGCTGCTCATCCCCAGCCACAAAAGCAAAGAATGCATCCGCCCGTGTGGCCATCCACTCGCCTCCCTTTCTTTCTCCCTTTCTCGGCTGCGGATGATAATATAACTGTAATATTAATCAAAGATCAAAGAATATTCGTTAAGATTGTCAGTGGGTATCATCAGGTCCGGGACAGGTCGAGGGATTTTTGATTTTAGAGACGGACTCCCCCGAAGGAGCAGATGAGCGACAGGAAAGTCGGAAACTTCTAGATTCTGTCCTCTTAATTTATCGACATGTTAATTCGTCACCTCTGATTCGATTTCCCATTCCGATCGAGTGGTGATGGCTGAAACTAGGCTGAGGATCGCAATCCTCACGCCCTGCGATGGTCCCAGACCGGGTGAGATCGACGCACCGTTGACCCTGTCCGTGGTGGCTGCGAGGCGGGTCACTGGTCCAGTGGCCACCGTGGGGGAAACAGAGGGATAGGATAGCAGTTGACATCTCAGAATTGGTAATTCCGAGTAGCTTCTTGAAGGATTCCGCAGTGTAACGTGAAGAATCCAGGATCGTCCCCGACGGGACTCAATGTTGACACAAGAAACATCCCCGTTCCTAAAACAGCCCATCGGTACGATTGGACTGGTCAATCCGGTGGACGCGGACCACCCTCTTGTCATGGATGTTTCGATGGAACGAGACCGGGACCCATCACGCCGCCGGCCGGGCCATTGAACACTCAGCGGGGAGGTCGCTAGAATCACCCAGGATGGGGCTAGTTCGACACGGTCATCGGTAGTGGCTCTGATCCACCAACGCTCGATGGGGCGAACCTTGGGTCGGTCCAGGCTGGCTGGCTGGCTGAAAACTATAGTAAATTGCTGAATATAGACATGGGCGAGGGATAATCCGTATCACCCTTCCGGTCGTAGCTTCGTCTCCCACTGCACACACAGAACTACCCTTTCGCTGTCCCTTGAAGGACAGGTGCGGTTGGCAGTACCACCACGCGCAAACCATGCACCGGCGTCCGACGTGATACAGAGCACAACCTCTTTCCTTTCATCTGCCGAGCTCCAGGGACAACCTTCTGTCCAGGAATCGCGACCCGATCGTGTCGTCCGTCCAACATCAGGGGGCACGAAATCCCTGTCGCATCGGGCCAGGGATAAAATTGGGATCCGTCGCTGGTTCTCCGGGAGGACAGTGTAACAAAGGGCCATTCCGCCTGTTCATTTCCCTCACACACCACTAACGTGGGAATGACGTCGCCCTCGACATATTAAGTTCCATTCCATCCCACAAGGGGCTCATTGTTGACTGATCGATTGATACTCAAATTGATTGGTTGAAAACCGATGCCATTCGACTGGTCAGAGAGAATCATTACCGAAACATGCTTAGGAGGATACGAAACCCCTCCTGGTCCATACTTCACTTCGACTCCATTCCTAAACACTCACCCTTGTGGCCTTGTGGGGACTGGGGAGAAAGGAGAAGGGCGACAGGGATGGGGCGCGTGGAAAGACCACGATCCCGTTGGAATGTGAATGTGAATGTGAATGTGATTTTGCCTTCCCGCCCAGCCAGCCAGAACCACGATCACATCCGAGACATATTTCAAGGTTCTAGGTGATCGGATCATCAAGGAAGAAGTCCAAACGATGGATGAGCTGGACTGATTGGCTGCCTTGAGGCCTTCCGATGAACTATTGAGACCGCGATCCACCGCCTAAGGCAGCCTCGGGCTCCACCTTTACCCGATTGGGCGATCCCATGACTCGCTGCCATCCACGTCGTTTGTCACGTTTGCATTCTTTCTCTTCACCATCATCTTCATCATATGGTATCACACCACAGCATGATCGCCCGGTAATGCACGTCACTCCGCTTGGACTTTCTTCTCCTCCATGAATGCTTAATTGATCCCGGATGGATCCTTTCTCCGAGGTGCTCGTCCATATCTCCGCTCCCAGCGGAGTCGCCGACGATGCTCGCTATCGCGCTCAAGTCGACGCCATCCTCGACTTTCAGTGCGTCTCACGTCAGGCCGTCATCACCTCCGCAGGTTCAGACGAGGATACCCAGGACAACGGCGATCAGACGGCAGAATACGTCGTGAATCCTCATCCCAGGATCCAGTCCGCAGAGCACCATGCAGCGGACTCTCTCCACAGCAGTCTAGTCAGCGTTATCCCGGACTCGCAGCCATCACAGGGCCCGCCTCTGAAACGTCCCCGGATACATCCACCATCACCATCACCACCATCACCTCCAAAAGGAACCCCGGGAGACCCAGGAAACCCAGGAGCCTCCAAAGAACCAGGGAACCCCCCACAACCAAGCCCCAACTCACCCCGGACCCAACAACAACCACCACCACCACCCACACAAAAACAAGAAACCAAAATAACCCTCCCCTCCAAATCCACCCCCAAACCCACCTCCCTCAACAGCCCCCTTCACAACACACATCACCCCAACCCTAGACATGCTCACCAAGCGCCTCAAATCCCCCCGCACCTACACCCCCATTCACCAAACGCGCGCCCTCACCAACCTCGAACGCGGGCACTGGACAGTTCCTATCAATCTCATCACTACCACTCCCCCTCCACCCTCACCCGCATCCTCACCCAACCCGGAGTATAAACCTCAGGATATATCCCCCAACACATGGCCCACACCCCTCTTCACCCGCTTCTGGACCTTCCTCTCGGATTTCATTAGTGAGGGCCGCGCTGGATGGGGCGTGTGGTGTTCTCTTGAAGTTGACACCACCACCGCCACCACCAGCATCAACAACAATGGAGACCATAATCCTCATCCGCCACCCCAACAACCCCCCAAAGAATCAGAAAAATCAAAAGAAGAAAACAAACTAACCCACCCCATCCAACCCACAACCCTCAAAATCTACGCATGGGGCGAAACCGCCGAACACATCTACCTCCTGCTGTTCCTAGCGAGCGAGCGCCGTATTCGCCGCATGGGTGCGCGCTGGCGCGATAGTCGGGATGAGGTTGTTATTGTTATGTAGGTTTCATTTACTGTATATATAGTATTTGGTTTTGTACATGTGTATACTTGAGATCATCTACTAGATGAATTAATGAATGATGGATGATGGTTGATGGTTGATGAATAATGAACGAAACTACAATGGAGAATGAATAAAAGTATCAAGTATGTTTCCACTCTCCATCAACGAAGAAAACTTTAATACAGCCAGTCAATGCGTGGATTGGATCTACGCCAAAAGGGACAGCGCCGGTTGAGACGAAAAAAGAAAAGTAGAGAGAGAGAGAGAGAGAGAGAGAGAGAGGTAAAGAATACATGTGGTCAAGTTTGTGTAGTAGGAGTACAGAGTACATGGGAACGATTTGAGACGAGAAAAAAAAAGGAAATTTGATGTAATGATTAGAACAAGAGTGTGTTGTTGTACGGCTCAGATAAACACCACGCCTCAGATGAGATGGAAAAGGAAAGTAAAGTAAAGAGAAAAGAAAGCAGATTTTGCCAACGATGCAATGCCTAAATCGGGAAAAGGTTGTGCCAATTCAAAAGATTTGAGAGCTGGTCTCCCAGCAGAAGATGAAATCCGGGGTGGGAAAACTAATAGTTCAGCTCACCACTCCCCGCTCCCCCAACCGCATCGAGATCCTCGTAGCTTTTCAGGCTGCGGCCTTGCACCGCTTCGCGAGGTCCCATGCCCTGCTGGGCACCGCCCGCCCCCATCGCATCCGGGAAGCCACCCGCAGCCACCATCGCGGCTGCCGGGTGTCCTGGAGGGATGTACGGAGCAGTAGGGTTGGGCGGGAGACGACCCGCGCCGCCGTACATGGACATGCCGCGGACCGGGCTCAAACGACCACCGCCACCGCCGGAACGGTGGCCACGTCGGTCATAAGGGCCCATCCGCGTATGACGACCGCCTCCGCGGCGCATAACGCCCGGTTGGTGAAGGCCAGGGTGGTCGCCGCCGACCATCCCGTTCGACCCCCAGGGCTGGCCTCCAACTCCAATGAGAGTCGGGAATCCAGCCCCAGGCATACCTTGCATCCCGGGTGCAACCCCAGGGCCCCCGCTGAGATACGGCGGCATGGACGACAAGCTAAAACCGCGAGGGGTGCCGGTTTGATTGTGGCCGGTGTGGAGGGGGAAATGTCCGTTGCTGTTCGCGTCCGACCGCGAGGGTGCAATACGGGCGGGGTCGAGAACGTAGGCATTCACCAGGGTCAACTGTAAGGCAGTCCAGTCAGCAAGAACTCTAATCACGGGCATAGATAGGATCGACTTACATCACTCTTGATGGTGTTGTACCACTCCGCGTGCCGCTTCTCCACGTGCTTCTCCCAAAAGTGCTCAGCCTTGAACAGTTTGTTGCACTCGGGCACCTTGCAGCGGAACTTCGAATCATCCTCTTGCTTGACAAACTTGGCCAACTCCTCCTGGAGTGCTTCCTCCACGGGCTTGCCGCCGAGTTTGCGGATATCCACGTTCTCCGGCTCGAGGATCTGCAAAAGCTTGTCTTCGAATGTCCGCACCCAGTTAAACGCACGCTGAAGCTGCTGCTCCGTCTTGGAGCTGAATTTCTGGGACTTCTTCTCCTCCGCGGGCGCGGGCGGTTCCTCCCCGTCCTCACTGGGCTCCTTCTTCTTGACGGGGAATGGCTCGCCAAGAGCGCTGGCCCGGGCCACGGCTTTCGATTGGGTAGTGAGCCCAGCGCGCGGGCGACGCAGGTGGCCACCGGGGCATTTCCGAGTGAGCTCGTGCACGGAGTCGCTCTCGAAGACACAGAAGAAGCAGAAGTTGTAGACTCGGCGAAGATATTCTACCAGGAGGTCCAACTTCTTCTTCTTAGCCAGAAGCTCTTCATCGTCAACGTCGTCATCCTCCCATCCTTCCTGCTCTTCGCCCTCTTCGGCCTCACCCTCGTCCATGTCATCTGCGTCGAAGTCCGACTTCCGTTTCTTGACACTGACGGGCCCAGTCACGGGGGGTTGCAGCCACCCCTTCCCGCGCAACTCCTCGACGCGCTCGTCGATCTTAGTGGTACCTTCGGCGTTCCACATCTCCGCATCCAGCGTCGAGGCCAAACGCCGTGCCAGCTCGAGGTCCCGTCCGATACGTTCCGGTGCCGAGAAGAGGTCCCAAAGGGCCTTCTTGCGCGGCTGCGAGGGAGGCACATGGACACCCACATGGCAAACAAAGTCCCCATGGACGGGATCGTGGATGGTCTTGTCATTGACCGCTTCCAGGGCCTTATCGGCAACGCTAGCAGTTCCAGAACCCTGAGTCACATCGTGCTCCATTTCCTCGCCCTCCTCTTCCCGGCCATCACCCCGTTCGACGACTGGAGCATCTGCCGCGGGGTGGAGCATGATCCACCCCATGCGATGGTATTTCTTGGAGGGATTCGGGTCGCTGAGGCTCAGCCACTTGAATCCGCCATCCTGCTCGCCCAGGTGTTCTTTGCAGAAGTCTTCAATCTTGTCGCGGCTGACATTGGGTGCTAGGGTCTTGATGAGGAGGGCAGGCTGAGACAAAGCCTCGTCGCGCAGCTCGCCACCCCGGGCCGGAAGCAAGTCCAAAACACCCAGGGTCTCGCCGACTGCGGTTGTCTCGCCTTCTTCCTTCTCGATCACGCCGCCCGCACCGTCGCTTTCGTTTTTGTAGATTCCTTCCAAGGTGAACTCGTCGAACAAGCCACTCTCCAGGTCGCGCTCCCACTGCTGATAAGCACCGACGCGGAAGTCCATCGTACGCCGGCGAAGAGGCTCCCTAACCTCGGGAACGTACCGTTCTTTGAACCACTCCTCGGTCCGGTGGTGGTGCACAAACGTCCTCGCCATCTTGACCTGCAGGTCCACCTTGTACTTGTCGTAAGCGGCCTGTATCTGGGCGCGTTCTCTCTCCCGATCCTCACGCGACTCGCGTTCACCCTTGACGCGATCTGATGGACGACGCCCGCCATGCTTTGCCCGTTCCTTCTCTTCCTTGATCGATTGCTCCGCTCTCCACCACTCGGCGAACCAATTGAATCCAACTTGGAATTCCAGGCCCAACGGGTTGGGAAGGGGGTTCGTGGGGATCGGCCGCCTGCCCGAGTCTTGTCCAGGAACGTATCGGTCGATATTAGACACAGTCGGAGACGGGGCACGGCGGCGATCTTCGCGCTCTCGCAGAGCGGTCTCGCGAGATGCGGCGTAATAATCATCGCGGTTTCCACGGCGGTCAGAAGGTTCGTAACGGTCGATCATAACGGGTGAGCGCGAACGGGGACGGCCCCGGCGACGATCTTGCGAGACTACAGATTGCACAGTTTAGCGACCGCGACTTCCACTCATGCAGCCCCGAGAAGCTCAACGAGTGGTAACCTACCAGGCGACCGACGTCTGTACGAGTCCACGGGAGCTCTGGCCACGTAGGAGTCCGCCTCGCGGCTCCTGCCCGGAGACCCATAACTCTCATAGGAATCCATTCTGCGGAACCAAAATCACGACAGCGATCAACGGGTATGGGTTCTTGATCCCAAGTTCGGCTCAATGCGGCGAGCCTCGCGTTCGAGACGAGTGAGACTAGAAGAGTCGCGTCGGAACGAAACGGATATGGGGAGCAGGTAGATACCGGCGGCGTAAGCTAAGAACCGAAATCACCAACATTAGAGCAAATCATATTATGTCAGGGGCAGGGTATCTTGGAGGTTGACGAAGGGCAAGGAAGGACGGAATTTGATGAACGAAGATGAAAGAAGGTCGGAGCCTGGAAGAAGGCAAAAGAGAGACAAGGCATGTTGGATAGAGAACGACAAGAATGAGTCGGTTGATTAAAGGAAAATAAAAGACGCACGCTCACGCGAGCAGAAGAGAGAAGAGATAGTATTAAGGTGTAAAAAAAGAAAAGAGGGAGAAAGTGTTGATGTATGTAAGACAAGACAATAGCACGAGGCGTCTCGAGACTCGATGGTGGCGCGACAATGCAATTGACAAAGAGAAGGGGGAGATGAAGAGCAGAAACAAGAGAGCGCAAGCTTTCAAGTTCGGTTTTGATAGGAATAGAATCTTCAAAGACGAAGAGATTGAAAGAACCAGGTAAAAGAAATGAGCAGGGAAAGGGGGGCAGGGGAATATGAGAGGCGGAAGGATGGGGGGAAAGTTCAAAGAGAGAAAGGACAGCAAGGCAGGCGACCTACAAGAAGCCTTTTAAGTAAAAAGTGATATTGGTGTGTAAATCAAGCCTGGCAGCGCATCCAATCCGATAGCCTCCAGAAGGAAGAGAGGAAAAGCGCGCCTTGGATAAGGATGGCCAGGAGCAAGGTTGCGATGTGAAGAGAGGGAAGAGAGAAAAGAAGAGAAGAAGAGGATGGAGAGAGTTGAGCTGGAGATGGCCGGGATAGGTGGAGCCGCCACTAGGCGGGATCGGGTTAGCGCCTGCGTCGGAGCGCGATGCTGACTTAAGCGCGTCTGTTTGCAACTTTTGTAACTACGAGATGAGAGCATCGAGCAAAAGTACGTCCTGATATTTATACATAACTAACAGGGGAATCATCCGTTGGAAATCACACATGGGGAGAAGGAAATAAAAGGGGGGAAGAAGAAGAGGAAAAGTAAAAGAGGTGAAAGAAAAACAAAGGAAGTTGCTCATCCTCAACACGGGATAACAATATCCTTGCCCGACCACGGAAGTTTCAAGCGCAAGCCCACCACAAGCCCAGAGTTGTTGGCCAGACCATCTGGAGAAACACCGAGGGCACTCAGAGTCCGATATCCCAAGGTGTACCAGGGGAAGGACTCCCAGGTCCCAACCCCAGGGTTCTAGGGCCAGAGGCATCAGCTCAATCACAAGCCGGCCCAACCAACATACCAGAGGAACATAGGGAAAGACTGTAACCTCTGAGACCTTGGCTGGGAGAAAGCTCGTCCCAAGTACCGTAGGCCCGAATCCCAAGCTCCGTACGCTCGGATCCGAGGGCGGAAGCATTTTACCACTGACGGGGCCCCCTGTCTAGATTGGGTCCATCGTCCCAAAGAAAAGGAGCAACGAGATCAAATCATCGCGAAGGGGTCGATACTGAACAAGAGTCATGCGGACTCCATGGCAGCGCCAGCCACTGTAAATCAGGCTTGTGCCATAGTGACCGGTATGAGTGATACAACGGTCCATGGATAAAGCCCAATAGGTGGGGCTTCGTTGGCATGAAGCAGAATTCTACCGAGGGCAGGAAAGGTTCAAGGAGCGCCCATGAACGGCGCCGTTCGGGCGGCATGGCGTACCGTGGGGGCGGGCGGGGCTTTCGAACGAACAAGCGTTCAGGACAGTCATTGTAGACCCCCAATTTCAACAACATAGACATCAGAAGGAGAAACCAAAGGAAAACTTCGTACCAGCATAACCGTATAGACAGACATAAATGCAAGAGGCGCAGAAAAACGTAAGCGTGCGACAACACAAAAAACAAGAACAAAGCCGTCGTAGATCCATGTCACACATCGCTTGCTCCAGAGTAAAGAAAAAGACGGGTTTGAGAAAGCAGAAAAGGGGAATTCCAACGTCGCGTCGATCCGTAAAAACCATCATCAATAGATACGAAGAATAAGAAGACAGAGGGAACAAAAACCAAAGATAACCAAAAAAAAAAGTAAAGGCAACGCGGACGGGTCACCCTCACGATAAAGATACGGAACAGAAAAGAGAAACTGCTCAACTCTCCTCGTCGGAGGCCTCGGCAGATTCCTCGCTGTCCTCCGCCTTGCCAGTCTTGGTCTTCTTCACGGGCGTGGCGATTTCATCATTGAGATGACTCGACTTGCGCTTCTGCGCCGAGGGAGGGTTCTCCCCAGACCCCTTGGTCGCGCCCACGTCCACGTTCTCTTGGTCCATGGATTGACCGCCCTTTTTCTCCAAGGCGGCCACTTCATCGGCCGTCAGGAATCGGCCACCGGGACCACGCGGTCGCCGCATCGCGTGGTTGTGACGCGACTCGTGCAGGTATGGCTTACGGCCCTTGGACGTCAGTCTCAACTGCTCTTCCAGTTTCTGTCGCGCAACACGTCTCTTCAAGATGCGGTGGAATTGCTTGGCATTGACGTAAAGCGGCGATTCCTCTGCGGCGCCCGCGACCAACTCCGGAGAAGGCTGACTTTGCTGGACCGGGGCCGGGGGCGGGGGCCCCATGGCGGGCGGCCCGGAAGGTCGAGTCACGTGAGCCATCACCGGCTGGGAATTCGGCACGTGTGGGCTGCCAACGTGGCTCATGCGACGCTGCTGCAATTGGGCGCCCTGGCCCATCGGTACCTGAGAACCCATTGGGGGCATCTGACCAGGCATTGGAGGGGACCGAGGGTTGCGGTCCTTGACCGGAACGCCTCCCATGCGGGGTGATCCCCTCGGTCCTTGGGGAACCTGCCCAGTCATGGAGTCTTGGTGGAGCGGGTAAAATTGGCCCGAGGCAGCAGCGGTCGCCATGGCAGCGGCTTGCGTCGGCGAGATACCATACTGTTGGGGGATGGCAGCGGCGACGCCGTACGACTGAGGGAAGTTCATCTGCGGATGTACCGCGCCGGGCGCATTTTGCGGGGGCTGGTAATGCGACTGCGACGGAACAATAGGGGATGTCTGGTGCGAAGGGTGGGCGGGTTGCATATGAGCTTGCGGGTTTGTGGGAGAAGCCATCGATCCGACAGCTGAACCTGGATTCTGTGGTCCGGCCTGATAGGGGGCGGCAATGTGGGAGGGACCGTGGGGGTGTTGGCCGTGAGGCTGTTGATATTGCGGGGGGTACTCCATTCTGATGTCGCGGTGGTCCTTGCCAGCACGCGTTCAGTACACAAAGTTTTGATTGGATGAGATCGGCGAACTGGAATCTGAAGATCAGAACCAATGGCGATGGCGAAAAGAGCAACTGTCTGGTTGGTAGGCGATTGACAGTAGGCCAGGAAAAGGTCAATGGAGATGATAGGGCGTGGAAGCGCTTTGCCTTGAGGCGATCACGGTTGCGCGCAAACCAGCAGACGACCGCAAAGATCGTTAAGGGGCTGACGCCGATGATTCGACGAGTTGAATGCGAAAGGCTGCAGGCGCTCGAAATAGTGTCAGGGCGGAGTGCAGCGCCAATCGGTCACTGGGTTGGAAGTGGGGTCAGACGGGGTAAGGGCGCTTGCACCGGAGCGGTTACCTAGGACGGTGTTTCGCTAGTTCACCGGGTCTTCACCTGTTAGCGACCAGGAAATCCACTGGGCCAAAAGGAAAGACTGAGCGCTCGTTTGCTGAATTGCTTCGAACAACTCCTTCCGGAGGATCTGAGTCTTTTGTGGGTATGCTGTTCTTGACGTCCACTTCGGAGTGTAACGTGGTTGGGCTCTGATGCAGCGGACCAGGGTGCCCTCGACAGAACGGCACTTGATGCGTTGTCAGAGAAAGCGCAGCCTCTCTTGACTAAGACAAGCAACAAGCTATCACCAGGTGCGCGCAGGTTGGGGCGACAAAAAAATAAATAAACAACCGAAAGATCGGAACAACACGAGCTACGCAGTGTATTTGAGATAACAGCTGGCAGGCTACCGATCTCCAGACGTTCCGATCCTAAACAAGTAGGACTGATCGACCACACCTATATCCGAAGACGACGGCGCAACAGCGCGATATGAGGCGGTGCTAAGCGACGTAGTCTGCCTAGTTCTTCGAGTCCAGGCGAACGAAGATATCTTCGCTCAGAAGTCCCCAGAACGATGATGCGACCGCGATATTGGTGTCAGAACACGCCTAACGGGGCGTCACAGGGCTAATTTGGCTACAAAAGTCTATCAGCAACATCCTCGTAACTAACCAAGACATGTTGGTCTTGGAATTGTGTGCTGTCATGACGAAGTGGAGGGGTAATGCCAAAGGTGGCGGGGGAGGGGAAAGACGAAAGCGTGGCTGTTTAGTTTGTCTTTTCTCATTTCTTTTTTTTTTTAATTTTGTTTATCTCTTTTTTTTTTCTCTTTTTTCAATGTTTTTTTCAAGGCTGGGGAGGGGGTGGTGTATGCGTTGGCAAGCGCGAGAATGACGATGCAGCGGGCAACATACCTTGTCGAAATGCGACGTATTAACCACTGCATACAAGGGTCACACGTCTTTCTTCACGCGCAGGAAATATAGAGCAACCGAGAAATCAATGATGTCCCTGCAGACAGTTCGTATAGTTTGCAAGATCAAGCTAGAGCCCTGTATGATATGGGGAATTGCTGTCAGTCAACCGGCATCTCAAGTAAATAAAGGTTGACGCGTGCTGATTGGGCCATTGGTGGCGGGGAACGGACAGCCCGAAGACGCGACCATGATGCAATAGATCCAATACAGGAACCAGAGGACAATGGACTCGTGGTCAAGGCTTCCTGCAATCCTTTTGTTTTTTCGCACATGCGACATCAACTCGGAGGATTGTTTTGGGGTGATCAGGTGGGTGCAGCAAGATTGAAGATGGGGGAGGATCGCATGTCGCGCAGCGTGACGGACCGCGGTCCTAGGCCAAGGGAACCAAAACAACACGGTCGGATTTATTGTGGACGGGGGGGAAAAGAGACGATGCGAGGGGGATGGGGGGGGGAGGGGCCATGGATTACCTGATGATCGATCTGAGATGGAGGCAGTAAAGTTCCTAACAGTCGATGCAGAACATGCAAGCAACGCGATGATTTGACGACCTGGGGGGAGACTTGTCACGGGGAATGGACGAAGAGTCGAGAGCTTCTGCCAACGAGAAGGCGGGTAGCGCGAGAGCGGTGGACGTTCTGTCGCTGATGTCAGTCCCGGGCCGGGTTGATCCGTGAACGAGTCGAGCACACGCGAATCACAACAAAAGCGCAAAATGAAGAGGGGCGAATTCGATCTGATTTGTGGAGCGTCCACCAGGATACAACGATGCAATCAAGAAACCGCAGATCCAATGACACAAAACAAATACAATCAAAAAGGCAATCAGGATGTATATGATGGAGATTTGGTTGGTGCAAGGTCAACACCTGATGCTGGTCACAAAGCCAACGAGAGGGTCGAAGAGGGGAGAATGTGGGCAACCACTGGGGGGGAACAGACGGAAGAGTAATTCGATTTGTCGGAGATTTGCCTCGGACAATGACAGAGTAACGGGATTGGGCAGAGAGGGAAATGAGGTGTTCAATCATAAAAGAAAACCAAACGACCAACGAAGTTGAGCAAGGGGCAAGCACTGGGGATGGGATAAGTGGTTGACGTACCTAGAAGAGGGGGAGGAATACCACACCCGTGGACACTGGAAAATGGTGGGAAAATAAAATGAATAAAATCAAGATAAATCTGAATCAATCAAGATAAAAAATCAGATAAAAATAAATCAATCGAAATAAAATAAATCAGATAAATCAATGGCAAGAAAAGATACAATATCACATCAATAAAAATAAAGCAATGAAAAATAAATAAATAATCGATGTAATGGAGAGTGATCAATCACGAGGGGGAACAAGGACAGAGGTGGATGGGGGGAGCAAAAGGTGGACAGGAAAAAAGCACGATTGATTGGATTGCACAACCAGGGAGGATCAGAGATCTGAAGCCAGCTTGTGCGGGTAGCGAGTAGGAAAAAAAAGAAAAGAGGACCAGACCAATAGGTTTGTGTGCGGGCAGGACTGTCCAACGTATCTTATTCTTAGGAAGGTCGTTGGAGGCTTGGATGACCAACGAGAAGAGGCAGAGAGTGAAAGGCGCAGCGACGAGAAGGGGCGGGCGATGGGGCATTTGTACCGGACGCGCTGAGAGGATAGCTCACTGGCTCGGGCTCTCGTTTAGCGGTAGAGGCGGCGAGGGAATCAGACCAACCGCTGCCAGTGACAGTCCTGTCCGTATTGACCCCGGGGTCTGCCCCACTTGGGGTCAAAACCAGCTGTGACCAGGTAAGATTTCCAGGTGAGGCCAAAACACACACACAGCCTGGAGCTAGGGAAGGCTGGTCGGTATTGTACGGTCATAGAACTGGGTATTTGGTATTGGTATTTCTCAGCGTCAGCCATCTCATTGAGGAACTATCTCCGTCGGAGCATGATAGGTATAGTGTAGTTTTAGTTTAGTTTGGTTTTTACTTTGTTAGTTTCTTTTGTTTTATATTTGATTATTTTTCATCGTTTTACCTGAACTTTCTGACACTTTTCTTTCCTTCTGTTCATTACTTTCCAGGTCTACCGTTTTAGTGGCCCAAAAAGCCGGCTTTCCCGAGTGTTTGGTCTGCCCCCAGCACCCCATTACGGACCAAGATTTTCCACCACATTCCGTCACCCATTCTTACCATGATTGTGTATAATCAACTGTACGGAGTCTACCTTTGCACTGTCATCTTTTTATTTTATTTTTTTCTTTTCCTTCATCTAAATTCCTTCTGTCAAAATCCATTCAGATATAGAATCAATACGCAGCCTTATGGACGTGCATCAGCCATAAAGTTAGGCATCCAGGCGAAGTAACCTCAGACGTATTTAGTACGGACTCGGTATCAGTCTGGTTAAATTACTGTACTCCGTACGACATGGTTCCATCGAGGGCTTGTCGGATCTCAGGAAACCCGTGACCCGCCCAGCACCTCGGTAACATGTCTTGAATTAGGAAGTCTTATGGGTCGAGATATATCTGATCATCCAAGTGCGAACCATTGCTACTAGTGATCGTAGATATCGGTCCACTGTCCATACACTCACCCCTAACGTTGCTTCATCCCAGAGCAAAGTCCTCGTTTTGCTTTGGAGGCCCTAGCCAGCCTTGGCCAGGCCTTTGCTTGGGGGCTAAAACCGAAATGGAAAAAGAAAGGAAACAACGAACAAGGCCGTGAGCGAATCCTGTCGGGAATAGATTGTTCGGCGAACTAAACTCGTCACGTTCTCCTGGCCTAGATTTTGTGTCTGATCATCAGCTAATAGCACCCTGCATGGTCTCTTCCTTTGTGCGCTGGATGCAGTAGCTCTGGATTATTATTATCTTTATTTCCTGTCCCCCCCCAAATTCCCTCAGACGGTGCCTGGGCACATTCTGTGATTGTTCTTGCTTATCACACCGGATCTAAGGTCTTTGTTCCTTTTTCTTTCCCCTCTCGCCTTACTCTGCACTCTGCAGAGACCTAATGCGAGGCTCTGGGGTAATGGTCCAAGAGGGATGCGGGATACTCGACCACAACCGCTGCTGATATATAACATATCTGTGACATCACCCGGTCAAGGACCGAGGACCTGAAGAAACTTCCTTGGAAAAACAGTTTCTCCTATTTCCCAACATGCCGTATACAGTAAAGCGAATGACTATCAAACTGAAAAAGAAACTTTAATGAGGCATGCTATCACAATTGTCCATCGTGGGCCGGGCTTAGGAAGATTAGGCGCCGATTGCATCCCCACCACGTGTGGAAGCTTGACCGCTCTGTGACTGATGTGCCCCGGGCGGCATCGTGGGACCACTCCAGACTCGACGAAATACAGTCCCACCCAAAGCTACAAAACAGGTGGTAGTTCGGTATATTTTTTTATCTACGGAGTTCCACCCCAGGCACTGCAGGATGATCTCATGGAAGGCTATGCCAAGTGCTCTCAGTCGGCATCGTAAGGAAAAAGAAAAGCACCGTCATATTCTTCTCATGCTTTGGCGATGCAGCGCAGACTAAAATATTACCGTCAGGTATTGTACGCAGGGAACGGACAAAGAAAGAAAAAGCCCGGGCCCACCTGACGTCAGGTTGAACATGGCTTTCTCCACCTCACCGCTCTTCGATGATTGCATGGAGTTTTCCCCAGCGGCTGGGATTATCCACTATGAAACATGGCTTTCTGCTGGGATGCTCATCCATACAATTCGTATGGGGTATATGGGGTATTCTCATGTACAAAATGGCCGAGTATGCCTTTTGAATCTCTGCTCATGCAGTCGACTGTTGGCAGAGTGCTGTCGAGTATCAGCCGGGCTTGTGCTCTTCATCCAGTTTCTTAACCTCGCACAAGATGAGATATAGCCCAGTAAAGACGGACTGAAATCGCCAGCAGTTCAGTCGTGGATTGACTTTTATCCCTTCTAGCCTCCAGAATGCGCGTCCCAAGTTGAACATACATCAGATGGCCTACTGGAGTTGTACAAAGTCCCAACCTTGCAATCTTGGAGATGATTGTGACATGCTCGCTCCGATAGATATTAAGAGTGCGACAGTGCTCTGGGTGGCGCGTCCCACGACACGCCAGCCAGGCTCCCGTCATTTCGTCCCATATAGACGGAGTACGAGCCCACGAATACCCACTTGGGACGGAGTGCAGCCACTACACATAGGAATCATTTCGGGACAGCGGTCCTCGGAGATCCAGTAGCCGAGAGATCCAGTCATACACAACTTTGGTCATACTCGAAGAACCGGCATCTCAGGGTGATGATTGGGCTAAGTCAAAGCTGATCATATCTCGTGCACACGCGCGGCCATCATCTTGTCGATATCCAACCACCTGCATCCTTATCCAAAGGCTTATCCATTTCGCGGGAGGTGCTGCTGCCCTTCAACGGCTCGGATTGCATTCGTGATGACTTCCCCGCGGAGACCACTGTGATACGCAACCGACAATCTCATTGTCTTATCAGGACGAAACGTACCAATTGCATCAAAGAACCAACTGGGTAGACACCCAGAGTTATCATCTAGCTCTGGGGATAGAAGGCCACATGCCGTCATCAAACGCGGGGAAGCTCCAGAGTAGCCTCATAACTGGCCCTCCGGTCGTCAGCTGGGAGAGCTGCGTACCGTATTGGCTGACGTGGCCTACCTCCGGGGTCTTGACTAACTCAAGACAGAAAGCCGAATAGTTCAGGGTGGGTCAAATCCATCTTACAACAATCTGCTCGTCATCTCCAGTACGACCAACATCCCTCAGGCCACCCGCCGGGGCACCAGTCACAACAGCAGCTGCGCTTCGCCACGCGCAAAGATGACACCCCAATGGCATCACACTGCCTTGAACGGGGGGGGTTTGACAGCATCCGTGGCTCCCGGGTTTCAGGCAAGGGGTGCTGTAAACGAGCAGGCTGGTCTATCCAGGCGCCAATACCCAATTGGAACTGTCTATCGGCCTCCCACGGGGTTTGGGGGCACAGCGTTCGGTGTGATGTCCGCTTCGTCGTGCTTTATTGGTGCTCAGACCCTGTTATGGGGCAGGTGTCATTGTGCTTGATCTGCCTTGTGTCTTACTAGCTCGGCCTCGTCACTATCACGTCTGCAGGTGGTCTGGTGGATCGCGTGGGTCTTGTTTGATTGATACCGCTGTGATAGCCGGGCATGTTGATGGTATTTGCCATTAGTGGGGAGAGCCAGATAACGCCCCTTTCTTTGGAGTACATCTCGGCTATGGACCGTACTGGCTCCATAACTGTCTCAAAGTGACTGCAAAACTCCTATGTCTCAAGAGGCCGTATACTAAACATTGACAATCCACTCTTTTCATCACTTTTCTCCTTCAAATTTCATAACCTACTCCCTTTCATTATTAAAATCCATAGAAGCAACTATACACCCAAATATCAAATCCAAGAACACAAAACAATCCCTTTCATCAAACCACACCATTCAACTTCAATCCTCCTAAACAACAGCAATAAAACTCCCAAACAAGCAACCCTCCCCATAACAATCCCAAACGCCACAAAGCCCCCACAACAAAAACATCATCATCAACAACAGCAGTGCTCCTCAAGAACCAACAGCCCGACCAACCTCCCACCTTTTATCACCCACCTGACCCTAACAACGGGTGTTCTCGTCTCAGCAAATTGGGCACCAAGCACCCAAGCCGCCCTACCGTCTCAACCACATACCCAAGGTGACCAGCTAACTGACTAACTAACTCAGGCAGAGACCAAAAGCGTTTGCAGGATCCCAAAACCCCATTGGCCACGTTGAGGGCAGGTAAAGTTAAGTAAGTTAACTGGGCGAGTCGGACCCTCACCGCTTGCTCAGCTACTTGGCTGGCGCTCACTGGGGTGAAGTGTAGCCAGCGGCCCACTTAGGGTTAGGTTGGGTGCCAGCTGTACATGCAGTGCCTAGGTTGTGAGGGGGATGTCATGATTGGTGGGATGTGGGATTGTCGTATCCTTCATATTATATATACATATACATATATCTATCTATTTGTGGGGGTGTATATATTAGATGATGATAGTATTATGCAAAGTAAGCACAACACCCGTTGGTGGCTAGTCGGAGTGCTCCGGACTGGTTCTACATACATATCTGTCTGTATATCAGGCTGGCTACCCGACCAACCGACTTACCTACATACGTAGGTAAATGTTTGTGGGGGACTAGAACCCACGTGTGTCAGCGGCATTTGAAAACTTCAGGACTGGATTTGGATTTCTGCAGTGTGGGCTGGAGTAGAGTGGCATAAACGCACCGCGAAATCCGCACTGAATCACACTGAACCTGCAGTGTTGGGGGTTTGGTTTAGTGGCAGGGGATCAGAATCTATAATTAGTTATAACTAACTGGTTAGCTAGTTGAACAGGCTCTGATTAGTAATATTAGTTACTAGTTAGTAATTTAACGGCTAGAGAGATCCTGAGACTATGGTTATAGGACCTGCATAGTCTAAAGCCTGGGTGTCTAGATACTTAGTACGAGGGCTCTGGGCCTCTGCCTGTGGTCCTGTGATCCTGGCTATAGGTATAAGACTCTCAAACACAGGCCCTGTATCACAAGCCAGAAATGCAAAAAATTATTGAGGTTCTTCGTCCAGTTGTGTATGTGTAATCTTCGCCTGGACCGAATTAGTGGTCGCGTTTGGCGTAAAGGCAGCATCTTAGGGCAGAGGATATCTGTTCGTTCAAAATCCGTACTGTCGAACCGTCATGACAGCGCTAAAGATGCCACTTTTCAGGACCGGCACTTCTGTCATATAACTCACCACCTAAGTAGTTACCACCTGCACCTTGTTTCCGTCAAAAATACAATCATCTTCCACATTCCACTACATCCATACCTTGGCTGGAACAATTAGTCATCCACCAATCCGATGCTCATATTAAAAATCATATCCATAGAAAGTGCCTTGACAATAAGCGTGCATGCAACGACAGATATCAGCTAATAGACCCCCATTACACTAACATGCCGCTCCCGATCTCCACGCTGGGATTCAAAACAAAATCAGGTTGCCTGACATGCAAGTAGGTGCTGTTGATTTGCAATCCGCCAAGGGCATTTTCCTGATTAAAGAATTGGCTAACACCATCCACCAGAAGTAAGAGCGGCCAGATGGCACCCAAAACACGTCCATCCTACTAATATGCTGCCCTTTAGAAAGGCGAATTAAATGTGACGAGGCTAAGCCCCATTGTCGGAGATGCACTTCAACGGGTCGTAAGTGTGATGGCTATGGGTCTCCAGCATACGACCATCGCGTTCGCCTGCCGTTAAATCTACCGCCTGTTCTGAAGCTCTCGGGAAGTGCACGCGAGAATCGCTGTTTCCAGTTCTTCTATGAGAGGACAGTGCCGTCATTGGCAGGTTATTGTGGCTCTGAGTTTTGGAGCCGATTTGTGCTGCAAGTCAGTCAGCATGAGAAGTCGATCTGGCATGCTTTGATCGCGTTGGGGTCATTGCACGAAAATTTCGAAAATGACCAACAAATTCCGGGTCTATGGCTCTCTCGATACGGACAGGATAATTTTGCTCTTCAAGAATATGTGACTGCGATTAGGGCTCTCCTTGGTCCAACCGACTCGCACTCCCTTGAGAACACGGGCTCCTCGAAACTGACGGTGGATGTTTTCTTGATATCATGCATGTTGTTCGCTTGTTTTGAGGTATTCCCGTTCGATTTTGCCCCGCATTTGGCTGCGCTGACAAACTTAAGATTCTATCGAGCCACTATGACTCCGCTATAAGACACATCAGGAGTGGTATCAAGATCATGAACGAGGTTTACTGCGACCCTCGATCAGGCACATTCTGCCACCCGTTCCTCCGCTCATCTACAGTGACCGCATTGGAAATGGATAGTCTGCGGAAAATGCTTGTTCGTCTGCAGGATCAAGCGCTGACCCTCGTAAGGCCATTTGTCACCAGGTCACTGTCAAGACAAGACTAACTGGTGCAGACGCGCGAAGAAGTCGATATGCAGCTTTCCCAGTCCGTGCCAATCAGGGAACCTGACACTGAAATCCCCGAGGTCTTTCGCTCTATCGGCGAAGCACGCGATACATTCGAATATTACAGATGCAAGGCGGGTCGTCAATTTCGCGCGTTGGATCCCGCGAAACCTGACGATTTCATGAACCTTAATCATCACTATTGCCAGCTTTTAGAAAAGCTGACCGCGGCGTTGAATAATTTCGAGCGCACTCGAGGTCCACTTCTCAACGCCAGAGACAAGACTGGATTAGCCATCATCCGGATCTACCAAAAAATGCAATACATACTTCTGGAATACGGCAAACTAGGAGTCTCAGACCAGAGGTCATGGGATAATTACAACTTTATATTTGAAGAAATCGTCACGCTTGCCGCTTCTGTGGTTGACAGCGCGCAAGGTATCGATTGTCTGTCTCTATCACCATCTCAACTGGCAGAGCTGTCTCAGAAGGGTCGCTTAAAACCCTCGTTCTCCCTTGATATGGGCATCATCGCTCCGGTTTACAATGTTGCCACTCTATGCCGAGATCCTGTCATCCGTCGGAAGGCACTTACTGTGCTTCGCTCAATGTCGCGACAAGAGGGTGTTTTCAATAGCCATGCTTGTGCCTTGGTTGCAGAGCAGGCAATCGCCATTGAAGAAAGGATGGCTGCGGGGATGGCATTGAACCATCAGAATGAGAGATCTCTTCTGATGCTCTTGCCCGGGACGAGACCGTCCTGGAAAAGTGAAACTACTGAAATTACCCACAGCGACGAGGTTCCTGACTCGGCTCGTCTGACATACATCCACCCGACTATTAAGATTGCTGACAAAAATGTGTGTTTGACCATCGGCCAACAAGGCAAGCACATGGACATTCCTGTACCCGCATTGACTGCCATGCTGGACCTAGTAACATTGTGATGGGCTGGTCGGTGTACGCTTCGTTTCGCCATCTGGAACTATTCACGATATTACCATTGCCCCTGATCAGGTGGAGTGGAATGTACGAGCTTGGGCCATATGAGGACAGCCTCACTAGGTTTGACTGATAGATTACACCGTGGTGTTCAATATATTCCCATGAGTATATATGTCCAGCTCCATGAAAACGCCGAATAACAGAAGGCCCAATTGCAAACAAATCAAACCAACACCCTTCCAACCCCATACGCCATACTTGGGAGCACTCATCAGACTGGCGAGTCCTTTGTGCGAGATCCATGGTATATCATCGCCAGGTTCCGCTGCCGAATTTGCCGCATGTATGCCATTTGTTCGTTTCCTGGGCCTTCGAGGGCCTCTTCCTGCCCCTCAAAGGCGCTTCCGCCCATGAGGCGATGCATTGAGTATCCGATGAGAACAGAGATGATACAACCGAGGAGGATGAGGACGACGATCGCGCTGCGAGAGATTTCCCAGTCGCCGGAGGCCATGTTGCGGATAGACCGATGTGATGCAGGCGGGATCTGTGAGGGCTGTTAGGCGGGTTGCAAGAGTCTTGGGCCAAGGCACACACACCTGTCGCTATTGATCAGATCTGTGATAAGGACACAGAGGAATCAATTTTTGGTCTTGTGTGTTTATGTGATGGTTTAACACGGTGAACTCGGCTTTTCAAACTTTGGGCTGAAGACATGGACCTGGTGCCCATTACCGCTTATATAGTCACCAATCTACTGACTTCAGGCCATGTTAGCCCCCAGCGTTTCAAAACTGTCCCAGTTCAAAAAAAACTCTTCGACCGCGATTTGCTGGTCCATCAGGGCCTTTTTTCTCCACTCCGGCTGCGCATGGATGTATCCATGGCTAGTCCGCGAAACAACACCCATATGGGACGCTTTCAGCACCAATTTTAGATTTGAGGGCCATCAACCCAATCAGCAACAGAACCATTGGTGTCTCATGCTGCACTGAAGAGGCTCTTAACCGCTTGGGGTCTAAGAGAATTCCGCCCCGATGTATACACTCCCAATCAGGCATAGCGGGCTGCTGACCCTACGTCATAAAGCGAACCACCCAATCACAGTGCGGGTACCCATCGCTTTTTTATCTTCACCAGATTCTGCGCCTCCCTGGAACATGAACTACCTATCTACTGAGAAGCTGGATTCTACCTAGGGACTAGTTGGCGTCTGGCATTCGGTTTTTCACTCCCCTGACGCCAAACCTCTTCCGGATATTCGAAGTGCTCGCTTCAGGCCGTATTTTTAGAACCGGATTCCTGCCGCATGGATCCAATGTCCGATGGCTCTGCAGACTATGCACCCTATCCGACCATCATGATAAGGCTGACAACACAAGCCAGGCGTGGAAACCAGACATAACGACCTAATCGACGGCCCTTGCCTATGCGCTGCTCCGGTCAATGTGCCTTGCTGTCATTTGAAGAGGGTTGGTGGAATTAACTTCCTGAAAGCACATGATTCCGGTTCCTGCATTCAAGTGCAGTTTGAGATAGCTCGCGCCCAGAAATGCTTAGATGTTCTTCAATGCTTGTGATTTAGGGTTTCGGGGGAAGATAGAAGCCCATGATCATCATCTCCTTGCTCAGCAAATCATGGATAACACTTCAATATAGAATATCTTTCCCACTATTATCTCTTGCTGTCAAGTTAATACCATGAGCTCTAAGAGCCTGTAAAACACCAGACTTAGAGTTGTTATCATTTATTCTATTATCAAGCCCTGAGGGGCAACGACTACATACAGCTTAAGCGCTTATGATGGCAGGTGCGACCAGGAGCACCAACATGCTGTCAGCTAGTGGTAAGGCTATCTTTTCAGTCCGAGGACGTTATAGTATTAGGCTTGCTTGAGTTGAGTAATGATCAAGATACCTATAAATAAAGAAGATTCTAGTTTTTTGTTAGCTTGCATAACAGGAATACCCAAATGTACGCTACTCTACACTAATATTGGTGTGGGTGCGGATAATGCCCAAATATGTAAATATATATTCATGCCATGCCTGACAACCGTTTGAATAGTATTACAAGAAAAAGCCACATCCAGCGCAATTCACTAAGAGCCGACCTAATAACAGAATGTCAGATTTATATTCTTTGTTCTCTATTCTATCAGCAGCTAGTGATATCATGTCTGTCTTGTGACTGTACACTGGCCACGTGCTCATCAAGGAGTCGAGTGATCAGATTTTGAGTATGGTTCATCATAGGGTGACCTCCAGATAATCCAGATAAATCCATATTGCAGTCAATAGGATATATTCCTATCATGATTAGGATCATGGTCTCTTTACTGATCAAGCACGGAATACAGTTATCGCACCATTGTTCCTCATCAGCAAGTCCACTACTGCTGGATGCAAATTATACCGTGGTTCGGTTAATCCAGATAAGCCGACACTCCACACTGTATACGGAAGCGAAACTACTACTGGCTGTTGATCCAACTAACAACAGATGGACAATAGCTCATGTGACTGGAAATGTGCTACACAATTTCTAAACTGAAGGCCAGACCAGTGCCGACCTCAAGCCCGGATCCATAGTCACGTGCAACGACGCGGAACCCGCATCAGTGTTGATGCTCCTTGCTGGGATATTGAATAGAGTGGAATTATTGCCCACTACTTCATTTACGGTACCTTGTTGACATGCCTATCCCAACAATGGTACGCCCACCGAGCGCGACGCGGGGATCGAAAAACGGGGTATACCAACCTCTAATTGGCTTGAACCCTCGTCCAGACCGCTTACCTCATCCGCCGCAATCCCGCCCGCCTTTCGGGGGGTTCTCATGTGGCTTTTCCCGTGCCTGGGGGGCGACTTTCGAGCCGATCGCTGACTTCTTCGTAATCCCTTTTTTTCCTTCCCCTTCCCTCACCATCTCCATCCCCCAGTATTACTTCTTCCTCCGAAAGGACTCGCCCACCTTTTGTCGCGAACCCGGTCGCCCTTAGTGCTGCACGGCAGCCCGAGTTGCGGCCACGTTACCCCTGAGTCGCGTCGGACTTCAAAACAGATAGATGACGTCTTTGTTGACATTCACGACCAACTTTCCATCTCGAACCAGCCACACCCCGGGCACGACTCACACGGCGTCAGGTGCGATAGGCCGGATCGGGAGGTAATCGACTTGCGCATTTATCACCAGAGCGGCGCTCTCGGTGGCGTTCGCGACTCGTGTTTTTTTTTTCTCACCCTGCTCTCGCTTGCGCGCGGTGTCCGCTAAGGGGGCCCAAATTTCGAGTACGCGCAGGCGCTTGTCGGACCCCGGGTGTATGGGGAATCGGTCATAATGGCTCCAGGAGGCGGAGGAAACATTAAGGTGGTGGTGCGGGTGCGGCCTTTCAACAGCAGAGGTGAGCCCTCGAGGAATGGATTCTTGATTGTAAAGTCGCCGACTAACCCAGGGGATGATCCGTGATTGTAGAAAAGGAGAAGGGTTCAAAATGTATCGTGCAAATGAAAGGAGACCAAACCATCCTCATCCCTCCACCGAATGCCGAAGCAAAACAACCCCGAAAGGGAGGGAAGGGTGGAGCGGAAGGCCCGAAGAACTTCGCCTTCGATAAATCCTACTGGTCTTTTGACAACAAGGCCCCGAACTATGCGAGCCAGGACCATCTTTTCGACGACCTGGGCACGCCGCTGCTGGATAATGCTTTTGGGGGTTACAACAACTGTATCTTTGCCTATGGGCAGACCGGTTCCGGGAAGTCCTATTCGATGATGGGTTATGGCAAGGAGTATGGTGTTATCCCGAGGATTTGTCAGTCGATGTTCGAGCGGATCACGGAGATCCAGAGAGAAGGCAACCTCAGTTGTAATGTCGAAGTATCTTACATCGAAATCTACAACGAACGTGTCCGCGATCTCCTCAATCCCTCGAATAAAGGCCATCTGAAAGTTCGCGAACACCCGTCTACGGGTCCATACGTCGAAGATCTCTCCAAGCTTGCGGTCCGCTCCTTTGAGGAGATCGAGAATTTGATGGACGAAGGTAACAAGGCCAGAACTGTCGCTGCTACGAACATGAACGAGACGTCCAGTCGATCCCACGCCGTATTCACCCTCACCCTGAGCCAAAAGCGTCACGATGCCGAGACTTCTATGGACTCGGAGAAGGTTTCGCGCATTAGTTTGGTCGATCTTGCGGGTTCGGAGAGAGCGAATTCCACTGGCGCAACTGGTGCACGTCTGAAGGAAGGAGCGGAAATCAATCGTTCGCTGTCGACGCTGGGTCGTGTCATTGCCGCTCTTGCAGACGTGGCCGCCGGCAAGAAAAAGAATGCTTCCATGGTTCCTTATCGTGATTCCATTCTAACATGGCTCCTGAAAGACTCACTTGGTGGTAACTCCATGACAGCGATGATCGCTGCCATCTCGCCGGCAGACATCAATTATGATGAGACACTGGGTACCCTTCGGTATGCCGATTCCGCTAAGCGTATTAAGAACCATGCGGTCGTGAACGAGGATCCAAATGCAAGAATGATCAGGGAGCTGAAGGAAGAATTGTTGCAACTGAGATCGAAGCTCGGTGGGGGTGCGCCAGGGGTGGCCGCAGGCGGTGCGCCAGGCGCCGGCGGCGCAGCACCTGCTGCAGACGACTACTACCCGCCAGATACTCCCCTGGAAAAACAGTTAGTTTCTATCCAGAAATCGGACGGCTCGGTCACCAAGGTCAGCAAAGCCGAGATTGTGGAGCAGCTCAACCAAAGTGAGAAGCTTTACAATGATTTGAACGAGACATGGGAAGAGAAACTCGTCAAGACGGAGCAGATCCACAAGGAACGTGAAGCAGCGCTGGAGGAACTCGGAATCAGCATCGAAAAGGGGTTCGTTGGAATGAGCACCCCAAAGAAAATGCCCCATTTGGTCAACCTGAGTGACGACCCGTTGCTGGCCGAATGTCTTGTTTATAATATTAAACCTGGAACCACATTGGTTGGCAACATGGATCAAGGGAGTCATGTGGAGATCAGACTCAATGGTTCTAAGATCATGGACGACCACTGCAAATTCGAAAATGTGGACAATGTGGTTACGCTCGTGCCCAGCGAGGGTGCAGCGATCATGGTCAACGGGCAGCGTGTTGACAAGTCTACACGCCTCAGAAGTGGCTTTAGGATCATCATGGGTGACTTTCACATTTTCCGTTTCAACCATCCCCAAGAGGCCCGTGCCGAGAGAGTCGAACAAAGCTTGCTGCGTCATTCGATTACCACAAGCCAGCTTGGCTCACCCGCGCCCAACAAAAGCCACGACCGGAACTTGAGCAAGGCTGGCTCGGAGGTCGATGGCGACTCCAGTCGAGCGGATTCTCCTATGCCTTCGCGGGGCCGCGACTCGGATTGGCTCAATGCCCGTCGCGAAGCTGTCAGTGCTGTCATGGGCCCTGACCATATCTCCAACATGCGCGATGATGAACTGGATGCTTTGTTTGAAGACGTGCAAAAGGTGCGGGCAACTCGACGTGGGCGAGCCGAGAATGACGAGGATTCCGATTCCCTGAGCTCCTTCCCTGTCCGTGACAAATACATGTCCAATGGAACCCTCGACAACTTTTCATTGGATACAGCGATAACTCTTCCGGGCACGCCTCGTAACAATGAGGACGATGACGGCCAAAGTGGCAACGACGTGGCATTGCAGTCTGCTCGCCAGGATCTACAGCGTCAACTCGATCGACAGAAGGAAGAATACCAAACCAAGCTACGGAATACAGAAATCTCCCCGACCCGGGGACCCGAAGGTCTCCAGTCCGAAAAAGCTCGTATGGAAGTTGCCCTGCGGGCGACAAAAGAAGAGTATGAGAGACAACTCCGGCGGCAGAAGCAAGCTTTCGAGTCCCACATGAAGGATATGGGCCAGCCCATTCCCAGGATTTACGAGAATGGCTTTTCGGAGCTGGACCCCCGGGAGATCGAGATCGCCAGTACGATTTTCCGTCATTGGTCGCAGCAAAACTACGTTCGTATGGCAGAAAATGTACTCCAACATGCTTCTTTGTTGAAGGAGGCTCAAGTTATGAGCCACATCATGGACAAAAACGTTGTGTTCCAATTCTCGGTCGTTGATCATGGGCACAATATGGCATCGTCTTACGATCTCGTGCTGAACGGCATCTCTGGAGACGAAGACATTTTGTTGGATGATGCTAAGAAGCCATGCATTGCTGTCCGTGTAATCGATTTCAAGCAATGCGTGGTCCATCTCTGGTCCGTTGAGAAGCTCCAGCGTCGCCTCCAGGCTATGCGTCAGCTGCACCAGTATATCGACCGACCGGATTATATCCAACACTTCAAACTTGAGAATCCCTTTTCTGAACCATGTTCGCCTCAGTACTCTCTCATTGGAGACGCAGATATCCCGCTTACTGCTGTTTTTGAGACCCGAGTCCAGGACTTTTCTGTCGAGGTGATCTCGCCATATACGCACAATGTCGTCGGTATAATCCGGCTGTCCTTGGAACCTTCATCGGCGCAGGCTCCGTCATCTACGCTCAAGTTCAACGTTGTCATGCGTGACATGATTGGTTTTGCTGAGTGGGAGGGCACGGAGGTTCATGCGCAGTTATTCTTCCCCGGTATCTCGGATGAAGGCGGCGCCACCACAACTCAGATGATCAACGGCTTTGATGAAAGCGCCGTCCGCTTCGAGAGTGTCCACAGCATGAGCTTGCCGCTTTCCAGCCCGCGGACTGCTGCTTTGAAAATTTGCGTATATGCACGGGTGACTCAGATGCATCTCGACAAGCTTCTGAGCTGGGATGACATGCGCGATTCAGCCGAAGCTCCACGCAAAAAACGCAAGACACCACGTATCGCGGAATCAGAGTTCTTTTCCGAAGAGAGACATGACGTTTTTGCCAGAATCCAGGTCCTCGAAATGACGGAGAGCGGCGAATACCTTCCTGTCGAGGTGGTGCAGAGCAATAGTCTGGATGCTGGCACTTATCAGCTACACCAGGGACTCCAGCGTCGCGTTCTGATCAATCTGACGTATAGCTCGACTGAAGGCCTGCCATGGGATGACTTGGTTAACGTGCGAGCGGGCTCAGTGCGACTGCTTGATCCGTGGGGCAAGATCCCTGACCAAGATCTGCAGACGCCAGACGTCCCTCTCAAGTTTGTCCAGGAACCTATGGTGAAAGATAACGCTGATGGAACGTCGAACGTTACTTTGATTGGTCAATGGGACTCCAGTTTGCATGGCTCCCTCCTTCTCGACAGGGTTACCGCGGAGAAGTATCGAGTGCAGGTGACAATTCGATGGGACTTGCTATCGTCACGTCTGCAAGATCCTGTTGGTTTCAGTGGAGATTTGACTCTTCAAATCCAAGGTCGCACATATGTTCGCCAACAGTCGATGTTCAAGCAGCTCTTCAACTCTACCCGGATTGTGCATTCTACTGTTCGCATGTTTTCCCTGGTCGTCCGTCCCGTGTCAGCGAAGCGCGCGGCCGATCTTTGGCGCATGAACACCCAGAATGATTACGTCAAAGGCGAGGAATTTCTCACGGCATGGGCTCCGCGAAAGATTTCTCTTGTCCGGGACTATGTGATGGCCCGTAAACGGCGCCACCGAGTTGCCGAGTTAAATGCGGCTAAAGGCGCCCTCAGTGCCAGCAGTCTTGTCCCGTCGCCCCCTCGTAGCGGCCGTTCGACACCTCTACGCACCCAAGAATTGACAGACCGGAAAGCGAAGATTCTCCGGAAGTACGTTGAACTTTGGGCGACCAAGACCGATTCAGTCGATGCCGTTCTTGTCCGAAGCAATACGGAACCCCCGGCAGGAGGCGCAGCCTTTGCCTCGCGTACGAAATCGCTAGCTTCCGCCGACGATGCCAGTTCTGTCTCTGACGACGCGACTCTGACGCCGCGGTTCATCGCTACGATTCAAACACTACCGAAGAACCCCTCCTCCTTGAAGTCTGGGTATCTGTTGTCTCCCGATGATACGTATACCCATTGGGTTCGGCGTTTCGTCGAACTCCGCCGACCATACCTTCACGTGTACTCGGTGCCTGAAGGTGACGAGATCAACGCCATCAATCTGAGGACTTCACGAGTTGACCATGCCCCCGACTTCGCGCGACTTCTCGACGGCCCCGGAGCGGGGACGGACCGCCCCAACGTCTTCGCATTGTACGGACCGCAGAACACATTCCTCTTCGCGAGCCGGACCGAGGCCCAAAAGGTGGAATGGATTCTGAAGATCGACGAAAGTTACTTCAGCAGCAAGGGGCCCAGAGTGGACGCGAACGGCTTTAGGCACTAAATTTGCGGTCCTATCCCCTCACCTACGCTGCCCGTCTTCTGAAATTTATGCCAGTCATGAACACTTCCTTCTCGTGTGTTTCACGCTTTGCCCTTTTTTCTGAATTTGCCCATTACGTTGGACTGCCGGTTACCCTACCCTGAAGAACCCACTGTGTCTATATTTTGGCTCCCCTCCCATATCCCCGTCTTTTCGTGGCAGTTTTGCCTCGCTTGAACTATACAACTTGCATCTAATCCCTTCATCCTCGATTGTTTTTGAGATACCCCCGGATACACATACATCTGCCCTTTCCAGCACTTGCGATCTCCATGTACATATTTGAGAAGTAGTTTCCCGACCTATAGATGGCCTCCTGCGTCGCCAGGGCCCCCAGCGGCGCTGATCGTTGGCCTCTCTTCATTTCGGCGGAAGGGTGGACTTATATAAGAAAAATGTAGCACCACTTATTATTACCTATGACAAGACGCTACTATTCTTAGCTCTAGGATTATCGTGGATCGATCAACTGCCAAAAGATGAACCAATGGTGATACTGGGCTGAGACGTTGCCATGGAAACCACAGCGATATTGTCTGACTTGAGAACAACCCGAATCAAATGGATTACCTTCAGCCTTCTTATTTTTCTCTGCTTTGATCAAAGTATCTTACACTTTTTTGCTATCTGAACTTTTATTTCCCTCCAGAAAAAGCTTTTCTGGAAACGCGATGGCCATTGCGCCGCACCAACTGCCGTAATCCAAACACGGCCGCACCGCACGCTCATATACATGCTCTCCCTAGCATTAACGAATCAACCTGATCAATATCTTCCATAAAAATAATCCTTCAATAAGAAGGAAAAAGAACCCCGCCATGCGCTGGCAACAACCCCAACCAAGCACCTGGGCCCGCTTCCTAGGCACAGGCGCGCTCGTTTCATTAGCCATAATCACATTCCTCGTCTTCGAGGGCCGATTCTCCAACGACGTCACCAAATATGCACTAAAGTCGTCGATGATACCTCCTCCTAAGGACGGGTCGTTCGGCCGCTGCGCAAATGGCACCGAGAAGTGGGAGTTTGTCGCGGGGCGGGACGCGAATAACCATGGGCTTTCGGAAGAGCAGTGTCTGGCGGCTTTCCCGAAGCTGTTTGTGGAGGCCGATAAGTCTGTTGAGGGGAGGAAGGCTAATTTGGTGAAGTATGAGGAGCTGGATGAGTTGGTCATGGAGGATGGGATGTTTAGGGCGTTGATTTATAATGGGGAGGTGAGTTTTTCTTCTTGTTGTCTTGTCTTATCTATAGATGGTATGCGATGTTCTAATAGGGCGCTTTGGAACTAGTTGTATGTTGTCGACTATGCGGATATGACCTATACGCAGACTCGAGCCAAGTCGACTCTGAGCTCGCTCAACCGCGCGCTGCAGGCCGTCCCGGATCGACACAATATCCCCAATGTTGAGTTTGTGTTGTCCTCGGACGACTTCAGCAACGGTAAAGGACCGGTGTGGTCCTACTCCAAGCGCGACGAAGACAGCACTGTGTGGCTGATGCCGGACTTTGGGTACTGGTCCTGGCCGGAAGTCAAGGTCGGCCCGTACAAGGAGATCCGACGTCGGATCGCGGCCGTCGACGACGGGGAGGTCGCGCCAGATGGCAGCGTAACCCCGGGAATGTCTTTCCAAGACAAAAGGAAACAGCTCCTCTGGCGCGGAAGCGTGAACACAAACCACGAGATCCGGGGGAAGCTGCTCAAGGCCGTGCAGGGGCAGAGCTGGGGGAGCGTCAGGGTCATCGACTGGGACGAGGAGAACGACGTCCGATTCAACCTGCTACCCATGGAGGAGCACTGTCGCTACATGTTTCTAGCACACACTGAAGGACGCAGTTTCTCAGGAAGAGGCAAGTACCTCCTCAACTGCCGGTCCGTGGTAGTCTCGCACAAGCTGGTCTGGCGCGAAGCCCACCACGCGGCTCTGATTGCGTCCGGACCAGACGCGAACTTCGTCGAGGTCGAGCGGGACTTTTCTGATCTGCACACCAAACTGGAGTTCCTGATTGATAATCCCGAGGCTGCGGAGCGCATTGCTAATAACACCGTGCGGACCTTCCGCGATCGATATCTGACGCCTGCGGCGGAGTCGTGCTACTGGAGGTATTTGGTGAGACGGTATGCGTCGGCTTGTGAGTTTGAGCCTGTGCTGTATCATGCCGATAAGGATGGGAAGAGGCAGATGCGTGGGACTCCGTTTGAGAGTTGGATTTTGTCGGGGCATTAGTTCCCTTCTTTTCTAACATTTTTCTCAAGAGAATCCTAGGTTTGATAACCGTGTATATGAAGGGAGTTTGGGGAAACGCTTGATGTTTATTTTCTATATGTATATATGAACCACTATGATGACTATGACACTATGAATATTCTTGATGATCGATGAGATGACCTTATGGCCTCAGGCCGCCTGAATTCCCAACCCGGAAAAGACCCAGACATCCACTCAGCGTCATCTTTCATCTTTCATCTTTCGTCATTTCCCCCACTTCTCTTCGTTGCACTCCTATGCTATACCCCGCAGTTTCACCGGTGACTCTCCCCTTGCCGCTGATATTTCGCGCATGTGAGCCTGACAACATTGAAACCTTGCCTAACCGCAACCACATTGTCTGCACCCGACTGTACCCGGAACTGAGCATGAGATTACAACATGGGGGAAGAAGAGAGTCAGACGACTGTTGGCGTACAAGATATTGATTGCTCTGCTCACCCTATACTCTGAGCCTGCTGCTGACTGTGCGCCCGTTCTTCGTCACACCGGTTTGGTCGGGGAGGAAATGCGCAGATCGACAATGCCGCCCCACGGCTTGAAGCCAGGGGCCGGGGGCCGGTGGGTGGGCCTCTCAAATCCCGACATCTTCGCGAGATAGTTAGAGTTCTAGCGATTGACTAATTATTGAACTCTTTCGGATCGGGGCTGCGAGCCCCGGGATTTGCGTTCCTGGTACCTGGAAATCGGCGGATAGGAACCTACTAGCTGTCCAGAGTTCGGGGGGTTTTCGGTGCCATGCATCGCGCGCCGTTGCATTCGTGGTTTGGATTTCGACGGTCGTTGCTGATGACGAACCGGTTGCTCGTCATGTTTGCTCGTTGTTGTGGTTGGGACTGCATGGCTAGGACCAATGACGGACCATCGATCTTGGGTACGGATACACTGTGTGACGTTGCCAGATGACTCTATGCACATCGGATGTTGTGCCAGCGGGCAGAAGAACCATGGTTCCTCCTTTTCCTAATGGATTTAGGCTCATCTTTTCCGGTAGATTGCTTCCCGCTGATCCTAGTAGCAGGGGCGGTGATAGGTGTGCTGGGGTGGTGGATGACTACTAACTATAGTACAGCGAAGATCAAGGTCGTCAGGACGGGATGGTTAGATCAGTATTGACTGGGGCTGGTTTTCTGATCAATCTATTCGGCCCCCGAAAGCCTCGGACGACGTCATAGCATACTTCTCATCTTTGCAGCCGTCCCGACAATCTGACGTGCCTGAACAATGACACCTAACACGCCGAATAATATTATCTGTTGTGGCGATCAAACAACATAGTTACATTGGAGAGGTGTATGCAATCGCCAATATGTCATTCCGCCCGAGGTCTTTCTCAGGCAGCGGTTGTCCTCGGGCCCAGGGAATAATCGCGACGCAACTATCCTGTCAGCGCACCCGCAGCCCCCTTGGCAGTACGACCCACCGCTTGTCTCAGATGCCAATCTTTAACATTGACCAGACAAGGTCAAGTCAATTAAGGGATAGCGGATGTTATCCGTTGATCCATGCCTTGTAGATCCTGTTGCGGGGCGGTAATTTACAATTGCTTGGAAGAGACCCGTTTTGTTTGGCCGGTATGAACGCATTCGCCGCATTCGGACCCGGCTGCTCGAATTTCGCGTCTGCTTTGTCGGCCTTTCCCCATTGTGAACCACATGTATCAATTTCGAATTCTCCGAGTGCAGTCCCAAGAATGCCCACTGATACCCAATAAGTGGTCCGCCTGGCGTTCGCGCATGATGACCCAGTCATCCTACTCAAAACGTCCAAACTCCGCCACTTTACGCGCAGATGAAGCCTACCAGAGTGTTGAGCCCCCACAGGCTGGTTGCCAGTCCAATGGCCTGCCGATGCCTTCTCTGCAAATTATCCAGACCGGTAGATGCAGTCCCTATTGTGACCTGTGTGACAATCAGGTGATGGATGAGTTCAGCCGCCCACCGCATATCAACCCAATGCGGCCAAAAGAATGCTGGACTTGGTCGTTCGAAGGCTGTCAGTATAAATAAATGGCATGCTTCTCAGAGGAACGGATATGGCTCCTCAAGAATTCCATTCTCTCATTCCAAGCCCCGATCTGCGTGCCTCCCAACCATCTAAACCTTGCTAGCATTTTTCTCCCTGTCGATCACTATACTTTATCCTGTTGACGCCTTCCGCGCATGATGTGGTCCCCTGCGATAGCTACGCTGACGTCGGGGCTATTCCTCCTGGCCCCGAGTGCCATTGCGTCTCCCCTCAAGGCTGCTGAGGGCGCTCGGCTGGTCATTGACGCGGACTTTCCCGACCCCAGCTTTGTCGAGACGCCAGAAGGGACCTGGTACGCCTTCGGTACCAACAGCAAAGACAAGAAGGTTCAGGTTGCAAGGTCCGAGGACTTCGCGACATGGACGGTCCTTGACACCGATGCCTTGCCTAACGTGGCACCTTGGGAGACAGAGAAAGACCACTGGGCGCCGGACGTGATTCGACGGGTACGTCCTAACGTAGCATATCTATATAATAAAAGCAAGACCCACTAACAGAGCACCCCAGAACGACGGCAAATACGTCCTATACTACTCGGGAGAAGCCAAGGCACTGCTCGACCACCACTGCGTCGGCAGCGCCGTCTCAGTCGGCACCGACCCAGCAGGCCCCTACATCCCAACAGAGACGCCTCTCTCCTGCCCCCTGGACCAAGGCGGCTCCATCGACCCCGCCGGGTTCCAGGACGTAGACGGCAGCCGGTACGTGGTGTACAAGGTCGACGGGAATAGCATCGGCAACGGCGGCGACTGCAACAACGGGATAGAGCCGAAGAAGCCAACGCCAATCATGCTGCAGCGGGTAGCCGAAGACGGAATCACGGTCATCGGCGGACCCGTGGAGATCCTCGACCGCGACGACAACGACGGGCCCCTCGTCGAAGCCCCCAACATCATCTTCAAAGACGGCACCTACTACCTCTTCTACTCCACCCACTGCTTCACGGACCCCAACTACGACGTCCGCTACGCCACCTCCAAGTCCCTCACGGGCCCCTACGTCAAAACCAATGAGCGCCTGCTCAAGACCGGCGACTGGGGATTGATTTCCCCCGGCGGCGGTACCGTCTGCCCCTGCGGCGATCGCATGCTGTTCCACGGGTTCTGTGCGGACAACAAGCGGTGCACGTACGTGGCGCAAGTGAGCCTGTCGGAGGGGAAGGTGGTTCTCTTGTAGAGTGAATGAATGCGCACATCTATCTATCTCTATCTAGTCTGTTCTGGAGCCCGACTGTCTAACAGTCAAGGCAAGTACCATCGGGTGGAGTTTCGGAGGGAGTTCGGCGGAAAGGCGTCTGTTTGTCTTTTCTTTTCCTTTCTCGTGTTAATCAGTTCTTCATGCATTTTTTTCCCTCATGGGAGGACAGGGAGGGCGAGTCGTTCAGGCAGACATGTCTATTTTCGATCTTCCATCAAACGGTCCTATTCTACCACCTACCCAGATACTTTCTTATACTATAACTTACTTGAACTCTACGGGCAAATAATCTATACATCCATGCCGAATTCGCAAATACTAGTATCCAGTATAGAACACTATAATCCAATACACATCTATCACCACAGCAATCACACAGTCCAGAACCAGGACCAAACCCGAGATAATACACGCAACGCAACGCAACGCAGCACAGCGCAATATATCAAACGTAATTAGTATTAACCGAAACAAGCCCAATAGGGGAGATTATCTACCAAAGGAAATATCTACCGAAAGTGAGTAAGTGCGTAAGTGCGTCATCGTCAGCGTCGTCATCACCGTCTTTCAGGGACCACGTGTGTGCGTATGTCTGCATGCATGTATGCATCCACGTATGTATGTATGCAGAAAATAAAAGAATATCAAAAGAAAAGAAAATGCAAGAAATGCAAGAAAGCCACTCCATCCTCGTCATCTTCTCCTCAAGAGCCGAGACAAGCCGAGGTACGTACAGACCTACATACACCTGTAGTATACGCACGCACGTGCGTACGTAAATAACACACCACATATAGGCAAATACGCACGTATGAGAGCCTCAGGCTCCTGGCCTCATCATCACAGATAGACAAAGAAGCAATTGACGAGCCTGAGCCTCAGGCAGACACACCCCCCGACGAGGAAGTCGTCTGAGCTCTCCGACCAGCCTTGATACCGCGCACCCACTCTGCTGCTTCAGCGACGGCTACGTCCGGCGCAGTCTTATAGTTCAGCAAGTGGCCCTGGATCTCAGCGGCGGAGATTTCGCCTGCGGGGACTGCGTCTGCGAATTTGGCTGCTAGGGAGCGGATTTCGGTTGGTGAGAAGCGGCTGAGGGGGTCTGTTTTCTTTATCTTGTCGATATTGGTGGTGGTGGTGGTGGTGTTGGGGGTGGAAGAGGTGGTAGGAAGAGTCTTTCCAGCCAAGTTCTTTGACTTAAGAGCCGCAGAGTGGAAATCTTCCTCGCGCGCGGTGTACATAGACTCGAAGAGGTCGCGGATGTCAGCAGCAGCGGAGTAGCCGAATGCGATAGACATGTCGACACGGCCGGGGCGGAGGAGCGCGGAGTCGAGTTTGTCGATGTGGTTGGTAGTCATGATGAGGATGCGGCCCTCGGAGGCGGCGACGCCGTCGATGACGTTGAGGAGGCCCGAGAGGGAGACGCCCTTTTGGTCTTTGGAGTCGCTGGCGTCTTTGGCGGCGGCGGAGGCGGCGGCGGCGGCCGGAGTATCGGTGACAGTTGCGAGGTCCGATGAGGCGGCGTCGGGGGCATCTTTTGCGGGGGAGCTGCTGTCGGAATCGCGTTGGTGGGTGATACCGGCGCAGTCGACGTCTTCGAGGAGGACGATGCAGCGACGGGGGAGTCCGTGGAAGAGACCCATTAGGTCGTCCTCGGTGAGGGTCTTGGAGCTGAGGTTGAGTAGGTACATTTCGAGGCCGAGGAGACCTGCGGCGGCGAAGCTAAGGCTGGTCTTTCCGGTACCGGGGGGCCCGTGCAGCAGGTAGCCGCGGCGGTAGGGGATGCCGCGGTTGGAGTACCAGCGGCGGGTGCGCGGGTGGAGGTACTCCTTGATGTCGTTGACGAAGGCCTGTTTTTGGGCGGCGTCGAGGACAACGGTGGAGAGCGGGCGCGGGGCGCGGGCCATGCAGCGGACCCAGTCGACGGTGAGGGAGCGGTCGCGCTGGGCGCGGTAGATGACGGTGTTTTTGCTGTCGCGACCGACGTAGGCGTGCTGGGCTTCGGCCAGTAGTTCCTTGAGGACGGCTGGGTTGCGGCCGAAGCACGAGATGTAGAGGCGCTCGGGGTTGAGCATGAAGAAGCCGGCGTTTGGGTTATTGTCTTCGCGCACACGGTTGAACCAGAGCAGGTGTCCACGGAACCAGAAGTAATGGCGGCCCGCGGCGGGCGTGAACCGCAGTCGTTTGAACCGGTCGCGCGTCTTCGTCCTGGCCCAGTACTCATCGAAATCGTCCAGCACGTTGCCGTTCTCGTCCATCTCGTCCTGCTCATTCCAGGCGTCTTCGCCGTCGCGCTCGCCATCCATGTCGTCGAAAAAGTACATGCCGGGCGATATGCGCGTGGCGGCGATGAAGTGGTGCATTTTCTTGGTGAGCGGCTGCTGCGCGACCCAGAACAAAACGTGCTTAGAGATTTCGTCGTCCATCCGGATCTCCGCCGTCGATACGCAGTATTCTTCGAGGAGGTACCAGAACCGCATGACCAGGTAGTTGGCCGAGAAAACTACGACGGCTGAGAGGGCGAGAAATGGCAGATAAGCGGAGAGATCCACTTGCAGGTATGTCCTCAAGAGGCCCGAGACCATAGAATAGCCAGGAATGAACGCATCGAGGAGGGCGGCATCGGAGGGAAAGACGGAGTCGGTGGGGGTGACAGTGCGATTCATGATGGGAGGGTGTTTTATCCAGGTAGGTGTGGTGGGAGGAACAAAGCATTTTTCCCAAGAAAGGGAAAGGAATGAGAAGATATATATAGATTATCGAGATAAAGAACACACGAGCAGAGCCTCACGACGTCATCCTTGTTGGTGGCTTGCTTGGGTTACCATCGCAGCCTAAACAAACGCCGCATAAAGGCGTGACAAGGCTCCAACCGACCATGAAAGCATCAGCAGATCGTCACTTGGGGCTGACTGCAGCCTAGTGCAGATCGATCCAGATCTAGATCCCGCTCCAAGGGGTCCGGGTGCTGTTGATTATAATATTAATATAGGGTATCTAAATAGCAATGGAGATCTTGTTGACCGAAAAAATACGGGCCCACCATACATCTCAAAAGAAATTATCCTTCACCGTATCGACGACATCAGTCGCCCAGTCCTTCACCTCCCCCACTTTGCCCCAGAGCGTTCCCCACCACGTTGGTCTCTCGTCGTCCTCAGTCCCGGGGTCGGGGTTCGGACGTGCAGGTGCTTCTGCTGGTGATGTAGGCTTGGAGTCTGCGGGAGCCGCGTGAGTAGGCGCAGCCGCAACAAAGGTGCTGGTAGCGGGAGGGTCCGATGGATCCTCCACCCCTGGAGCGCCCGCATCGGAGTGCAGGCCAATTGGTTTGAGCGGAAGGCGCAGAGTTCCGTTGTTCGGCTGGGGTGGAAGCCCCAAGGAGTCACATATGATGTTGTACACGTTGACATTTTCTGTCCGAGTTAGCATAACTGACGTCTAGAAGATCTACCAGAAACGAGGGGACCTACGAAATGGTTCCACCCGGCTATTGGGGGTATGGGGAAACGCTGGGCCTCGCGCGACAAAAATCGCGCGCATGAGCGGATGCTCGTGATCGTAACCATGCACCCCGCGGGGGTGATACTCCTCCCCATCCTGCAAGGCTCGCGCGGCGTCGAAATCGGATCGTTCGACCACCACCCAGCCAGCCTTGGGGATGACCCACAATGGTGCGATGCGGTCGTTGTTTTGGAAATGGTAACGTTCGGGCATGGCCTCGCGGGTGTAGATCTCCACCGCGTGGGAGTAGTTTTCCCTCAAACTATCCAGCTGCCTCTGCAAGGTCTCAAGGTGTTCTGGTTGTTTGGGCCGGATACCGCGCAACGGCCACCCGTCAATATGGTCGACGAGGTTGAGGTCGATGAAATCGTCGAGCTGGACCAAGCGCTCCGTCGCAGTCGTCGCCATCCCATGGTCCGAGACGATCACGACATTGACGATCTCGGTGAGGTTCCGAGCCTCCAGGCCGTGAAACAGGCTCCCCAGCATCTCATCCACCTGTGCAATTGTCCCACGGATCTCTGTGCTATTAGGCCCGTACTTGTGCCCATCCGCGTCGACATTAGGGACGTAAGCCGCAAGGAGCTGCGGGCGCGCGGGCGTTTGATCCTCAGTTTCCAGCCCCGGCATATCAAGGAAACCTAAGAGACGGTCCACCTTCTTGGACAGCGCTTCGGAGCCATTATATTCATCCAGATAGGTTGGATCCACGCCACCAATGTGCGCTTCTGAGCCGGGCCACATGTGGACAGCCGACTTCATCCCATAGTTTTCGGCTCTCATCCACAGGGGTTCTGCGTTCCACCATTTCGCCTGCATGCTGATTTCTTGGTGGGTGTAGTAGAACTCCTCCTTCAAGGCTGGATCCCAAAACGTATTTGATACCACTCCATGGCTTTCTGGATACAGTCCGGTCATCAGGGTGAAGTGGTTGGGAAAAGTGACGCTGGGGAAGCTGGGGAGCATATATGGTGGCGACACGCCGCCTGCGACAAATGAGTTGAGGAAGGGGGTCAGGCCGCGATTGAGAAAGTCGGCCCGGAATCCGTCAAGAGATATGTATATGGTTGTCGGAGCGAAGAGTGCAGTGCCATTCGATCGGAGCGGTTTGGTTTGGGACGCGCGGAATCCGATGGATGCCTTGTACGCTCCCAGAAGGAAGATGAGGAAGAGAACAAAGATGGCCGAAAAGACCAGACTCAATTTCCACCATGTCACACGTCGGGATTCCTACACCGACGAATCGTCAAAAGATTAGTCTCGGACCTTGATCCTCGCGAAAAGAGCGACAGCTACGATCATACCTGAATAGGAGGGTACTTCTCCTGACTGTCCTCGTCCAGGTCCGACTCGGAGCTCAGCAACGAACTCTCGTCATCCCGGTGCCCTTCCTCCATCTCGAACATCAACTCCCCTCGGCGCCGTCTGCCATCTCCATGTCGCGCTCTCCTCCGCGATCGTCTTTTGTTTGTTTTACCAATCCGAACGGTACTGTGGCTGGGGCTAAAGATGCGACGAAGCCCGTGTGTGGGCCCGCTCCGAGTCAAGAGATTCTCCGTTTCTTCCTCCTCCTCCAACACGGTCTGATCATGTCGGGAGAGCTCTATTGTTGTACGAGAGGCACGAATAAACTCGTCATCTTCGGAGTCAGAATCCTGCTCCGACGGAGACCGCAAGGAGTCGGCATCGTCATCGTAGCCGCTGGGAGAAAGGAGGGAGGGGTTGGCTAAGTCACGTCGGGAAGGCATGGGCGGACGAATGCATGAGGTCGGACTAATCAAACGCTAAACGACAGAAGAACGAGAAAACAACAAAGAATGGACGAGGAGCGAAAGATGAAAGAGACGGTGAAGTTGAGGTATTGAAGGAGAGAGAGAGGGAAAGAAAGAAGAAAGAGGAGAAGCGGCGATCATTTTCCTTGACCTGTTTGGGCTTAGTCTCTCTCCGCCCTCATCTTTCTCCTCCAGACTGGGATCGTGGATCTTCGTTTGTTGACATCTCGTCCTCTACAAAACTTTCTAGAACATCCATGCCTGACAATGCAGAATTATACCGGACAATAGTTTTGTTCTATGCTTTCACTCTTTGTCTGCACAATTAGAATCCAGGCAGAGTCATCCTGTCAAAATGGCTACTATAAATACTACTCAGAGGCCCAAACCCACCAAGCCCAATCGAGCATCGAGCGTTCTATGAAATAACTGGTTAAGTACATATCCCATCTCTCACCTACCAAACAATCCAGATCGATACACAGACCATGGCAGCTGCCATCCCCCAAGGGGATGAGTTATGCATCCCCAACACCCCACAGTATACATTTTACTTGGTCTTTGCTGTCCCAGACCAAAACTTCCCATCGCTCGAGCTGCTATTTCAAATTCTGGCACGAATTCGCACCCGCCTATACGAGGTCTTCGACTCAAAGGCGTCCATCAAGGCTGAAGATGGCGACATGATCCTTGAGGTGGACGCCTACGAGCCAACCCGCGAATCCGCCGTTCGTGCTGCTACGTTCGCTATCGAGCGTGGCATTCGTAATTGGGACTTTGAGATTCAACTAATGGGTAGGATTATGTACCCAAAGAACCTCGAATTCCGCATGTAAGTATAAGAGAGCGCGTCTTCTTGTTTGTTTACTTGCTTTTGCTACGTTTCGATGGTCACAGGGGCTCAACTCGTAGAAGACATGACACTCCAGGCCTCGGTCATTTATACTAAGAAGATCACCATTTCCTCTTTACCTCATGATAAACCAGTGTCATAATAATACACGTATAATATACCCAAACAATGAGAGTGAGTGTAATTCCTATCCCAGTAATCCCTCATGAGCCTCCCCAACCGCCGGTTCTGTAACAGCCGAAGGGGTTGGAACACCATGGACAAATGCTTTAGCCTCGCTAATATCCACCTGCAACTGACCAAACAGATGTTCAAGCTCGGGGTGTCTTCTCATCGCAAAACCAATATACCGCGGTTTGATCTCCCTCCATCGTTCCCGAATAACTGGGCCATACCGATCAGCCAACCATTGGATATCTTCGAAATCGCGGGATTTCGACCGAGATGCTGCGACGCAGACTTTGCCTTTGAAGATGAGAAACGGATCAAGGAGGCAGCAGGGGCCTTTCCTGAAATATCGCCCTTCGACTGAACGGGAAATGGGTTGTACGCCGCTCATGTTGTATTTGGCACCTGGAAGTAGCTAGGTTAGCGCGGACTGTCTTCAGATGGAGGACAGAGAGGGGCACAATTCACCTCCAAACATCTCACAGATGATCTTGACACGAATTGGGCTTCCTGGTTCGCCGGATTCTTCCGACCACTCGAATTGGATCCAGTCCTGTCGAGGTCGAGGTTTGGCCACGAATCCACTCTTTCCATTCAGGAGAGTGATACATTCATGCTTGGTGATGGAGGCGAGACAGTCAATATTATCGGTCTCTCGGGTTTTGCCTAGGACGGTAATAGCGTAGCCACCGAATATACCATGGGGAGTTTGGTTTTGGGTCAGGTGATAGTTGAGGGCAATAGCCGCGTCATTCAGTCGTTCTTGAAGCATGTTGTTATTAATATATGCGATGGTAGTAAGAAAATTCCTTGAAAACCTTGAAGTTGATTTGATATCAATCATTTGGTGATCCATTCCAAATGTCATTTACTAGAAAGAGTGGTTTATGAGGCTTGCTCCTGCCTCGTCTCGACCCTATGTGTACTGCCCCGTTAACTCGCGATAGCCAGAAGAAGAAGCTTCTTCCTTCCTTCTTTCCCCTTCCTATGTATAGAGTAGCCTTCTGCCTAGTATGCCCGCGAAGGGACTTGGCATGGTTTGACCTGAAAGAAATCCGAAACTGTTATCCACCACTACCTGAAACAGCTCATACTTATGCTAGACTGACTAGTTATAAGAGTGTTTTGATCTTAACATCATGACACGGCAGAGTAGCCGAAGTATCTTCATATATTGTTAAGGTAGAGAAACGTTTCAGAGAAGACATATCCATGATATTGCATCTGCTTAGCGCAGGTAGTAGACAGTCTATCATTCGGCATTATATTCCGGTGTAGAGAAGACTTAGGGATATGATTCTCAGAATCCTGTCAATAGTACGCAATAGCTTTCTGAGATGGTAGTATAAGCAGACGTATACAAACCACTTGTACTAATTCTATATGTTGTTTTGTTTCTTTCGAGGGCAACAGGATGGGCTTCATGAAGTTGATAATGGGAGAACTAAGGTTGGCACCGCGGTTCCCCTCAGGAAATACCTACCTATTATCTGGATGCATTGCACAACAATTACATCATTTTCAAACCTTTGATTGGCCTTTCACTGCCTGAAGGTCGTTCGGCCCACTTCATCCCACCTGCAGCACTTGGATTTATGGTCTCTTGTATAATCATCCCAGTGACAGCTTCAAAACATTCGACAAGTATAACCAGTCACAATGTTTGAGAAAATACGCTCCATTTTCAGATCATGAGTTCTACCATCATATAACCTGTGAAGAAGGACTTCAACAAGCTCATCTACTCGAGCAGGAATTGGCTATGAACAGACGTCTAATTGTCCCCCACCGGCAACGCTACGATCTCCCCGGATCCCGCGTTACTATCCTTGGCTGCACGCTCTGGTCAAATGTCCTAGACGAAATCAAGGGAATTGTCAGGTCAACAGTACAAGACTTGAAACAAATTGAAGATCGGACGGTTGGCATACATTATGATACTCACGTGGCAGACTTTACTTGGCTCCAGAGCGAGATAGAGTCAATACAAAGCGAGAACGAGACACAAGATGCCAAACAGTCTATACTGGTAGTGACGCACCATGCCCCGTCCCTCCAGGACACGTCAAGCCCACAGCACGCGAACAACCCTTGAAGCTCCGCCTTCGCAACCGATGTGCTCTCGCAAATCCCAGAGTTGAGTGGCGTTAAAGTTTGGGTTGCTGGACACACGCGCTACACTACGGAGTTCAAGAAACAGGGTATTCGAGTTGTGTCAAATCAACGGGGATATATGCTCCCCAGGACTGAGTCAACGGGACTGAAGGTTCTTTTCAACGTCAAGAAAGTTATACATGTATGGTCTTGGATACATTTGTGGTTTGCTTCATTTATCACTGCTTATTATGCCGTGGATGAGATCAAGTTGAATGGGCCCGGTAAGGGCCATTATATTGTGTACGATGCGTTGATTGAACAATCTTGTCTATTGTTCTTAATTCTGGTGCCCAAAAGAACATGGAAAAGAGGCATCGACGCGTAGGGAAGACTTTATAGCTAAGACAGAAAATCCAACAGGCTTCAGTTAGGGCTTCGCTCAGGTACAGATCGGCGATGATTGGAGCAATTCCTATAGTAATTTAGCGTGACTTGGCACTAGAACTGGGAAACAGTGGAAGAGTGGTGGTGACACCATTTCCTGATATCACTGTACTTCTCATACTCTGTCCTTCCGAAGAGCATGCGCATGGGTCTCCCCAAGCGATAGAAGCATATCAACCAAGGTACTACAGTCTACGATACAAGTCAGCCTAGTACGGATTGCCGATCATCGACCGATCCGCCACCATCGGGATCGGCAATTAGCCTGCAGCTGTTGATCGGCATTGAAATTACCCGACATGGGTGAAGACTTGAGCGTGGAATGTGCAAAACCCATGCACCCAGTTACCAGCGATACTGGTATGTTGGCTGGTCAAAATCTGGTTGAATGCGGGGAATTGTAAACAACCAACAACCGATCCATGGATGCTTCCGTCTGGGACGAGAGGGGCCGTAGACCAGCTCGTCCCGCTAACAGGCTCCTCTCCACCTTGGCTTCGTGCGGAATTCAGTAGATGGAGGATGATTGGAGGCATGGGATCGTGGAATGGATCGACACCCCTTGGTTCGACTGCTTTGGTTTGGTTACCGATTGCGACCATGCGCTGTTTTCCAAACAAGCCGATTAGGGCTGCAATCGGTCGTCACGTGAGGGACGCGTGTTGTCGGACATGATTCTATTCAGAACGTCAGGCTTCTCCTCTTAGGGCACTTCTGCTTCCGTCACATTCCACGCTCCAGACAGTTGACCGCATGGGTAATCGATCACGAGAAGGCTAGATACACCATACTGTTTGGGATAACGCCATCAACTTCATGATGGTTGCGGATGGGACTCTCAGGCTCTCGAGGCCTATAAAGGACTCCTCAAATCACCAGCTCAATCAAACTTCATCATCATCATCTCAATCCATCAATCAACCAACCAACCAACCAACCAACCAACCAATCTCTACTCTCTCGCTTTTTAAGCAACTCTCTCTCCTCACACAACCACCACAAAACCAACTTATCCACCTTCAAATTCTCTCAACTCCATCACAATGCACTACTCCAAGATCGCTGCTCTGGCCCTCGTCGCCACCGCCAACGCCGCTCACCAGAAGCGCGACATCACCACCACCGTCTGCTCGACCGTGACGCTCACCACCCCCATCGGCCAGAGCACCGCGCCCGCTCCTCCCACTCATGCCAACCCCCAGCCCACCCATGAGGCCCCGGCTCCCCCGGCTCAGCAGCCTAGCGCTCCTGCTCCTCCTGCTCAGCAGCCCAGCGCTCCCGCTCCCCCGGCTCAGCAGCCCAGCGCTCCCGCTCCCCCGGCTCAGCAGCCTAGCGCTCCCGCTCCCCCTGCCAAGCAGCCTAGCGCCCCCCCTGCCCAGCAGCCCAGCGCCCCTCCTGCCCAGCAGCCCAGCGCCCCGGTCCAGAAGCCGGTTGCCAGCTCTCCTGTCGCCTCGTCCAAGGAGAGCACCACCTCGTCCCACGCCACCAGCACCAGCGCCAAGGAGAGCGAGACCCAGGAGACCGAGAAGCCGGCCAAGCCCACCTCCCACGTCACTCCCTCCAACCCTGGCTCTAAGCTCGCTGTTCCCGGCATGGGCGCCATTGGCACCCTCGCCCTGGGCCTGTTCATCCTGGCTTAGATTCTGACATGGCCTCTCTCTCTCTCTTTACTCGAATAAAGAGGAATGGCCCGGGATGATCTACATCTCATATCTCACAATAGTACTTACTGTACACGGGAAAAGTACCAGAAAACCCGAAAAAGCACAAAAAGAGCCGCAAAAGGCACTGGCAATTCAAGGAGTTTGGTGTATAGTTCTTCATTTCTTTTGGCATTGCGTTTTTCTCATACTTGTTACTTTTATTACTACTATATAATTAATCTAATATATATTATGTTTCTTTTATAATTCAGTCTTCAATCTGTATGTCACATCCACAACCCACTATAATGATTAGCATGTATTGTACCTCATTCAACGACCCCGCCCGCCGATCACTCTACTATAATATATAGAAATAGAGGACTAGGTCTATTAAGTAGTCGGATCGGACGCAAACCCACCCCGCAGGATCCATGGGGGCAAAGGGACCAGCGCCAGCTGAATGCAGAATTAAAAGACCGGGATTGTAACACCTCGGTGGCAATGAGTTCTCTACTCAGCTGAAACATATATCGTTGCATTCTTGGCGGTTGAAGTAACTCATGACCGCTACGCCAAAGCGTCGACCAACGCATGATATATGGCTTAACCTGACTAACATCCCAACAGTAACCCTATATTCAGTAAGACGGTTTATTCTTACTACTGATCTCTGCGAGACGGGGGGATTGAAGGATAGATCCTATGGGCCATAAGTAGTGGGTATTCTCATCCTTTTTATCTCTTTCTCCTGTAATAAACAACGTCATTCAAACTACTATACTGCAATTACTCCTCCACCCACTACAAAGCCAAAACTCTTTCAAACCCACCAAAACCCATCTACCCAAAAAATGCCACCTACAAAATGAAGTCCACGAATACCTTTATCCTCCTGCGACCCGGCTGTTTGACTCGCATTGAGTCAATCTCAAGTCAAAAGTGGTAAGAGATGATTTGATCGGTGAATGCCAAGACAGCAAAACAATCGGCTGCATGAAGGGCCAAGGGGGGGGGCTTAAGTTCAAACCTCCAATCTCTAGCCCGATACTCATAGTAACCTACAGGTTCGCTGTTTACAAAGATAATAAAGAAGAATCAGAATAATAATACAAGACGCCCGGGCGAGGAAGGATTGATTCCTTCGATCCTGCAGATTCCTGCCGGAGAGTCGGAACCTAAAAGCGAGCGATCGAGCGAGAGAGAGATAGAAACAAATTATAAATGGAGCCTAAATGTCTCTCTGTTCTCTTTTCCTGCCATCTTCAACGATAATTTCTCTAGTCACTATAGTCCATACTACAACCACCTTCCCACCTTGATACGAAAGATATATATCCTCGGCAACCCACCCTCCCCTCTTCATACCCAAGAAACCACCAAAATGAAACTCACAACCACCTCCATCCTAACCCTCCTCCCCCACCTCGCCGCCTGCATCTGCAAAGACACCGAAGTCGGCATCGGCTACATCAACTACGACAACAAAGCAGATCGCAAAGGCGCCCTCATCGCCAACGACTGCAACGTCATCAACCATACAAACAAAGATAACTACTGCTACGGATGGGGCGAAACATACCAAGTGCACTGCGACGAAGATCACCGGAATGCCCAGTCAGTGACGATCAAGAAGCAGGGCCGGATTGATGAGTATCAGTGTGGAGATTATGTGACGGGAGAACAGTGTGATGGGGGTGTTGTGGTGGGGAAGTGCTGCGCGTTGGTGTGAGTTTAGGAGGGATTTGTTGGTGTTGTTGTTGTTGTTGTTGTTGATTTTCTTCCTTCTGTTCTTTCTTTCATATTCCTTTATGTATGTTTTCCCATGGAAGTATAAGAGTCTGGGAATCATGAAAATGTGGATTGTGAAACTGAGAGACATGTACCTAGGCAATATGCCGGCTGTTATATATAACTATAGTGTTTCTCTCACATGCATTACTGTTTTGACTTTTCCTTTGAAGCAACCTGTCGTCCCTAATTCGACGCAGTGTTGAGTAGATAGTCGAAACCTTCAAGCTAGGCAGCTAATATTGTTGACCGGAATTAGGACCAGAAGCTGTTTGTTTCTATATTAGTGGGATATGTGTGTGATATGACTGATGTCCCAACATATATTTATTGGACAATTATATAGGCAATATATGTATATCAATTATAGCCATTCATATCTAATCTAACAAACCCTTGTCAACAAACAAACCATATAGACCAAAAAGAAAGAAAACATCACCCCCAATTCCTCCACTGACACGCACACCCCCCACTCCCCCCATCAACACCCCCCACCCCTTCAACAAATCCTCCCCCTTCCCTTTCGCCCCATCCTTCCCCTTTGCAGCAGTCGAATTCAGATTAAATATCCCCGGCGCAGGATTCACCAGCTCCCCCCCAAACGCGCGATCCTCAATCTGCAGCTTCTTCTCCGTGGCGTTAACATGCTGCGCCGTCTCCATCCCGTAGCAGTAGACCATTTTGCTCGCGGCGTTGCCGCCGTGTCTGTCGAGTGTTATGGTCACCGGGTAGGGGAAGGAGCCGGGGCGGGAGAAGTCCGTTGCTGAGGAGGATGAGGATGGGGATGTGTGGCTGGTGGTTGTGGATGGTCTTGCGGAGGATGATGGGGAAGGGCTGCGGTCGAGAAGATGGCCTTTGCTGGGCTTGGTCCAGATCTGGACGAGGAAGCGGGTTTGGGACCAGGTGCAGCGGACGCGCGCGTCGGCTTTGCTGGGTCCGCCTGGGGAGTCGCTGTCGGTGTCGTTTTTGGAACCCGTGAGGACGGCGATCGAGTCGAGGAAGATGGAGCGGTCGAAGTAGGTGTAGAAGCCGTAGTGTTCTGTGTCTTGGCCGCGGTTGTAGAGGCGGATGGGCTGGGAGGATGGGAGGGGGTAGAGGGTTGCGGATGCGGCTGTGCCGTCTGGGTCTGTGGAGGGGGAGGGGATGAGGGTGTCGATGTCTGGGAAGGGGTTGGTGTCATCTTCTTTCTTATCATCGTTTTCATTATCGTCGTTTTTATTATCATCGTCAGCGCCGTGGGTTGTATTGCTGTCTCTGCGGGAGAGCTGGGACTTTGGCTGGGTGGTTGACAGCAGGGTTATGAAGAAGGGTGTTTCTTCGCCGGCGAAGGGGGCGCTGTTCCCGTCTGTTGTATTACCTACGAAGGCTTGATCTTTCAAGCTGGGCGGAAGAGGAGACGGATTGAAAAGCTCGGCTGTGCCGCGCGAGCGGAGCCTGTCCGACGGTGATGACGCAACAGTCGTGCTATTGGGGTATGTCCCATTGCGGAAGCGGATCTCGACGCGGAAGTTAGGCTCGTCCGCCGCGTAAGGCTTGTTAGTCTCATGCTGCTCGTTTGGTAGAGCGCAGCTCCAGAGCGCGCTGGGGGTGATGCACCCCGAGTCCTGCTTGTGGGCTTCCGGGCCGGCGATCGTCGCGATCCCCGTGGGCATGGGCGGGTAGCCTGTGAGGTTGAGCCACTGGGACTGGATGGGCGTTGCGTCCCCTTTTCGAGTTAGGAGAATTGCAAGTAGTAGGGAGGCCAAGACGATGAGGACGAAGAGGAACGCGATGACCATGTACCAGCGTCGTTTTAGGCGGCCTTCGCGGCCGGAACGTCCGAAGCAGCCTTTTTTGCTGACGGGGCCTCGTCCACGCCATAGGCCTCCGGCTTTTTTGCCTGCGGCATCTTCCTTTTCGTGGCGTTGCCGACGAGACTCGATTCTGTCTTGCTCTGTGGTTGAGTGTGTGGTGGTTGTTTCTCGTGTGATTGAATGGGGCCCTGGACGAGGGGGCAGCGAGACAGGGGTGCCGTGGCGAGAGATGTATGCAGGTGCTGGCCCGGTTGGCATCTCGCCGAGGGGAATGGATCGATCGCCCTCTGTTTGGCGCTGAAATCCGGGCGAGATGGGATCGGGAGCCTGTGGTTGCGCTTGGTGATAGGGGGGTGCAACCACTATGTATTGGGGGCCGGGATGCTGGCCAGGGGCTTGATAAAAGCCTGGTGCAGGTTGGATGTAGACGGGTTGGGCCGGTTGGGTGGGTTGCATCTGGGGGTATATATGGTCGACAGGAGCTTGGACAGGTTGTGTTAATGGAAACGGCTGGACGGGTTGGGCAGATGGAAAAGGCTGGACAAGCTGGGCAGTATCTGTAGTTAGGGCTAGAGGAACAGGATGTCCCTGCTTCTCGGACATGTGTTCAGCTAGTGGGGGTGAATGTCCAGCCCTGCTGACTTCTGGTACAGGACTCGCAGCCCCGGGGACTTCTCGGGAGGTCTCTCTCGGACTATCGCCATCCTTCGGCTGTTCTGGGGACTTTGCAGTTTCCGAGCCAGCAGATGACTTGCCATCGACAACAGTCGGTTCGGGTTGCGCAACCACAGCAGCAGCAGGAGGAATCACCAACCCCCTGTCCTTGTGGCCAGCCTGTGATATGCTATCATCCACATCAACGAGTAAGTTCCTCTCATTGCTGCCAGGAGAATCTAGGGAGCCCGCCGCAAAGCCAGGAATAGCATCCTTGGGCGTAATCGAGCAGACATGATTTATACACTCAAAGTAAGGCCTCCTGCTGAACAGCTCATGCGCACTAGCCTGGTAGTACTCCGCAGCCTCACCCTGCACCGTTTCCCCAAGGCCCATGAAGCCCCCAGCACCCGGGGTATTCGCAGCAGGAGTCTCAGCTTTGCTGACATTGCTGGAATCGAAATCGGAGAATGGGTTCCAGTCGTTCTTTTCCCAGCTCATTACCTCGCCTCTATTGGCGACGGCTGTTTCGGGGGTTTCTGGCGAAAAGCAGGAGATTTCTTTCTCCTTCTCCCACCATTCGTCGTCGCTTGAGCCGGTCACGTCTGTAGCGATGGTTGGTATGGGGGGTCGCTCGGTTGTCGTGGGTGTTCTCCGGCTGGTCATTGTGTTTGAACGTCCGAGTATTGGGGAGAGAAGGTATGTCCACCACCCTTGGGAGTAATGTTTGTTGACCTCCGACGTGGCGCTGTGGCGGGTGGCAGTTAGACGATGGAAGGCCTTCTTTGCACTTTCGTTTGAGTACGACCGGGAGCGTCGTCCTGTACGCGGGCTGTCGTCATCTTCGAAGACTGTTCCTGTGGAGTACGCGCGCTGTCTCCTCACAGACGCAATGGAGCGTCTCTGGCTCAACTCGGGACTCGTGGCCTCGAGGCCAGAGGCTGTGTGGTGTGCGGGGATCGCAGGGACAGGAGGGATGCCGAGACCGCTGGTTTCGAGGAGTGGCGTAGGCTGGGAATAGACGCTAGATGTTGCTCTGGGACGCTGGTCCTGGGGTCGGAGGCTCCTCCAGAATCCTTCTTCTTTGGCTGGCGTTACGACGATCGAGGGAGTCAGTGGTGTGCGTAGACCATCCGCGCTGTCCAACTCCTTCGTCCGCTCACGTTGTTCGCCAGACTCGTCGGCCGGCAGGGTAAATCCGATCATGATGGGTCGATCCGAGGGGGACAGCTCATCTTTCTTGTTCTTCCGCGGCGACATTTTGGACTTGATACCCCGCCAGGCTGACCCATCTCTGGACTGTCCCGTCAATAGCGCAGACTCCTGATTAGCCCCATTCTTCAAAATCCCCTTAACCTTCCGTTCATTCTCCCTCCTCTCAGAAAGCACCTTCAAATCATTAAGATCCAAAAACGCCGGCGCCTTCCCACCACCGCGCTTCGTTGACCCCGCGCTCGAGAAATCCGTAACCAGATTCAACCCCACAGGTTTCTCCGCGCCTTTCTTCCTCCCACCAGACGTTAGGGAGTTCTCCCGCGGACTCTCCTGCGCGAGGCCAACCGTGCTCCGTCTCCCGTCTCCCGCATCAATCTCCGCCTGGCGCGCAAAGGGATTCCGGTCAGATACCTTCGCTAGAAAGGCATACGGACGATTGCGCTCCAAGTCGCGGTCGTCTTCGGAGGAGCCCGTCGGGCTGGCGACTTCTTCTGTGATAGGGGAGGACAAAGGGAAGTTGGGGACGGTGGGGATCCGCAGTTCGTTGTGTACTGTTCGAGGCTTGTGGGCCATATTGAAGCTGCTTCTGTTTGGGTTATGGGTTAGTGTGTGAAGGAGTGGAGATTCGAAGCTGCAGTCTTACACTTCAGGACTGAACAGTGAGGTGTCGAGGTTGATGCCGATATAATGCAAGTTGAAGTTGAAGTTGAAGTTGGGAGGGGCTCTATTGAGCTAAACAATGCAACAAATAAGGCTGAAGCAAACACAGAGAAAAAGAAGACAGTTTCAGCTTCTGCAGACAAGTCATGGAGAGCTGAATGGGCAGTGATAAATGAAAGGGCTAGACAATGGCGTTTCCAGACAATGGCTGCTCAACACAAGCCACCACTTGTATCATTCACAGACAATGGCCCAAACAAGGACAAGGACAACAAAGAGGCAGTAGTCTCAACAAAGATGACCCTAACCGTTTAGTCAAAGAATGACAGCTTTCAAAGCATGCATAAAGAGGGACCTGGTATAGCGAGTGTATCTATCACACGAATCTTAAGAAATCCACACAAGAAAGAACGAAAGTCCAAAGATGAAAAGTGAAAGAAAAGAAACCAGCCCACTCAAGAGCAAACAGCAGAAGTCCATAAGGTCATTCCTGTCACCCCAGCCAACTATTATTAGCCAGGAGCTCCCTTCTCCCCCGACAGCCTGGACAAGACACCTCCAGCAGAGTCGCAATTGGCCCAATTCACCCGTGCAGAACAGCTAAACAGCAGAGCTCCATAGCTCCGACCAGGGGTATGCTGCAGCATGCAGCCCTGCAAGCGCACCTATTGGACGAGAGCAGCAGATGGACTCTGCACGGAGAGGACTGAGCTGCAGGCGCGAGGAGAAGATTGGTTGTTGGGATCGACGCCGGTGTTCCTGTAGGCGCTGAAGTACCAGGTACCTACTTTAGTAAATGTATGGGATGAGGGCGGCGCTTAGGACGGGCGACATGACTGCCTTAGGCCAATCAGCGTTCTAGCCGCTGAGGAAGACGAAAATAGATCCCGATCAGGCACGCTGCATATGTTTATTTGGACTGTCCTATTCTGACTTATTGGATTAATATGGCCGGAAATTGTGGGTCGTAATACTGATAATCCAGAGGACGTTTAAATAAGTTATCCGATAATATCATTGGGAGTAAAGTAGTGGTAATGATATGAAGATAACATGGATATCAAGTGAGGAACACTGGTTCCAAAATGGTGGTATCATTTTTCGTTCCGTTATCTTCTTGGATACACGCCTGGTGAATATTTATTTACCTCCAGGTACAATATGGTCCTGGGGTGTGTAGTAATCAAACATTGCCAGATTCGGTCCCCATTCCAATCCCTAATCCCACATATCCCAGCCCAAATGCAAGAGACTAAACACTGATCGTAATGTGAAGCACAAAGTGAGGAGAGATCAGAGAGATCATGTCGAGGGTCGGATACCATAGGTCATCGCAGCCGATTCTGTCGACCACGCGACAGCCCAATAAGATGAAATAAGAATCAAGGGAATAGAAAGGAATGAAGAGGAATCAAGAAAGAGATCGCTCAAAAGAAGGACACCGCCCGATAAATCTACAAAGCCAACAAGAAGCACTCTTCCCATCCGTGCACTCATGGCAAATCGACGCGGCGGATATTACCGTCGTCCATCGGTGTACTGCACCCCCTGCATGGGGGCCACCGACCCATTCATGAGAGGAGGTAGACTCCGAGGTTGCTCGGGACCCATACCCGCTCCGGGCCCGTAGCTGGAGTACATCGGGCCATGGGCCTGGCCGTTGGCTTGCGCAGCCGCCATCTGGTGCTGCTCAAATATCGATGGCGGTCGAGATGGTCCATTGGACGCTTGGCTGATCTGGGCGCGCATCTCTTCGACTTCGGAGCGCAGAATATCGTTCTCTCGTCGCGCGTTACCCAGCATCTTCTCCAGTGACACAATGTAATCGATCGCTAGACAATAGTCAGTTTAAGAAGGGAAAAAAATAATCGCGCCGGGTGGACGAGATCATACCTCTCGACAAGGTCTCCCACTTGCTCGACTTGTTGGTCTGGCCTTGCGGGAGATGCCCGCGCAGGGCCTCGAAACAATCCTTCATTTCACTGCGTCGCTTGCGCTCCGCCAACTTGTGCGTGACTCGCAACTCGGGGGTCCGGCTGTACGGAGTGCTCCCGTTGGGCGTTTCCGGGTCCCCCATCAGCTCCCGGACCTGTTTATGCTGAAGGGAATGGTGATGTACGTTTTGCGGGAGTTCTTGTCGTCGCAAGTCAGCACGGTGTCCGGGTTCCACACCTGTCGTTCTCTCCCGTTCTGATGGCCACATACCGTGCTGCCCGCGCGGTAACCGGGACTCCGAGTACATACTACTGGCCAACGATTCGGCCACGCTCCCCTTGCGCGAAAACTGTGGGGTCGACTTTTCGGTGGTGGAGGACATCGAGTTCGAGCGCGCAACGTCGGGATCCGGGAACGCATAGGCCAGACCCGCCGTGGGCGCCTCTGCATTGTAGATCTCCGACCGGGGGTTCGATGAGATCGCGGGTGCCGTGCGGCCAGCCGCAAACGGGCGATTCTCATGACCACGAGGACCAAGAGGCGACAGAGGTTGGCCCGCGGAGTAGCGCGGCCCCCGATAGGCATTGTTCACGTTCATATCCTGGGGGATCCCGCGCTCCCGCTGTAAATTGGAGACGATCGAGGTCTGCGACACGTTGGCACTGTGATAGGGCGATGCCGTGTTGATGGCCAGCGAACTGATTCCCTGGTTCACCCGGCTGTCGACACTGCTGCGTCGGGATTCGACCGGCTCCGCAACGCTGCCCCGCGGGACAGCGCCGTCATAATTCTGATTGATCGACGGGAGGGCCGAGTTGGGGGAGGGGTGTGCGCCCGCGGAGGATGGGGTATTGGCGCTAGATTGGTCGTGAGGGTAGGGGGAGCGATCGGGGAGGACCGTGGTGCGGTTGGGAGACGGATGGGTGGATGTGAGGAAGGAAAGAGAGGGATAATTGCTCGTCCCATTTGTCGCAGTGGAGTAGGTGGAGGATCCTAGTACACGTGGTCAGTATCGGCGCCGCCAACCGCCCCGAGACATGGCGAAGACTCACTTGTGCTGTGAGGGATGGACCAACTTCCGGAGTCGCGTTCGATTGTGTTCAGCGAGGCATGGCCCGGAGACTTCTCCGCCGGCGCGCCGGCGCTCGTCATACTCGCCGTCAAGGTGGATATCGAGGGTAGGGTCTGGGAGGAAGAGACCGTCGGGGTCTGTGGGCCTGTAGTGGCTGGCTCCCACGGCCGACGGGTTACGGCGCTTTCCATAGTGACGGATTTAAAGATAATAGATGAAATCGAACGATTCAACGAGTGTCGAGGCGACCAAAGAAACAATTCAAGATTATTTGGCTGGCGTGTCGTGTAATCTCATATTCCAAAAAAAAAAACAACCAGTCCGATGTAACACCTCCGCCACAGCAGAGCTCACAACCACGCGGAGACCGTGAACGCTAAGGGAGGATCGGATGGAGGGAGTGATTAGGAGGATTGTTGCTTCGCGTCGGTCATATCATCCGGATGATGAGATGGAGGGAACAATTGCGCAACGAGTCAACGGTCAATGCTTGCACGGACGGTGGGACCTTTGACCAGCGCAAGGGCGAAAGTCAGAAGGTGAGAATCGCGTTCAGGCCAGCTGGTATCCACACCCGTGTGATATGTCCAACGAAGCTCGAAGGGTGTTGATGCGAGTTACCAGGTGATACCAGGCGAGACAACGGTCGGGTGGACGGTTCGTCGAAGGTGGATGGCGGAGGGGCGGGAAGGTGGGAAGGAATTAATGGACAGAGGGCTGTCTGCATTCGAAACCACCGTATGGGGTGAGGAGAGGGGGGGGATCGGGGGGATCTTGGGGGTATAAGAGGTCCGACAAGGAAAGGTAAAAAGAGAAAAAAATAAAATAAAAAAATAAAAGATAAAAATAACAAAATAAGGAATAAAAAAGACCAGGTTCCCTTTTATATAATGGATAAAACCAAATAAACGTAAAAAATAAAGGGAAGTGGAATCAAATAAAATTAAAAGCCCCAAGTGGTGAATGAAGAATACCTTCAACGAGTCAGTCTAGGTCAGTTAGGTTGGGAAGAACCGAATGGAAGCCGTAATGGACGGGGGGCGTTGGAGCCAATGGAGATGGGGATGGAAAGGTCTGAAGGAGCTTTTTTTTACCTTTGGAACGACCGATCCAACGTTGGAAATCGGGGGGAGCGGCGGGAACGTGGCACGAGCAGAAGAAGGACAAACGATTGGGCAGGAAGAAGTGTGAGGACAACTTTGACGGGGGGGAAAGAAGTGACCAGCGAGAGTGAAGCTGCGGGGGTGGAAAGAAGGAGGATCCAAGGTCGAGGATTAAATGGATTCTGGAGGGATTGAGGGGAAGCAGAGAAAGAAGGAAGAGGAATGGAAAGATGCAGAGGGGGAAATGATAGTAGACCGTCCAAGGGACGTCGATCAAGTCAAGAGTAAAGTAGAAGGAAAAAGCCGAAAAAGATGGAGGGAAGGGGGTGGAGGAAAAAAAAAGAAAGTCAAGAAAAAAGTACCAGCAGAATAATCAAAATAATAATAAAAATAAGAAATAAGAGAAGAAAATAAAATAGAATAAAATAAAAAGAATAATAATTAAAAACAGCAGTTTGGAACTCGATCCAAAGACAGAACAGAACTAGTCGGCGGGAGCTATCAATGATGTCCAGATCAAGGGCTTCCCGGGTGGAGTAGGGAAAATCTTGTGCTTTCTATTTCTTTTCTTTCTGTTATGTGATTGTTTTCTTCCTTCACTCAAACCAAGGAAGAAATTCCACAAATTTTAGAGAATGACAAGAAACTAGACTGGACAGTGACGATGATGGGATTCTCGTCATGTATGGATTAGGAGAATCCGACAGGGGTGAGAGAGGAGAGAGAGGGGGGGAGGGAAGAAAGCGGGAGAGATCAGATGGTAAAGAACGGCATTTAAACAACCACACCTCCCCAGATCCAAAACAGAATCATATTCATCCGGAGTATTCTCTTTGTTCTGTTTGAGATTATTATCATCATGAGTATTTGTCAACCTCATCATCCTTATCATCACCACAATGACAGGTCTGAGCTGGTGGGCAGTTTGATATCTTGTCCTTTTCCTCAATATCTGGTAATTTACCAATTTTTCTTTAATTATTTAAATTATGCTATACTATTATTACCTTATTACTTACCTTGATATTAACCCTATCATTTTACTTTATTTTTAATATTATAGATATTCAGTCTAATGTTCAATAATTGTCTGTTTACTCGAATGAAATCGTGATACAGGCACACCCTTCCTTCTGTGCATCCAGCAACCTGCACCACGCTTCTTTCCACCTTCCAACGTGACACACAACAAGAACACCCCCCCAGCCAATGCTCTTCAGGCAAATTGCACCCCCATGTCATTTCAGGTCCACCTTAGCGTGGCCCGACACTCACAACAATACCACCTTGCGGGAGGGTTTGGGTGGCTAGAGGTTATCGGAGGGACTAGCGAGTCTAGCCGGTGCCACACCTGATCCAGTCTCAGTCTTTGGCTAGAATGAGGAGAAGAAGAGAGGGCGATGTATTGTAGGTAGGTTGTCTAAGATTGTGTGGGAGATATGTCATAGTAGATTTATATTAAAAAGATAGATGTCACTGATGACACAAGCCTTGAAGGAAGCAAAGGCGAAATTAGAAATTCATGGATTAGATTGGAAATTCGAAACTCCACAGGAAAACGCACACATGTCATGACCTAAGAGGAACTAAAAAATAAGATAAATGAAATAAAAAATTTAAATGTGTTTTGAAAAAGAAAGAAAGAAACCCACCGCCACGAGGCGTCCGCCGGCTTTTTTCTCTGGGGGAGGAATCCAGGGCCAAAGACGCCGTCCCAGAGCTAAGCTGTCCGTCGTTCCCGTCTTGACAGAAAGAGTATTGTAATCATAGTAAGCCGTATCAAGTCATAAAATCATGTATAATTACACAACTATAATCGCTAAATCATAATAATCAAAGAGGGGAAAAATAAGATAGTTGAAACCTACTACCCAGATCCTTGATCAGACCCGTGATAACAGGTTCAATGTCAGGTACAGAATCAAGTGAAGTAATGACATGTTACTCTAAAACCGTTCTGTTGCTGAGCTGGAGTTGTCCGGTTCTGCCATCAGACTCGATTCTTCTGGTCCGTCCACACGAATCCGTCTGTACCACCTTATCTTATCCCCCCGTTTCATCTTCAAATTTTTAGATCTTATTTATATTGGTATCTATTATTTATTCTACATACACATATTTATATAAATAATATCATGGTTGTAATGATTATTCTCATGGATGTATTTCCCGTACCTGACCAGACCTTGCCCGAACTAGGTAAAGGATCTGACCTCCACTAGGCAATCCTCATGTCGATCTGGACCGACCAGTTCTCCCACCCTGACCCATGGCGGCTTCTATCCTGTCTCCCCGCCCCACGCCATCTGGTGGTGTCTTCGCGCCGGGGCCACAGTCCACACACGCCTGGGAGGATCATCAGTTGCGATTGGGGCCACTTTTGACGGAGTGTTTCCTTTTTTCTCCGTATTGATCAGTCTTGTTTTTCTTCCTCTTTGCATTACATGTTTACAATTTGGATTACAGATACACCAACTGTCGTTGACATCCACTTTGACGTTTTTCAATTTCTTCTTTTTCTTCTGGTTTTTATACCTGTAACTTATTTTTTCTTACTTATCTCCTTCCTATTTTGATGTATCTTATATTTGTTTACCTAATTTTACCTATTTCCTCTCTCTATCTCTCTTCCACTTGATTCTCTTTTATCTTATTTTGTATTTTATCCTATCTTTTCAACCATTCTCGGACTACCATTGTGTTCTCAGTCCAGGGCAATTGAGATGGATGATAGCTTGGACCAGCCCGGGAAGTGGGGCCCAGGATAAATCCATGGAACGAAGAAGACGATCCAACACACGACGAACAAATCAAGATGGCCCAAGCGGGCATGACCAAGTGCATCATTCTCTGCAACATGTTTTGTGTCCTTGTGGCCTGAAGAATCTTCCAGCCAGTACTCCGGATATGGATTATGACTGTCGTTGAGGGTAGTCACACAAAAGAAATAAAATAAAACAGAGAAACACAAAATAAGAATAAAAAATAAGAGCAATATAAACAAAATAAGAAACACGTTGTTGATCACTGATCATGTGGCCAGGGTTGTCTCAGACAAGTGTGTGATTCCTGTTCTTGTTCCTGGGGTGTTTGGGGCGGCCTGGTGGGGTAGCAGAGCAGAAAACATGCGAGGGGAGAGAGTGTGTTTGTTCCAAGGAGGAACCTACCCTGAACTCTGTTGTCAAGTGGTGATAATAACGACTATTGTGCCACCACTCATGTGTCTTGTTGGCGTGGTGTGGGTGGAAAACAGACTCACTCTCGCCCAATCCTATTCGTTCCATTCAGGATCCCCCATCTGCCCAAGGGAGGACGTAACCTTAGTAGTAGTAGCTCGGCTTCCAGGGTCTCCTTCTATCCAAGGTCTACCATTCTTGAGACAGAAGGATAGAAGAGAAGAGAAGAAAGCTCCTCCACATTACATCATCAATGCCATTCTCTGCATCATTGGAATTCGGATCGTCCTGCCATACGTATCTTGGTGTAGTGTACGGTGTTCACACAGGGAGATCGATTCCTATCACTTTCGTCATTTAGCATGCTGTTCAAAATGATGTATCCAGCCTGATATGATTGATCTCCGTCGAATCATCCAAGCTTGGGCCTGGTGTAGCGGGGCATACCCGCTAGTCGTACCTCTGTACTTACCTGGGTACCTAGGTAGTTTTGTAGACAGAATGAGAGCTAAATCGCTTGTTAGTGATAGCATTGGATTTTGCACATTTAAATGGTGACCCCATGATGATTCCTCAACATACCCCCAAGAGTCATTACCAGATGATGTTCTACTAGACAAGGGATAAAGCAGAGCTAAATAGACAGGTAGGTGGCTGTTGCAAGAGCAATACTAGTGGATCCAAAATTACTAGCCATTACACCAGCAGTCGCGTGGGAAATTACAAGAAAGAACGACAGAAGAAGGTAAAACTGAAGAAAGAAGAAAGAAAGTAACCCTCGGTCGGCAACGATCTCGATGCGGTCTGCCTTCACGTGGCCGCTCTGAACGATCTCCCTCAGGGGTCGACCGGGCACGGTTAGGTGGTGAACTACGGAGTACCGTATGCGGTAATTTGCTGTATTTCTAAGCTTTTCGCCTCAATTACCATACCTAGAGTACTATCTAACGACCTACTAATTAGGCGCTTGCTTCTTCTTATCGACTAAGTAGGTGTCTGAACTTGTACCTCGTACTATGATTATACTGTAAATCTATCACACAGCAGAGTACATCCAAAGCAAGACAGACTGCAAGCCAACAGTATCAATACCCGTATCAAAGTGTCATGACAGTTCGCCGGAGGCTGCACTAGTGACTGGGGGCATTTCTAAAGCGCCACCCATGATCTGACTTGACTGGTCGGGGATGGAATGATGATTCTTTCACCTGAGATTTCTTCCCTTGCCTAGTAGGGAGTGAGGTACAGAGCATCAGTTTCCTGGTTCCGGTGGGAGGGGAGGGAGAGGGGGAAGGCTTGTGTCTCATTCTCTCCCTTGCTCGGGTTTTTTCTGTATTTTATTGTATTATTTTATTTAGTGATTTTCAAAGAAGAAAGAGGATAGAGCAATAATAATATCATTATCATTGTGAAAAAATAAAGCAGAGCCACATATGATGAATTGACTTTGCCAGCAACAAACACATGGCAACCCATGGGTGTGAATGATCACCGCTAAGAAGAATTCCTTGTCCGGGAAGGGAAGGGAATGTCTGGACATGCGACGCTTGACTTGTCCAGCCACATGCCTTGACCCCACTCGGATTCTAGGCAGAAAATCTATGTTATTATATTATAAAATCGATAATAAAATAGAGAAAAATAGAATAGAATGAATCAAATAGAATACAGTGCAGAAATTAAGAATAAAATGAAATAAACCAGTCTCCGTCAAAATGTGTCTTGCATTACCAGCAAGTACCTCAGTAATTTGTCCGAGTGATGAAGTCAGACAACACGCGTGCGACACGACAAGACAAAGCGTGGCGCTTTCGATCCAAAGGTTCCCCCCTGGTCCCAGATACCAACTAGTCGTTTTCGGTCACCACCTCCCCTCTCCTCCATTTCCCATGTCAATCTCCCGTGGTGGAATGGAATAATCATTCATCCTCTTCCTCCGCCGCAGGGAGGCGCCAACTGCAAGTACTAGTCATACTCATCGACCTCCAACCAGCCAGCCAGCGCCCCAAACCTTGCGTGGTTGAGTCGACCGGTCCAGGATGTTTTATCGCCAAAACCCCGCTTCGAGGAATGCACCGAACATCCTCCACGCATACATGTGGGCTTGGCGCAGATGGTGTGTGTCCACAATGAGAGACACAGACACGCCCTTCCTTACTTGCGAACTCCAACTCGATTCTTATCTTGTTGGTTTTGGTTTCCCCCCGTCAATGACCGCTCCATTCTTGTCGGTGGGAGATCTGGCTTGGAGTTAGTTAGTTAGTACGCGCTGCTTCACCGACTTGTTCGAGACTGGTGGTGTAGCTGCACTGGAGACTTGAAACCGGTGATGCCCTTGCTGGTCTGGATCAGGTCATGATGATAACTTCTTCCTTGGGTTTGACTACCTATCGGTCTTTGGACCCTGTTTCCACTCGCCAGCTATCAATCTCTCCCCTCGTAAAGCTAAACTGAGGAGCATATTCCTCCTTCGGGATAGATCACATATCCCCAGCAACTTCATATAATCCACATAGATCTCTTAGGAATATAGTACTTCCCAACCGTAACCCCAGGCGATCTCAAAAAGTGGTAGACAATAAGCGACTCGAGTCATACTCTCTGGTCGACTCGCTCGTTTAATCTCCATCAATATCACTCCCCCACCATATCTCCGCGGACACTCAACGATAGACCTAACGTAAGTAATTGGCCCCGCCAACCCATTGATTCCCACCTAGATCCTTCTTCCCGACTACATACCGGCCGGAAGACGGCTGCACAATTTGAACGCCGTCGCCGCCGGGACTAGCGTCGCACGCGCACGCAAATCACAACCTCCGGCTGTGTAGCACTGACTCGTCCGTGGACGGATTTGGTTTATTTTGCCTGGTGCATATCGTTGACCCTCGATGGGAGGGGGGGATGACACCCGGTGCACGGTTAGTTGGCGAGCTCTCACAGCAGATGGCTGTCTGTACGCCGTTTTGAGCAGTGCCGGCTCAGCTTGCCTTTGTAGGTAGATGTATGCTTCATTTGTACCCCGTACATATCGTGCATTTTATCTATCACTATTGATATAGATGGGTAGGTAGCTACTCAAATAGAAAGGCACTCGAATTTTAAGAACAGTGGTGCGATCTGAGCTGATTATTGCAGTGCTTTTTCCTGGCTACTAGATTAACTGCATATTAGCAGTCATTTGCCTGCTTCATACTCCACGTTTGCAATTTGCAAAGATACTTATGCCGTCGTTTTTTTTATCTCCATTGAATCTTCTGGGTGTATCAATAATACACTGTTCATCTCGAATGCATATATTCGATACCCTCTCATCTCACTCTTGCTGATATCTACGGTCAATAGATATTACGCCCCCGATCCCATAGCGTGGTTTCAGGCGCTTTTTCTCCATGATACCAAGGCAAGCTCTCCGATTGAATAACGCGTATCAATTAGATGAAGGGCTGTCCAGACGTCTGGATATCATACGACCTTGACAGTCCCAGCTGGGTGGATAAGCTTGGGGCCAGACCGACACCTATCCTCATATTAAGGACGTGTCGCCTTTGTTGGTAGAGGCTGTCGTGGTACAAGAGGCTCGGTGAGCTGCTCCAAAATTTGAGTATTTCGAAACATGAAGCTTCAGATCTGAGTAGATTTGATTAGCCGGTGTGATCGAGTCGGGGAGTATACACAGGCCGGGCATCGTACCTCCCTATCATGATATTAAAAGCCGGTATCGTCTACACCAATAACAGCTATACTCTAACCCTAACCACCTACTCCATGAGACATACAAAGACAGAACCGCGATCCAGTCATGTCATATCGCAGCCTGCGCCATCTATACCATCAAACCACACAGCCCAGCATCAATCAACTAACCACATACTATAGGATAGTATAAACAATGACGTTTCAAACCTCACAATCACAGTATAGATGCTGTATGGCCCTTAATTTCCATTATTTGTCATTCCAGACTTGGCACCCGCGTGGACACCGACACATAACCCACACAATCAGTTGTCATAAGGTGTCCGATACAAAGAAGCTAGTCGCTAGTGCTAGGTAGTCCATCCGTGTTGACGTCGCACACGACGCCCGGTGGGAGACACATCCTGGTTAGCACCTGGTGGACTAGCACCCGGTTTGAGGAATATCAATTTTTTTTGTCATCATCTTCATGGCCAATCTGGGTCCCGGACTCTCTTTTCCCCATGTCTGGATGCATGCGGAGACCCGATGGGCATGGCTCTGTGTGCTAGGTAGGGTTGAGGGATGGGGTGGGATACAGGGGTGGGGGTGGTTTGTGTGTTACGCTTGTGTTTGTAGCTGTATTTGAAAATAACCATAATTATTATTATTATTTCAGAAAATAACTGAAATATAAGTGAATAAATAAAAAGAAAACCAATATGTGTCAGAGCCTAAGACAAATCCCTGATCCATGATCGTCCAGACACATATAGGGTTAGGTAGAAGACAACCTAACGTATAATCCCCCATGTTAAGACGGCGCTATTGGATGGTCACCTCGCCTTAGCCTGACAACCCGCGTGTTCAACAGGCGTCAGTCCCCATCCTCCCGCCCTCTGCCTCGTTTAGTCTGGCGTGAACGTGCTCCAGCTGCACATGGTGAGGTCGGTCTATCTCTGCCCGATTGGTACTATTCCTCGAGGGTTCGCACATACACTAACCCACTAGTCTATTATTGACGTTGGAGCTAATGCTGCCTGTCGCTCGACGAACTGACCAGATAGGTGAATACCCGTTGTGTCTGCTGGAGTCCAGGATCTTCCTATAGTCAAAGCGGTAGGAGTCGATCTTCAACGTGTAAATTATGAAAATTAGATGAAATAGACAACTAAGCTAATAAACAAATAATAAATTAAAAAGCATACAGTGTTGAAAAAGGTGACATGTACATGTACCTACCCGTTGATGGCATCAGTCGTCAATTGCCACCGACCACCCCCCATGAACTGAACGCCCATGAAACTCGACCGCACATGCGCCTGAAGCATTTTCCACCTTTACTGATTCACCGATTAGACCTCCCACCCCTGTCAGCCATCCAGCCATCCAGCCAGCTAGCGAGTTCGTCCACGACTGCCCGCTTAACTCAGCGGCGCAGACTAGACAGTCATCCCAGCCGTATACCGAATGATTTATTATCCGCGGGGCCGGAGCGGGTCGGTTTCAGTCGAGCTCATGCAGGCGGTTGTTCGACGGGTCTCTGCATCGCATCGTGTGGTTTTATATGATAATTTATCCCAGTTTCGTCCGTCTTCTGCTGACCGTGACCTGCAGTAACTTATCTCATGGGTAGGTAGGTGAATGTCTTACTCCAGATATATGCGTGTTGACTGGACCCCCCGGGCATGGCGTGCGTGGACAATCTGCTAGACGACTATATCATTGGTTGGGGGGACTCAACTATTTTGGTTTGGTCTCGTGCTGTTGTCTTGACTATTTGTCAACCATGTGAGAGGTTGGTAACATTCACTGCATTGATTGATCTGGTCTCGAGTCGATCTCATTACCCTAATTGACATACCCATACATACAACTCTGTACCTCCTTGGCAGTGGCTGCATTTATTCGCTATCGGCAAAGCAACAAAAATTAAAACTTACAAAATAGAAGAAACAAAAAGAGAAGAAACGCGCAAGACAAGAAAAAGTAAACAAACAAATAAATCAACCGGTTGGTCCCCCCCCCCCCGTAAGCGCCGCCTCGATTAGACCTGCCTTGGCGCCCTCGTGGTCAAAAAGCCATCGTTTGCCCCTCGTACCCCCAAGCTCGTACCCAGGTCTGACTCGTCACCTTATTGTCTCTCACGGCGTTGCCGGGGAGGAAAAAAAAGCCAGCCAGTGCGCCCCACCGGTCAATTGTCGGGACCGACGACAAAGCAAACTGCTATACGAAGTGATGTGATGTGGCCGGCGACGAATGGTGATCAACGCGTCCCGAATCCAGCCACATGGCGCCTGTTCTGACACTAGATCGGACGGGATTGCTGGTGTTTTACGGGGCCCTAATTTGGGGGCTTCCTTCTTCTCTTCGGGAGAGATGACCTGTGGGTGTACGCCGTATATGGGATCATCAATCGAGCAACCTCGCTCGGCGATGGGAATGAGGGAAATTAGGTTCTGTGTTTTAACTCACCGCCAGTCTGACATGACGACTATCCATCCAGCCAGCAGGCAAGCAGTGAGTTGGAAAGCAAACACTAAACAAGGCTAGCTATTCCTCGTCTCGGAAGCAGAAGCAAAACAGAACAGAGTAGAAAGGAGATGATGGACAGCCCACGTGGCGAAACCCGGAACGGGCTGAAAGGCAGGAATCCGCCGAGACGACCTAAGTCGGGGTCGGTGTTTCATGTTGCCGCTTATGCCATCCTCTGAACTGTCAGTCAAAAGTAAGACTCCAGATTCAGGTACCTACTGGGGTGTGACACACACCTCTGGTCGTGAGTGAGTGAGCGAGAGGGATCCCTGTGCGACAATCGCCGGATATGCATTGCGTCGCCTAATCTGACAGCCTGTGGTGTCAGATGTAAGATGGATGAATGGATTGGATGTGGGTGCACCGTACCCAGTGACGGGTTGAACCCCAGCATCTGTATCCTGCGGTAATTTGCAATACTACCCTGATCGCTACGCGATTCTCGGTATAATCCTGCGCTCGTGGCATTTCAAGGTTACCGGCCAGAAGCCCTGGGCGTGCTTCTGTCATGTGGTTTCTGCCGATTGTCGGACACGGCTTGTGTTGCTCTGGGGTTTGGCTTCTTGTTTGCTGTTATTGAGGACAGTTTGGGTTTCAACCAGAGGGTGGTTGAGACTGGACAATCTGGTGGGAGTGTATCCCTACTGGTGCATGTGCCATGAGCATTTTATACGGAGAATATCTATCTTCCCAATTGCTACGACTAGGATCTGGGAATACTCCGCGACTGGTAGTCAAATCAGTGCTTATGTGGAAATGTGCCTGATCTAGTCGTGGCCTTGCCTGCTCCATGCAAAGGGTTCTACATCAATAATAGCCCATGGAATCTATGTAGAAACAAACCTCAACATGGCCAATTATATAGAAAGTTATTAGGTCTACGATGCATTTTTTCACCATCTTCAGTAGTGGTTTGCACATTCAACACTTAGTTCTATTGGCTAAAAGCCTAGGCCAAGCCCATATTTTCCAAAATGATTACGTTAGTAGATATAGAAGTGCAAATAAGTTGCAACAAGTAGTTTGAGTCTTTGACGAGAGCCATTCAAAGCAAGTACATTCCCAGCCTTTAGAACTTTCTCAGTACGAGAGCTGCTTTGTGATCATTGCAGGGGTACCCATTCCAGAGCACGGTAAAACAGCCTATACTCCTACCTCATGTCTTCGTGAAGGGCCCATATTTTGTCAACTTAATCAAGCATGTCACCACGCCAACCAGTACACCACGTGAAGACCCCACAGCATGGCAGAGTAGATATAAGCGTCCGCAGTATGCCAGGATGGTAGGGATTCGAAGGGAGACCCTACCTTTAAGACGACTTGACCGTCACCCAACCGGTCGGATGGAAGCCGACTGTCCGATGCTGCAGTAGCATCGTACCTGGCTCTCTATCGGCCGAAGCGTGTCCAAATAAGGTGTTTCCGAAGCATATCGGGATTCCCTTACAGTAATATTGCAAACTCACCGTCAATATGCAAGTGTGTAGCTGCTGATGGGTTGCCATGTGGACATTATGTGTTGCTCGTGCAGCCAAAGAAGGCAGCTTCGATAAGAACGGAGTAGGATGGATCTGTGAGATTGTCTGACACAGCATAAGCAATGTTTTATAAGAAGAGCGCCGTAATAGACAAGGCGTATTGACGCAACAGGGATAATTCCATAGATAGTCAATGGGTAGTTGCCCCATGGGACATTTGGGACATGAACGACATCAAGAATCTTAGAGATGAGACAACAAGACTGCTGTCTAGCCACTAGTCATGGAGTGTAATCATAGCTGCACACAGATACCAAATACTGAACCGAGAGGGCTAGATATACTAAGGGAGTACCAGTCCCGCCGCAGAATCCCCTGGTAAAGCATGTAATCTGACAGACCACTCGCCCATTCAAGTCAAGCTGAATGGGTTCAGCCATGTGTCACCGGAGCGTTAGACCACCCCGCAAGACATGGCTACACGGCATGCAAACAAACGGCACCCTGTTGTACGCCATAAGCGGGAGACAGAGTCAGGTCAGCAGCGGAGGCGGCGGAGGTAGCGTAGGCAGCGACTTTTTGGCAGGATTTGGTATTCGTCGGGGGATTATGGTTGTCTGAGATGATCTCAATATCTGTTTATATATCTAATTAGCTAGAATTTTTGATGAATGACAGAGTAAAAAGGGGCAAGTGGGAACTCGGAGTATCTGGTTGATCTTTGGTGATGATTGTATAGCTGGTTGTGGACTGATTGAGTCGGGAATTCTGCATACTTTTTGGGATGCATTTGATACATACAGCATATATTAAAGATAGATCAGTCGTTATAAGCAATAAAGTTGAATGCATAGGTACCAATACTTTCGTTGGTATGACCATGAGTTCCATGTAGATCGAGAATATAGAATGTGGTATCACATATCACATGCGTGACTCAGGCAACAACACCATCAACTGGTGAGTCGCGACTTCCCCACTAGGCAGGATCTCTTTGCCTCTTTCCCCATGCAATCTCATATCACTTTGACAAGTTACCTCCAGTAGATATTATAAGGATCATCTGGATCGAATAAAATTTCCATATCTCCACAACCCTGACAGCACGGATGTGACACATAGGCTCGGCCCAGCCACAAACAAGCAGCCGACAGACGTCATTCCCCAACCCGCATGCCAACAATAAGCTGCACCAGCCACTCCCCTCGCGATTCTAGAAGATACCCCAATCGCTTCAAAACCACCGATCCCCTCACTCCTTCCTCTCTCCCTCCAACAACCATCACCATGTCAGAACAACAAGAACAACAAAACCCACCACTGCAACAACCCCCACAAGATCCCAACCCCAATGATCGACCAGGGACTCCACCCCGCCCGCCTTATTCCCCCGTAACACCCGTCTTCGCCCACCTCGCCCCCGTCCCGAATCTCCCCACCGGCGTCGCACCGCCCATCGTCCCGCCTGCGACTTCCCCCTCCCCGACCACACGACTCGCCTCCGATGCGTCTATCGCGCCCGATCTGCCTCCGCCCGCGGAACCCGCCGCCAGCGCACCGCTGTTCGCGCCCGCGGAGCCGGCGCCCGTGCCGATCTCGGAGACCGATAACCCGGATGCCATCGCGCTCCGCTCGGCGCTCTCTATCTTGCAGATGCAGAAGCAGCAGAGCTTACGCGATATCCGCGCTCTCGAGCGACTGAAGACCGCGGCGGCTGCCGACCCGGAGGCGTTTGCGCGTGAGCTGGCTGCGGGGCGGCTCTCCGCTGCCGATCCCGGGGGATTTGTCAACTTCACGGCTGATGAGGAGGAGGAGGAAGAGGGGGGACGCCGGGAGGAAGGTGGTGGTCGGGCCCGGCTGGATACGATACCCACGCCGCAGAATGTGGTCCGCATGCCGCCCGTCAACTGGGCCAAGTATCAGGTGGTCGGTGAGCCGCTGGATAAGATGCACGAGGAGCAGCGGCGGCGACCGTTAGCGGGGGACCCGAGACGAGATTCATCTGCGCAGCAGCCGTTGCAGCAGCAAAGAGCGCCGGAGCATCTGCTGGCGTCGCCGTATCGGCCGCTGGTGGATAGGCTAGAAACGCCGGCGGAGAGGGCCAAGACGGAAGGCAAGAACAAGAAGACGTGAGGGAGGAATGGTGGAAAGATCGTATCTGGTGTGAATGAAGCTACTAGACTATGGTACAGTACAAGTTCCATATGGTACAGTTCTGCTCCGTATCCTTCGACTTTGACGATTCATGACGCATCCATGGTCAAACTGCAACATGAAAATCTTCAGTCGGGTCGTCCCCTAGTATGTCCAGCAATTCGTGTTCGGCTGTATTCGAGACAGAAACGAGAACAACAAAGCCAGACAATAAGGGCCCGCAGGCCGCCGCCGCCGCCGAGCAGAAGCAGCAGCAGCAACAACGACAGCAACTTAGATGTTCCTCAGTCCCGAAGTGATCTCGTTCATCTTCACAAGGAATTTTTCATGAGCGTCAATGACTCTCTGCAACTGACGCTCCTCAAGGGTTCTCTCTTTCTTACCGCCTCTCTTCTTTCTGTGGTCGTCGTCACTATCATAGGACGCATTCTTCTGCTCATCATCGTCCTCCATGTCGACTTCCATCGCGTTTTCATGGCCTTTAGGATCTTCCCCACCTTGTTCCTGAAGTCCATTCTCGTCTTGTCCCTGAGGACCTCCCTCGCCCTGTCCCTGATGAACGTTCTCATCCTGTCCCGTAACCTCCTCCCTACGATCAGGAATCCCCGCCAAGAAATTCTTAATCTCATGCTTCGGCGCCCCAGAATGCACAGCCGCCAGACGGGCCTGGTCACGAATCTTCTGCACCACCTTCTTGCGAAGATCCTCTCTGTCGCCCATAGTCGCCTGCATGCGCTCCCGCGCCAGCTTGCTGCCCTCCTGCGCCTTGATCCACGCCTGCGCCTTGGGACAGTCGGGCTTGGTCTTTCTGAGGATGTCCGCGATAGCATCTTTGGTCAGAGCGGGCATGCTGTGCACTGATCCTTCGTACCGGGGGATAGTCTGAGGCTCGGCGGGGTGTATTTTCTGATTGAGTTAGCATATTCCACATGACAGCACGGAATTCTTCTCCCTTTAGGAAACAGAATGAAAGTATGAGAAAGAGAAAAACATACACCATCCTCTCCAATCTTAAACGGAATCGGATTTATGGAATACTGGAGCTCGTTCATCGGCTTCTCGAGATCCGCCGCCTTCTTAGCCCAGAGCCGCGCCAGCGCCAGCTTGGGACACTCTTTTTTGACGTCCTGGCGCTTGGGCTCCGGTGGTCCCATCACGGTGTTGGCTTTGGTTTCTTCTGCTTTGGCCTTGTCTTGCTTTTTGGCCTTGGCTCTAGCCTTCTTGCCCTTGGGGACGGGGACGGGACTAGCGCTGGCTGTGGTGTTGACATTGTCGGCGTTGACGGACGCAGCCTCCTGCTGAGGGGAGCGATCGGCGAGGGTACGCTTGGGCATGGTGGATTCTATGGGCTTGGTCTTGGATTTTGATTGTGGTTTGGACTTGCGTTTGGATTTTGGTGAAAGAGACTCGGTTGGGATGGTGGTGGCAGGTGAGGTTCTTGCTGGGTGGTTGGTCGCTAGGGAAGAAGTGGGAGGTGGTGAGTCTGGGAACTTCCATGGAGGAGGGAACCTGGTGGAAGTGTGAGTGAGTGAGTGAGTGAGAGTGAGTCGGTCAGTGAGGGTTCGTGGAACATCGTGACATACCTCGGCGGCAGGCTGCGAGCTCTTTGAAGTGGTCCCATAGTTGTGGTGCTTGTATTGATGGTATCAGGTTAGGTTAGGTTGGATAAGGGTGTCTTATCGCTGGGGCGATGGGGGGGAGATGTTGTTATAACTAGGTAGTAAGAGATAGGAGAGAAAGCCATGTTCATTAGAAAGAAGTAAGTAAGTACATATGGGCTGTTGACTGCTTATCACTGGGTATTCTGGTTTGAACTTACTGTAGGAACTCCTTGTTTATGGATGTCTAGTATATAACTGGACATTCACTGGGATGCACATAAAATCTCTAACTAGATGATACTGCTGGACAATGGCCTATGAAACTAAAATATTAACTTTCTGTTTTCAATTTCTAGAGATTTAGCGAAACCAAGCTCGTAGATACGTAAAGTATAGCAATTTGATAGAAATGCGCATAACCTTCAGCTATATCAGGATCTATACTACATAACCCTATAGTATACAGCCATTCCACCAACAGGCTAATTCTATGCTTGATATGTTTCTTCCACATAAGGAATTGCAAGAAAGAAGAAGGACTGCAGAAATTCTGTTTGCCTATATGAGTGGCGAAGAGAAACTATCTTGATATCATTCAGCTGCCCATTGTCTTCTGTATACTGTGCAGTAATGTCTATCCCCCATGTTAGAGCCTGAGACTGGTTTCTAGGCTACTGTCCCATCCGTTTCTCCCATACAGTGGCTCTACTAGTAAAAGACCTGTGAAGAAAGACATTCACACACGTGACGGTTCAGGCAACGCCACAAGACTAGGTTTAGATCTCCCAAGATAACCTGGTTTCTTTGTTCACTGCTCTCCCCTCACAGGACAGACAGTGCCAGTGAGTGGCTGGGTCTGAGTTCCACTAATCAATCATGAACAAATCATGGCTGAGGGGAAGAGAAAATGGCAATGTGGCATTAAATTCCTGTACTCAACTGATCGACTGAGCTGATCGGTTCTTCTGTTTCTCGGGCCCTCATCCTACCACTTTCATCGCTCGACTTCCACATACCATCTCCAACCCACAGAGCTGAGTCCTTCGTTTCTCACAATGTCCGCATCCAATCCCACACTTTCAGACAGCAATCAACGTCCATCCCAGTACTGTGACCCTAAAGCGTTTTTTGATTTCATTGGGCTTCCCGGGCCCACTTCCTACCCCACAGTCACGCCAGCAGAGGTTCGACAAGAGGCATTAGTCCGGTCTTCCAAGATTCTCGCAGACTATGGGCTATTAAACCGGCTGCTAGATTGCTGTGAAGCCACAATTCGCAAGCGATGGCTTAAGAGAACGCGTGCACAACGCGCCAGGATCCTGTCAATAGTGTGGCCGAATATGCCTACCGTCCATCGCCCGGACCTAGACTGTTGGTTGAAAGATGGGGGGCAAAACCCTCAGGACAAAGGCGCCTTTATGTGGCCTCATATCAACCAGGAGGATCTCCTTAATCCCAAGATTCTGCCAATCTTCTTGAACGCCCGTGGCCGGCATCCCCCTTGTGCCTTCATCACGGCCGACTATGAGGCGGCTCGGCTTGGGGAGACGTGCGGCATGATCCGTCCTGCGTTTCTGAACGAACATGTTATGATATTCACCGGACGAACAACCCCGCAGAAGTATGGTGAGTTGATTAATTGGTGTGATCACGAAGACGCTTTCGACTTGCTTTTTACCCAGAAGGGGATGCATCCAGGAATGGGTCTCATAAGTCTGGAGATCCAGGAACGCCTATACACCTTTCTGGTCAACTGCTGTATGCAGCTGCTTGAGGACACACACATGGAGACTCTTCTGAGTGATGAAACTTCAATTCAACCGGAACCACCCGCCCTTTCAACATCCCAGACGGGCATGAATCTCCAGGTGGTTGTGGCGGCCGAGGCCCCCTATCGACTCCCCGCGGGTCTGGATATCAGACGCCTGCGGAGTATCTTTAGTGCCAAGCGCGCCGCCGCCGAAGACCATCTCTGGGCTCTGCGAGAGGACCCGGCTTATTTTGCCGATACGGTCCTGAACGAGAAGGAACACCGCCAGGAGTTGATCCCTGACGCGCTAGGCCGACTGCACCATCTAACGAAATCACACAAGGTATATACGTTGTGGAATCGAATCCTTAACCGGGTGGTTTCTGATGCCTATTTTCTGCCGTGCTTCTGGAATGAGATCGAGCGCCAGCTTGCCGATATTGAAGCCCTGCTTTCGCAGCATAAGCAAGACTTACAGCCCGAGAACGACCTTCCCAAAGACCTCGAGTGGGCCTTCTGCAGGCTGATCCTATTCTTGGAGAAGTTGGTTGAGGCGCCCCTTCGCACTCTCCAGACGGAGGCGCCGGCATCCCTCCCTCTGCGTCCATTCTTTGAACGTGTGGACACCGAGCTAGAGCTCAGTGGCACCATAATCAATGTGGTTCCCAAAGCAAGCCTAGGCGTTGACAAACGACGTTGGCGTCTCTTCCGGCTACTCCAGGCTCTGTGGGACAAGAATGCTAGCTTTTTGATTGGTCTCCATGTACTGGTCGATGAATTGGAGACTCTGATTGAGAAGGATAAGTTCACCAAAGGCCTGTTCTCGCCAAATGTTCTGGACACATTTTCCGGGCTATCGGTCCTGTCTCTGTGTCAACGCCAATTGAGCGGCTTCCAACCGTGGGCTGCGACATTCGAGACCACCATGGCCAATCAGAAAGACAACCTGGAGAACGACTTTCGGGAAACTGTCAAGGACTGGAAACCGTACGCCAAGGTCGGTGATGGCACTGATCTGGCGGGCGTGGGGAACCCGACGGATGGGCGATTCTACTACCCAGTAGACAAGCGGCGCACGCGCGAGTCTACCGCCGCGATGCAGCAAGCAGAAGCCAACTTGGACGCGTTCTGGAGACGCGTCGACACTCTCTACACTGACAACAACGGATTGTCTCTGCATGCCGCCGTCCGCAATCTGCTCTCCAACGAGCGCATTCTCGCCAGGACCCCCGACTGGGTCGACGAGCCCGCTCCACCAACAAGCTCCGACGCTTCCGATACCGAAACGGGACATCTCCCACTATCACAAGTATGCTTCGAGCTCGAGCGACGCACAAAACAAACCATCCAGCCAGACCGTCCCAGCCTAGCCCACAGACCGAAGCCCAAAACCCGCGGGACCGCGCGTCTCTCCCACAGCACGGCTATACCCGCCGACGATGCATCCAGCCAACACGGCCCCGACATCCAGCCCACCTTCGCAGTAGACAAACGGGCTCTTAAAACTTTCTCCACGGTATTCCATGCGCCGAGCCGCACGTCCCAGCCCGGGGAGGTCGCTTGGACCGATTTCCTGCACGCGATGGCCTCCACGGGCTTCTCGGCGGAGAAGCTGTACGGATCGATCTGGCAGTTCACGCCGCGCGCGCTGGACACCGAGCGGGGGATTCAGTTCCATGAGCCACACCCGCGGGGGAAGCTCCCGTTCCGGATGGCTCGGCGGTATGGGCGTCGTCTGAATCGTGCGTATGGATGGCATGGGGGGATGTTTCAACTTGAGAAGGGAGTGGATGTACCGTGTCGGAAAGATCAGTAGGAGCAACTCTATACTGGATGGAGCATGATGTGTATAATAATCTACAACAAGATCTATCAACCAAACAACAAAATGAAAGTATATCAAGAGGACCTCATAACCGATAAACCTGACCCTTCTCCCACCCCAGCCGGTCCAAAATCCCACATTTCCCCCAAGACCCCACCAAAGCTCTCTCCATAGCAGGCGGACCACAAACAAACATCTTCGACCGCCCCATCGTCTCCTTCTCCATCACCCTCCCCAACACCTCCTCATCCACATACCCCTTCCTAACCGGGGAGTCCCTATCATTCTTCACCAGCCTACTCACAGAATACAAATACCTAAACCGGTCCGGAAACCGCCGCGCATACTCCTCAAGCTCGCTGCGCAAGAGCAAATCCTCCTGGGTATTAACGCCCCGCCAGCGAGGAGGTACACGTGCGGAAACTCGTTGGGTTTCCACGGGAAACCGCGGAGGGAGGTTAGGAAGGTTAGAGTGTCTCCTGGCTGGAGGCTGTGAATGTGGCTGCTGGCTTTGCCGTTGGGTAGTGTTTGAGCATTAGTTCGAGGTGGTCTTGGTCGTCTGGACGAGTTAGTTGACTATCTAGCGATGTTGTCTATTGGTTATGCAGCTTATAAACTCTTGATTCATGTTTTGTTTGGGATAGGAAAATAAAAGAAAATTGACATTAATCTATTGAAGTTTGAGTTAGTATTTATACCTACGACGATGTTGCATCAGATATGGCTTGATGTCATGATCCTGCTCAATGTCAAAGCCGCAAAAGCCGACGAGGCAGGTCAGGCCGATCGGCCGTATGATCGCGCCGTTGGGCCCTATTCTTGGTTGCTTGATTCACAATATTTTTGTACTGTTGTAATTTAGGAGTAGGAGGTATGAAGTAGGTAGTGCATGTGTAGCCTTACCATAGTGCTGGTACATGTTGTCTAGGTTGATTGGCTCGGATATGGCCCGATTCTGGGGTATTACCCGACTGGGACATGATTCTTAGATACTAAGGTATTCCTATACAGCAATTCTGTCTATCTCTATATATACAGCCCTCACACCCCTTATGTGCAATAAGTAAATAAGACGCTCAAAGCTTAGAAGCCTTCGCCTCAAACCGCTCCACAGCCTTCTTCGAATCAACCGCCCTCTCCTCATTCCCAGCCTCAATACCCTCCCTCCACGCCAAGTTACCCGCATGGTCATCCAACATCCCCAGCAAACCGCGGTACGCCTCCTCCTTCATAGTACCGTAGATGCCCGTGTCAGCTTTGTTCTTGTGCAGGGTGCGCTCCCGGATAAACGCCAGCGTCTCGTCAAGACCGCCCACCCCGTCGACAATGCCCGCGGCTTGCGCCTCGGGGCCGCCGAAGCGCTTCGCGCCCAGCACGACCGTGCGGAAGGTCGCGGGCGGGAGCTTCTCGCGGAAGACGTGCATCATGGGCGACTGCAGCGGGACGCCGAACTCGAGCTCGTTGATGCACAGGAAGCCCTTGGCTGGGTTCTGGATGCGGTAGTCGTGGTACATGGCTAGCATGAGGCCGCCGGCGAAGGCGTGGCCGTTGAGGAGGGCGACAGTGGGCATGGGGTAGCTTTTTTGTGGAGTTAGTTTGCTGCGCTCTTGTTCTTGTGGTTGTTATATTGAGAAGATAGACATACGTTAAGAGGCGGCGGAAGATCTTCCACAGGGCATTCTCGAGGAAGCCTTCCGTAGCGGCGACGACGTCGAGGTCTAGGCCATTGCTGTAGAACTTGGGGATGCCGCTCGTGGTGATGACCACGCCCTTGGGGTAGCGGTGCTCGATGATGTCCAGGGCAAGCAGGAAGGCGTTGATCAGGTCGGGCGTGAGACGGTTATCCGGGGGAGAGGTGAAGGTCAACAGGTAGATGTTCTTCTCGGGCCCCGGGTTGGAGCAGACGATGCTGCCGCCGGTGGAGGTGACGGGGACGGTGAAGAGGGCGGACATGGTGGATGGCTTTGTTCGTTTTCTAGGCGGATTCGAGGAGCAGGGATGCGGGGGTGGGAGAGGTTATAAGTGGGTGAAGTGTTGAGGATACTTCAGACCGCGGCAGTCACCTGTTGCTTTCAATCACCAGGACGCGCTAGTTATCCATCTGGGGAGGCGATGAGAACGAGATGATCATGTAATCGGGTTGGGGATGGTTTCATACCCGAGGTTATTTCCCCTTTGGGCGAACGCTGTCACATGGATGCATGAACGTGGCGTGCATGGCATCGTGCTTATGTCAGTTGTTCATAAACTATCTTATCGGATATTCTATCGCTATCTTATCTATCTTATCACTTCCATCTCCAACCATTCTAGAAACAATGTTGAATGTCCATCCATCTCTGCCTGGGCCGGTTTGTTATGAAATGGACAAGAAAGTATATAAACTGCTATGTTGGCTCAAGCCATTGTGCATCTTTAGACGCTCTCTATGATCTGATGTTTGTTGATCGGTCCTGCCTATTGAGGACCCCATACTGTGGAAGTTCTTGATATCGGCGTTGATCGATGTATATCTTCTCCATGGATAGAATGACGACCTATTCTTTATGCCTCTGGTCTGATATATGTATGCAAAATACTGCAAGTAATATAGCCATCGCGCACATGCTTCTGGTCTTTGTTTTTTGCCTATCAATAGTATTGGTTAGGGCTATGATATACTTGAAGCATTAGTGGTTCTCCAGTTCAATATGTCTGGAGATTGCCCTGTTCGGTATTGTTAGTATTGGATAGGTACGTTTGTATAAATACTCAGTACCTAGGGTAGTAGGAAATCTATGTCGTGCACCTGTATTGAGACTGGATATTATGGGATGAGATGAGATGGTATACTTTTCACTGGTATCTCGATCAGTCGACCAACGGAGAGACCTAGCATCTTAGTACCTAATTCTATATATTTCAGATATGGAAGAAGAACCTAATCCAGCCACAACTATCATCCTCTTTCTTCTCCCCCTCATCCCTAAAGTTCTGCTTCCCCGCCAACCCCCCCACAAACAACATCATCCCTCCCCACCACCAAACTAACCACAAAACCCCAACCGACAACCCCATCATCACCCACCACAGCATCGCCAAACTATCAGCATAAGCCTCACGATAAACCGCCTGCACCGTCTCAGGGAACTTCCGGATCACGGAATACGCCGTCTCCGCCACATTACTCCCCACAATCGATTCAGCGGGTATGCGGCCAGCCGCCACGGCGGACCCAACCTCCTGAGTCCACTGATTCTGGAATATGACGCCCCCGAGACCCACGCCAAAGGCAGTCCCCATGCTGCGTGCGAAGACCTGCACAGAGGTGGCAATGCCGATGTCGTCGCCGTGTTGCCGGGCTTGGACAGCGAAGATGAGCGTTGGGAAGAGGAGTCCGCCGCCTAGGGAGACGAGGACGCGGGGTCCGTATAGCATGGCTTTGGTGGAGCTGGGGTGCATTGTTATCTGGGAGTTTATGTTAGCTGGTCGTTATTCTTCTTCTTTCGTGGGGAGGGTTGCAAGTGGGAGAGGACGAGAAGAGAAGAGAGGGAGGGAGAAACTCATACGTTGGTCCCCATTCCGGCTGCGAGAAGAGCCCATCCTACGACGATAATGTATTTGAAGTGCTGGGTGCGTTTGACAATTATGCTGGCTACGAGGCCTGCGGGGGCAGAGTAAGCGATGCAGGTCATCGTTTCGAGGGAGGCATGGAGGACGGAGTGTTGGAGGGCGCCGAGGAACTGTGGTTGGTCAGTGTCAGTCAACGTCCTGGAGGTAGAGAAACAAGATTGATCGAGAATCGATGGAATGAAGGAGGGAAGCCATACAAACACAACAATATAGTAAGTCATACACCAAAGACCAACCCGTGAAGAAAGCTCGTCACGAACCCCACAATCGCAGAGCGATCATGAAAGATCCGCAGCGGCATCATGGGCCTCGTCGACACGCGGCACTGGATAAAGACAAAGAGAATAAAGAGCAGCGCGCCTAGCACTAGCGGAGCCAAGATGGCAGCCGAGTCCCACGGATGCGAAACACCGCCCCCTGTCAACCAGACCAGGAACAGTGTCGACGCGCAAGTGAACACACCCAGTCCCGCCCAGTCCACCATCCCCAGCTTCTGGACAAACGACGACGTATCATGCTGCAATTACAACGCATACCACAAGCCCACTATACACACCACACAGACAGGGACGTTGATGTAAAAGATCCACCGTTAAGTCGTCCTCTCCCCGATGGCACCCCTAATGGGAATGCCAATGTTTGTTCCGAGCGACCACGCAAACGCTGCGATGGCCGTGTACAGACCCCGCTCGCTCATCGTCGAGATATCTGACAGGATGACCTGCACTGGCTGGATCATTCCCCCTGCACCAATGCCCTGCACCACGCGCGCGCCGATCAGCCAGGTGATGGTCTGCGCGGTGGCGCAGAGGATGCTGCCGAAGAGGAAGATGGAGAGGGCGATGAGGATGGGCCCCTTGCGGCCGAAAATTTCGCTTGTCGTGCCGTGGAGCGGGATCGTGACTGTCTGCGCGAGGAGAAAAGCCGTCCCAACCCAGAAGGACTCGACGCTACTGCTTTGGGGGTCGTGCGCTATGGCTGCTAGAGCGGAGCTGACAATGACGGCGTCCATGGAGCCGACGACGGCGACGAGAGCTAGGAAGAAGACGGTGAGTTCGAATCGAAGTGACTTAGGCGATGGCTTCTCGTTTCTATCTCTAGAGGAGATAGGTCTGTCCGAGTGGTCTCCATTGTCTGCTTTCCCCTCTGGAAGGGAGGTTATCATTGGGCGTTTGTCGCTCATTATGAGAAGTACAGCTGCGAGTGTTCTGTGGAAGACATAAGAGACCGTTGCGAACTGTTCAACAGAGACGGGTAAGTCATGCTTTTGTAAGTTCTGCGACGTTTGGCGACGAGGTCGCTCGGTGCATGCAGTATCTGCCTACAGTCTATTTGCTATTGCGATCAAACGCGGGCCCATCGCCATCTCCAGCATTTCTCTCCGTCTGTGAGGTGTCTTTCGTATTCAAGCGGAAGCTCGCACTCGTGGCCAGGAACGGGCCCTCGTCATTGGATGCCACCAACATGCAGTGCATCCATGCAGGGTACCCAGATCTGTCGGTATCTAGCAAGCATGGCTAATTTGCCCAATCCAGTAGTCTCTCCGCCTCGATGGGAACACCCGCCAGGGACGAACAGGGATCAGCGCAGCCATTTTGCCCTGAACGGCTTGGGACGACTTGGCTTTGTTGGCCATGAACCGATTGGATGGACCTCTCGAGTGTGGACCTAGTGGTTGAGCTGATTGCTGATATCTCACCGGCCTGATTGGCAAACACATCGTCATGCTTGATGTTAATCAGTTTCAGTGTACTGGCTTCTGTGGATGTAGTCGATGTGGTGCGGTTATATGCGATCAGGGGAAGGGGGAACTCCATCACGACGATGTTGCTTTTAGCCCATTTTGCGGGGAGGAGTTCATGAAACAAAGAAGTTGGCCAGCCCAACAGAATGATGCTTACTCTGACTATCCCAACAGATTCATCCAACATGACAGACTAGCCTGACTGAGCCTCGCCAACATGGAGCTTTGTTCTTCTCACCACACCTCTTCCTTATTTTTCTTCTTCTCCTCAGCACAATTGTCAAGAATCTATACAAAGACGAAATGTCGAAAGAAACAACCATCCCTCCTCTCCCAAAAAAGCGACTATCCCTCCTCCACCGTCTAAACTGCTTCTTCCAACTCTGGCTTCTCAAATCCCTCGCCAAGCTATACTTCTTCTTCCTCCGCCTCATCCACCCCTCTCCACCAAGCACCCAACCAACCCTCACCAAGCGCTACACCTGCCGCCCAGCCCTCGAAACCCGCATCTTCTACCCACGCACCTACGACCCCTCCCAGCGCCAACGCCTCCCCCTCTACCTAAACATCCACGGCGGTGGCTTCGCACTATGCAACGCCACAATCGACGACCCCTTCTGCAGCGCCTGGGCCAACCGCACCGGCATGCTCGTCATCAGCCTCAACTACCGCAAAGCGCCCCTCCACCCCTTCCCAACCGCCACATATGACATCGCCGAAGTCGCCAAGAGCGTCCTCTCAGACGAAAACCTCCCAATCGACCCCGCGCGCATCGCAATCGGCGGCTTCAGCGCAGGCGGCAACCTCGCGCTATCCGCCTCGCAACTTCCGGGCCTGAAAGGCCGGATAAAAGCAGCTGTGATCTACTACCCCATCGTAGACTTCGGACACCCGCCCAATGAAAAGCTCGAATCAAGACCGTACACGGGCGATCCGCCAGATCGACTAGAGAAGACCTCCTGGTGGCTAGATTGGGGGTATGTGTCCGTGGGGCAGAACAGGCGCGACCCCCTGCTTAGTCCGACATATGCGGCGCGAGACGACCTGCCGCCATGGGTTTATATGATCGGCGCGCAGTGGGATATGCTCCGGTTGGAGGCGCAGCAGATGATTCATCGGTTGGCGGGGCTGGAGGGGAGGGTTGGGGCGCAGCAGGAAGAGGACTTTGAGACGGGGAGGTATAAGTGGACGTTGGCGAGGGGGTGTTCGCATGGGTTTACCCATGCGTCGCCGGGTCGGAAGAAGGGGGGCGCGAGTGCGCGCAAGAGGGAGGAGATTGCGAGGGGGATCTATGAGGAGGCGTATGAGTGGTTGGGAAAGGCTGGGGTTCTTGCTAAGTAACGTTGCGTGAGTGAACTGCAAGCAGATCAGCCTCACTTGACGGTACAATCATCTTGACATGACGAAACTGATGCAGACACACAAAGCCTTCCTCCTTATGAGCTTTGGTGAGCACACTATCTCTATTAGGGGCTGACACGCTAGGGGCGCGAATGGAAAAGGTGCTGAACGACCTGTGTATACAAAAGCTGAGAGATCTGCTATGTATATGTTGATAAGATTCATACAGCGATAGACTTACTTCAGAACCTCATCTAGAGCGTTATATAAATCATACTAGATACATATAGTATTATAGAGACTTCCGAAGCCACGCGGGATCATATAAAGCCATGTAGGGCTACAAAAGTCGCGTGGTTAGCCCGTCAGCACGTGGAGCGTCATGCTACTTATAGTTATGATGGTTGCTATCTATATATTTTAACTTTTAAGTCATGGCCTACTGTATGATTATATATTATGCTTTCAGTCAAACATTCGAAGCAAATAAATACAATATACTTTGTCTCCAGGCTTTATCACCTGTGGGTAGCCAGCTCTGTAATCCAGACATATATATTTATACTTGTTCAGAATATTTCATATTATCTCATTCTTTCTAGGCCGAAAGCCCCTATTTATGGCAATCTAAATTATGACTCTAAATCTGTACTTTTCAGTTGAACAGAAACACAACTCTACAAGCCTACGGTGCTCTCATTTTCCCTAGTATACATTTTAGATCCAGCCCTAATCCAGACTGAATTCCACTGGACCGCCAAGTTCGTCAGATCATATAAACAAACGACACTATTGAAAATCTAACAAGATGAGATCCCATTTTATTCCTAATTTACTTACTTCCAAGCATTCTTCAGCCTGCTCACATCAAATGTAAAATGTATTGTGATTCCGCCCTTCAAATTTATTCAACAATTCTTCCGATCCCGATCATCCACTACAATCAGCCCTGTCCAAGCTCCATCCACTATACACACCACTAGCGTCCTGCAGATCCTCCTCTTGCATGAATTATTGACACCTTGACCGCGATAGTCTTCCAGATGGAGAAAGTGCCTGCAGGGGTGGACCTGACATTTTCAGCTGCCAAGCACGCGCCAGCCACCCATAACAATGTGAGTCTCTCCTGGCATCGTACGGAATGGGGAGCTGAGCCGTATAGGATAAATAGATCGCACCGCGCTCTTATCCTCCCTCCCCAGCTGATTCCTCACCACAGCCCACCATGCATTTCCTCCCTTCGCTCCTCGTACTGGCCGTCTCCGCCGCTGCCCTACCCCAGGCAGTCCAGGACCGCAACGAAGTCAGTTCCCCCAGTCCCAGCCGTAGTATACTACCGATCCTAACAACAAAAACAGCCCCCCATCCCCACCCACTGCCACCCCGACCCCTGCGCCGGCATAACCTTCCAAAACGCCTCCTTCATCTGCGGTGACTCGCGTCTCGGACCCATCCACCCTCCCAAGAAATTCCCCCTCCGCAACGAGCTCCGCACCTACGCCCCCCTCGGCGACCTCTGCCCGGCCGAGTTCCTCAAAAAATGGGCCACCTCCGTGGACCCAGCAGGAACCTACATCTACCCCCCCTCCAACGGCTACGTCGTCGCCGACAGCGACAACAAACCCATCCTCGGCAACGTAACCCTCCCCGTGGGGCAGAAACTCGACCGATTCGGGTCCGAGTTCGGGTCCTTCCTGGCGCCGCTGGGCGCGCCTTATATCGAGCGCTCGCTGCCGCCGAGTAACCTTGTGTCGCGCGACGGCGATTACCCGTTTAATTACCATGTTTATCAGGTGACGAAGGGGTTTGTGGTGGGGTTGGGGCCCATTGCGCCTTGGTTTGAGCAGCCGGGCATGGGGACGCAGTTTTTGGCGTATAGTAATGTGAAGACGCTTGTTGAGGGGGGTTTTCTGAGGAGGTTGACGCCGGAGGAGTTTGATGAGAGGGTGGAGTTTTCGAATGGGTATACTCCGGGGCCTGTTGGTGGTAGCTAGGTGGGTTGTGTGTTGAGTGTCGTTATGGGAGGGTTTGCGGTGCGGTGTAGTGGATTTCTAGAAGAGATGGATGCTAGTATATAGATACTAGAGATTCATCGGCAGTCAACCAATCATGCTAAATTACTAGATTGACCCACAACTTATTATTATTAGTCTATTCCAGTAATATAAAGCAAGCTTAGTGCATACCTGCATAGTCATAGTAAAATATCCGACCACTGACGTCACCTGATATCATAGTATATAGTCCTACAAAACCCAGTCCTACATAACCCTCCCAACAACCATATCCTGTTAACACAAGAAAAAAATAACACTGACATTCTTCTTCTCTTCTATAAAAAACAACATAAAAGAAAAGTAAAAGAGAAAATGAAAAACCAACAACTCCCCGAACCCCCCAAACAAGCCGCCTACAACCAGCCCTCCAACCCCGTCTCGCACACCCCCGCCGAGCAACGCATTCTCTCTACGCACCAGCAACAACCTCAGTCGTCTCAGTTCACTAGACAGGGGGGGAAAGTGACTCGGCATGCGGGGGATATTGTCATCGACACGGCGAAAGACACATCCCACCGTCCCTCTTCTTCGTCATCGCCCTATACCACTGCTTCCAGCGCCAACACCAACGCTGATATCAAAAACGACATGAATATAGGCTACGGCGTCGAGCAACAACCCAACGAAGGCTATATTGCGCATGCCGTCGAAGACAATTCCCGCTATAATAACAACAACATCAACAATATCAAAGATGACAGTCCCAGGGAACACCTCGAAGGATGCGACGGCTACGACGAAGAAGACGACCTAATGGCGCATATGAGCCGCAAACGCAGAGAACATGATCGGGTGCTGAGGGAGAGAATGGAGGGGTCGTCGCCTGGGGCTGATGTCGGGTGTGTGGAGAGGGAGGCGCTGAGGCGGAGGAAGTTGGAGGAGGAGAGGTTGGATGTTGTGGGGGCTGTGAGGAGGGGGACGGGGTCGCCTGTTGTTTAATTTCTTCTTGATGTTATGGATCGGATTGGATCGGGTGGGTTGTATGTATGGGTGGCAGTGTTGTTGTTTGTTGAGGGTTGAGTCTGATGTGCTAGTTGATTCAAGTGAAGTAAATATGCATTGGGTATCATTAAGTAGTAAAACGTAGTAAATGTTGCACAGATAATCAGGCATCCGCATCCCCCTCTCCAATAGACACTTTCTTCAATTCCAAGTCCCGCTTCAGCTTTTGGATCTTCGTCGCCAGCTTCCCGCGCAGGATATGGTTCGTCATCGTCTGCCATCGTGCCGTGTCCGCCCGGATCAGCGCCTCCAGCTCCGCGATCTCCTCCCGCTGCTGCTGCATCTGCTGCTGCTGCTCCAGCTGCTCGTCGTCCAATTCCTCCTCGGGCTCGTCGCCGTCGTCTCGGTCCGACCCGTCGCTCTCGTCGCCGGACGACTCCGCGGCTGGGGTAGGCGGTTTCGTGGCTGTGGGCGTACCCGCCTGATACACCCCGGAGTCGGTCGGTGCGGGTGGCGCCGGCGGCTCGTCTCCGGCCGCCAGAGCCGCCTCCATCTCCGCCGCGAGGGCGTCCTCCATATCGTCCCCGAAGAGCCCATCCTCCATGCCGTATTCCACCTCGCCCTCAGCGTCCTGCTCGTCGTCGTACATGTCCATGTCGTATTCTCCGTTCTGGACAAACCCTTCGGCGCGGTTTAGCGACGCGCTGTCGATCAGCTCGTAGCGCGGCAAGCCCACGGCCGCCTCATCCTGCGCGATCAGGTCCTCGACCGCCTTCTCCACCTGCTCGATCGTGCGCGTGCTGACCCGCTCGCGGAATCGGCGCCGGCGCACCCACCGCAGCGGCGGCGTCAGACCGTGTGGATACTGCAGGGTCTTTTCGTCCGGCTGGGTGAGATCTGCGGGCAAAGGGTACTCCAGCGCCTCACGGTCGTTGGCCACCGTGCCGAGAATCAGCAGCATCTGGCAGATGTCGGCCGACTTGTACCACCCGCGACGGTCCCAGCTCTTCATCCCCTCGACGATACACGGCAGGTCGACCAGCGCGGCGGCGTATTGTTTGTCGCGGACCCGGAAGATGGCGCGCCGGCCCTCGCGGTTCAGCGGCTTGAAGGAGATTTCGGACCGGTCGAAGCGTCGTTCGGCGATGGAGCGTCGTAGATGGTCGCAGTCTTCGCCGGGGAGCATGCGCAGGATGAACTGCTCCTCGATGGCGGGATCGGCTTCGGTGTCTGAGGCTTCCGAGTCGTAGCCTACCCCTACCGGGCGCGAGGGCACGAGGGCCTTGTTCTTGATGCGGATCGACTGGACGCCGGGCTTTTTGGACGGGTTTAGCTTCAACCGTTTGGGGCCGGATGGGGTGACGGAGGCGGCAGGTGTTTCGATCGATGCGGGTCCGTCCGCGGGGCGTTTCTTGGCCGGCTTCTTCTTTTTGGGTTTTTCGTCTGGAGTCTCTGCCTTCGGCGTATTTTCCTCGGGCTTTCGGGCGATCTTGAGAGTCAGTTTGCGTTGGGGGGTCTCGGTCGCGGGCGGTTGAGAGGGAGGCGGAGGTTGGTTCTTGGAAGGATCTTCGGCGGCCTTCTTCTTGCCGAAGGTGAGTTTGATCGGAGGGCGCGATTCTGACATGGTGATAGATAAGACGCCCCAAGCAAATGCTGGGACAAGACGATGGTCACGGTGAGGTGTGGAGAGGAAGAGATGAAAGGGAAGAGAAGAGATGGAAGAGACGCGGAGAGAGGTGCTGCACACACCGCCTTTGGTCACCGCGTTCAATCGCCATTGATCAATCTTGCTTCATTCATTGCAAAACATCAACAACTCCTCATTCACCATTTCGCTCTTTCATAATTCCTTTGGTGTATCCATTCATAGATATACTACCGATTCAGCTACAAATACAACCAACCTCATCACCAAACCAGCATGTCCGCCCCCAACCTGCACAACGCCCTCTTACGCCCCCCAATCATTCAGATCCTTCGAGCCGCCGGCTTCCACGCGACACGGCCATCGGTGCTGGACACTGTGGCCGATCTCGCTGGCCGATACATGATGATTCTCGCCTCGTTCGCCGCAGACCACGCCGCCAACGCGCACCCCAGCGACCCGATTCCCGGACTCGAAGACATCTACCAGGCACTCCAGGACGCCGGAGCGCTACGGCCACAGCTGCGCGAGTGGGAGGAGGACTGGCAGGGATCAGAGGACATGCGCGGCTTGGACGCATTCATATCGTGGTTTACCGGCCCCGCCAACCACGAGATCCGGCGCATTGCCGGCTTCGTGCCTAGCGAGGGCGACATGGTCGACACCGAGGCCGCCGTGGAGAAGGAGGACTTTTTGACGGCGCTGAAGAAGAAACACAGCAAGACGGGCGAGGAGTCTCGATATGCGGGTACCGTGCTGGGGAAGAGCGCCGACGAACATCCCATTGTGATCGAGGGCGGCGTGCCTAGCATTCAAGAATGGGGTTCGCAGATTCGATCGCGAGCTCCGTATATGTTGGAAAACGACTCGTCGGGGATTAGCAGTGCCCCGAGTAATCTGTCGGATGGGGAGGGGATGGATGTGTGAGGTAGATGGGATATTGCTTGACTTTTATTTCCCTTTCACCTTTTTCACCCCTTGTGGGGATGATCCTGGCTGGCTGCATGATGTCTGTTTTTTGCCAGACGTTGCCACGCTCTCGCTCACTGCGACGACTCGCCGGTTTGCTACGAATGGCTGTCGACTATGCAGGTCGACCTGTGCGACAGGCATACATTTCGTGCTGTGGTTGCTGTCACCATGCGAGTCATCTAGCACCCGTTGAGGGCTCACGCTTTACGACTATTGACTATCGATACCCCGAGGAATAGAATCGAGGACCTGATGGCTGAGGGACGCCATGGGGAGGATAAGCATGGTGGGTGTTGTCTAGAGGGGTTTGGGTTCGCTACGATTTCGACAGAGCTAGCCGGGAGATCAGAGCAGAGATCTCAAATGTGATGTACATACGAACGAGCCGACGAGCCATGAATAGATTCGAGAAATACACTCGACCTTATTGAGCAATATATGACCGTTCCTTAACAGAATTGTAAGTCCGTGATATACGGTGGATCAGACCTGTCTTGGCCGGTGACATCAGCCGCCAACCAGCCGATCTTCCCCATCAACTTCACCTTCACTCACCCTCACTTCGACCTCAACCCAAATCAACCATGGTCTACCCCTTCACCCTCCCCACGACCTCTCACCTTTCCCTGCAATCTTCACTCTCCTCCTCCACCCATCCCTCTCTCCCCCAAGCCGCCTCCACCGCCCGCCATGCCCTCCGCGTCGCCCTCAAGACACACAAGCAACTCCCTCCGGGCCCCAACAAGACGCCCACCTGCCCACCATCCTAACAGCCCTCACCGACTACCTCCCCTACCTACACGCCCTCTCCGCCGGCCTCGCCGACAAACCCATCGAAACCACCAGCGGCACCCGCGAACTCATCACCGTCCTCCCGCGCGCGGACCTCGCCCCCGAATGGCGCCCCACCTTATCCTCCCCCGCAGCAGCAACAGCACCAACCCGCACGCGCGCCCGCGGCCATACCCTCGACTTTGAACTCGCCTTCGTCCTCACAACCCTAGGCTACGTCCTCAGCGGACTCGCCCACTCAGGCGTCACCCGCACCCTCTACGCAGTATCCACCCCCACAGCCGACCAACGCACCGCCGCCGTCCAATCCGCCACCCGCTCGCTCCTCCAAGCCAGCGCCGTGCACACCCTCCTCGCCTCGTGGCCTTCAAACCCTACATTGCCGTCCACCACCCCACCACCCGACACAAACCCCACGACCCAAACCGCCCTCGCCAGCCTAGCCCTCTCAGAAGCGACCCTCCTCGCCGTGCTAAAAGACGACTCCTACGTAACAGCATGCATCCAAGCGCGAAACCCTAACGACCGCGACTGGATGGTGCGCGCGCCCGAAATCCCCAAAGTGCGCGCCCACCTCTTCGCGCGCCTGTGTCTCCGCGCAGCAGAGTACGCCGACCAAGCCGCTGCTGGATTGAGCTCCGTCGGGGCGCACGCGAAAGCGAAAGCCGGCGTCGACGAGCGGCTGGTGCGGTATGTGCGGGTGTTGAGCCGAGTGGCGCGCGCGCGTGCGTGTCGCTTTTTCGGCGTCGATGCGGAGCTCGCGGGGCGGATTGGGGAGGGGATTGCTTGGTTGAGGGCTGCGAGGGGGGCGTTGGGGGTGCAGGGTGGGACGGCGGGCAAGAAGGATAGGGCGGAGAAGGCGGAGAAGGGGGCGGCGAGTGGGTTGGATAGGTTGAAGCAGGGGTGGATGGAGAGGAGGGAGGAGAGACGGTTGGAGAAGGGGGCGGGTGGGGGGAGTCGTGAGAGGAGTGGGGAGTTGGGGCCGGGGATTATGCGGGGAGGGAGGAGGAGGGGAGGGTGATTGAGATGTTGGAGGTGAAATGGGTGAGGATGAATGATACTGTATGTCCCCATCTTTCTTCTTACTCGCCCTGTTTCCAGGCATGTGCTAATGAAGAGCAGATAAATACTCAGCTCATTCCCCCGTCCAGCGACCTGCTGAACAGCCTTCCGTCCGGGCGTGACATTCATTCGCCGCCAGGCCCGTACAAGCTGCCGGCTTTGGACGACGAGCAGCTGGCGCAAATGCGGGCACCTCCGGATGATACCGGGAGTATCAGTGGTGAGAGCGACGAGGAGGAAGGTGACGAGGGATTGGGAGAGACGCACACGCCGGGGGCGTACCCGGAGCGGACGGAGAGTGCATATTATTGACATAGTCTCTCGATTTTTTAAACCGTGTTCCCTGGTGTTATTTGGATAGAACCCGACAGCTCTATAAGGGCCGGATCGAATATAATATAGCAGCACATACTACACTGTCCATGCCGTACCTAGCAACCGGTATCTTCAATCCATTGCCAGCCAAAGACTTCAACCAGCATTGGCATCTATATCCACCGGAAGGAAGCCCCAGCTGAACATCTACCACCGGACACGAAGTGATAATAAAAAAGTTTATAAATAAAATACAATGCAACCAACAAATGCAATAAACACAGGATAAGATAGAAAGGGAATAATCAAGCCTTCTCGAACACGTTCTTCTCCTGTCCCAGATAACCCTTGATCTTGCGCTCGCTGAGCAGTTCGAAGTATTTTTCTATGATATGTTAGTACACACTCTTATAGATAGGTAGACAGATGGATGACGGTAGATATGAACGAATATCCACCTCCATCCACCAATCAATCAATCAATTAATCAATCAACCAAACCGGCCATACACACACACATATACACATAGTGTATATACACACGTATACCCCAGCAATCCGCAATTGGCCACTCAACCAACCCAAAAAGAAAGAGAAAAAAAAAGAATCAGACTCACCCCTCAAAACCCCACACTTCTCCATATGGTTCACCCCCTCCCGATGATAACACTTGCCCAGCTCCTCGCCCACCAGCCGCGACATCATGCTGCGCACCCACTGCTCGCGGATGATGGCGTCGCGGGCGTTGTGCACGGCGACGTTGTCCTCGAAGTCGACGCCGTCGTACGTCGGTGCCACGGTGGGCTTTTTCGCGAGGAAGGAGGCCGATTCGGGGGTGGGCATTTTCGTTCGTTCGTTTCCTCCGCCTTGGGCGTTTCGGTTGAGGTAAGGTGAGGTGAGGGTCGGGTCGAGGGTGTGGTGGAATTGAGTGCTGCGCGCTGCTGTGGTTGAGCTGTTGGTGGTCCTGTAGGTACAAGAGGTTGGAGAAGAGAGTGAGGTTGAGCGCTGTGCAATTGAGACGGTCTGATTGGTGGGTTGGAAGGCGGTCTGCTGGGTTGGCTTTGTGCGTCTTAGTCAGCCATCTAGCACTCTGTCTCTCACGTGACTACAAACCGGCTAGTGTATGACGATGGCATCACTACTTCTAAGATCAATATAGTAATTCAAACATCAATTGGCATTAACCAGGCTTAATTGGATTAACCTAGCAGGATCGAATAAATACCATACAAACGCCTATTTGACCCACCCATGATGCATCCATCCAAACTCCAAGCCCAAACAATTAACCCTATCCAAACAATCCAGATAATCCAAAATCAATATACAGGCTACGCCTCTTCCCGTGGAAAGAATCGTCCAAGAACACTCTCCAGTCGACTCCCCACACGCTCCCACCACGTCCGATTCAGCTTCTTGCTGAGCTCGCGATACTCGTGCATCTCCGCCCAGCAGTCCCGTCCGAATTTGCACCCGGCCATGTTGACCACGAAGTCCCGCTCCGCCTCGGAGTAGTGTACTTCGGGATCGCCGCCGGCGCCGCAGGCTCCAGGCGGGAAGGCATTGGCGTACCGCTGGGGTAGGAAGGCCGTGCTGCTGCGCACCCACGGCTGGCTGATGTATAAGTTTTCGAGCGCGTCTTGCTCCTTGTGCTCCCACTGCATGTGCTTCTGCTCGTATAGGATGGGATCCCACCAGCTGTCGAGCAGGCGCTCGGACCACAGCGAGCGCCGCAGGAAGAAGGAGCCGAGGTTGAAGCCGCCGCAGTCTTGGGTAAGGACCATGTTGATGGAGGAGACGTCGCCGTCGCCGGTGGCGGAGCGGGATACCTCGTCGAGGTAGGGCTCTGTCGGCGGGTGGCTGATGTTGAGGGGGTTGTAGACGTTGATGTCGCGGTAGGTGATGTCGCTGAGGCGGTTGAAGAGGTGGTCTTGCAGCGAGTAGGACTCTTCCATGACCCAGGTGTTGAGGTCGATCCACCAGAACCTGTCACTATTAGCTTCATCCACCAGTTCGCTCGAGAGGGACATACCACTCCGCGTGCGGATACTTGCCCATCGTCTCCCGGATGATGTCGACCTTCTCCCATCCCTCGCGCCATTCGTGCGAGTACCGCTTTTTGGCGAGCATGTTGACGACCTCCAGGTCATAACCCCACCGCTTCGCATACGCGGCCTTATTCGCGATGCTATTGCGCTCGACGGCCCACTCGCGCGCGCCCTTCAACTCCATCACCCCGCCTTCAATATTGGACTCGAGGACGATGACAAACTTGCGTCCGTTCCCGAAGGGCGATCGTCGATACCGTTCCACGAGAGCTAGTACCATTAGCCTGACCCATCGGGAGAAGGATATAGGCAATACATACCACTCCACATATACAAATACCCAATCAATCCCAACAACATCACCACAAACAACCTCATCCTCTTCCGTCTCAGCACACTCCTCCCCGACCCAAACGGCGAACACCCACGTCTACCCGCCCCATAATACGGATACACGCCCTTCTCATCCTTCTCCGCATAGTCGTCGTATCCCGAAGGTGACCGCCACCGCGGCAGGGTGGCGGAGATCTGGCGCTTCGAGCGCGAAAAGAAGCCGTTGTTGCGCGTCGCGAAGGACGGATACCCGCGGACCTCTTCGCTCTTGGCCTTTGCGGATGCCCAGGAGATGTTGCTCGATACGCTGGCGGGGGTGAGGAGCTCGCTGCTGCGTGGTGTTGAGCGGCCGCTGTGGGGCGTGAGGGATGGGGTGGACCAGCCTCTTCCTCCGTCGGGACGGGGGGAGGGGGATCCGGAGGACATGGTGAGTTGGTGAGATAGGGTAGGTGAAGGTGAAGTCCGCTAGGAATGCGCAGTAGAAGAGGGTGTATGGAATGTAAAGAGTAGTTGAAGATCGAGACAAGAGAGGAAGTGAAAGAAGGGAGGGGAAAAGCAGGAATGACGGAAGGGATCTATCATGTGCTGCCTCAGGTTCACCTCAAACTGAAAAAGGAACCAAAGTCACCGTCAGATTAAAATTAAGAATTCAAAAGAGAAATTAGGAAAAAGAAGAGAAAAATGACCGCGAACGGGTTTGCCCGTTTCCGTCCAACGTGTGTCCTTAAGCGTCCCATGGAACGTCTAGACATCCGATATTATTAGGCATTTCCACTTATACTACCCTACCTCGATAGGTACGACAAGAGACATCCTTCAAGAGCTCGACAAGATCAGTAGGTAGGTATATGAAACAACCCCATCCAGGATAATTACCCCATATCTACCGATCCCCCCTTCATCCAGACATGCCACCTCCAACCTAGGTATGAATATCCCCGACAGGGGTCTCAATCCCGACAAGGTCTGAAACGGCAGTGGACTAACTAGTATAATAACTACAATGGTAAAACGGCCGATCTGGTGGATCGACGGTGGCTTTTGTAAAAGCGCCCCCCTCTTGCCCCGCTGGAGGGAATGTAACCTGGTTTGTCTGTAAGGGTCTGTCTGGGTCTAGTCTGGGATTGATTAAGTTGTCTCTTTATGATTTTCTCTGGTGGGTTTGTTTGCTTTGGCACTGTTACTGATTGAGATCATGGGATTTGTTTTTTCTATTAATTTCCTGCTGAATGTCAGATCTGTTCTACAGATATAGACAAATGGTAGAAATAATGTAAAAACACCATGGAATTGTCATAAGAAGCAGGGGAAACGCAAGACGGACCCACCCAGTAGTCCTGGTGGTCTATTCCGGTCTAGTCTACGCATCGGTTTTGACTCCGTGCTTAGAACAGGGCCACACTCGGTCACTCACGGCAGATTCAGCATGGCACGTCCGAAGGAAAAGTGGGTCGAATACTAGCTGGGCTTTTTGAAACAGTCCTCTCATCTGGTAGGGCTTTGGTAACTCTTTCTTTCTCGATAGGACTTTGATTCTTGGTAGGTAGGGTCTTAAGTAAAATTGTACTTCAGGTGAGACTTGAATAAATGAGCAGAGATGGTATAAATCTATACTGTGAATTTTACTTCAAACACGGATGAGCTCATCTAATCGTTTGATAAATTCGTTGATTCATATCATAGTTATTGTATCAAAACTACAGTGTACCTGGTTTTCCCTACTACCTGTACATTGCCAATTCCATTCACTATCCTATCTGCATATCCCAATCCGTCTTCTGTCTCAACTATGCCTTTCCCAATTACTCACTTGTTTTCTTTCTTCTTTTTTGTCTTTGGTTCTTGGTTTATTTTGTTGTTTTTCGTCTAAAGACGGCAGTGGTAGAGGAGAGCATGCGTAGACTTGACTTCACCAGATCAATCCAACAACTCCAGTCAAAATACATGTGGGGGAAATGAATCAAGTAAAATGGAATAAAGAAAAAAAAAATAAAGAGAGATAAAAAAAAAAATTTCATTTCTTCGTACCCCGATCCTTCCGCGCAGGCAACTGATTCGCCGACGTCTCCTTAGCCATCAACGCCTTGCGCACAACGAACCCCTTCTCGGACTCGGGCCGCGCACGCGCACTCTCCCCGTGGTAAAACTCGCACTGCAGCTTCAGGAACTTGCTCCGGTGCTTGTAGATCGTGATGACATCCCCCGAGTAGAGCTTGCCGTAGTGGAACCCTTCCCGCCCGTTCGCCCCCTCCGGTCCCCGCCGGAGCTCCGTGTCGTTCACCCAGATGCACTTGCGGGTCTTGGTCGATAGGATGGCCATTACCCCCGGCACGGTCATCCAGTCCCGTCCCGAGGCGATCTGCGCTTCGATCGCCGGCGTCCAGAACGTTACTTCTAGTGCGTAGGCCGGGATGCGCGTGTCCATCGGGTCCGGGTAGCAGACGGTGGCTTGTGGACCCCGGCCCCACGACGTCATGCGGTCTTCGAGCTGGATGGTTAGGGGGAAGATCGACCCTGGTAGCGTCGTCAGCTTACCCAGGAGGGGCCGGGGTTGGCTGGGGTGGAGGTAGATGTTCGGCGTTCCGAAGGGGACGTGGCCTGGGGCGGGATCCGGAGGGGTTGTGGAGCCTGCCCTGTCGGACTCGTTTGGGAGCTGCTGGCCGGTCTTCGCGTCGATCGTGTTGGCGAGCTCGACGTCGAATGCCTCGCCTGGGATTGACTTGGGTACGTCACGGGGGGCCGTCGGCGTCGTGCCGGGGCCCGGACTCGACCGTTCGCTCCCGGTGTCGGGAAGGGGCAGCTCGATGCGTCGGCGGAACGCGCTGGCCTTGGGGGTCTCGTTCTCGGTGTCCGGCGGGCTATCCAGCCCCGGACCACGGCCGCTCGACTCAGCGCCCGCACTAGTTCGCTGTCTCGGGTTTGGAACGACGGGGAGGAGTGCGGTTGAGATTCCAGGGTGCCACGTGGAGTTCATGTTCAGCTGTCCAACCATGTTCTCAGCGCCCATCAAACTCGGTGCGGATCCCGCCACGGGGTTCTCCGGAAGGGACATGATGGAGTTGAGGCTGAAGCCGTCGCTGATCATCGACTCACCGGTTGAGGAAACAAAGTCATGGATGCTGAAGTTGTCATCTTCATAAGCATCTAGGTTGGCCCCCAGGGCGTGCGAGCTGGGTAGCGCAGCCGGGTTGATCTCGCCAAAGAGGCGTTTGGGGGTAGAGTCTGACGGCGGCTGACCCTCCCGTACGCTCTCAAAGTTGGGGAGAGAAGGATAGCGGATCTCGACGGGTGGGTAGTCAATCCGAGGTCGTTTGGACTGGGCTAGCCCATCTCCATCCTCGGCATCCTGTGCGTCGAGCTTATCTTCGATTGAGAGCTGCGACGCATCCAGTTCTTCGTCCTCGATGTCTTCTCCGATGTCTGAGAGACCATCCGGACCACTGGATACCCCGTCGTCCTCGTACTCGTCCACGTCCGGTACGTCGACAATCCACGGGTGGCGGAAGCATTCCCTCTCCTTCGGGCGTGCATGAGGATCTCGGTTCAGAAGTCGAGCGACAAAATCAATGCCCGCATCCGATACACCGGCGTGATGGAGAATATTAAAGTCTGCGTCCGACGTCATGATGTTTCGCAACATCTGGGCGCCTCTGTCATCCCCGCGTCCTATGTACGGGGGCACCCCCGCGAGGATGTGGTAGAGCACGGCACCGAACGACCACATATCCACGGATTGGTCGTACGGCGAAGTTCTCGGGGGCCTGGCGGTCAGTGAGCGGGGATTCTACCGACAGGCATGGAGACTTACGGGTCACCCAATCGGCGCCTCTTTCTCGCCTCACCCCGGCGATACGTCTCGTATTCGGGGTATACTTCCGGGGCGCAGTACAACAACGTTCCACAGAAGGTCTTCAGGAACGTCTCCTCCTGGACTACCTTGGACAGACCAAAATCCGACAACTTGACTCGAAGGGGATCCAAGGACGCAATCAAGATGTTGTCCGGCTTGATGTCTCGATGGGTGATCTTGCGTCGGTGAAGATACTGGAGCGCATGGAGGATCTGCCGTGCGATGGTGCGCACCATGTCCTCGGGGATTTTGCCATGGGACCCTAGGTAAGTGGACAGCTCCCCAGCGGGGACATACTCCATAATGATGTAGATCCACCGGTCGTGTTCGTGATGGTCGACGTATTGGACGATGTTAGGCTAGTAAAATCAGCATCAACATCCGCGACATAGTCCGCACAAACCAGCTACTCACGTGTCTGAGATCTCGCATGATCTTCATCTCGTTATCCACCTTCTGATCCAAAATGCCATTCTTCATGAACTTCCGCTTGTCCAGCTCTTTCGCCGCATAGACCATACCGTGCTGCTTGGTGGCGAGTTTGTAGACCGTGGCAAAGGCACCCTTTCCTACCTGGCCCGTCACATTGTACATCGATCCCCCCGTCCAGTGCATGCCGTATGAATTCCACTGCAGGACCGGCTGCACCGATGCCTGACGCGTCCTTGGCTGCACAGTACCGGTCTGACACTTCTGGATGCGCTCAAAGTACCGCAGCATATTCTCGGTATACTGCATGACATGTCCGTCCCGCGAGGGAAAGCGAACCACAAACCTGACCTCCACTGAAACCTGGTCGCCGCTCAGCACTTGTATAACAGAGCCACCAGTAAGCATGCGACTGTTTTCTCTCTGAACTCTGCGGAGACGACAGTTGTCTACAATGGTGCCGTTAGTGGAGAGGTCTTCGAGCATGAGGATGCCATCCTCAGTGAGATAGATGCGAAAGTGTACGTTGGAGACCCGCGTCAACTTCGGATCAGAAGCGAGCAGTAAGTCGCAGCGTTCCCGATTGCGCCCGAAGCAGAACCCCGCGCTAAGATTCTTGACCGGGGACGAAAGCCTCAGAGCAAGGTCCAAAGCCGGGGTGTCGTTGCGCTCATACTCCAGCTCGTCCCTCTGCAGGATATGTTGCGGGGCGAAAAGAGCCGTCTTGGACACCGCATCATGCGCCGCAGGGGAATTCGGGTGCAGGATACAGATAATGTCCGACACGTCCTCCTCCACTAGCCCGGAGTTGTTGTACCCCATACGACGCGGGTCCGTGCATGGCTGAGTCGACTCTTGGGTCGCCTCCATCAGCCCTGATGATGCCGATGGACCTCGACAAGGAGATTAAACAATAAAAAGACAAAAAAAAAAAAAAAAAAAAAAAGCAATGGAGACACGGCTACTGGGTACAGCGAAAGACCTAGGAGATGTATGCCGCTTTGTGGAGATGAGTGCCTGGATAACCAATACGACAACTAACTCAATTCCATCACATGCGCCTAACCAGAGTTAGCTCTCAGCACCCGTGACGTATTCACTGCACACCAGGGCAAGCACAAGGGCAAAAACAGTCGCACCTTGCCAAACCCCAACGCAAACACCAAGGTACCAAGAAGAGTGGTGGCAGTTCAAGTTTCGACAACACTCCCGCTTCCGCTTTGATTTCGAACGGACCACGGCAAGAGTGCCAAGTAGGAACGAGTAGTATGAATTCTAGGAACAGTAGGATGGATACCGATCAACGATGGATCGATTGGGAACCCGACGATCGTAGTTGGATATCAGGCGACGGAATGAATATCTTATGACAAGGCTGAGCGATTCCAGCTGTAACAGGAACCAGTCACGCGCAACCTCGAACCCCGGGAACCAGGCGTCGGTGCAGGGGCATTGAATCAAGGAATGACAGGGGCAGAAGAGAATATGGACAGCGATGTATTGAGGAAGTAAGGGTCACTATGTCTAAACGATAAGAGATGATTAGTCAAGTCCAGGTACCACTGTCCATTCACTGAGCAGGCTGTGTAGCCAACGACGGTGGAGGTAACTTACACAGATGGCGAGCTCCCCATCAAACCATGACACTGCAAAGATCACCCGTGGATGTGACTGCTGCAATGATCGTTGCTTGACGGGAAGAGCCGGGCAACGGGGCAGACGCGACAGAGATTTGTCCAGTCGAGGGTTTCGTCGTCCGAGAAACAAACAAGCAAAAGCGGATGAACTGCGGAGGAGAAAATGGTTCAGCTGGATCGCCCCAGGCAGCAATCAGGCATCGACGCGGTGTCGGGCTTGGCCGCCGGGAAGGATCCGTGGGACAGCCGGTGGACTTCTATGGCTACAGGGGTTTAACTTTAAGGACAATGAGGTTGAATGGTGAAGGAACTACGGTAGGTTTTGCGTACTATGTGGCTTTGTCTATTTACTTGGTTCCGTAAGGTTTGCTCAGGTCAGCGCTACCGTGATACTTCCCACTCATGGCGGCATCAAACGCCCGCTCAAGGCGGGCAATCGCCTCCTCGGAGACCTCTGTGACGAGTCAGAAGATTTACCATAGGTATCCATGCGCGAACAAACAAAACTGGGGGCGACTTACGGTAGTGGACGACGATCCGACCTCCTAGTAATTGGAGGCCTTGGTCCTTGGCAATTTCGGCAAGATCATTGGGTCCTAACCCAGACGACTCCAGATCCAACCAGACCATGTTCGTCTGTACGGGATGGGCCAGCTTTCCCCCACGGCTCGTCCACATGTCGGCGACCCGTTTGGCGCGGGCGTGTGTCTCTACAAGCTTCCCCCCTTCGCCGCTAGGACCCGGCCCAAACGTCTCCTCGACGGCCACTCGGGCGGCAGCCGCGAGCACACCCGCTTGCCGGACCCCACCCCCAATGGACTTGCGGAACCACCGCGCCTTTTTGATAAACTCCTTCGACCCGACAATGATACTACCGATCGGGGCGCCGAGTCCCTTGGAGAAACACAGGCTCACGCTGTCAAACAGGCTAGTGTACTCGGAGAGACTCCCGGCCCCCGACACCGCAGCCTCCCAAAGCCGCGCCCCGTCCAGGTGGACCTTGATATCGTTGGCATGCGCCCATTCCGTGATCCGACGCGCCTCCGCCAGCGGCATGATCATGCCGTCCAGGGTGTTTTCCAGGCTGATCAGCTTCGTCGGGCAGTGGTGGATGTCGTCGTCGAGAACGGCGCGCGCTTGGATATCCTCGAGCGTGAGATGGACGCCGTTCTTCGGAATGACACACTGGACCATTGCGCCGGTGAGGGAACTCACGCCGCCCGCTTCGTAGCACACGATATGCGATCGATGGTCGCAAAGGACGGAGTAGGGGGGCTGCACGAGATGGGTCCGAATTGCCACTTGATTGCCCATGGTCCCGGACATGACCAGCAGCGCATCCTCATGGTTGGTTCGCTTCGCGACATAAGTCTGGAGGTCCTGCGTGACGGGGTCCTCGTTGAAGACATCGTCCAGAAGGGTGGTCTGACAGATGGCTTCGAGCATGGACGGGGTCGGCTTGGTCATCGTGTCGCCTGGTTTACCGTACCATTCAGTATCCTCTGAGAATCGCGTAGGCCCATCGAGGGGAGGTTTTTGGATTATACGCACTCCGGAGATCAAATTCGGCAGCCCCCGCACCCTGCCAGGTGTTACTCTTTCTTGCCCCCGCTGTTGACATGTTTGCGACGGCGATTCTAGACGACAAGGACACTCTTCGAATTGGCACAGCCGACCAGTTCAGAGAGACCGATCGAAGGAGCGTGCAGGGAGAGCGTCGCATGGAGATTGGCCGCTATCCAAAGACTGGGGATATAGATGCAAGCCACCAACAGTAACTCCCCCAAGGCCGATACCGAAAAACACCGCCCGGGTGCGGGGGATGACTAACCGGGATCCCAAACAACGTCGCCCTAAATCCTAATAAATCCACTAACGCAGTCCAGTTAGTTTCAATCTGGTAAGTTCCGACAATACTCGATAATACACCGGAACAGGGTACAGGTCATACTATGACGAAACTGAAACGCGTGTGGCTCGAGACGATGCGCCCGAATCAGGTAAAGTGACCGTCAATCTCAGTCATCGTGGCCGCACTGACGGATCAGTCAGCAGTCGAGATCCCTCTAGACTTTTGCGGGCGGGAGACTTTGCGCTTCGACCTGGCATGCCCTCTGTGGACTGAGATCTTTTCCCCCCCCTTTCCCCTGTCGAAAACCGTTAAGGTGGCGTCGTTTACCTAGCAGAGCCCCCCATCGCGGGTTTCGATCGTTTGTGAATTGTTAGGTCGTCTACAAGATGGATCTCTCGAGACTCACTCGTCCGGCGATCTTGTGTCAGTGCTCGCGCTGCTCCAGTTCTCTTGCCGCTTTGGAGAATGAGTGGGCGAAGTTGTCCAACTCGTACTCGGTGGCGGCAGGCTGGTTGAGCGTCGAACTTCATCGCATCTCTATCTCGTCGGAGAAGAAACAGATTCCCCAGTCATCGGATTTGAGTATCCTGCGGGGCCGAATTTTACAGGATGTGTCCTGCAAGCTGTGTCAGCAGAGGCTGGGGGTGTTATCAGAACTGGACAATGGGTGAGTGGATTTTGTGCCCTTTCTTATCTGCGGTTGGGGCGCTTCGTTGCGTCGATATCGATACAGCAGACTAACCCGTCTAGTCCGAATATCCTTTGGAAAATGTCCAAGGTATCGTTTAGAGAAATCGTCACGATGCGCACGGTCGAGCCCATGTTCAAGGACGGGGCTCTCGAACAACTCCTTCATCCGACACCGAAAGATTCAGGCGCCAAACGCGATCGACAGTCGAGTCAAGCAGGGGCGTTGATACCGACTGGCTCCGCCGAACTCGATTACTACAACAGCTTGTCGGTCGAGCAGCAGATCCAACACCAGGGCCTAAGCCTTGACCATATCTCGAGTTCCGTCATCAACCTCCACGATACCATGTCCGAGTTGAAAGGCGCATTCACGGCGCTTCGAATCGAACTCAATACTCCCGGTCGGTCTCCCGAGCTAGGGATGCTCCCGGGCAACGACTTCAGCATGATCGCGACAGTATTGAAGGAACTGAGGAACAAATCGGATGAGAATGACAAATTGAAACTGGAAAATGAGGCACTGAAACTGAAGAACCGGTATATGGAGGAACAAGCCACACGACACCTGGTCCCCGTGCCTAGTGTCGAAGAAATGCTGCCAGAAGTGCGAAGTCCGGGGCTCCTTCAAGCAGGCAGGAAGCGTGGCTGGCCAGAGGCATTCTCAAGTGGCCATACGCAACCCATTGCCGATTCTTTCGATGATAATGATGACGACGACGAAGACAGCATGACGGGGTTTTCGTTGGCCACTCCACAGGCGCCTCCGATGAGGGTCCCTCCCCAGGCGTCCACGGCAGCGCAAGAACCCCAACAACCACAAGAAACCACCGAGTTCCGCATTGAAGTTGGCCGGACCACACATGCAGACAATAGACACCATGAGAGCAACCACATAGCCTCGAGCCCTCAACAGGCCCAACCGGTAGCCAAACGACCGCGTCTGAGCCAACCGGCGGACCGGCCCCCATCCAACACAAACCCCGAGAGAAAGGTCGGCCGGCCCCGGAAATCGCTCAACCCGACACCAAAAGACACACCCGAGACTTCCAAGCCTGCCGCTTCGACGGAGACCAGCGGCCCCGGCAGCCAGGGAGAACGTGTGCCGCTGAACACGAGCCCTGACCAGCGAAATACGCGACCCGGGCGTCCCCGGGCCTTCGTAACCGCTCACGGCCGCCATCGCAACGAGAACTCTCATCTACCCGCCTCGGAGCCAAGAACTCATTCGAGCAGGACATGGCGCAGACTCCAGGGAGCAGCGATCAGGATCGAGATGGGAACGCAACCCAACCACCGAGCGAATCGAGCAAGGAGAACCCGTCGGGTACGAAACGGAGCAGTGCTCCGGATAATGTCCAGCACAAGGACGGGACTCACGAACGGCGCAAGTCACAAATGGCCCAGCGGGATCTGATGGTACGATTGGCTATGCAACGGGAAGAAGCGATGGAGACGGGGGAGGCTCGGTGATGGAATTGCCATTCTTGAACTGTATTATTTAGTTGATTCGATTCTTGTATTTTTATTGGGGGATCTGCTGGATCTTCTCCTTTACATCCTTCATTCTTTGTTCCTTTCTTTCTAACTTTCCTATCCGTTCGTTTAATTTATTTTTTTGACTCATGAAGACCTAAAGATAACCCAGCGTATCAATCAGATGAGTCATGTTCGGTACCGTAACGATCGGGGAACAACGGTAAATCCGATCCATGACGACCCAGCGGGATCTGATAAGCGGCCAAAATTTCGCCATCGCCTTTCCTGATTGTCCCGCATTTCCTCTCTATATCTTAAACCTCATCCATATCCACTCCCTGGGATTGACTTCTTTTTCACACCCTGACCGGTCACTATCCATTTAACCTCACTGCATTCATAATAATCCCTGGTTGATCACCTCCATCGGTATCCAGAGCTACCCATCTACTATATACTTACCCCTCATATCCCACCAAACCACCACAAAATGTCCTCCCTCGTCGAAATCACAAGCGAAGCCGACTTCGCCTCCGGCCTAGCCAACCTTCCCCCCTCCTCCCTTCTCGTCCTCTACTTCCACGCCCCCTGGGCCGCCCCCTGCACCCAAATGCGAGCCGTGCTCTCCGCCCTCGCCTCCCAATACCCAGTGACCACCCCTCCAGCCATCTCCTTCGTCAGCGTCAACGCCGAAGAGCTCCCCGACATCTCCGAAGCCTACAACGTCACCGCCGTCCCCTTCGTCGTCCTCATCCGCGACAACCAGACCCTTGAATCCATCAGCGGCTCCGAAGCCATCCGCGTCCGCGACGCCGTCGAGCGCCACGCCGGCGCAGCCGCACCATCAGCCCCCTCCACAACCGATCAGCCCTCTAAGTCCACCATCCCGCCCGTCCTCTCGACCGTGCCCCGTGAAAGCGGCCCCGCGACAGCCACCCAGGCCCCCGTCAATGGCGCCACCGTGACGGCTGAGGAGAGCCGCGAGGCGCTCTTCTCCCGTCTGGCGGAGCTCGTCAAGGCTGCGCCTGTCATGCTCTTCATGAAGGGCACGCCCAGCTCGCCGCAGTGCGGCTTCAGTCGTCAGCTGGTTGGCATCCTGCGCGAGGGGAGCGTCAAGTACGGTTTCTTCAATATCTTGGCCGATGAGGACGTACGACAGGGTCTGAAGGAGTTTGCTGAGTGGCCGACTTTCCCTCAGCTGTGGATGAATGGGGAGTTGGTGGGTGGATTGGATATTGTAAGCTTTTTTTCCTTCTTACCTCCTTTATATATATATGTTGAATAGCACTAACTGATTATGATAGGTCCGCGAAGAACTCAACAACGACCCCGACTTCTTCCGGGAATTCTCGGTCAACAAGGCCCCGGCCGCTGCGTGAGTGCCTCGGCGCTGTCTACCTGATCATCAAGTCGATCAGTTTACTTTACTACTATGTACATAGCGAGGAGATGTCATCTAATCCGTTTCTTATACTATTCACTGATCTTTATTTCTCTGTATTTATTGGGTGGCTAGAGTCGTGCTAGAGGAGTTATACATAGACCCATTTGGAGAGAAACAGATAAACATAAGAATGAAGATACTTACAATATCCACCCCCAAGCTAGGTACGATCTTCAACACTCACACACAGCACTGCCATGGATGGCATCAACTACTTAGGTACCTAACCCTAACCCATCGGTACCTACCTACCAAGGTACCTTTTATACATAAATAAACAATCCCCCCCAACCAAACAACCAAACCTATCCACCTCCCCTTTTCTCTATCTATACTCCGTGCATGCCTAGAAGTGAGATCCGCACGCTTCAAAACAGTCTCACACTTGAAATTCCCTTAGAAGAGCGCGTCTCACTATAGACCCTGGGGTACAGAATGCGAGATGAAGGTAGCTAACTAGCTTAACCCCGCTAAAGACGTACTGTATGTACAACGCGACCCAACCAGTGACGAAGGGGCTGATCATCAGTCTTCATAACAGAATGTATCATTCTGGAGGCTGAGACTATTTGGTACCCGGTACCCGGTACTAGGAGGCTGGACCGGTGTGTAGGAAGCATACGCTTTAGTAGACTTGGTCAGTATGTATATAGGTAGTGACTTTCTGTAGGCAGAAGAGGGTGTAGATTGGATCTACCTACCTATCTATCTTATCTCTAGTGTATCACGTACTGTTTGTTGCAAGGGAAGGAAGGGGGCGAGAAGGGAGGATAATGGAGGTGTACAAAGGTAACCTACAAACCAAAGTGACAAGATAACTCTGCTCACAAGCTCCGATTTTCAATATCTACACAAGTACATTACAAGACAAGTACTATTTACAAACAAGTACTTCTAACATATCGTTGTAACCACACCGCTATAAACACATGGTATATCTTCCCCTTTTTACAATAATCGACTACGTGACGGCTGCAAAGTGACGGTCCGGGCTAATGATCTCCAGCTGGCCTATCAGACCACGTTAAACCCAATCCGCCGAGTATTTCCGTCTCATAACGGCAAACCGAGAGCGCAGGTCGTCTTCGTCGACATAGGCGCCGGCCAGCCAGCGCTGGCCGGTAGCGGTGTTGAACTGGCGGCGGGCGTGGACGATGCGGCGGTTCTCGAAGATGACGCACTCGCCCGGGTTGAGCTTCAGCTCGAAGATGTTGCTCTCCTGCTGGAGCAGGTCGGCGAAGACCTTCAGGGCGGCCATGCCGGCGTCCAGGGCTTCGGGATTGCGCAGCGGCTGGCTGGTGAGCAAGGAGCCCTGGAAGGGCGGCGAGTAGTTGACGTGGACGACGGGCCCGCCCGGGTAAGCCGTCTCGAAGACGCGGCGGTAGTTGCCGTAGACGTGGTTCTCGTGGTTGTACTCGTAACTCAGGAAGAGGTTGGTTAGGATCTTGAACTCCTTGGGGTGGCGCGAGCGCATGTACTCGGCGACGCAGAAGGCGTCGGCGAAGAGCGACTCGCCGCCGTCGCACGAGTTTCGCAGGCAGTGCAGCAGCTGGTACCCCGGGACCTCGTTCATGTACATCAGGTCCATGTGGAAGCCGAGGAAGCCGTTGGTGTAGGCGATGTTGGCGGCGTTGGGCACGGTGCGCACGTCGAAGGTGGAGCCGTAGAAGGTGTTGCGCAGGGGGCCCATGCGCGTGGCGATGCGCTCGACCATTTCGCGCGAGTCCGGGATGCCCTTGACGAAGATCAGGCCCTGCGACGCGAGCTGGCGCATGGCGGCGCTGAATTTCGGCTCGTCGTTCATGTATTTGTTATACGACACCCAGTGTTGGCGCTTGTCCATGACTGCCTTGTCCCAGAGCTGCCGCCGTCTGCCCAGCCCGCTCGTGCTGTGGAGGTCGTTGGGGTGCGCTTCGGTCAGTTCCCGCCAGGTATACCGGGAGGTGTGCGATTCGTCGAACCCCGGGAGGTCGTTGATCCACTGCACCTCGAGTATCCGGCCGTTCCACTTGATCTCCCGCGGTTGAATGGAGGGCGGGATGTCACTAGTGCGATGGTTGCGCTGCTTGGAGTGCGGATCGACGCATCGCGGGCATTTACAGGCATCGCGCAGGAGACGATGCATCAATGTTCTGGGCCCTTCACTGGGGTGGGTGATATAGAGAGCATCCTCATCAATCATGGCCGCTGCCGGTCCTTGAGCTTTAGCCAGGTTGTCTGATGCCCCGAGGTTGACGACCGTTTTCGGCTTTCGAGGCTGCGCCGAGGGCCCGCTGGGCGCGTGGGGTCGATCATTGTTGACAGCTGGATCAGGTTCCGCCGGTTGGGAGTACGCACGATACGCACCACGAGACAGGAGACTGGAAGGGGCAGACACTGTCCGGGGAATAGCCAGCCGACAGGGACGGAGGACGGACCTCAACAAGCGGACCATGGTGGAGAGAGTGATGTAGGAGAATAGAATCAAAACAGAGCGGGGGAAAGGAATATCGTGGAGAAACATGTGACCAGGCCGGGATACCTCAGGCGATCCACCCGATCCGGACTAGCTCCATGCCGCTTTATCGTCCCGTTCAGGACTAGTCCGGATTAAGAGACCGGGAATAATAACTCCAACCCATATCATATCCAACCTGTTCTCTATCTCATTACTTCATAATTAATAATTAGTCGGATTCCAGCTAAAGACTGCGGTGAGAATAAACAATTCCAATAATCTCAACAACCGGTTGAATCCATTCTCAATTCTTTCTCTCATCTCATTGTCTGCATACCTACCAAACTACAACGACCAGTCTCAACCCGACAATCCCCGATCTTCATCTATCACATGCATGTCTGCCGGGGGCGAACACCTCAAGGATGAGGTAGACTTCACCCTCACTGCCACTATCATCCTCACCAACTAACTCACAACTGAACAGGGCACACCGCGCCAGGTCGTCCTGGCCGGTGGGATCGCCGGGCTGGTATCGCGGTACGCATACCCTCTTCATCACCTCCAATCTCCACCCCTAACTTTCAATCACATTGCTAACATGAAATAATGCTAACGGAATAGATTCTGTATTGCCCCCCTCGACGTCGTCAAAATCCGCCTCCAGCTCCAAATCCACTCCCTCTCCGACCCAACCTCCCACCACAACATCCAAGGACCAATCTACAAAGGCACTTTCTCGACCCTGAAATCCATCCTCAAACATGAAGGGATTACCGTACCTCCCCCCCCTCCTCCCCAGTCCCTCTTCCTCCCCAACCCAACCCAACCCAAACTAACCTTCTTTTCAAATGAAAAGGCCCTCTGGAAAGGCAACATCCCCGCCGAACTAATGTACATAACCTACGGCGCGACGCAATTCACAACCTACCGCACAGTAACCCACCTCCTGCAAACCCACTCCCCGCGCCCGCTCCCACCCCCGCTCGAATCCTTCCTCGCAGGCGCAACAGCCGGCGGCCTCGCAACAGCAACAACCTACCCGCTCGACCTGCTGCGCACGCGCTTCGCAGCGGCCGGCCCCGACCGCATCTACAGCTCGCTCGCGACGTCCGTGCGCGACATCATCCAGCACGAGGGCGCGAGGGGTCTCTTCCGGGGATGCAGTGCTGCGATCGCGCAGATCGTGCCGTATATGGGTCTCTTCTTTGCGACGTATGAGTCGTTGAGGCCGATCGTTGGGTCGGGGGGGTGGGGAGGGTCCGGGGATGCGGTTGCCGGGGTGGTGGCTAGTGTTTTGGCGAAGACGGGCGTGTTTCCGTTGGATCTGGTCAGGAAGAGACTGCAGGTGCAGGGCCCGACGCGCGGGTTGTATGTGCATCGGAATATTCCCGAGTATCGCGGGGTTGGGGCGACGATTGCGGTGATTGTGCGCACGCAGGGCGTGAGGGGGTTGTATCGGGGGTTAGTGGTCAGCTTGGTGAAGGCTGCGCCGGCGAGTGCGGTGACGATGTGGACGTATGAGATGGCGTTGAAGCAGCTGCGGGAGATGGGGATTGCCGACACTTGATCGGGTGTACATCATATTTATAGATATTTAGAGCGACGCGTCGACGTTGGATAGAGTCTACGGTTCAATCGAGCCATACTACTTGAGCAAACAAAATTACGAGGTCGATTCAACGAATCGATTAGATACACCATACACCACAAACGGAGGCGACAACGCTGGAAACAAGAACAGAAGGGGGTGTCGAACGCAGAGTCCCATCATTCCCATGAAGGATGACAAAAAGAGATAAACCAGACAAATCGCCGCAGAACGCAAGGCACCATGGAGGGCGGGCAATCAGTATTCGCCCTCCACGTCGGCCTCCGGGTCCAAGGTGTCGCCGGCCACTTCCTCGTAGTCCTTCTCCAGCGCCGCCAGATCTTCCCGGGCCTCCGAGAATTCGCCCTCCTCCATGCCTTCGCCCACGTACCAGTGCACGAACGCGCGCTTGGAGTACATGAGGTCGAACTTGTGATCGAGACGGCCCCAGGCCTCGGCGATCGAGGTGGTGTTGGAGAGCATGCTGACGGACCGCTCGACCGGAGCCAGCTCGGTGTCGGGCACGCGCACGGGTTTCTGGTAGTTGATGCCCAGCTTGAAGCCCGTGGGGCACCAGTCCACCAGGTTGAACGATGCCTTGGTCTTGAGCGCGGCGACGGCCTGTGTGCAGTCGCGCGGCACCACGTCGCCCCGGTACAGCAGCGCGACCGCCATGTACTTGCCGTTCCGCGGGTCACAGACGACCATCTGGTTGTTGGGCTCGAAGCCTGTACATACCGTCAGTTACTCTCATTCGCCGCCGGGAGGGACACAAGGAAGGGGACACAAGGAAGGGGACACAAGGAAGGGGACGCGGGAAGGGGACGCGGGAAGGGGACGTACACTGGAAGGTCAGGTCCTGGATCTTGAAACTCTCGTGCGAGCTGCGGTTGCTCGATACCACCGGGGCATACGAGATCAAGGGATAGTGGATACGCGGGAAGGGCACCAGGTTGGTCTGGAATTCGGCCAAGTCGACGTTCAGGGCACCATCGAAGCGGAGGCTGGAGGTGATGGAACTGACGACTTGGGCGATCAGGCGGTTCAGGTGCTCATACCCAGGGCGAGGAATATCCAGGTTGCGACGGCAGATGTCGTAGACGGCCTCGTTGTCCACCAAGAAGGTGCAATCGGAGTTTTCAATGGTGCTGTGGGTGGACAGGACGGCGTTGTATGGCTCGACGACCGCCGTGGAGACGCGAGGAGAAGGGTAGATGGCGAACTCGAGCTTGGCCTTCTTGCCGTACTCGGTGGAGAGACGCTCGAGGAGTAGCGCTCCAAAACCGGAGCCCGTACCACCGCCAAAGGAGTGGAAGACTAAGAAGCCCTGCAGGGACGCGCAGTTGTCTAGCTGATATTAGCCCGGAGCTTCCACGGGGAAAGGTAGGGAGCCCTACCGGCAACACGGCGAATGCGGTCCACCACGTTGTCAACTAACTCCTTTCCAACGGTGTAGTGGCCACGAGCATCTGCATAGATCAGTCACTTGTTCCCTGCGGTCGATGGAGCGGTCGGCGTACAGTTATTGGCGGCATCCTCCTTGCCACTGATCAACATTTCAGGGTGGAAGAGCTGGCGATAGGGGCCGGTCCGGATCTCATCAATGGGCTACAATCGTCAGACAGTGCTCGACAAAAGATGGTATATTCTCGGGAGGCATACCGACGGGTCCAGATCAACGAAGATAGAGCGAGGCACATACTTGCCGCCGCTGGTCTCGCTGAAGAAGGTCTCAAACGAACCACCGGCGTTGATGTCCTCCCCCTCCGGACTCAGATGACCGTCGGCCTTGAGGCCATGTTCTAGAAGGTAGCTATACGATGGTAGGAACCGAGGTTAGATGGGTGACGAAGTAAAAAAAAAGCGGTGAGGGACATACAGCTCCCAGGCACTGTTACCGAGCTGAGCGCCGGCCTGACCGATATGAATATGGCACACCTAACGCGATTTCTATTAGCTTTTATTGTCCATGGAGTACGGCGTGTTTCTGGATGGGAGTATATGATTTTCTCGAATTATTTTATCGGGGAGGAATGCGGGGGGGATAACGGTCCGTCAACCGGGGAGGGGCTCCATACTTCGCCTCGCATGGTGGACGAACGGTTAAACGCGGTCTAGAATATTGGGGAAGGGAGATTGAGGATGAGAGAAAACTCCAGCAATCGAAGATAGATGGCTGGAGGATGGATTGATGAAGTGAGTGCGGTAGAGGATTAGGAGAACCAGGTAGTTTGAAGGAGAGAGAAGAAGAAGAGAAGAAAGAACAGGGAAAGAGGATGGGGAGAGGTTCGTTCCTGCCTGAGCAATAAACACCGCCCACGGGCCAATCAGCGGCCGCCCTGAGTCCCCTGACCCGGTTTTCCATCAGACCATGAACGACATGTCCATCGTCCATCTTTGTCTGTCTGCTCCCACCAGGTCGGTCCTGGAATGGACTGACAATGAAAGGCATTGGATGTGGGGTTATTTTGTCAAAAAAGATCAACATGAATGAAATTGATGACCAACTCAACCACTGTAAAGCGACCGTCGGATCAGCCAAACCTGGACCCTTCTACATATAAAGCGGGGCCATGACTACATCATTACCGGAGTTCACACCCTAGTTGCCCAGTCTGTATGACGGAGTACCATCCGCCAGCCATGATATTCTTCTAGTAAACATTGCCTATTTGAAGCCTGATACTTAAAGAGCCTAAAATATGAGTATTGAATAGGATAATCTTATTATTTATGCTTTACAATATATATATGATCACAAAAAATCTTAAATAAAACTAGTCATAATTTAGGTTCCACTAGACTCCGGGTGCAATCCTGCTACTCTACCTTGATAGCGATAATGATAAGTAAGATCTTGTATTTGACGCCGTGGGATGCTCATCAACTGGGAAATAACACGGAGTACCCAGGTGGTGAAACATACCCAATAGATCACGAATATGACAATATATAAAATACCTTCATGCGGTCCCGAAAGCCACCCGCATGTTTATTGTGGTACAGTAGAACTCCAAAAACCAGAACATTCCTTTGGTTGTAGCTTTGTCCTTGCTGATAATAGAAGAAATAGTTCTATCTCTACCAAATCCATGTTCCGCCGTGTCTACCAATCCTCTGCCTCCTTGTCCAGGACTAGAAGGATCCCTTCAGCCCGACAATTCCATCGAGTGACCGCAGACTTCTTGAGCCACGACTCGAAAGGAAAACTGGTTACTGAGAAAGTTCCTGTTATTGTCGGTGGCCCGGGAGAAGCCTATGTTTTGATTTATCCAGAAGTGGGCAGTGCTCTCCGTGCCGCTGCAAGTCAGCCTCACGTCTCTACATCTGCTGCAAGTACTCAAGAAAGATGTAAACTTACATTCTTTCACGACTCGCAATATTTTGGGTTTGGTAAGTGTTAGCTCTCAATTATTCATAATGTCGATACTGATGTCCTTATCAACGCTAGACTCGTCCAGTTACCCCCGTCTATACACCCCCCAACACATCCCGCGCCAAACGGAGTCGAACGTAAGCCCTGCTACGTTGTTTCTAGATGGAAAAATGCATGAGATTACTCTCGATGGGACTGAAGATGGTAACATACCTCGATCATGGCTGGGTTATGATTTGATGGTTCTAACGTTGACATAGCTCACTTTGCTCACCACGCAAGCGCTACTGGGCGGAATTTGGAGCAGGTCTTGGATGAGTTAGAAGATATGTGAACAAATATCCTAACTACAGACAGATCAACGAATAAGTACGGGGTAGTTATCGAAATTATTTCTTGGATACCACATGTATATAATCTCCATCTGTCTAGAGGTGGATCAAGATCACAATCCCGCTAGAGTGACCCACTTATATATAGTAAGTCTAGTCGGGCGCGAAGCATCCAATGTATCAAAGAAAATTAGATACTATAAAACGAGCTCGCATCGAACCTAGACCCCGCATTTCCTACCCAGAAGGCGACAGAGCCAGATAACATACAATAGGTGGGAAAGAATCCCGGGCCACAAGGGCGAAGAACCATCCATAGATTGCATTAGCGGCCATCAGTCACACTTGGTGTCTTTCAAGTTCGTTCGTACTCTGCAAGTTGGCGTAACATAGCGGGTGATTCGCTTGACAGGGGGATTCCTGAGCATCCCGAGTAGTGGAGTAGCTGAATGAATTACCACTAACCAACCTCAACCCTGCTAGATAGTTAGTTAGCGTATACTAATCTGAATTAATGGATGCGCTTACAGCAGCCCCTTTGGATCGGCGTGAAGAGAACGCTAAGTGCACTACGTTAGTGAGTTCTGGCGGCACATGAGTCATTGGCGTACTTTGTTATATTGTACAGATTGTAACGGCATCTGGACTTTTGTTCTCACGGGTCCTATTTACTGTAAACGTGAAGTATAGACACCAGAATATCTGACTACCATGCCGTCACCCACCGGCACCCACGAAGATGAAGAAAAGACCATACAACCCCCCATTTCCAACAACCCTACCCCAGACCCAGCCCTCCCACCAGAAGGCGGCCTCCAAGGCTGGCTCTGCTGCGTCGGCGGCTCCCTAGGATTCTTCGCTACCCTAGGCTTCCTAAACGCGTTGAGTCCCCCTCTACAAAAGAACATCAAGAACAGTCCTTTCTAACCCAACCAGCATCGGCATCTTCCAAACCACCTACCAAGAAACTCTCCTAAGAGACTACAGCTCCTCCGCCATCTCCTGGATCTTCACAATCCAGCTCGCTCTAATATGGGCCCCAGGCTCCCTATTCGGCCGCATAGTAGACACCTACGGCCCGCGCCCAGTCATGCTCCCCTGTGCCCTTCTCTGCGTCTTCTCCCTGTGCATGACGAGTCTCAGCACAAAGTACTACCAGATCGTCCTGGCGCAGGGCGTCGGGTATGGACTCGGCGCAGGGGGGATCTTCACCACTTCATTGGTCTGCGTGGGGCAGTGGTTCGTTAAGCAGCGGGGTCTTGCTATGGGGATTACCGTTGGGGGGAGCAGTATTGGTCAGTAGACTCCCTGTTTTTTTTTACTGACTATGACGTGCTGATTAGGTGGTTGACTAGGAGGCGTAATCTTCCCCTTCTTCCTCCGGCTAGTCATGAAAGACGTAGGATTCAACAACATGGTCCGCTACACAGCGCTCTTCATCGGCATCGCGCTAGCAGCCTCCTTCTTCCTCCTCAGCGCGCGCCTGCCTCCCAAGAAATGGGACTCAGACGTAGCCTGGATCGACGTCACGCTGTTCAAGGAGCGCGGGTTTGCGTTGTACGCGCTCGGCTCGTATTTCGTGATGTGGGGGTTGTGGGCGCCGTTTGACTTTCTGCCAAGCATGGCGCTGTTGGGGGGGATGGAGGATGATTTGGCTATATATCTGATTGCTATTGTGAAGTAGGTTTTGTTTGTCGGTGTTGTGTGTTTCTGAGGGCTGACCTGGGTGATAGTGCGTCTTCGCTTTTTGGACGGGTTATACCTGGACATATTGGGGATAAGGTGGGATATTTCAATGTTATCGTTGCGTCTACGTTCTTTAGCTGCGTTGCGATTCTGTGTTTGTGGCTGCCGTTCGATTACCATTCTTCGAATGCCGGGCTCATCGTTTTTGCGGTGGTGTATGGCTTTTTCAGCGGTGCTTTCGTGAGTATCATGATGCCGTGTTGCGCCAAATCTGGCAGTTTGGAGACTCTAGGGAGACAGATAGGGACTTATCAGGGTGTGATAGCCATCTCGTGGGTCTTCGCTAAATGAGTTTCTCTGTTTAATATACTGATATATAACAGCACTCTTACCGGCCTACCGATTATGGGCGCTATCCTGGGAAGACAGCATAATGCAACCTACATGGGCATGCAGGTGTTTGCCGTGGTGACGATGTTTCTTGGGTTTTTGTTTCTGTTGGGATCGCGGAATGTGCTGGCTGCGGCGAACGGGACGTGGAGGTACTGAGTGTATGATAGATAGATTTATAGACATTACTGGTGGTTGGACAGGCTGTTATCTGGCTTGCTATAGGTAGAATTCCATAATATTCCCCTGGAAGTAGGGGGGTGGTTATTTGGCAAGAAACTGGGAGTGACCAGCATACTTCAAGTGTCCAGATACAATTAGCTATCCTAATGATAGCCAGTCGTCTCTGACACATGATGGGTGATGATAAATTTCTACGACTGTTACTACTTTACTCTAATCTCTGATCACCTAACGTCTCAAATTTGATTTATCTGCTTCCTGCATTCCTCTAGCTTATACTCTCTGCCTAGTCCTCAAGTACAACCTTCATGGAACATCTGTCGACTTCTTTGTATCTTCATACAGTTTTAGTTATCCATCTTCATCCACCGAGTATGAGCAATACAAAGTATCTTATTTCTATGAAAATCGGGTTACACTAAAGCATACCCATCATAGCAGAGTTGTCCTACATTACCTGTGCCAGGTGCTAGGTTCGCTGCTTGGATATATACAGGAAGGAGTTGTACATAACCTTATCCGATCGCACATAGATTTGCAGTTCTTGTCTTCTGATTTGGTGTTGGAAAACTCAATTCAAGATCTGGGGTTCACAGCTGGTACGTTTGTAGTTTAGTAGATACTAGATAGCATCACAGTTGGATCGCCACCAAGATTTGTGAAATTACTTATATTTTGGATTAATAAGCTCTTTTTCTTTGTGAAGTACTCTGGGCATGTTGTACAGATATCTTCCATACTACTTAAGAGCTTACGTATCTTTTCAAATACAGCTTGGGTATCATATACAAAAGGTGTTCTTTTTGTGGCGTCTAGGTATCTTTTGTGGATGCTTATCAAGACATCCTGTGGTAAAAGGTTAATATATCAATATCCGCTCAGGGGTTCTTTTTATATTAGGCAGCTCCTTCATCAATATATCCCAAGACCTGACTCTGAATTCTGGAGCCTACTACGGAGTACTCCGTGGTAGTAATTTCACATCGAGATAGGAGGGCTTTTATGTCACCGTGATGTTATCCATGCAGGGTTAGCCTGAATGGTATACCTACACTACAGTACCAAAATTACACTAGAATACCTAGTAAAGAAACCTGGTCAAGCAGCATTAAAGCCACGCACTGGATTCATTCCATCGTCCTGAAGATATACTCCGGATGGATGGTTCCTAGGTGATCGGGACAGGGTTCACGATCCAGGAGGAGATCTTGATGAATCAATCTATTTATATATTGTAGAATAAAAGGATTGTCGATGGAAGTCCATCAGTTTCATGTAGAGCGAGGGAAGAACCATGGAACGTGGAATGACGGTGGGACAGATGGGGGACTTGGCGGTGGCCATGTATTGAATCTGTATTTGGTGTGTATCGGTTCGTACGGTCTCCCATTCCGATTGCCACTTGGATGGCGGATATGACAGATCGGACTGAGTGTTGACCAAGTGATGGAGATGGAGATGTCCAGAGGTGGGTATCGACATATGTATGTAGATATCTCCGTACTCCGTATATATGTACAGGTGAGAGATCGGAGAAATATCCATTCCACATTCTAGATGGAGATCCACTGCGAAACGAACAGGACGGTCTGGAACCAAAAATCTCTTTCCTCGCGGCCTCCGGCTCCACCAGGCCTGATTTTACTCCCGTGCGATCGGCCTTTTCTTGTCTCTTAGTCTCAACTCTCTCCCGCATTCTTTTTTCTCACTTTTCTCTCCTCCAAAGTTGTTTGCTTTGCTGCTCTCTCTTGCATTGGATTGGATCTCACCCTGGTTCGATTGATACGACTACGGACTAGGTACATAAAGACCGTGATCTCGTCCTTGTTTCCCCTCTTCTTGGTCTCTTGGTGTTCCTTGCCTCCCAAGTCGCTTGGCTGCTATCCGATTCGAAACTATATCGCCCGCCGTCTCCACTTGGAGCACTTGCTGCTCTGCTATCTTACCGACCTCTAGCTCTCTTTTTCGATTCTCCAATGGCCGCGGCCCATCTCCATCTTCCTCTCTATACTTAGATTAATTTTTCTCTTTTTTCTCTTTTTTCTTTTCTTTTTTAAAATCTCTCTCTTTATCTACTTCTTCCCCCATTTCTTCCCATTTCTCCCCGTTCTCCTCATTCCCCCTCTTCCTCCCTCCCTGCCATCTTCATCTCTGGAAGACGATACCTTCAATTGAACCCCCCCCTCTGGCCTGGCGCCAGCATGTCGTCCCCCGTCGAGGAACGTCCCACCTCCAAATACTCCGAGGACAAGAACCGGAAGAATCTCCGCCATGACGATGGCTATCCCCACTCCGAGAAAGGCTCCTACGTCCAGGAGGGCTCCATGGCTAGCACCGGTGACCATCTGCGCGTCGATACCTCCTTCCAGGACCCCGATCACTTCACCTTGCGCTCCGCCTCCGCTCGGAGGGAGCATGCCATGCGCTTAGAGGATGACCTCACTGTCCTCGAAGCCGAACGCGTCGTCTCCCGCTCCACCCAGGACCACCAGGACGAGAAGGCCTCCGCCGCCGCCGCCGAGAACGAGTCCATCTCGCGATCCCGCTCTCGACGCTCCCAGACCGTCGACGAGTTCGACGAGGCCACCAATCCCTTACATGAGAAGGCCGCCGTCTACAATCCCCCGGACAACCCCAACACCAACTTTGCCAAATTCATCAAGAAGCTCCACGGCTCGAGCTTCGTCATCCGCTACCTGACTTATATCGTTCCTTTGGTTCTCGTTCTCCTCATTCCGCTTCTTGTCGGCGCCCTCGCCTACCCCAATGCCAGCGTCGGCGGCGTCGAATTGCTCTGGTTCTCCGTCTGGTTGGAAATTGTCTGGCTCACCCTCTGGGCCGGTCGAGTACGTTCCTCCCTCCTCTCTTTCCTCTCACTCTTACCTCTCCTCTTACCTCTCCTCTTACCTCTTCTCTTACCTCTCCCCTTCCATCTCCTCTCCTGAATTCCTACCTAACATGTACAGGTCGTCGCCAAATGTATCCCCGTCCCCGTCGGTCTCGTCGCCAGTGTCTTCACCAACAATGCCAAAAAGTGGCGCGACATGGCCAAGCAGCTCGAGCTTCATGCCACCCTCTTCTTCTGGTGGCTCGGCGTCGAGATCTCCTTCCTCCCCACCATGAAGAACCACCACATCGGTGGCAGCCACGAGACCCGCGGCTGGGAGACCACCCTGAACAAGATCATCATCTCCATCTTCGTCTGGACCATCCTGAACCTCGTCGAGAAGTTCATCATCCAGCTCATCGCCATCAGCTTCCACACCCGCACCTACGCCGACCGCATCGAGATCAACAAGTTCCAGATCGGCAGCCTGACCAAGCTCTACGAGTTCTCCCGCGCCAAGATCACCGCCAAGGATGACGAGTTCGAGGAGCAGGACGAGCAGGGCGGCAGCGGCACCAAGACCCCCATGCAGCTGCCCTACCAGTACGCCGGCCGCGCCCAGAAGGTCGCCCGCGGCGCCCTCCACAAGGTCGGCGACGTCGCCGGCGCCGTCGCCGCCGACTTCACCGGCCGCAAGGCCACCAACAGCAACCACCCCTACCAGGTCGTCCTGACCCTGCTGCGCACCACCACCGGCTGCCAGGTCCTCGCCCGCCGCCTCTACCGCACCTTCGTCCGCGACGGCTTCGAGACCGTCTTCTCCGGCGACCTCAAGGAGGCCTTTGACAACAACGAGGAGGCCGAGGCCGCCTTCATCATGTTCGACAAGGACATGAACGGCGACATCTCCATGGACGAGCTCGAGGCCGTCTGCGTCGAGATCGGCCGCGAGCGCAAGTCCATCACCGCCTCCCTTAAGGACCTCGACTCCGTCGTCTCGCGCCTCGACAACGTCCTCGGCTTCTTCGTCGCCGTCATCACCATCATCGTCTTCCTCTCCATCATCTCCACCTCCGCCGCCGGCGTCCTCACCTCCGCCGGCTCCAGCGTCCTCGCCCTCTCCTGGCTCTTCTCCGCCACCGCCCAGGAGTTCCTCCAGTCCGTCGTCTTCGTCTTCATCAAGCACCCCTTCGACGTCGGCGACCGCGTCACCATCTACGGCAACTCCGGCGACGCCGGCCTCGGCGACGACTACTTCGTCAAGCAGATCTCCCTGCTCTACACCGAGTTCAAGAAGATGCAGGGCCACATCGTCCAGGCCCCCAACAGCTACCTCAACACCCTCTTCGTCCTCAACCAGCGCCGCTCCGGCGCCCTCGCCGAGGCCATCCCCATCGTCATCAAGTACGGCACTACCCTCGAGCAGATCGACACCCTCCGCCAGCGCCTGCTCGAGTTCGTCCGCAGCGAGCGCCGCGAGTTCCAGACCAACATCCTGACCGAGATGCGCCAGGTTACCGAGAACTTCTCCGTCACCCTCAACGTCGTCTTCTTCTACAAGTCCAACTGGCAGAACGAGGGGCTCCGCCTCCAGCGCCGCAACAAGTTCATCTGCATGCTCATGATCGCCCTGCAGGAGATCGGCATCGAGGGCCCGCGCATGAACCTCCAGGGCGCCCGCCGCGACATCCCCTTCCACCTGTCCGGCTTTGGCAACCCCACCGGCGCCCCGCCAGGCTCCTCCGACGGCGGCGGCAGCTTCCAGCACCCGCCACCCCCCACCCCGCTCTCCGAGAAGGACACCATCCCGGAGAACACCGGCGTCAGCAGCGGCATCAGCACCACCCGCAATGCCTCCATCCTCCGCAAGGGCATGAACACCGCGGCCGCCCGCGCCCGCGGCGACACCATCCAGTCCCGCAAACACGTCGACTTCTCCCTCGGCATGCGCGACCTGTCCTCCGGCGACGTCATGGGCGACGTCTTCGAAGACCGCACCGCCCGCGTCGACAACGTCGTCCGCGAAGCCAACCGCGAGGCCGCCGAGCGCCGCATGCAAGAAGACCGCGAGGAGGCCGAAGACCGCCGCAGCCGCGCATCCTCCTCCCAGGCGCGCAACAACTCCCACTCGACCACCAACCTCAGCGTCCCCTCCCCCGCCGTCGGCCGCCACTCGACCGAGTCCGGCGGCGGCCACAGCCTGTCCTCGCTCAGTCGCAATCGCTTCTTCCGCCACCGCAGCAGCGTGACGAGCCGCGAGCACGAGGATCTCGCCGAACAGGGCCGCTACGAGAACAATGGCCATCTCTCGCCCTTCCCCCCGGCCCCGGATACGCCTCATACGGGCAGTCATCCCAGCCAACCCAGCCATCCCAATCCCACCGATTCCCGGCCTCACCAGCATTAATCCCTCAGCAATATACCCTCCACTTCTTTACTTCTTCCACATGTATCTATTCCACTAAGCAATCCACGAGATCACGCTATACGTTTTGTCTTCATTTTACATCTCCTATTACAGCATTTTACCACCAAAGAAAGATGCTTCCTGTTGTTATACTCTGCCATATGCAGCCCATCATCTACGCACCATGTGTGATGATCTACGACTGTTTAATGTAATTTTTCCAGCCTTTACACTGCTTCTAAACTGCCTTTACACTGCTCTTTCCACCGCTTTATTTATCCGACTGTGATTGATTTTACTCAATCACTTACGTCGTGTCTTGTTTGATGAGTCATTGTTTTCGTGTATGTTTGCATATTGGTTTTGTCTTGTTTTTTGTCCCGGTCCTGGAGTATTGGGCGGTGGAAAAGTAAATACACTCCTATATCTATTATTTATCTACCTATCTTCCTATCTACCTATCCACCTATCCATATATATCTGTATAGAAACTATTATAAATGTATAGCTGTGTAGAAACTATAAATGTACAGCTATATATCATGCTATCTATCTATCTATCTATCGATATAGTATGCTAAGGTCCTGTCTCTGGATATTTCCTACTTGTATGAAACACCCATATTCTTTATCCAAAGTATGATGCCATACCTGATTTACATAATCCTTTACAAAGATAGAGTTGAGTAGTCAAGAAACAAATCTTAATCTTATCTGATCTAATCCTATCTTAAGGTCTTGATACATACACAATTTTGGATTCAAGGTCTGTCTTCAAATGGAGGTGGGATGGGCTGAGTCGGATTTGGTTGGGTTCAAGAAAACGCAAGGGAAATATGTAATATGTAAGATAATGTAATGTAATATAAGGGTTGAAACGATCAAGGGACTGAGTATATCACAGCGAGATTGATTGATCAAAGCGAGATTGATTGATTGATTGGTTGGATTGGATTGGATTGAGGAAGTTTAAGAAGAAAAACGGAAAAAAGTCAGAGTCAAGGAGAAAGTCAAATGAATGGATAATAAAATAAACCTGGAGATGATATCGTTGTTGTTGGCACGCCTGTAAAACACCCGCTTAGACCCGAGCATAGCATAGCATATCATATATCAACATATGATGAATAGATAAGAGCAAAAAAAAAAAAAAGAAAGCAAGAATGAAAGTAAGAAGGAAGAAAGTAAGAAGGAAGAGAAGAAAAGGGCAGACGAGGCAAGTAAAGCGTTACAGGAAGGGAACATCCAACAACAGTGGGTTAATGTAAGTCCAACGCCAAACAAAAGCCAGAGCAGTCTATCTCATCAATAGATAGTACAAATCTTTCATTCTACCGTTCAGACGGACGGGGCGTCTGTTCCGAGCTCAAGTCAATGGAAGGAGTATGAGACGGTCGAGGCGTAGCTTCGGCGTCTAGAAGTGACTGGTCGTCGTCTGCGTCGTCCCGCGAGACCTTCACTAGCGGCGTGTTGGGGTCTGTTGGTGTGTGGGCGTCTTCTGATAACGTGCTGGGTGGGGTGGTGTTGCCCACCATGAAGCTTTGAGCCTCCTCCGCGGGGTCATCATCAGTCTCAACGATGTTGGCGCGGAAGAGCGGCGACGGGTGTTGAGGGAGAGGCGGTGACGATGTGTGTAAGAGCATTCGTGCAGTGGCGCGAGGGCTCGAAGCTAGCCCTAGCATGGGAGAGTGTCGCGGACTGAACTGGTCGTCTTCTAGTGATATCGTGTCGTCGGCGATGTGAAGCCCTTCGAAGCGGTCATCGATATCTGTGCTTCGAGAAGGTGACGACCCCATGCGATCCTCGTCGCTAAAGCTAAGGCTGGTGGAACCGCCGCTGCGGCGCCTCTCCAGCTCCCTCTCCTTTCGGATCAGCTCTTCGCTACCGCTCACCACGCTTCCTCGGCTGTTGGTCCGCATCATCTCGATTCCGAGCTTGGAGCCGGGACGGTTGGATCGTGTCCGGGAGCTAGGTGTTCGCACCTGCGAGTGGCCGAGCTCTTCATCCTCGTCGTCGCCCGACTCGGCACATTCGTAGCGTTTCTTTTCTAGAGATTCCCGCTTGGCGCGGATCGCCTCGCTGGATCGCTGCTTGCGTGGTGTCAGGACCCCGGAGGAATTGACGGATGCTGGAGCAGAGGACGCGTGGAGCATCTGTGGCTCGGGCGCCGAGCTGGTACTGGGCGGCGAGTCAGTGGTCTCTTGGATTGCAGGCGGAGCGTCCGATATCCCAAGACCTCCACCTCCTTCCTTGCCACCCCATTCATCGGCTCGCTGGCTGACGATGACAGGAGCCTCTTCGGGCTTGACGGATTCCACGTCGCCAAAGTAGCTGCTGCCAACCGAGTCTGTGCGGTTGGACCCCTGGTAGGAACTAGGAGGCACGAGCGCGAATCCGGACGATGTCGTCGAGCTTGGGCTGTGCTCCGTCGGAACAGGGGGTTGACGTGCTGCAGAGGTCGGAACCGCTAGTGGCTGGGTAGGATTGTAGTCTTTCGGCGGGGGCTTCCACTGGCAGAACTTGCACAGGGCTTCCGTAAGCTTGGTCAGGGTTGGGGGTTTCTCAATCAAGGAGGTAAAGGGATGCGTTTCCGGCAAATCCTTCAGATATCCTGTGACTGCGATGATCGGTGTATGTCGGTTGGCACCCCGCGTTTCGCGCACCATGCGAGCCACGTCGCTTCCGTTCACCTGGGGCAATTTGAACTCAGTCATGATGATGTCAAATTGAACTTCACTCAGCGCAAAGCGCATGGCCTCGGCGCCATTTTTGGCGGTGATCGTGCGGCACCGAAGCTTTTCAAACAGACGCTCCATGACAAGCCGAGACACCGGATGATCCTCACAGATGAGAACGTCCAGGGGTCGGAAGAAAGGCCCGTCGGGAAGGTTGATCTGCGACAGCCGTCTGGAACTCTGTCGACGCCGTTGTACTTTGAGTAGAGCTTTGGTACGGGGGTCTTCATTATCAGAGGATGAGGGAGAGACATCCGCAAAGAGTTGGCTGCGACGTTTGTGGTGGCCTGGGACATAGGACTCCTTAGTCACAGACGACGACGAAAGCTCCCCGCCGTCTTGAGATCCAATTGTCTGCGACCTCGCGCGGCTGGGGACGCTGCCCTGCCGGTGTAGGCTCGACGGCATCTTATCAGGCGAATGAGTCGAGACTCGGCCCGCTTTGATGGGCGAAGATGCCGCTGAGTTGTATTTGATACTGCCCATCCGGCTTGGATCCGAACCAACCGGGAAAGATCCGCTGCTGGATTGGTGAGAGTTCGTCGAGGACGAACCCGAGGTCTTTCTGCGCTCATGATTGTGGCCAGTGCTGAACTGAACAAGGAGTGGCGAGGAAGGTTGCGACGGACGGCTGGGAGACGAATTTGCCTGACTCAGGCTCGAAGGAGAGGATGGCCTGTTGTTGCCCTTGTTCTGCGATAGTGTCCGCTGCAATGGCATTGGTAACGGACTGCCTTCCAACGATGGCCCGGACGCGGTTGACGTTGGCCCTGAATTCGACCCAGACCCTTGTCCCTGGCTCTGAGCCTGGCTGTGGCTTTGGCTTTGGCCTTGTCCCTGCAATGAGTCCTGTGATGTCTGCTGTGATGTCTGCTGTGATGGATGCTGCTGCTGCTGAGATTGCGGTTGCGGCTGCTGCGGCTGTGCACCCGGAGGTGGAACCGAGCGTTGTTGTGCTTGCATGGCTTCTTGGCGCAGCTTCTGGATCACATCCTTGTTGGCTTTCTCCAGCATTGGAAGATTCTTGAAAGCGAAGTTGCCAAAGTCGTCGGCCAAAGAAGGCTCACTCAGCCTCCGGTTGCGGGAGTCGCGGACATGAGGTGGGATATGCAGAGGCATCAGTGGCCGCTTCGTTGAATTGACCTGCGTGCGTACTTTGAAGAGGGCGTCGTGAGGACGGTCTGGCGGATACACCGCTCCGGCTGTCACCGGGGTCTGCGGCGAATGACCATCTTCGAGCTCCTCGGCAAACGCTTGCAGCGTTGCGCCACGAGCGTCGAAGTATTCCGTGTCTTCGGGATTCTCCGTGTTGGGTACAAACTGCGCCTTGTCTTCCATTAGGGTGTCCCAATGAATGTCCGAGAACCAAGGATGGCTTCGGATCTCCGCCCCGCCGTTCGGGAACTTCTCGTCGACGTTGGCTCCAATGCGGTCCCGGGGGCGGATGGTCATCAGCTTGTTCATTAGGTCAATGGCTTCCGGGGAAGCGAGCTCCTCAGGCTCCTCCGGCCAGTTGATCTTTCGATGGAGGATATTGTCGAACACTTCGTCGGGTGTAGCAGCATTGAAAGGGGGATAGCCGAAAAGGAACTCAAATAAGATGCAGCCCAACGACCACCAGTCACTCACTTCATCTTGGCCTAGACCGTTGATAGTCTCCGGAGCCAGATAATCCGGTGTCCCGACAAAGCGCCTGTTGTGGTCTTCCGGGTCGAACAGCGCCATCAACGGCGGCATCATGCTTTGCGGGGGCGGGGTCCCGTACGAAGTCTGGTTGCTAGTCGTCGGCTGTAGGGGTTGCAGCTGAGGGGACGACTCGCCCGCCTCGCTCTGGCCCTCTTCTTCAGGCAGATGGCCCCACGGAGTTAGCGGAAAGGGCAGAGAGCCTAGGCCCTGAGACTCCCCGCGTGCGTCGCTGCTATCGTTGAAGGACATATTCCGGAACATGGTGTGAAGGTGATCGCTACTGCCGCTGTCACTGCGGTAGCCCGACGCTCTGCGGGACGTCTGTCGGCTCTGTCCGCTTCCCCCTTGTTGGCTCAGACTGAAGTACGATGGCTGCGGCATGCTGCCGGCCATATCTGGCGGGATCAACGGCGTCGATCCCGGGGATCCGCTGCCCTGAAGGTCGACCGAGGCCGAGCGGGAAGAGGTGATCGAGGTGGCGCGGGGGAAGGGGCCCTGCCGGAGAAGGTCGGGCGTCGGCTCGTTCATACTCTTCAGCACGCGTTTCTGCCGGCCTACCAGACCCATCCGGGACAGCCCGAAATCCGTCAGCTTCAGATGGCCGTTCTGGTCGATTAGGAAATTGTCCGGCTTGAGGTCCCGGTGGACGATGCCTCTCCCGTGCAGGTGTTCTACCCCAAGGACTACTTCGGCAATGTACTTCTTAGCCATGTCTTCGGGGAGGCCTCCCAGGACTTTGACGAGGGAAGCGCAGTCGCCCCCGTTGAGATATTCCATTACCAAGTAGAGATAATCCTTGCTGGAGAAGGTCCAGTAGAGTTTAGCCACAAAATCACTTTCCCCCTGCCACATCATGATCGCCCGTTCAGCTTTGACGTTGGTGACCTGGTTCTTGGCCACCATGTCCGCCTTCTTCAGCACCTTGATCGCGTAGTACTCGCCGGTGGACTTCTTCTTGGACAGATAGACGCTCCCAAACGCGCCTTTGCTGATCGGTTTGATGATCTCGAAGTCCTTGATCGACGGCGGTGCGGGTCGCGGCTGGGGCTGGCTGGCGGAGGATAGATGTGGCGATACGGGGGGAACCTTGGCGGCATCAGACGACGTCGCGGAGGATTGACGGCGGTGATGCCGATAGTGCATATGGGCGAGTTCACCGGCGTGAGCCGACGGGGAGACCACCGGGGACGGTAAGCTCTCCGCGCCACACGACAGCCGCGGCTTGGGAATGCGTAACGGCGAGTGGGGGCCCGACATTCGGGCGGGGGAATGCCCGCGGCGGGGGGAGCTGGACAGACCAGGAAGCACCAGGCTCCGACGCTTTCGTTCGAGGCTCCGGTCCGACGACGGCGATTCCGTCCGTAGAGTTCCGGGAAGGGCAGAAGAGAAGACGCTGCTATCGCTGACATCACCCGCGTCGCTCTCGGTCGGCGGGAACCCACGACGACTAGGTTGGGACGTCCCCAGGACGGCTGCGGCACTTTTGTGGGAACGGGGGGTGGGACATTCCAACGGGCTATTCGACCCCGTCGACACGGCGACAGAGGGCGACCGTCCCTCGGAGGGCTGTGCGAGCGGGAAGCGATCTGGGGAGTTGCGCATGGACATGGTCAAGGCCGACACCGCGGGCGCAGGCGGCACGGCCTGGGGCTCGGGCATCGGCTTCGGCTTCGGACTCGGACTCGGAGCGACGGCGGGAGACATAGTGCTGCTATCCGGAACGTCATCTTCGGCGGAGCTCGAGTCACTCAACTGGCCCGCTGCGATACGCTCGGCCTTGCGGAGGGCCGCGGTGATGCATTCCTCCACCAAGACTGTGTACTCAATGCGGATCCGTTCGGCGTATTCGACGATCTTGCGATGGCGAATGACGGCGTCCACCATCGCTCGCACCACGCCCTCGGTATCCGTACAGAGTGCGGCCAAGCCCTGCTCCTGGCCCAGCGTATTGGAGCTCGGAGACTGCCACTGGAGGACCTGCGAGATCCGCGACTCCGACTGGGGAGACAGCGTTCGGAAATCGTCCGGGTTGTCCGTGCGCGACTGTTTGATCACGGGCATGTTGATCTCCAGCGCGGTGTCACACAGATCGAGAATCAGCTCGACCACACGGGCCAGTGGGCGCCGCACGGCGAACGAACGGCCCCGCAGGTGTCCAATTCCCGATGTCGAATGATCGCGAGATCTGGGGGGCGTACCGGGAGCCGAGCTGGCACTCGACACAGACCCGGACGACGCCACTGAGGCGGGTGCCGAGGCCGTTGGGGACGGGCCAATCAGTAATCCTTTGTACTCCGGTTGAACGGGGGGCGGCGGGCTGGTGCTTTCGCCCGTATGAAACGGTCTGCTCTGGCGGGCCTCCAGGGCGTCCAGAACCCTGACGATCGCGTGGCGCTGCTCGTTGAGGTTCTCTTGGGCGATTTGAACGTCCATCTCGGCTCGATGCTCTTGCAGACAGAGATCGGAGTGTTTCTCAAACCACCACGGGGTGATCTGGCGCTCGCAGATCCGGCACAGGACGGGTTGAGGGGCGGGGTGTTTCGAGACGTCGGGTTCGATGGCGGCGGCCTCGGCCAACGTCGTCAAGTAGTTTGCCAATACTTCCGCGCCAACACCGAGAGATTCGACAAGTAACGGAGGGAGATCGATGGTGACTTCTCGGGGTTCGGAGAACGGTCGCAACATCCACATGGTCTGCAGCAATGGCACCCGTCAGTCAACGTCCCCAGAACGTTCGGTTTGATCAGAGAAGGGGTGAAGGACTGCAACTTACGTGGCCAGCTCCATCTCCACGTTCATACACCATGATCCCCTGGCCTTCCATGGTGAGGACATTGTTCCCCTCTACCTGATCGGGGGGCGCCTCCTGCTCGGCCACGTCCACATTCTCCCCCGCCTCAGTCTTCTCGGACTCCTCCAAGGGGCGTGGTTCCGGCGAGTACTGCAGAATCGAGTCGGGGCCCATCTCCAGGGCAAAGCGAATGAAACGACTGCGCGAGTCGTCCGCCTGGAGGGACTCGATCGCCAGTTGAAAGGCATCCTTATGGTCGACCAGGATCTCCGAGATCAAATGACCCTCGACGGAGGCGGGCGCGGTCCCGACCACCTGTTTCCACGACGGACTGACCCATTTGACGCGACCCTCGAGATCCAGGTCGACGATGACGTTCAGGGTCTGTTCCGCCGCCTCCCTCAAGTCATCACGTTCCCCCTGCATGTCATCACTGTAGGAGCGAGCCAAAGGCGACTTGTTCTCGACCGAGCGAGCCTCCTGCCTCAGGGCGGTAACGGCCGGAGGCGCCAGAAACTGAGCATGAGCAGGGGAGGGACCATTGCCTGCCATGCTGGACCGAACGATTCCGGGAACGGAACCGTCGGGACGGGCGGGGAAGGAAGGGAGCGAAGTGAGACGAAAAGAATAGAGGTCAAAAGATGAGCTGTGAGCACCGGACCGTCTGCCGAGCAGGGCGGGAGCCCATGAATTGAGCCTATGAATGCATTCGCAGCATCAACGGGCCATGACTAGATCGCGGGAGGGGTATGAAGTTCGGGTAGTAAGGGACGTTCCGACCGCGACCGCGACCACGACACGGGAAGGTTGACTTTAGGCCTTGCGTTCACAAGGAGAGGGTATGAATCACTGGCCAAAAATAAGAATTCCGGTTAGGGGACGTCAATCGAAAGAAGAGTAAAAAGGAAAAGATGAGGTGAACTGAATCTTGATCACGTAAGGACAGTCAGGGAAAGTAAAAAAAAATAAAAAATAAAAAAGAGACTAGGGGAAAGCGAAGAATGAAGAGAGCGGCTATGCGGGGGAACAGCGCGACGGCGAGGCGTCAACGCGAAGTCAGAGTGATCGACACGAATCAATCCCAAAACGATATGACTGTAGCCGGCGGGAAGTTGGGAAAAGACGATCAATGGAGGAACCAAGGAAGAGGGTTGAATGGGTGAGAGGAGGGGAGGGACTGAGAAGATCAAAAGTACAGGTCAAGACAAGAATGGACAGGAAGGGAAAAGTAAAAGGAAGAAAAGCGAGAAGAGAAAGAGGATCAGACAAGTGAAGTCCGAGACAGACAGAGAGAGAGAGAGAGAGGGAGAGAGGTGTTGCCAGTGGGGTATGATACGGTATGGTACTGATACCAGTACGTCATGTGATCGTACTGGTATGTAAGGTGACGGGTTCATCTTGCCCTGATGATGACGGTGATGACGATGACAGCAACAGGTGAGACTTATGAGACTTACTCAGAGTATATCGATAGATGACACTGGTTGGTTTGTTCTCTTTCTTCTTTCTGTTCTTTTCTGTTCCTTAAGGATACCAAGAGTTGAAGGGTTGAATGGAATAAAGACCGGTATCGATCAGTGAGCTGTACTGGGTGGGTGGTGGTGGAATCACCTCCAAGTCAATTGCAACTTTTGACCTTCCATGTTCCATTATTATATCTCAACGCCCAAAAAATCCGAAAAAAAAATAAAATAAAATCAGACAGACAACAGCCATGTTTTGGTGCTCCCTTGGCCTCCGACACCTGAAGTTCAACCGGAGTCGTCTCGCTCGCCATGATTGGACTACATCCCAGTGCAAAAGTCATTTAGATCTGTACTATCCCGGTTTCCCCTCCCCCCTCTGCATCAAGACAACACGGCTCGTTTCTCGGGACACCACCATCCTGGTCGACTAGTCTATTTATGTGTTTATTATTATTATCATGATCATTATTATTGTTGTTTTGTCCAGATGGTTGACGAACCCCTATGTTCAACATCCGTCGTTGTATCAATATTCCAGTCGAGTAACATACAGCCAGCTCCCCCAAACGCCACAGTCGTCCAACGGTCGACTCGACCCAACTTTCCTGACCCGAGAGCCCTCTCGATTCGCAGGAATTGAATTTCGGCACAGGCGGTTCTGCCGCAATCGAGAAGGTCCACGAACATGCAGAGCTCAGTCAGCTGTTCTGTTTCCATGGAACCGATCCACCGTTTGCTCACTTGACTATCAGAGACTACACGTCTAAACGTCTCTCCTTCTAATGATCAACAGTGTATTATGTTTATCAGAGTCGGTATCAGTTTGTATCCACCCGGTACCAGTGTGTATCATTCCGTATTCGTCGGTATCAGGTTGCATGGCCGGTATCAGCCAATCCGTACAGATCGATCGGCAACGGCATCATCGCAGTGTGGAGCCACGGCCTTAACCCTAACCACTCGAACCATCCACTGTACTTTGTCTTTTTTCCCTCTTCTCCTCTTTTCCTGGCTGTTATTGCCCATCATGACAATCCTGAACTTTCTACCCCATAACAAAATCCAAAAGCAACAACCCCCAACCCGAAGGGGTAGCGTCCCGAACGTGGCGAGCTTCTGCGTTGGTTCATCTGCGGGGTAAGAAATCCAAAATGTGGAGCTACTTATCTGCATCTGTATCTGTATCTGACAAGTATCCTCCCTCCCTAAAACCTGAACGGACGGAAAAACAAGTGTGGTCCAGTCTGCCCCCTCCCCTTGCCTCGCTGCAAGGCCCATCTGCACCTACCCTCCCCTTCCATCTTCTTTAACCAAATCACAAGTCTCATGGGAGGATAGAGCGGGTCCAAAAGACGACCTACTAGGACAGGAGTATGCCCTACCCACTATCATCATCATGATGTCTGATGTCTGTCTCTGCTTCCTTTTCCCCCCTCCTTAATCCATTCACACCGTGGTTCAAACCACCTTTGTCAAATCCATCCGCACTTCGAACCTGGGGAAGCCTTCCGCCGTGTGAGCCATGACCCAGCGCCCAAACAACCCCTGATGCAATCTACCACTGCTCTCGTCCTTCCTTCGTGAAGGCAAGAAAAACCGAACGAATCCCCTTCGGCTCCACTGAATCATCACTTCCTCCACTTCCTCCACCACATGTATGCACATGCATGTGTGTTGCATGTTCTCTCTGTATTATGTACAAGTACGGATTACTGTATGGATCATCCATCTCTGTCCACCTCAACATGTCGTCAGTCATTATCCGGGCGAAGAACCGGCGGTACAGTAAGTCGCGGTGAGGACACCATAGTAGACCTTCGGATTTTGAGAAAAGGTTATACACAATGGTCAAAGAAGATGCCAGACTCGATATCCTCTCTATTCGATACGGTCTAACCGCTTGAGGTCCTTCATCCCTGAGCCAGGATCGGTCAGATCCCCCGCAATCGTCCACCAGTAGGGACATGCGTGGTTGTGCTATCAGATGACCTTCTCCAAGCAGCCATAAACTTTCTCTCGTTCTAGATATTTCTAATCATTATAATTACCTAACGGATATGAAGTATAGGTTGAAACAGATGGAGAAAGAAGAAAGCGGTTCCCCAAATAAACCCAGTAGCCGGCCCAGCAGACCTTATCCTATCCGCTAGAATGGATGCTAACAGTCGATCCGCAGTAGAAAAGAGAGAGCAGGTCTGGCCTCTTTCCAGGGCTTTCCAGTCCCGTAGTCCTCTACCCAGTCCAACCATAAAAGCATCAATTCTAGACCTACCCAGGCGATTTTAGGTAAACCTCTCCCCCCTCTTTCGAATCGAATCGAACATATGTACATACATATCCCCCGAACCCCAAACCCAACCCCTTGTCCCGTTACTCAAAGTCCTCCTCATTCCACACACCCAATAGGGTGATTTATGTCATCGGTTTAGTAGATACCACCCAGACTGGTTGGCTGGCTATAGCGAAGTATATCATGCGAAGTCGATCTACTCGGTAAGTGGCTCGCTGGGGTTGTACAGACCGGAGACCGGTACTTTTATTGGTGACCGGGATGGTGTTTGCTTGATTGGGGATGTCTTTTTTGTTATTGGTTGGTTTGGGATTTGTCTTATGGGGTGCTTTTATGGGGTGCTTTTATCATTGATGTTGGTTGAGGTCATTGGGGTTGTGGGATGTACTTTGGTTTGGTTGTCGTGGAATTTAGCAGATTAGGTTGTTGGATATCTATGTGCTGATGTGGGTGTAGGTTTGGCTCGGCTTTCTACCTACCTACTTAGTATGGTGTCTATATGGTATCCACATAGGGTCGGTGACTACGGGGTATTATATGCACAGGTGCTGATGATTGCATTATGTTTGACAGTGTAAGTGGTTCCTTTAATCTAATCTAAACCGAGTAGACAGTTATAGTAAGAACTGTACCGTGATAATCCTTCCTTACAGAACAAATCTAGACCTTTATATAGTTCCATCAGTGCTATATAGATCATCCACTATTCTATGGAATAAGTGCTAGTAATAGCCTGAGATAACATCCTTATTCAAGTAAGTATTCCTTTGATACCGACAGATAGCCTACTAACCTGTTTCTATCATCAGACTGCTGAAAATATATGGCTCTCATGTCAACAGACAGTATAAATAGCATCCCAAACAAATCATCGTTCCTAAAAACGGTGACCGTGATAATGACACCAGCTTATAAAAACATGGAACTGTCTGAAACACCCCATACAAAGGATATTCCCTACCAGATGGATCCTTCATCGCAGGTGATAATCGATGGATCTCTGCATTCACTCGATATCATGATGGAATTGCATGACCTCTAACTCGTGACCTCCCTCTCTACCTACATCTATAAATGCATCTTCGATCAAGATATCTACTTCTCCAACCCCATATTCCAAAGCTTCTACACAGGAGTATCCATCCATCCATCCATCCCAACAACCAAACCCACCACACATCTCAAACCAAGGCTCAACCAAGCAAAGCCACAATGACCTCAACCCCAAGCTCCCTCTCCCTCTCCCACACCCACTCCCTCCCAACCGGCAACACCCTCTCAAACCGCACCCCCAGCTCTCCCCCATCCTCTCTCACCCACTCCCTCTCCCAGTCAGGCCAAAGCCCAGGCCAAGACACACCCCCCTTCTTCGCCTTCTTCCACGACTTCACCTTCAACCCGCGCGGCGTCCTCATCGACGAATTCAACCGTCTCGCTTGCCTGCGCAGCTGGTCCAACAAGGGCCCCGTCCGCCGCTGGATGTGGAACTTCCTCCTCCGGTGTGAATTCAAGCGGCTGGTGCTGCGCGCACAGGATGGAGAGACGGGCGCGGGCCCGGTGCTGGCTGATTGGCAGGGGCTTTGTGTGGAGGTGGGCGTTGGGGGGGAGGAGGGGAGTATTAGGAGGTGTAAGAAGGTTGGTCTTCCTTTTTATATTTATTGGTTTGGGGGCTTGGGGGTTTGAGATGATAGATGAAGAGAGAGTGAGAGAGAGGAGAACAATGCAGCTGATAATATGTCATGACAGGCCCTCGCAAAAGTCCACATCAACCTCGTCGACCTCCTCGAGCATCGACGTCTGGGCACCCCGCTGAAACACTTTCCGGACCTGGGCGCTTTGATCCGGTATACGCGGCAGACGGGCAAGTTTGTGAGTCGGGAGTTGGTGAAGGGGGATCCGATGGTTAAGGTGTTGTTGAGGAAGATGCGTTGAGGACTTACTTCAAGTTGCTTTGTTGGGGGTTCGGTCTTGGTGTTAAGGTCGATATCTGTCTATCTATCTGGAGATGGTGTGCTTGCGTCGAGGATTTACTCACTTTGTTGGGAGATGGTGCTTGGTGTTGTGGGTCTGGGGTGGTGGGCTTGTTTGTGGAGGGGGCTCAGTTGATTTGATTTAGGGGAAATGGGTGGACATGGGCTGGGTGAGGGTGATGGATGGAGAGTGAGGTTGGAGTGGATGGGGAGGATAGCAGGATTGAAGGGGAAGTGAAGGAATCCATTGTATGCGGAGGATGGGTATGTCTCATTTGATAAAAAAAAGTATGGTAGATAACTAAGCCCGGACAAAGTCAACGAGCCACAATCAATATTGATATCGATATTAAAACATTACTGTATTATACAAACAAACATCACCCCTACAGACCCTTCTTCTGTCCCTCCAGCCGCTCCCGCTCAACCACATAACCCACCGCACGAGCAAGACCCTCATCAACAGGCACAATAGGCTTATACCCCAAGCGCCACTTGGCCTTATCACACGAGTAATAGCGCGTCATACACGAATAGCGCACCATCCGCGACGTCAGCCGCGGGGTCTTCCCAAACAGACCCATCACAGACTCCGCAAGACCACCAATAGGGCCCAGCAGACCCTCCGGCAGCTCGTACACGTCCTGCGGCTCGACGACCCGGTCGGTCAGCGCCCACGCTGCGTGCGTCATGTCCCAGAAGTACACGGGGTGGTCGTTGGTGATGTTGAAGGCTTCGCCGTCGATGCGCTCGTAGTCCAGCAGGTCGCCCTGGCCGCTCTCGTAGCGCGTGTGGGTCGCGAGGAGGCGGTAGGCGGCCAGCATGTGCGAGTAGGCTACGTTGCCGACGTAGGTGAAGTCGAAGAGGTTGTTGTTGCTGCCGAGCTGCATGCGCAGCACTGTGCGGGAGGCCTTCGAGGCGTGTTCGAGGATCTTGAATGTGAATGTCGTGTCCTTTTCGCCGTAGATGCCGGCGGGGCGGATGGCGCATGTGAGCATTTTTGTGGGCGACGCGCGGTTGTATTTCAGGACGAGCTCTTCTGCGTCGGCCTGTTATTTGGATAGGATGTTAGTTTTGACTGACACCTCTTTCTCTGAGCCACGCGTCTGTAGAGAAGGGCAAGGCGTACCTTCGTCTCGGAGTAATACTCCAGCTGTCTCTCGCCCCGAACATAAGGCCACTCCTCAGTAACATTGATCAAGTCACTCTGCGTATCATGCACAACGGAGCTCGAGCTCGTATACACAAACGCCTTGCACTTGCTCCCCCAGTCGCCATGAGCGCCGCCCGCGACCTCCAGCAACGTCTTCGTGCCATCGACATTCACCTTGCGCAGCAACGGCTTGTTCCCATCCAGCACGCTAGGCGTCGCAGTGTGGATAACCACGTCGGGCTTGACCGCGCGGAAGACATCCAGCATGGACTCGACGGAGGTGATGTCGCCGTCGTAGTAGTCCGCGCCCGGCAGGCGGTTGTTGGTCGTGCGCAGGTCCACGACCGCTACCTTGGCGACGTTCTTCGGGTAGCGCTCCGAGAGCTTGGGGTACTCGAACCGCGGGTCGCCGGAGGGCTTGGGCAGCGCGACGCTGGGGTCGTTCTCGGAGGGGAAGTTCAGCAGCTGGTCGACGATGTGCCAGCCTAGGAAGCCGCAGCCTCCGACGACGAGGACGGTGCCTAGGGGGATGGTAGGGCGCTTTTCGGTGGACATGGTGAGGTTGATGAGTATTGACGATTCAAAGGGAGAGGCGGAGGGAATAAGGAGGGAGGAGAGGATGATGGGAAAACTCAACGCCTGGCGATATGGTGATTATGATGTTGGAGTTCGCTATTTAATCTAGGTTTAGGGGCGAACGGGTCCGGCTCCAGAATCTCCGTAGCCCATTGCGGGCCCCACGCTTAACGGTCGCGTTATTGGCTGGTGGACGCGTGGCGTTTCTCGCTGGTTTTTCTCCATAAGCATGATATTTACGATTTATGGAGTACAGTTGTTTAGGAGATGCATGTTATGTTTATTACTAGGATATCTGATGGCCAAAACAGAAAGGAAAGAAATCAGACAGAAGAAAAGAAGTGGTAAAATAGGAATAATTTTATGTCGGAGTAATAAATAGGAGACACCATAGCTCCACAACACCCGCAAAATGACCATAGCAGTCTGACGGCCGCTTAACGCGTAACTAGCCCATGAGCAATTAGCAGCTGAGATATCAAGGAGATAAACATGTCGGTAGCGAGTGAGTGACAGGCATCCCATGGCACTGTCGGTAAATCGACCGGATCACAGTCATTACCGCATGGTTTCACCAAATATCATGCAAACGCATCCCTAAGCCATCATAGTTATTAGATTGCGGGTAAAGTAGTATAAAAAAGGTCTGCAATACATACTCGACGCTTTTCTCAACCGATTTCCGTAATTCTCGGTGGTACCGTCGTCGGCCCTCTGCACAGCCCCAAAACATTGTGGATGCTTCGGAGCGCACGTTGGCTCGCGGATCGTATGCCGGGGAGTCCTCCTCCAGGGTCGCTAGGATAGCTTCTATATGCCAACGCATCTCGTCGCTGCGCCGTGGGACATAGCACAGCACCCCGAGTCGAGACACGCGCACATGGAAGATGGGCGTTTCCATGAACACGCGAGGCTGCTCCTCGGGGAAGCGAGGGCTGAGATAGATTTTGATCTTGAAGATGCCGCCATCCAGGTGTGTCATGGGACGACCAAAGTATGTGATCACCCATTCAAATGGGTTACCGTCGACAAGGTCCAGGGCGATCATAAAGTTCTTCTGGTTTTTGTAATCCTCGACAATCTGCTCGTACTGGCGCTGGAGATTCACGGAGATGCCCAGCTCTTGCTTCTGGGTTAAGAGCCCCTCGGTGGGCCATTTTCGGGTTTCGCCAAGTATCTTCTCTCTAAGGAAGTTGAGTCTCCGTCTGAGCTCGGGATAGTCGAAATGGCCGTCCATGATATTGCCGATGCCTTCGAACGGCATCCGCTGAAACTTGCGATTGCGTGAGACTCCGGGCTCCGCGGCATCGACGGTTCGTAGGTAGGCGTCGAAATACCACAAGAAGCGTCGTTTACGGAGGTCAAGAAAGCGATCGCACGGTTCTTTGTCGTCATCCCAGCTTACATCCTCTTCACTCTCGTCTTCGGAATGCTTTTCGACTGGACGTGCCAGCGTCCCGTCTGGTGAGATTCCCATTGACAACTCCAATGGCTCAATAACCGCAAGGCGGAGGGTTTCATGGCGGATCTGAACACAAATTCGCGACTGTTATCGATCTTTCCCATGTTCAATCGGCAGGACAATAGATACCTTGGCGACGTAAGCGTCCATATTTTCCAAATCAGTAGCCGACTTTGCCGTATCATATCCAGGCTCATTTTCGTAGGGATTACTCGACATCAAGCTTTGAATGGATATCAACACGGACTCTAGACCCTGCGCCGATGACCACTGTTCTCCGCGTTCGCCACGCCAGGTTCTAGAGGAGCCTGTCAGCTTTAGTCGCAGAAGAGGCTAGTACCACAGAACCCTTACCCAAGAATCGACCTATATTTGTTGTCTTAGTCAACGGAAGCAGAACTATTGGCGTCCTCCACACTATACTCACAAGCAAACCTTGCCCGACGCATAGATATTGGGGTTAAACCGACACCGCCCTTTGTTGGTCGTCATGGCGCGGACACGGGGTGGACTCGCAGGGTATCCTGGAATCGCGCGCCATCAGCTTCTTGCAACGTTCATGCGGTATCTTTATCTTTTTGTCTGGTTGAACGAGCTTAGCTTACCTTTCCCGAACTTAACCGCGAACTGTCGAGGAACTGATGGTTAGTATTCAGGACATCCTGCGGCACAGTGGGACATATCGATACGAACTTCAAACAGGCCAAACTCGTATGGTGTCTCTGGTGGACCCAGAATGAGAGCAGAGACGCTGCGGATATCGGAATCATCGTAAGACACCGCGAGAGCTATGGTTTTGATTAACTGGCTGACATCTAACTGGAAGCTGCTGAGGACGGCGGTTTCCCGCCAGCTGGTAGAGGGGTCCTACAAAGGTCTGTACTCTGCTGCAGCTGTTTGATTTCCTGGTACCCCGCCACCCGATGAAGCCCCTCGTCAGTATCGTAGGTGTACGGGTGGCCACACGAAAGCGACGCTGCTCGATGGAAAGGTTTGAAGGAGTATTACCCTTGTGATGCGAAGGATGGCTTGATCAGACATCCTGAACAGGGCGGCAGTTTCACTTTGCGATCAGTGGTGGGAAGAGCAACACGAAGTTATCAGAGAGAGGGGAAATCGATAGCGACAAAAGTATGATGCTTGGATGCTGTGGGAGGCTGAACCCAGGCGGAATGACGATAGGCAGAGAGTGGCTGTTTTTCTGCAGCTTGAAACGCATCAAACTGCATGAAAGAAACCAGGAAGGCTCTATAAGGCTGTCTACAGTTTCTGGAGGTTGACCAAGAAAGAGAAAAAAGGAATGAATGAATTGATCGATCAATCGATCAATCAATCAGTGATGGGAGTACTGGAAACAATGGATGACGGAATTGTATTTGAGGTACTGAATACCATCACCGCGATTAGCTACCTTAGGCACCACTTTGTAGATCCAGGTGATCTGATTGATATGGGTGACTGCAGCGCCACCATCTGGTCGCCTTCCTGCCTGCTCAACCTTTGTGGTGGGAGTGAATACGATCCAATAACCCCTCAGAATCTGCCTCTCTCTGCCTAGTTGCAGAGTAGTAGATAATAGTTTGGTCATACTCAAGGACCTCTCTCAGTGTGATTTTAGCGCCCTCTGGGTAAGTTCCACTACACCAAAATAGAAACAGCTCAACCTTGGATACTGACTGGAGCTCATATCAGCACGAGCTGGATCCCTGGGGTAGCTGTCTGACGATATATACTACAAGCAGTATTGTCCCTGCTACAATTACCTTGACCCTCTTCAACCATTGACCAAGTTCTGGAGGTGAAGGGACATTACCATACCTACTCAGGTACGACTGATTACATATTTCCAGACTCCATACTATTTCCATACCAAGTGCTCGTCCGTGACGGGCGACAGATGAAGCAGCCCCTGTCTCACCGCCTGCTCAAGGTGGGCATCCCATTTCCCGGCTCCAACCAGAGTCAACCAGTGTGAGTGTGAGGATGGAGATGGGATCCACCCATCTGTCATCTTGTCCCAATGCCCAACCTTCCTAGACTTTCTGATCAGGGAATAGATCGAGCGGGCCCCATGGATCCCTCGGGTCTCCAAAAAACCCCCTGTCAAATTTCTTTCTGCAGAAAACATCTTATCACTTACCGCCCGGTTGATAACTACTAGTAGTCTAGTACACTGGTATTAGACTTCCCACTATCCATACCTACCTACAGAAGACTGCTGATAGACAGATTGGTGGTCGGCATAGCATTGTACTACTGTATAGTCTCTCACTCTGGCTGGCAATCTGATAGAAGATTCTCAATGCAAACAATATCCATGGTTGATGTGCAGCTGCAGTAACAGCGGCACATGCGACTACCTGGTATCATGATTACATATGTTTAGTACGGAGTAATAGCGGCCCCTTGAAGGGCAATCTTGAAACGTGAGCTTTACAGCCTGGTTTCTGCCAGTACAAATCAGCTGTCCCTCATATCGGTAGGTGTTCTAAGAGGAAAGCTTCTATCAAAAGAACCCACAGTGTTTCTTCATTCTTTCCAACAGATTAACATCCAAATTAAGACCCTCCTTACTTTCAAATTTCATTCTGCCTTCCAGGAGTCCAGGAGCGGTTCAGAATATTTCAGCCCCGCCCAAACAAAGCCCCAGCCATCTGATATCTAAGTGGTGGAGTACCACTCCCGTGCCGCCCACCTCAACCTAACCTAACCGAAGGGCGCAAGATACCCTGTATGGTAATCTATACAGGACAAAAGGCGGTGCAACAGGCGGTGAGAGTATCCACGTGACCCGTTCCTAGCGGGCAAAGCAGCAACATTGCAAGCGCATAGGGGGGGAAAGAGAGGAGGGGGAAAGAGAGAGAGAGAGAGGGGGCAGCAGCAGACAAGACAGCAACAAATTCCCCAGCAAGCACTCTCACTCCCACTCCCCTAAACAACGCGATTTGCTTGATTCTCCCTCTCGCTCTCGCTCTCTCTCCCTGTCTCTCTCTTCCTCTTCTTAGTTCCTTCTGTGTTGGCTTTCAATCCCTCCATCTTTTTCCCTTCTTCCTCCTTTCCCCTACCTTTCTTTTTGTTGTGTTGTGTCTTTCCCCTTCTTTACCCGCTGGTCCCTCGACATCTCCGATCCTGCGTAACTGGGTCGAACCTTCTATTGGAACCCTCGACGTCCAAAGGGATCAGGAATGGTTGTGATCTCGGCCAGTGTACTACGCCTCCGCTTGTTGGTCTCACTTTGAGCTCCAACCAACCCTGACCGTTCTGCTTGCCTCGACACGGGCGCTTGCGCAGTTCCTCTCCATTGTCCTCAGATTCTTTCCCATATATTCGGATGCTGGGCGAATGATCAACACATAGATCGCTCACGCGCTTCGACTCGTTTTTTCCCCCCTAGAGTGACCAGAATTTCCCCGCAAGTTTCATCTCTACATGGCGTGAGGTGAGTTAGTTACTCCGGCAGGGCCAAAACCCAGCCCCGCGCAAAAAAAAATACAAAAATAAAAATAAATAAAAAAAAAAAAAAAGGAAAAATAGAACGAAGGGTCAACTCGGTCATCTACTCACCATTATTCCCTTCTTAGGACGCACTAATAAATTCGATCTCTGCTTCGGTGTCCGCGACCTCATACACCAATCAACCCCTCGAAATTTCGTGCGATACGCCCCTCGCCGTCCCCAGCGATATACTTGACCCCCGATCCATCTTTGGCGGCAACACGCACACCGAATTCCACTACATCTCGAGCATCACTTCCCACGCCCTCCTCCGGATAGAGAACCGGATCGATATCCATCTTCGGGATCACCCCCCGGTCGCTGATTTGATAGAAAAGGCATAGTTCCCCACGGACATGCCTCCCGGCGACGTTCCCTTACCAGACAGCCTCGTGCCGGGCAACGGGGCTGTCCGTCCAACCCTGAACACCAGTGGATTTGGTGGCAGCTATCAGAAGCAAACTCCGACGTCCCCAGCTGATAGCAATGTTCCTTTCGACTCCCCGCGAACGTACTCGGCGCCGAGGTCCGCATCGACGAACAGTCCCATCGATGGGTCTCTCAACCACGATCACCGTATCAGCCGACGATATGAGCCACACCCGGGGGCCTCCCGGGATCCTTCGACCCCTCGCGACCATGGGGGTTATTGGGAACGATCGGGTCCCCGAGATCTGTCTCGTCCCAATGGGCGGCCGCCGGCGGGCACCTCTCGGATCTGCAAGAAGTGCGGCGAGCCCCTAACCGGTCAATTTGTGCGAGCATTGCTAGCCACATACCACCTGGAGTGTTTCAAGTGCGAGGTAGGTGACGACTGCGGTCTGGTGTGTTGACATGGGATGTCCTCGGCTAACTCTGCGGCGGCGTAGGACTGCGGCCAAATCGTGGCATCCAAGTTTTTCCCGATCGACGCGGAAGATGGCAGTGGACAGTACCCGTTGTGCGAGATTGATTATTTCCGCCGGCTCGATCTACTCTGCCACGAATGCGGCGGGGCCCTGCGCGGCTCGTATATCACCGCCCTCGACCGCAAGTATCACATTGAGCATTTTACTTGTTCGGTCTGTCCCACGGTCTTTGGTGCACAGGATTCCTACTATGAACATGAAGGCAAAGTCTACTGTCACTTCCACTACTCGACCCAGTTCGCTCAGCGATGCCACGGCTGCCACACGGCAATTCTAAAGCAGTTCGTGGAAATCTTCCGTAATGGCCAAAACCAACACTGGCACCCGGAGTGTTATATGATCCACAAATTCTGGAACGTTCGCCTAGCTCCGGCGGGACAGCCTCTCGAACCCCCACAGCTCGATCTCGACGCAACCGACGAAGAGCGCAATCGGGTCCGGGAGGAGGAGGACGTCATGGAGGACAAGGTCTACAAGATCTGGAGCATCTTGTCTACCTTCGAGGAGTCTTCTGCGGCCTGCATCTCGGACATGCTCCTCCACGTGAGCAATGGTACTTATTTAGATGGAGTCCTCGTCGCCAAGCGATTCATCGGGCATGTGCAAGTGCTCTTCTCCGCTATCGATGAGCTCGCAGGATACATCAAAAGCCAAGGGATGAAGGGTAAGCGTTCCCCTCAACGGTGGTATTTGAATACGTGGGTTGACTAATCATCGGTGCTAGACCTCGCTTATGGGCGCGAAGCGAAGCTGCTGTGCAAGAAGATTGTTGCCTTCTTCGCGTTGCTGTCCAAGACGCAAGAGACTGGCGTCCGCAAGCTGGGCGTGACCCAGGAGCTCTTATCGTTAGTGACCGGCTTGGCTCACTATCTCAAACTTCTGATCCGCATTGGCCTCCAGGGTGCTCTCAAGCTAGAGAGAGAGAAGCGGTCGCCTACGGGTCTCCATCACTTCCTGGACCACCTTGGAGATATAGAAGCTCTTCGGCCTCTCGAGGAGGAAACGACCGCTGAGGATCTCATGGCAGGCGTCGAGGTTCTTGCTGACCAACTATCGGACTGCTGTGCGTCGTGCAAGGAACCCATTGACGACGAATGCGTCGTCTTGGGAGACAGGCGATGGCACATCAAACCGCCTCATCTGGTTTGTGCTGGATGTGAAAGGGAGCTAACCGCCACGCCTCAAGACGCCCTGTGGAGCACTAAGGAGAGGCGAGTTTTCTGCAATAGCTGCACTGCACAGAAGGGCACGCTGAACGAGGCGCAGAGCGGGTTCATTCGGGTCAGTAAACTTCAGCAATTTGTGTTCCTGCTGAGAGTTGCTCTTGCTCGCCTTCTTGCCGTCTTGCGGGCGGGCGGGACGTTGCCTCTACCTGGGGACCCCGTTGTCAAGACCCAAGACGGTCAGCGAGTCGTGCCGGGTGGTGAGCTTAAGCGCTCAGCAACCAAGTCCAAGGGTCACTCCGCGGCGGGCAGAGAGGGCTCTGAAGAATCTTCCCTCGAGCAAACTGTGGGTGAAATGCGACGCTTGCGGTCGATTCGGAACGAGCGCACCTTGTCCACCACCTACCGAAAAGCGCGGGCATCGCGGATTATCGATGGCCCTGAAGGGCGGAGTGTCCGCCCCGGCTCGTCCGGTGGTGAGGGCTCGGACCCGCGTGGCCCGGGCTTCCAGATCGTCGAAGAACGGGATGCCAACGGCGAGACCGTGACCGAGCTCGCATTCGGCAACCAGGATGCTCTAACCTTGGATGACATTCCGAGGATCGTGGCCGCCGAACAGGCCAAGGAACAGCGCCCCAATGCGTATAAGCATGCTGGCACCAAACTCGTTGGGACCACGGAAGCTCTTCCCAGGTACAAACAAGGCCACCAGCGTGGTGTGTCGGGGGCTGGTTTGGAACAAGTCCTCGAGAAAGCCAGTGGCAGATCGAAGAGATACTTCTCCGAGCTTTCGGCCCTAGAGTTCTTCATTGTCCGACATGTCGCGGTTTTATCCATGGAACCCTTACTAGACGGTGCCTTCTCATTAGAGGAACTTCTTTCGCTGATCGAATCTCGCAAACCTACCATCTGGAACATCTTTGGACGCGCCTTCAATAAGGAACCCAAGAAGGTGGGGAAGAAGAAGGGAGTATTCGGTGTCGCCCTTGACTATCTCGTCGAGAAGGAGGGCACTGAGTCCAGCCATGGTGTTGGTCCCGGTGCATTGCGTGTGCCTGCTCTGATCGATGACTCTGTGTCTGCCATGCGGCAGATGGATATGTCTGTGGAGGGTGTTTTCCGAAAGAACGGGAACATCAGGCGCCTCAAAGACACATCCGAAGCGATCGACAATCGGTACGATCAAGTCGACCTGACCAAAGAGAATCCCGTTCAGATTGCCGCTCTCCTGAAGAAATTCCTTCGTGAGATGCCGGATCCGCTCCTAACCTTCAAGCTCCATCGCCTCTTTGTCGCCTCGCAGAGTAAGTCACAGCTTTGTTCGTGGTCCAAATATTGTTATGGATGCTGACTGGATCATTACAGAAATCTCCGATGCCGACAAACAGAAACGCGTTCTACACCTCACGTGCTGCTTGCTTCCTCGGGCCCACCGAGACACGATGGAGGTCCTGTTTGCCTTCCTCAACTGGGCGTCATCTTTCTCCCACGTTGACGAGGAGTCGGGTAGCAAGATGGACATTCACAACCTTGCGACAGTCATGACACCGAACATCCTCTATCCCAATACGAAGAACAGCACCGTGGACGAGAGTTTCCTCTCGATCGAGGCGGTCAATGCCCTCATCACGTATAATGACACCATGTGCGAGGTAAGTGATGTCTTGGTTCTTCCTCCGGGGTGTGTTGACTAAACTAACCTCCTTTTCTCCTGTCGTCTAGATCCCCGAAGATCTGCAGTCAGTTCTGAGCGACCCTAGCCTCTTCAAAGAAAACTCGGAGGTCACCACCAAAGATATCCTAAAGCGGTATGGTGACATCGCGCGAGGGAGCTTTTCCCCGAACCCCGCCAACGGCGGCGAAACTGTCACCATCACGAACAGCAACAGCCGGGGAGCGAATGCACCTACCTCGGCACGCATCGAGGGCGAACCCTCCCAGGATGCGGCGTGGCAAATGCAGAGCTCCGTTCGCCATGTGCAGGGTGCCGGTGGACACAACCAGCCTACTGGCGCTTCGCAGAATGCGGGAGGAGAGCTTGTGGCTGGGCAGCCAAACAATTATCGCGAGCGTAGCACCAGCAGTGGCAGTCAGCAGAACCCCGTTCAATCCGATGGACAACAGATACCATACCGGGCCCGTCCGAGCGCAGGGCCGATGGGAGTTGCTGGTTGAGCATTTTTCCTGTCTTTTTCTCCAACATTTTTTGCTCTTTTACCTTCTTCTTTTCTTGTTTGCAATCACCAAAATACCCTTCTTTCTTGCACAGTTCCGAACACTTTTTTCTTCTCAGATCAGTCCCTAATTCTTATCTTTTGATCATTTTGAACTCCGAATGAATGCTATTGGCGTATAACTGGGCCGTTCAGCGATTTCTTTCTCATTGTTTTGACGTGGTTGAATGGAGTTGATGCACGTTGGGACTGGATTGAATTTGTCCAGAGAACTGGGACATACATATCTTCTATTTTCTCCAATGAGGTGGTAGCAAGTCCATCATCGCTTTCCTTGTCTCTTCCCCCCTCTGACTGCCGCAGTGGGGGGGTGAAATGCAGATGGCCACGAGGCTGGGTAACTCGAGGTTGTGTTTCCTTACGGCTGTGTATGATTTGGCCAAGGGTCTGGGTATCAAGGTTTCTGTCCATCGTGCTCTTAATCTGTGAAATTTGGGTAGTTATCCTCTTTCTACCATCATCCCATTAGTTGGTATCACGCATCATTCCTCTTACTTTTTTTCATCCACTGTATTCGCTTCTTGCGGCCTTGTCTAGAGGCGTCTTTCTTCTCTTTTCTCTTCTTCTACTGTGCCATTGATTGTGATGTAAACCCATTCCAGTTAGCTGTACTGTTTCTTCTTTTTTTTTTCTCTCTTTTTTTGTTTGATTGCTTTCCCAGCCAGTCAAGTCAGTTGGACTGCGAAGATACCTGAATTGAGTCTAATTTCTTCTTTCCATTTTCCTTCTTCTTCTCATCCATCGGACCTCTCCATCCATGGCTTCCTACTTATACTATCCTATCCTACTTATCCTACAACTAAAGTACAACTACTGCTACAACTACACTTTCAATTCTTGACTATCGATTCATCTCTATCTATCATCCACCTCCACTGACAGACCCTCACGAAGCCCCTTGTCCCAACTATGTTGTCTATGTTGTTCATGTTGTCCATGTTGTGTTATGTTATCCCTTCGTGTCCCTGTATTTTGTGTGTTTGTCTCTGAAGAAAGCAAACACGCAAGCAGTCAGTCAGTCAGTCAGTCACTCCGTTAAATAGTACATAAGCGATGGGCGGGCGGTTGTGGTGTAAATTTAGTATAGTAAACGTGCAGTCAATGTGACTAAATGGATTGGATAGAATTGAATAAGGAAAAAAGAAAGAAAGTAAGTCTTGCTTTTGTTTCTGTTGTGGTGTTTTGTTTCTGGTAAAGGTTGTGTGTATTCCGTAGATTGGGTTGGTGTGTGGGGAGATAGTATATATATATTTAGTGGTTTATCATGGACAAAGAGGCAACATATGGGGATGATCAGATTATCACTTACTTACTGTAACTCACGGTTGAGGACTGGACTGTCATTTATTATTTTCATATTAGTAAATTGTACTTCATATATCAAAGTACGGTGAAGCTATCTTATTTTACTTTTCATGTAGGGAAGTGTTGTATATTGGGATTTAGTCCAATTTAGTAGAGTAGATTGAATCAACGACGCAATAACACTCAATCAACGCGCACAATGGAACCAAACAACAAGTATAAGTAAGTGTATGTAAAAGTAGAAGAAAAACAACATGCACCGGTAGCTTAGATGGAAAATGCAACTGTATCAAAACGCCAATCCTAGTTACCTCCCCTAATCTGTAGAAACCTAATTACGCCGATTTGCAAATGGTGATCAAAAGTCACAGATAAAACGATTTCAGGCCCGTTTCCGCAGGGCGCGCTGCTTGGTTGCCGGTGCGTCGGCCGTGGTCGATGTGGTTGCTTTCCGGGTCGTCGATGCGGCATTTTTCTTGGTTGCGGCTAAGGCGCCCTGATTTCGAACCACTGTGGTCTTCTTGGCGGAGGAGTTCACGGCGGGCGCTGCGGTGGCTTTCCGGGCACCTGTGCCTGTCTTGGTTGGCTTGGCGACGGTGGCGGTGGATGAGGTGGATGAGACACTGCCGCGGCGCTCGAGCTGTCGGGTGGCTGGTCGGGATAGCGGCGAGCGCATCGCTCTGGAGGCGGCGCCGGCTCGACTGCCAGGTCGTGCGGCCTGCGAAGGGGGGCGGCTGCTGGTGGTGGATGGGACGCCGCGGGTGGCTCGAGCACGGGCGCCGCTTGCTGGCCCGGACATGCTGGCTGAGGTGGACTTGAGTGGGCTGGAGGGCTTCAGCGGCGACATGGGTCGGGAGAGGTAGGATGCGTTCTGGGGCTTTTCGGGGGACGCCCGGAGCGGGGATTGCGGATAGGTCCTGGAGTTGTTGGATTTGGGCGACAAGATTCGGTAGTCGGTCCCGCGGACCTCCTGTGAGACAACGCGCGAGGCACCGCCCGCAGCGCCGGGCTTGCCACGCCGCTTGGGGTTCTTCAGGACGTCGAGAGATCCGCCTGTTGCCGGGGCGTTTTCCTTGTCAGAGTAGATGCCTCCTTCGTGACTGCGGTTCATGTCAGCAATGTTGCTGCAATTGTCAGTCAACGGGGCGTACCTCTGTTTGCGGACTCGACGGGCACCAGGGCTGGCTGTCAAGGCTCTTTGTTTTCCAGGGCTGGTCATGGCAGCCAGATTCCGGGGCCCTTTGCCCGGGCTGAGCAATTTCTTGGGCGAGGTGCCCTCCTGTTGCGCCCGGAGAGCGGCTTGGTGTTTCTCCCACAGCTCACCCATGTTGGCGTTGCGCAGGGCGATAGGGATACGGTTGATGCGACGTTCGACGCGAGCACGGAGATCATTGGTCTGGAGGGCGTATTGAGCGCGAAGTTTGCGGGCGCGTTCGGTGACTGATCACGTCAGTAGGTGGAAGACAGGTTTGGGGGTAGGAGACATACTTTCTAGCTGCAGGTTGTCAATAAGAGCCTGTTTTTGACTGCGCGTGATCCGAAGCTTTTTACTGGGGGGGCTGCCAGTGGGCGTTCTGATGTCGTGGGACGCGTCGTCCTCGGGGGACTTGCGTTTGGCGTTGAGGGAGATCATTGGGGGTAGAAAGTCGATCAATATCAGATCCGGAGGTGTATAAAAGCCCGAAAAGTCGATTCAGGTTGAGAGAAGGGATTTGTGATGGCGATAGAAAGAGTGGAGGAAGAAGGGAGATGGAGAGAGAAGGCGGCAATAAAGTAAACAAATGACCGAGACGGAAAGAGAAGTGAGTGGGCGGGCGGTGACATAACCTCCCTCTCGCTCCGTCTCGTCAACCACGAACCTCACTTCCTCAACGACTTTCCCATCCTCTTCTCCCCCCATCATCTCCGCCATCGCCATCCAGCTCTGTTTACCTCCCTAGAGCTTCCTACTATTACTGTCAACACTCAATCGAAATCTTGAACACATTCCTCCCACCCCTCCATCCGATCGAGCTATCCACACCCGCCAAGATGTCGCTCGAAGCCACCATGATCATGTCCGTCCCGACTCCTCTCCCCATCTCCATCTCACAAATGCCTCTAACCTCATAACTACAGTGTCGACAATAGCGAAAGCAGTCGAAATGGCGATTACACGTGAGTACACTCGACGTCAACATCCATTCCCGTCCGCATCTGACAGCCGCAGCTCGACCCGATGGCAAGCACAGATCGACGCCGTCAGCGTCATCCATACCGCCAAGATGCGCGTACATCCGCAATCAGCCGTTGGCCTGATGAGCATGGGCGGCAAGGGCCCGGAGGTTCTGTCGACGTTCACTACGGACTTTGGCGGCATTCTGTCAGGACTGCACCGGACTAAGATCCACGGCACGCCGCACCTGAGCTCGAGCATTCAAGTTGCGGGAGTACGTTTGCCCCCCGCCTTTTGATTGAAAAGAAAAAGTCTCTTTCTATATTCAGTATCGTTATACTAACGAGAAAAATGAACAGCTCGCCCTGAAACACCGCTCCGAGAAATCCCAACATCAGCGCATCATCGTATTCTCCTGCTCGCCCATCGAAGAAGACGAAAAAACCCTGGTGAAGCTCGCCAAGAAGATGAAAAAGAACAACGTATCGATCGACGTCATCGCCTTCGGCGACCTCGAGTCCGACCAGACCAAGAAGCTGGAAGCCTTCGTCGAGAACGTCCGTGGCGGCGACGGCTCCCACCTGGCCATCATCCCGCCGGGGCCGAACCTGCTCAGCGAGGAGCTGCAGCTCACGCCCATCCTGGGCGGCGATGCCGACGCTGGCGGCGCGGGCGGCGAGGGCGAGGAGGCCGGCGGGTTCGGGTTCGAGGACGCCGCTGAGAATGATCCCGAGTTGGCGTTTGCGCTGCGTCTGTCTCTGGAGGAGGAGAAGAATCGCCAGGAGAAGGAGAAGCGGGAGCAGGAGGAGAAGGAGGGGAAGACTGATTTGGACGGGATCCCTGAGGAGGGGGGGCAGTCGTCGTCTGGTGGGAAGGACAAGAAAGATGATGGGGATAAGATGGATACTGCTTAGTTATTAATGGAAGCATACCCGGCGTTTCTTTCTGTTCTTTTGCTCTTTGGTTAAATGGTCTTGAAGTGTGTCTTTGTGCTCGCTTTAGATGATTACGATAAATAAGATAAAAATATAAATAAATCTAAGATAAGACGACTCTGACACTACGAGAAATTAAACCTATACAAGTAATAAACAATCACCCATCCAACCCCGGCCAAAAATAAAAGGACCAAAGAAAGTAGAACAAATCCAATCAAAGAATAAAAAACCCAAAGGGTAAGATAAGTAATAAGAAAAGTTAAACCCTCCCCCTCAACCACCCCCCAAGATGCCTATCAAACGCCTCACACCGCACCGGCATCTCCAACTGATAAAACGGATTCTTCATAACAAAGTCCGCATAGAGCTCATAGATCTTCCGGATGACAGGCTCGACGGTCGTCATGAGCGGATCCGTGAAAAGCAGGAACTTCGTCCCTGTCAGCGTCTGGAAGCAGGTGAGGCGGAACTTGTCGGACTCGAGGACTTCGAGGCCTGTGACGGGGGTGCCGGGGATGGGGAGCGCGTGGGTTGTTGAGGGGGTGGATGTTGATGAGGGGGCGGTCGGGGTTGGTGTTGAGGGGGTTGTGGTTGATGTCGAGATTGAGGGGCTGGGTTTGTGGGTTGTGAGGATTGAGGAGGTGGAGGGTTGGTGGCTGTGACTGCTGCTGTTGCTGGGGATGGTGTTGGGGTTGGTGGGGAGGGGGATTTTGGGGGTTATGCTGCGGGTGATTGCGTGGACTCTGTTTGTTTATTGTTTTGTTAGTATTAGTTCTTGTTATTGAATTTGTTAATGGGTAGGAGGAGTAGGATGGGAGTAGTGGTTGATGTTGGGGATAGTTATAGAGAAAGTAAAGGTATAGAAAGGAGAAGAGACACACACCCATGAAACGTCCCCGCAAGAACCAAATAATCATTCGTCGACAGCTTTCGCAAACCGGGTTGAAACTCGCGCTGATAGACAAGACCACCAGCCTTATTGATAATGATGAGAGAGAATACCGTCCTGTATCTTGTTGGTACAATTCTTTTCATTGTATAATCTTGAGGGGTACGTACATGATTGCGGTATATTATGTGTATGATTGATCGGAGGAAGAGGAACTTGAAGAGGGTGGTTGGTTGGTGGGATGGCGTCGCGGAGATAGAATGATCTGGTCGGATATTGGGTGTAGCTGGTTGGTACTGTGGTAGTCATGTATTCATTGTCGTTCGTGAGGAGAGGTGCTCGCTATTAGTTGATTGTAGATATACAGGCAAGGTGGATGTGATGTGCTGCGGAGTGTTGACGATGGGGGTTATTCTGCCGGTGTGGAGAGGTCGGTTTACACCGCCTTATGCTGTATTGACTATCGTGAACATCCCGCCAACTGGCTGCTAGTTACTGGAGACGTTAGAAACGGTCAAGGAGTCGATGATCTAATTGGTTCCATATTGGCCGTTATCCAATATATGTTATCTATTCAATTGAGGACAATCTAATTCTTACAGGAAAAATTTGGTTGTCAATCATAAATTCTATCATCATGTCTCTGGGTATTATGCGCGTATAAATCCAAACCATGGTCGAGACCAGCTATTATATCAAGTACAGGATATCGAAACAAAACAAGTCATCACGTCGTCAGTCCGTCGTCTGCCAGGCAGACCCATTAAAAGAAAATAACCCAAAAATAAGGCCAAAATAAAAGGAAAGATAAGACAAAGGAAAGATAGAACAAAGGAAAAAAAAATCACTTCATGTCAGACGTCAACCGCCACTGTCCTCCCACAGTTTCAATGACGCCCTCCTCGATCGCCCACTGGCGCAGCGCAGGGTCCTCCTGCTCGGCGTGGGGATGGAAGTCGCCCTTTTCGAAGTGTCGGCCCACGTGCTCCATGCGGTCGTTCCAGCTCAGATGGCCCGAGAACTGATGCCCGCAGAAGCCGCAGCGGCTATTTTCGGGCGCCGCGCGCTGCTGCTGCCAGCAACGGTTGCGGACGCCCTCGAGGGTCTCTTCGAACGCCTGGCGCTCGTCGCTGGTGACGGGCTGCTTGCTGTTGCGGGTGACCCAGGGGCTGTGCATGCGGCGCTGGTGCTGGGTGAAGAGGTCCTTGCGGTTGAAGTCGTTGGACAGGCGGGCTTCGTCGCCGGAGGCGCCGCGCGCGGACGCCAGCTTGCGCATGTTGTTGGTGTTGCAGCGGCCGACGTCGCATCGGTAGAAGCCTACCTTGACGTGCTGCGAGGATACATGTCGCTTCCACTCGTTCTTGGAGGTGAAGGTGCTGCGGCAGCCGTAGTGTGAGAAGCTGCAGATGAAGATGCGGTTGGGTGTGCTGCTGCCCTTTTTACTCCGCGGCTTGGCAACGGACCGCGAGGCCGATCCGGTCATCTGGGCGGGGTCCTTGCGGGAGGTGATGTCCTTCACCACGCCACCAGAGGAGCGTTTGGACTTCTGGCGGCGCGGTTGTGGTTGGCTTGGCGGCGGAGAGGCAAGTTCATCCGCGTCGTGCTCGGGGACGCGTCCCAGGACGGGAAGCTGGTGCTCCTCCGGGTGGGGCGCCGTGGGATAGACCAACGCCGGGGGCGTGTCGCGCATGAGAGGCACCGGGTGGGCCCCCAGGCTGACAATGGGTTCCGGATCGGGGTAGTAGACCTGCGCCGGGGACACGGATTGGTAGCTGCTCGCGACGGGCGACGGGCACCCCCAGTGGTCCGGAACCTGCAGCATGGCGTCGTCGCTGGTGTACGGAGGCGACATATAGCAACCGGCACCGCCGACCCAGCTGCCGCTGGTGCTGCGCGGACTATCGGCGCCGGAGGTGGTGGATAGATCGGAGCCCCAAGAGGCATAATCGGACATGGGCGCCGGCTTCCCGTGCGGCAGCCCCTGCGGCAGTACTGTCGAGCTGTACCATGGGGCGGGAGAAAGGAAGGGACTTTTGGGAGGAGCATCCATGAGAGACAGCTGTCCCTGTGGATGGATGTAAGAGGCGTCGGGCCAGGGGCCCGCGTAGGCGCGCGATTCCGGCGGGAAGAGCTCATAGTCCTGCACGGGCGAGCCGTCTTCGACGTGCGGATAGTCCGCAAAGACGGGGGTGGAAGGGAATCGCTCCATGGTTGAAATATAGATACCGGATGGAATGCAGGATCCAGAAGTGCAAGGAACTGGGAGAAGGAAGAATGAAAAACGGTTGAATTAAATCGCGATTCCCACGGCAGGGTCAACGTATATAAAACCAAGCATGGCTTGGCGGGGGCAGTATAGCTGGGGCCAAAGGGCCCTGCTCGGTCCTCTTCCCACGAGGGAGACAACAGTCAGGCGAATTTTGAGCCGCATTCTTTCCGAGCCAAAACGATCGGCAGACTTGATGCGTCAGTCACGACGCTAAACGGATTGGTTGGTGTTAGCGAGAGCATCCCCGTCACGAACACGACCAGCAGTGCCCCCTGCAGCGCCATTCTCCTGTCCCCCTTTTCTTTGTTTTCCCATCTTTTTTATTATTTTTTCTTTTTTTCTTTTCCCCTTCCTTTTTATTTTTTTACTGATTATTATCATTGTTAATTATAATAATAATAACATTCATTTCCACAAACTATCCATGGGGAATATTCCCCAAGATCGAAACGGTCAGACCAGTACCCGGTAGTCAAGCTTGGCGAGCTACCACCCAGTTTGATAGGTTGAGGTATTATTCCTCACTATACGGAAAACTTCTTCACAACCCGTGCATGAATCCGTAGACGAGAGAAATCAACGGAGCGGGAAATTCCACCATGACCACTTGAGCCGCAAGATGGGCAACCAGACGACAGGGCCTGGGACCCTCCTCATGCCCGACTTTGACAAAAACGATGACGATCCATGTATGGGTTGCGAGGGCGGAGTTTGGTCTTGCCCTGGGCAGTGGTACTCCAGATCCCTAGTCGTGTTGTCGGGAGTAGAAGAGGGAGGGGGAGGAGGAGTGCTCTCCACCAGTCAGGGATCAGAAGATTGATGGACTGCAGAACTCAGCCGCTTGCCCAAAGCAAATTGAATCAAGTGGGAGGTGGTGTGGACAGAGAGTGGACGGGGAGTGGACAGAGAGGGTGGATTCCCACCGGTTCAGGTTTGGTTGGGCGAGAGAGATGCAAGAGGGTGCAAGAGGTCCAAGCCTCATTCGTGGTTAGATTGCCCGGGAGGCGGTCAGTCCGGGAGCGGGTCATGATTTTGGGGGCCAAACAGTCTCTCCTCTTAGCACGGAGTACCCTGATGGACTAGTAGGAGGGACCTCTACTACGGAGTACGGAGTACTACGACTACTATCTGGTCTTGACTCAGAGCATTCTGCCTTGACTGATCCCGCTCGCTGCGCCGCAGTCTGCCGGATTAGAAGGTCATTGGGTAGAGAGCAGTTCCCCTTTTGGGCGATGGGCAGGGATCGATAATGCCTCTTACATTTGGACACCATTCAGTCTATTGAATACTTATTGATCCAATCTGTTCTATTCTGTGGTGTATTTTGATAGTAGTCTAGATATGACAATGTATCAATATCAGTAGGAGGTGAAGGATCACCTAGTAAACGATGGATGAAGTATGTATACGGATAGGGCACATTCTAGACCCCCGTCCAGAACCCTGAAGGTGACGATCCAACGCCAAGTCACATCACAGTTCACCCCTATTCTTGCCTTTGCCCTTGCCCTGTTGCCCAAAGGAATATAAATAAAATAACAAATAATAAGAAAATCGAAAATAATTAATAATAACCAACGCTAGAAAGTCAGGAAGTTAGAAATGTCCCCATTCCCCACTCCTTGCCGTTCACTGTCAGCCTCCGGCCCCGCTGCCGCGGTATGACCCTTACCCGTCTGGGGATGGTTTGGACTCCGTTGGCATGATGTCAATAATGCCGAACAAACCCACTCTCCTTGACTAGTTTCTCTAGATAGTAGAAACTAGACTAGACGACAAGACTTCGTCTATAGCCCTAATCATCAATTGATTTGAGTTTATCCCTGCAGGATCAGCCAGTGCACTGACACTAGACCACTCGTTTGACCGTCCTGCCCTATATGAGGGCCGTTGAGTTATCACCGGTCTTCTCCAGAGGACGGCAGGATCCTGGTCTGGAGGTTATTGAGCTGACAATTACGGAGTCCCCGAAGGATTGGATCTGTCTTTTCTCCTGATTTATTTATTTATTTATTTCATACCTTATATTTCCAATCAACATGATCCATAATAATAATAATAATAATAATAAACTAACCCATTAGTAAACCCACCATTCAACCTGATCGTCCAAGTTCTATCCGTACTCTGTACCTCTAGCCCCTTCCCAACGACATGACATGACCCACTTCGACTTACCAGCTAAAAGTAAAAGCCAGATAGAGAGTCCAGACTCCAGACTGATTCAATCCAAGCCAAACCCATCCATCCATTGTCAGCACTCGCCTACATGCACTGCAGCCCTGAGAGCCACCTGTAACCAACCCTACGCTGTACATACAGACACTAAAGAATAATACGACGGAGCCAATCATGTTTTATCTCTGCAAGTTTAAGATTGAGTTCCTGTTCAGCTGTCATACCCTGGGTAGGGTACCTACCTGTCGGTCTAATACTCAGGGTCTCTTATACTGCATGGTAAAGAAACATATGTGTACAAGATATCATTGGATGTGGCTTCCGCGGCATACTGGTTACCTATCTGGATAGCTGAGGGGGTACTAACTTTACGATAGGTAGAATCAATAGAGATAGACAGGAAAGATAGTATCTATCGAATACGAACCAACCCAATCCTACCTATCCAGCGAAGCTACCCACTATTCAGCGTGAATAGCAACATTCAAATCCAGCTTTACCAACAGCACACCAATAAGAACAACCAATCCAACTAAAACCCCAGCGACTAGACTGCGTAGATAGATACCCAAGTACGAACTAACCATCTCAGCTCAGTTATAGTACCCCTCTACATCACGCCATTGACCTAACACCCATACCCATGTCAGTATTGGAATATCTACTTAATTAATCAGTACCCACGGAGATCTCCGTATATACCTTAATTAAGTAAACAATCAATTAATCAAACGAACAACCTATATCCCGTCCCTCCCGTTCCCTTCCCATCCCCTTACCTAGTACTTACTTACTACTTACTACCTACCCATCTCTTCTGTAGGTACTAGGTAGGTAGTGTACGGACCATCCGGTCTCATCTCACCCCACTAAATCAGTAGTAACGCACATGCATAACCCCACACAACCACATCCCACATACACATGCCACATAATCCTCAATCCATATGCAGTAATAGTATTCCCCCAGGGCAAACGCGCCCCATCAGCCACTCTCGCCACCCCCATTCGCCATGCCACAGTGGCTGTGTGAGTTGAGTCTCGCCCTGACGCCCGCCCGCCCTGAGCCTAGGCCTACGCCCGAGCCCGCCCTGAGCCCCAATCGACGCGACACTCCACAAGACAAACGAGACGAGACTAGAAAAAAGCGGTGACGAAAGAAAGAAACAGAGGGCTGTACAAGGCGGAGTCCAGTCCATCCATGCATCCAGTAACGTCCTAGTCCTTCTTTATTCGGACGAAATACCTGACTAACTAACTAGATACTTGGGTATCTGCTTACCCATATAGTAACTGACTAACTAGTGTTGGTTACTTGCTTACTTGCAGATGACATCAGAGCTCTATCTTGTATTGTTGTTGTAAGATTGATTGTAAAATGGAAGGGGGAATGGGGAAGCATAGCCACGTTGTGGATGGGGTGACTCTGGAGGTGTAAGCGGGTCGGAGAATAAATCTTACATGCTTCGCCTCGCGTGTGGGACATCGTTTGTATCCACTATCTCCTACCTAGGTAGGTACCTACAGTAGGTAGGACATAGGATATATGACAGTTGTACCTAGTTCAATAATAAAGAGTGTAGATGGACTGTATAGCTAACACATCATCTCAAACCGAATAAACATCCACTAGATATACCAAATTGAATAAACACACCACACCACACCATCCATCCCCCAAAAAAGTAATCTACTCCTTCTTCTCCTTATGCGACTTCTTCTTCGGCATCCGAATCAACCAATACAAAAACACAGCAGCGAAAGCATTAAACACCACATACACAAACAGCAGCCCCACATTGCGCCAGCGGTCATCATAACTAATGTTCAGACTCCCCAGGAACTGGTCCGTCCACGACATCTGGCACAGCGAGCACATATCTGTCGCGTCGGGGTCTACCAGCGTTGCCTTGGCGAGCTTCACGTAGTCGCCGAGGTACTCGCCGCAGGTTTGCCCTGCTGGCGGTGGCATGCGTAGCAGCTCGATGTCGGAGCATTGCACGCGGGTTTTGGCGAGTCCTACGGAGAGGACGGAGCTTACGAGGTAGGTGAAGGGCGAGACACGGTACATGAAGATCCAGAAGCGGGGGAGGACGGTTGGGCTTGCCAGGACGCTGTGGTTTTCGTTAGTGAGAGGGTTGAGTGGAGGGAATGGTTGATGACGTACCCGTTGAAAATCAGACACAGCGAAAACATGAGCTGCGCAATGTTACTACCCGTCTCCGGCTGCTCGATCCCCGCGATGATCATTGAGCTAAACGTCGAGGTGAACATCATGAAGATCAAGATCAGCAGGAACATGGTGCCGCCTCGGTGCGTTACCGTGTCGGTCAACTCCGCGTTGCGGTACAGCCCGATCGGATAGTACCAGGAGAAGTACGCAGGGACCGCCATGAGGATGTTCCATGGTAACTCGACTAGGATGCTGGCCATCATGAACGCCTTCCATGAATATGCCTTGGAGGGTCGCTCACGCACTTCGTATAGCGCACGCTGCGTCACGAAGTAGGGCATCATTTGCTGGACCAGGTTGGGGAAGATGATCAGGAGCATGAAGATGGCGAACATTTGATCCTGCATGCCTTGGAGACTTGTGGGTTCTCGCCAGAAGGTGAATCCGATGAATAACGGCTATATCCTGTTAGTATTACCCGTCAAAGGAGATAAGATAGACCTACCGGAATGATACACATCGCCGCTTTGGAGTAAATATAAGATGGACTACGCCAATACTGCTGGAACATGCGCTGGATGCAGACCAAGAACTGCGCATACAGCGGCATAGCGAATTCACCATACTCGACCGTGCGCGGCGGCGGCGGTCGCTGCGACAGCTCCTGCTTCATCTCAGCCAGTTCCTGGCGGACTTGCTCGCGTTCATGGCTGTTCTTCCACACTTCCGGCCAGTCCTGGTCGGCGTGAGACCCGGGAGCAGCCCCGATCACTTCCAGCATCCACTCGGCTGGGTTGGCGTTCCCGGGGCACTTGGAGGATCCCTTGGTTTCGAAATACTTGATCAGCGTGTTCATGTTCGTTCCCAGCTCTCCAAAGTATACGGTTCGTCCTCCCCGCGCTAAGAAAAGCAGTCGGTCGAACTGTTGCATGAGCATCGCGGACGGTTGGTGGATAGTGCACAGAATCGCTTGTCCATGGTCGGCTAGCTTGCGCATCAGAGTGCAGATAGACCATGCTGTTTGACTGTCCAGACCCGATGTGGGTTCGTCAAAGAAGAGAAGCAGGTCCGGTTTGGCTGCAATCTCGACGCCGATTGTCAGTCGCTTTCGCTGCTCGACGTTCAACCCTTCGCCGAGCACGCCGACCACTGCTTCGGCATACTCTCCCATGTTCAGCATCTTGATCACCTCTTCCACGTAGGCTAATTTTTCTTTGCGTGGGGTACTCGCTGGCTGACGGAGGACGGCACTGAAGATCAGCGCCTCTCGCACGGTGCTTGTTTCCAAATGCAGATCCTGCTGCTGGACATAGCCAGTCTTGCGCTGGAACGAGTCGTCTCGTATACGCCCATCAACCAGCATCTCGCCAGTGACCACGCCCATGGTCACCCGATCCGCCAAAACATCCAACAACGAGGTCTTACCAGCTCCCGTCACACCCATCAAGGCGGTCAAAGTCCCCGGCTTCACCCACCCGTCGACGTGGTCCAAAATCCGACGATCCTCGCCCTTAATCTTGATGTCGTAACAGACATCCTGCCAGTGAAAGATAGCCGTCTGCTTGACAATCGCAGCAGTGTGGTCCTCGCTCTGACTGCCGATCTCTTGCTTCTCCGACGGCGATACCGCTTCTTCCACATCTGTGTTTGAACGAATCTTTTTCGCAAATGCCGGGATCTTACCACGGGGGAATACCAAAATCTCACCCTTCGAGGGTTTTGCGCGAACCAATTCGCTGCAGACGATATATGCCGCTAGGAAAAAGAAGAAGAACCCCAGGATAATGCCGTAGTTTCTCCAGAGATGTGACGGGTAATACTCGAACGAGGTCTCCAGATAGGTAGTGCCCTGGATGAAGTCGTCGCCGTATTTCGCGCCCTTGCCTGCGCAGACTTTCGATTCCAGAGGAACATCACCGTATCCAGGCCCGGAGGGCACATATAATGCGCAGTC